GATAACATGTCAGTCAGGGATAACATGTCAGTCAGGGATAACATGTCAGTCAGGGATAACATGTCAGTCAGGGTTGGGTTGGACGGCATAGGAGAGAATTTGGAGAAGAGAAGAGGTGCTGAGTCTGACCGTCGTGTTATCCCCCTTGGCGCCATAGTCCAGCACGTTCCGGAACACCTTGTAATCAGAGCTGTCCCCAAACGCCACCGTGCCCATTCGCGCAACATGTTCCATCCAGAAGGTGCCCGACGACGCGGCCTGTGTCCTCTGCATGGTGTTTCCAACACTCGCCTCGGCCTCGGATACCAGGGCCGCCGCATCGGCCAGCTCGTCCGTGATATCCAGCAGCGGCGGTGGCGCGGTGTCGTCTGCAGTATCACGTCGACCGAACGACGTCCTCGGCTTGAGCTGATACTTGTTGCGCGCCGGGTTGGCGTACCGCGCAGCGTTGAGCCGTGTCGAGTTGGCGATGGCCTCCTCCACCAGCTGCTGCGCCCGAGCGAGAGCGGCCGAGCTGGCGTTGCGCAGGACCGGCGTGGACGTCGTGCCCTCGGAAGCCGCGCGTTTGAGCTTGTTGGGGTCGGCCCGGGGCTTGTCAGACACGACGTCGGGCAGCGCATGGTACTCCTCAAGGTACTCCTCGGGATCCCAGTCCTCCTCAGGATCCCAGTCCATCCACGGCAGGGAGGTCGGCGTCATGCCTGCCTCGGTGTGGTTGGCGAGAACATGCTGCTGGCTCGCAACCCCCGGCCCAAACGCCATCAGCTCCTCGACCGTGACCGTGTCGGCCCAGCGCCAAAACGCCTCGTGGTTCAAGGCCGCGAGCTGCTCGGGGCTCATATCCTCCTCTCTGGCCGTGCCATTCGTGCCATTCCTCTCGGCCAGGATGTCCCGCTTGGCCTGTGTGACCGGCTTGATCACGGACGCCGACCCGGGACTAAACGTCGTCACCGTCGCCGCGACACCGTTGGCGTTGGCGCTGGCCAGGTTGTAGCGGAACTCGAAGAACGCGACGCTCCCCTTGTTCACAAACCACGGGAACTCCGTGATGCGCCGGTTGATGATCCCCTTGAGCGACCGCTGCAGCACGTCGTGGGCCGTGGCCTGCCAGTTCTGCTCGGCCTTGACCTTGATGCGCAGGCCCAAGACGGAGAAGCGGCCGTTGCACCGGAAGGCCGCGCACCGCGTCTGCGCGTTGTCGGGCTGCGCCTCCGGAGACGCCGACCCGCTGCCGCCCTCGATCCAGGTCGCCGGCGGGAACTCGTCGCACGTGTACCGCACCCAGCTGGGGATCTTGTTGCCCTGGCTGTCTCGCTTGGCCCGGATCTCGGCGATGGTCGTGCCTGGCTCCAGGTCCTTGTACTGCCACGGGCCGTCGTGCCGCATCACGATGCCCTGGTCCGAGTGCGGGCACACCCGATTGGAGTCCCAGCTCCCGCACGACGCCCGCCGCCGCTGCTGGTTGCGCCACGACGAGGCCTTGCCCGAGGCAAAGTCGTAGGCGAAGCGGTTCGGCATGCTGCGCGCCTGGCCCCGCGGCGTCTTGTACCAGTTGTCGGCGTTCTTGCAGATGTCCTTCATGTACCAGCAGTTGTACTCGAGCACCACCAGGTCCGGCGAGATGTCGATCACCCGCTGCAGCGCGTCGTTGACCGTCGGGCGCCATTGCGGCACCTGGACCACGGAGCCGCCGGTCGGGGCCGGGACCCATCCCGATGTCACGGCCTGCACGTACTGCGCCTGGGCCACGGCTGGCTGTCTCTGTTGCTGTGGGAGGGAGACGAGGGAGACGAGGCCGAGCACCAACCAGGAGCCGAGAGAAAGTGAAGAAACCATGGCTGCTAGCCTGCTTCCGAACGTTCAACGACTACCTTGGCCCATGCACTAAAAGGTCAAGATAGGTAAGCTCTAACACGTATTGGAACAAAAAAACTCATAGACGTTGGGAAAACCCAGAGGAGTCGAGGACATGCTAGGTATCTCGATGGCTTCGAGTGTCGGATCCCAATGCCCCTAATAACGAGGCACCATTCTTCCTTGTTGGTGCTTGCTGCCCATGCGGCTGCAACCCTCCGGCTCACCTCTCGGGGTACTCAGCCACACGGCCGATAACGCTCTGGACCCCCAGGCCGGCTCGGTCGGTCCGGTATTAGGTAGTATGCGTTGATTGTCACATGCAGCCAGCAATAAGCGGGTAGAGAACCAACTGCTGTTCGACAACCCTTGTATGTATCACAATAGCAGCGAGCCTTGTCGCCGCAACAAGAAGGCGCGTCGGTCAAGGCATGTTTCGTGGTATTCGTTCCACTCCTTCTTTGGTCGTTCCAAGATGGTCAGCAATATCAGCAATATATACCAAAGTTCCGCTGACCGCTGGCTTACCAACAACACCTCGGACCATCATCGGACATTGGCCCCCAAACCTTATTGGTAACTTGAGACTAGATCGAACCCTCTTCAACAACAACCATTACCATTGTCCCCCCAATACTCCCGAGTCCTCCAGGCTCTGTCTCCTCCAGCAGCAACAGCCATGAAGCACAACAACCTCCATTCCTATTCCCCTCTTGCTATCGCCCGAGTCACCTTCCTGGCTCTCTTGCCTCTCCTGCACCATGCCTCGGCAGACGACTGCCAGCCCTGGACCTGGACATGGGACGCCGCTCGGAAGGTCGACGCTGCTGCTGCCCCCTCCCGCGCGGCAGTGAAGCCCTACGTGCGGGCGGCGACCGTGAACCCCGGCGATATCAACTGCCGCAGCTGGGCGCAGACCTACGACAACGTCGGCTACTGGTCCTGCAGCCAGCTGGCCGACGACTTTGGCATCACCCTGGACAAGTTCTGGATGCTGAACCCGACGCTGGCCCCGGACTGCGAGGGCATCCAGCCGAATACCGAGTATTGCGTGGACGGGTGTGAGTGACCCTGGTGCTGTCGACTCAGAATCTCAGATGGCCGTGCTGATGTTTCGTTTGTTATTATTACCTACAGTCATAGAACCCCTCCGCTCCACAGACGGCTTCTGCGGGCCAGACCACAAGAATGCGACCTGTATCGGGTCGGATTTTGGACAGTGCTGCAACGCCGCGACTTGGAAGTGCGGCCAGACCGAGTGCGTCCTCCTTTCCCTTGCTTCTCATTTTCTTCTCTCACGCACTGACAGTCTGACACTGACACCGACACAGAGACGACTGTTCCCCCGGTATCTGCTGGGAGGGCCAGTGCCCCGGCCACACCATCTACACGACCGACGGAAACTGCGGCTACGCATACGGCTTCGCGCTGTGCGCCGGCAAGTGGGGAGACTGCTGCAGCCTGGACGGGGGCAAGTGCGGCACCGGCGACGCCTTCTGTGGGCCGGGGAACTGCCAGTCGGGGAATTGCACGACAACCACGACAACCACGACAACCACGATAACCTCCAGCGGGGCCAGTACTAGCGCCCAGACGAATGGCACTGGGGCTGCTACAGCAGCTACACGAGTAGTGCAGTGAACTTTGAAGACTCTGCTGTTTTCTGTCAGGATGCAGGGTCGGCAGAAACTGCCGCTGTAAGCTGTGAATAAGAATTACTTGCCTATTACTAGCTGGATGCAATAATAGATAGTTGTGGTGGTTACATTCGATGTACTGGCATGTGACTGGGTACTGCGGAGTACGGTTGCGGTTGCAAGCAAAAGTTTAACCCCCTTGCCAGGGCACCCTCCACTGTCCACAAGCTAGCAGGGTTGCTTGGCACTAGGCAGATCAGCACTGCGTCATATCGAGCCGTACCTTAATTAAGGTGCATAGTCTAGCCTTTACTATGTACACTAAAACTGAATAGTAGTAGTCGGATATTTCGGCAACTTTGCTGCTTCCCTTTCTATTACCCAACTACCTGCTTTCTCACCACAGTCCACAGATCCTACCATCAGTTCCTGCGTCTCGTGTAATGCGCCCCACGATCCAGATCACCACAAACCGGGATTCCGGGAAGGATTGGTTCGAACTTTCAGCTCGCCTTTTACCCGGTGACACCCGGCCGCCCGGAGGCAACCAACACCCCAAATTATAGGTAGTTAGGTAATAAAGCTCTTGGGGGGCCGCCAGACTCATAGGGCTACAAATGAAGGCCTATAAATGCAAGCACAAGCACCTTGCAGTAAGTGTAGCCTAATTAACAGTTAGGGAAGATGTAACCCTCGGTGATTTCCAATATTCGTAATTTCGACGAATGATGTCTATGTCGGACAGTCGGCAGGAGGATCGTGGCGAGATGGAATCTCTGAACTCCGAAGACCGGTTTGGCGGTTGGCCCCCAAAATGCAAGCACAAGCACCTTGCAGTAAGTGTAACCTAATTAACAGTTAGGGAAGATGTAACCCTCGGTGATTTCCAATATTCGTAATTTCGACGAATGATGTCTATGTCGGGCAGTCGGCAGGAGGATCGTGGCGAGATGGAATCTCTGAACTAAGACCGGTTTGGCGGTTGGCCCCCAAAATGCATCCCTAATATCGCAGGCTCGCAGCACGCTGCACGAACCTAGCAGTCCAGACAGTCTAGAAGCTTACACAGAGAGGAGTCTTGTGGAGCTTTTGAATAATACTTCCGAGATAATTGACATCTGGTGCAGCGTGCTTATATTAATTGGACAGGCAGTCGCTGGATGCCGCTGTTATTCGTTTGTCTATCCAGTGTCCAAAAGACACACCGAGTCGGTGTCGACACTACCTCCTACATTGGGACTTTGAGGACGGCAGGCGCACGCACGGCACGAGATTAAGACAGACCTGGCAGACACAAGGGCTTTACAGTCGAGCGGGGCGCCAACTCTGTACTTGGCCACACTCGGCCCGGGGCTTTTCGGTTTGGATTTTAATTGGAATACTGGTACACGTGTAAGAAGTTACTGGTAAACAGTTACTGGGAAACAGTTACTGGTAAACAGTTGAGACAGTACGTCGTGATAGCATCGTGGAGATGCTCTGAAGGAATCGAAGGACTAGAAATCGCATTATTCGCATAAAAGCGAGCTCCGCGCTCGCCTGTCACGGCGATCTTTGCCGCTTGCTATACATCTAACAGACTCAACACCATCCATCATCCACCCACCATCCACCATGCATCTTTCCAACCTCCTCCCCCTTTCCCTCCTCGGCCTCGCAGCCGCCGCCTCCCTCCCCAAGACATCCCCCTTCCACCGCGACCAAACCGTCCCGCTCTCCCTCCTGGCTAAACGCGCCTGCGGCGAGACGGCCCCCCAGGTCTGCTACGGCGTCAGCGGCGGGACGTCCCAGGACCTCGACCCGGACGACATCTCCTACGCGGCCGCCTTCCTGCGCTACCAGGCCGACAACAACGGCAACCCCATCTGGCAAATGCCCTCGGAGTTCGACTGCAGCGAGTGGACCCTGCCGCTGGCGGGGGCCGGCACCGTCCTCGCGCTGGCGAAGCACATCAATCCCCGCACGAACTCGGGCGTCACCTACACGGACCTGGCACGCACGATCGATGGCGGCGCGGATGCCACGGATGAGCAGCTGGCCGCGAGCTTGCTGGGGTCGTGCGGGAAGAATGGGGGGCAAATGGGCGTGACGGTCGATGCGGCTGATCCGGCCTATCACACGTCGGACTACCTTGCGAGCGGGATGAAGCCGGCGGATATTATTGTCAAATTGGTACGGAACCCGGACCCTTCTTCGTAGACCACAGGGGGGTTCGCCGTTCGTGTCACGGATGGGCACGCGTCGACGCGATGATAGTTGAATCTTGATGAGGGTGTCGGTAGCATCAGAAAATAATTGACAGAAATTCAGAATTACCATGTAACGCTGATACTATAGCACAGTTTAGCGTATAATACAGGCACCAGTGACCAGCTTTGTTTACTAGCTGTTGAACCGTGAACGGATAACCGCCGGGTTCCTGTGATGCTGTGTACCTTGGCGGGAAATGGAGTACTGCATAGGTAGTACCTAGTTTAGCCGGGGGGTCAAAATACCAGACGTGAGCTCGGCGGGGCATCAGAATTCTAAGGTACCCTGGTTTAAGCGCCCGGAGTACAGCCGGAGCGGGGGTGGCGCCGCGTACCTGCCTACTGCTATAACCTTGGCTAGGCTCCCTCTCTATTGCCGCCCATCCTGAGCCGTCCAAGACTCCAAAAACACCGCTGCTTCGCTTCTGAGCTACCTATACCACCTCGCACACAGCGTCAAAATGTCCTCATCTACCCCCAACAACAACAACAACAACGCTCCTGGAGCACCGCCACCTGGTCCTCCTCTAGCAATGCTCTCCCAGCCCGCCAAACGTCTCTACTGGACGCTCCAAGGCCCCCTCTCCACCGCCGTCACCGTCATGCCTCCAGACCTCAACCCCGACGCCCCACGCGACGCCTACTTCCGCCAAACCCTCGCCGGCACCACCTGGCACCCCATCTCCGAGTCGCCCATGACCGAACCGCCCGTCGCCTCCCTGGAAGTCAAGGAAACCAACCTGATGGACTGGCGCGACAGCTGGTGGACCGCGAACCAGGAGGGCCTCGACAACGAGGCCGACGAACCGGAGGGGGAGCGGGAGCCGCCCGAGTTTAGGCCGCTGGTCGTGAGCGCATCGAACGGGGAGTTTGTGACGGTGCACGATTACGTCACGGCGGTGCATCCGTGGCTTATAGGGCAGAGGGAGCAGGTTCTCAAGGCGAGGAACGCGGCTGAGGATGACGACTACGAGCCTGAGGGGAACGAGAGGTTGTTGCTGCAGCTGAATCGGCCGGCTGAGATCAGTGTTGAGGACGAGGACGAGTGGAAGGAGTCGTTGAGGTGGAGGTTTCGGAACGGGCGGACGTGAACTTTGAAGCGGGGCTGCGGGGGGAGTGACCAGAATCTGGTAGTCATTGAATCTGTGTCCATTCTTCTATGAGTTATCTTTCCTTTCCGCCTTTGCCTTTCGCGCGAGGCTTGAGGCGGACTTCGGCCGGCTTTATTTCGATGCCTAATCTCTCGTCTAGTGAAAATAGTTGGTTCTTAGGGCATGACCGCATAGCCTTACGGATGGATATGCCGAGATAGTATCTCACGACACTCGTCCCTCCCCCGTTTTCGTTCCGCATTGCTCTGTTTGCTTTGTTGTACCGAGACCATGTTCTTTAGCAGCCTAGACGATTGTGCCGCACCGCGACAGTTTTGGATTCCGTTCCGTCAAGTGGTACTAAATCAGAAGCGTTTATTCTGAAGTGGTAACTTCTTGCCGTATGGCACTCTACTGACGGGGGTTCTGCGGATTAAAGACCTAAACCGATGTCTACAGAATGCCATCATGATGATGTCGAACCCTTGGAATAGTGATTTTTCCTCGGATATTAAATGACAATACAATACAATTTCTATTAGCGCCCGGAGGATAACCGAAAGGGCAAGTCTACAATCTGACTGGCGTTATACATTTCCTCAGATACCGTATGTCATAATCTCCTTGAAGCCCATACAATGTCCAATTCTTATCCAAGCTATAGCCATAGGCTATCGCTCTGCAACAGCGCCCCGAATCGAGCAAAACCGGACACCCTTGTGATTGCTCTGCAAGCCGCTGGTCGCTATCAATAACATCCGCCGTCGCCCGTCAACATGCCTTCCCACTCCCGGTGAGGTCATCCCCCCCCGCCTCCGGAAATTGCCTACAGCTCGACACTGGGCGTGACTATGGAGCTTGCGCCTGCCGAGGTTGATGAAGAGCTTCAGGAGGTGTCACATACGGTGGCGGCTGAGATTGAAGAGCCGGATTACGAATGGGGTCCTGTCTCCTCCGCGAAGAAGGGCAAGTCGGCAAGAAAAAGAAGGTGTTGTCTTATGGGGTTTGATTGCTCGATTCTTAGGATCAATGGAGGGCTTGATTGAATCGGGCTGAAATATCGAGGTGTGTGACAGAGATCAATTCATGCTTGCGGTGCAAAGTGACGAGTCCTAGCAATGTAGGTAAGCATTGCTCTGACCCAGTCAAGATCATCGTGATGTCGGCTCATGCTTCCCGTCGGATGTGGTTCCGCTTGCGGCCTCACGTTTGCGGCACGGGCGACGGCGACCATGAGCCCGGTCGCCTGGATGCGGAGTTCAAGCAGCTCTGTAGCGCTCAGGTCGTCCGGCTGGTCTCTCGTGGGCTCTGCTGCTCTGCAGGCTCTGAAGGCTCAGCCCGTTATGCTACACGTCTGAGGCAGCTCCGCTCCGGAAGTCTCGTCCACTGCGTGTCGCCTGCCTCCACGGAACTGCGTACGCGGATCTGTCTATACAGATATCTGCCTCTCGGCAACCCAGACCCCCGGGCCCTGACTTCTACTTGGTAAAGACCGTTGACAGTTGGCGACGGATATCATTACAGCTTCCATCATCACGTCAAGGAGTCCTAAGAAGCTTAGCTCATCACAAAGTTCCAAGAAATCGAATAGCTAACCTGACAATAAGATCAACGAAATACACTCAATCCCGTAATCTAACGCCGTGGACCCTCTCCATGTGGTTCTTGAAATGGTTCAAGTGCTTAAATTCCAGCGCCTCGTCCCTACACTTGGGATGATTGCATAACAACTGCTTCACCCCGCTTCAGCTGTTGCGCGTGCTTCCTGTCGAAATGGTCGAACATCACCGCCGGTCGACAGTACTTGAACTTCCTATCCTCCTGGGACAGGGTCTCATCCCCAATGCAGCGTGGACATTGCTTCCTGTCCATCAGGAGCGGGAAGGGGTCCAGCCCAGGAGACTCCTCCTTCACTGTGACGTTGGCCTACACCTACGCCTACGCCCTCCGTCGGATACAGTCCAGCCTCACAGTCTCCCGTTTGTCGCAAAGGATAACCTTTAGCTCGGCCGCCTGGATACAGAGTTCAAGAAGCTCTGCGGGGCTCAAGTTATCCGGCTGGTTACAGAGGATCTCTGCGAGCCAGGCGCGCTCGCAGAACCACCCCCCCCACACGTGGCTCAATCCCGACCCGCGGATGCGTGAGCTGCAGGAAGGAAAGTTGTTTCTTTGAGACAAATGGGGTGAAGTCGGTCAATGATTGCTGATGGATAGGTTGCAGGAGGACGGGAGCATTGGCCAGTGAGTGGGCGGACGGGACGGATGACTGGAACGACCTTGGGAGGAAAGCAGAGGGTCACAGTTGAGGGCGGCCAATTGGATTATCATTTGTCTTGATTTTCTGCAAGGTCGGTGGTAAAGTGGTGCCCTTTTTGACGGGACGAATAGGCCGCGTGCTGGGGAGTCACCCGGCGCCCCGGAAAGGAAAGGGGGAAGGGAGGGATGGTGGGCGGCCAGCCGCTAGGAACGAGACCCTGAATTGAGGCCGGCTGTGGGGGTTTCTTGACCGATGGTTAAACGGGCAACTTACACGTAGTTACAGTTTGGAGGTAAAGAGCAGTTCAAGATATTGGAGGATCTAGGCCGAGCATGTACGAAGCAGTGTACATACATAGTACAGTATGAAGAAAGCTTGTCAGACGCAACTCCGCCTCTCAGATAACAACACGCTGTGCCACATTTACGGGAAATCTCCCTACCAATGGCCGTTGTCTGGGGCAACTTCAACGCGTTCAGTTCCCGCCAACAATCGTGCTCGTCTCCAGCATCAATTGACCTGTCAAAACATCCCAACGGGAGGCAATCATACTAAGTCCCAAACGCCCTTTGAGTTTCGACACGTTGTCTTATATATTCGCAATTGATGTTAGGCCCCATCTCTGACTCTTTCAACTTTGCTTTTTGATACCCTCTTTTCTTCAGCTTTCTCGGCTCTAAGCAGCGGGATTGGCAATGTTGTGCGACCCCCCGAGCCGTTATCTGGACTCGGTCTGACTTGAGTGGACAGCCCTGGAGGACTTGGTCGTTGCATTCGTCACACCCCCTTCCCGATTGGGAATACTCCGGCCAGCCACGGGGGAATGCCCCTGGACAACCAAGACTGGCTGCGTTTTTGCTGGCGTGTGTGCGCGCGCGTTCCTTCATGGATGCCTTGGAGACAGATCTGCCTACTTTAGGGTTTTCTCAAGTCGGAAGAGTTATCCGGATGTGACTAGTGTATTGAATGATATGGAGGTCAACTCTGGCCAAACGTCGTCGTGGAGACGGAGCTCTGGCAAGGGAGGACTTGGCGGGCGCTCGGATCCGGGTGCCTGGTCTTTCTCTGCCAGTGATAGTTAGTTGTCAAAAGGGAGCGAGTTAATGCCGTGACGACAAGCATGTATTGCCTTCATCTCAGGTGTTCAGTTCAAATTCAACGTGGCAGCCTCTCTGGCAAGCAACCCATCTTGCAGCAAACCCCAGCTGCAGGCCTTCCAGGGGATCTAGAAGGCAGACTTCCCCCGGGAAGACAGATGGGGTAAGGGTGCCTGGGGCGGACGAATCTGGTTGGTTCCTGAAGTTGGATCTCAGGATGTGTGTTTACCAAAGGAACCGAGTTGAGGACTTGGTCGACTGTGTGTATCCGGAGGGGGTTCCGCGGGAGGCTGCTGTTGACCGCTGGGGCGCCGTGCGAGGAACACGACAGACGGATGGAAACATTTGGAGAGAGGAGAGAGCACAAGAGCTGCTGGACGACCGATAGAATGATAAGTTCGACGGCAGAAAGGAGCGACTGTTTGAATGGAATACATGCGTCTAATTAGTAGCATTGTGTACTCTTTAAGATATTCAGATCCACTTTGAGCCACCCACCTCCTGTTTGATTTGGCGCTTTGGTGAGCATCCGGGCAGCCGTTGATGATTTGCTTACCTTGCGGGTTGAAGGAATCTCAACGCAACAATCCTAGCTTCAACCACGTAAACAAAAACTTGAAACAGCCGACTGCAAACTGTGTGGAGTACCCCTTCCGGTTGCAATTGGAAGCATTCCCCCAAGACCGACGACGGCGCGACGGCGCGATGGCTTGGGTTTGGGTTGACCACCTGACCGCATCCCATGCTCTGCGCCAGGGTTGATCAGTCATGGATCATGGAACCAGGCGGGGAGGGACGGAGGGAGCCCGGGTCTCCGGATAGTAATGCTGGGGAAGATCAATGGCTGTCGTGGGTTGGAAGGGAAGGGAATAATCCGTTTTGCAATCAAAAATTTTGGAAGGTCTTTGAAAGAAGTCCTGCGTATCAAAAAGGTTATCAGGGACAGTTTTCCCTTTTTTGGCCGTCCTGCGTTGCTTTGCTTATGATCGATTCCTCATGTGGTGATTGCGATATGGGTGGGTCGCAGCACCCGTTTTTGGAAGCGAGCGAGTGACCAAACGACCGCCTGCGCCTTGGACTTCGCTTCCATCCAGTGGGTCGTTTTCCTGAGGCGGATTGGAGATGGAACGAGTGGGAAACTCATGCTTGGACTCCAAGGCACCTTGATAGCCCGCTGGCTATTTGCCAGCTGCTCGCGATAACAAGCGAGCTCCTTCACCGTCGAGCTTTGGACTCCCGCTTTTCGAATCGTCCGACAGCGCTGCGGAAGGAACCGGAACTGCGACACCGCACTGGGCGCACAGCGCCCTGTCGGCTCTGGGACTGTGCGTGCCTTTTCCAAATCTGATTTGACATCAACTGTGCGCTTCTCACTCTCCGCCAGGAGACTTGAGCCATGACAGGGCTTATCTCATCATCGCCTTCGAAGACGCAAGCGAAGTGGTGGATGGTGAGTGTTTGGTGTACACAGTAAAGGCGGTCTCCATTGTGGACCTGCGGCATGGTGCTATCGCGGAGCCTTATCGCAAATGTTGTTCGAGCGCGTCCAGTCTCACCCCGACCTAACTGGGACGGGAAGAGTGGTGTGTAGGTATAGACAATGTACTTTCTTACCAGAGGTAGCCTTGAATGGTACCTGAACAATACAAGAAGACGTCCACCAGGGGCCGCACATCACGAGCACTGTGTCAGCCTCCAACATTCGCACATGCTCGTGGCTGGGCTGCCCGCTCCGTGCAAGTCGACGCTCCATGTTCGTTCCAGTGAAGGAATCAAGGACAGCACCTCCGGCCCTGTGCGCTGGCGCTCTGGCCATTCCCCAGCTGCAGCTGCACAGCACCCACCTGGCAACAGGAACAGGCCCGGAGCGACCTGATTGCCATTCCGGCCGGCCCTCTCTCGTCATTTCCAGGTTGCCCTCGGCCCTCAAGAGGTCTCTCCCAGGTTTCTTCCATCTCTTCCTTTCTCTTTTCCATCTCAACCCTCACCCGCTCACGCTGCATCGCTTGAGCATTTCATTGTCTTCCTCACCCGCCCCCGCTCGTGAGTTTTGACCTTGTCAAAAATCACCCAGCGCACGCCATCTCCTCCGCTGCTGATTGCGTCTGAGTCATTTGGTTGACCTTGGAACGTCACAGTGCCGTGTGGGACCATCTCTCTCTCACTCCTCTTCAAACGGACGTTTCTCCCACCTCCCCAAGCTCCTTTCCTATCTCCCACTCCTGGAGAACACACCGGCGCGCGACGGCCCATCCCGCACATCTCACCCGGCGTTTGGTCTGGGCACGCTTCTTTTTGGCTTGTTCTCTAGACTTCTCTTCAACCATATCCTGCCTTGCAACCGAAGTAGGAAAGAAGAGGGCCTAGCGGAGCACATCTATTGCCCACAGCCCAGGACCCCTGCTTTCAACAAGTCGATCCCAGTCACATTTACCTTACACCCGACCTCCACTCCGCAGCACCCACCGCCGCAGACTCGCGTGTTCGCTATTTCGTCACCGGGGCACTTCAACTCAACAACAACCTGAACTGCAACGAACTCGTTCCCTATTCTTCCTTCTTGAACCTGTGAATACACCCTCGACGAGCGCCACCACCTTCCGGCCTACCACACCCTACAACTGCCAAGACAGCCTGACATCTTCGCACTTACTACCTCCTGTCCTATAGGGACCCTGCTGCATCCCCGCCCACGGCCTAGGCAGAACGCGCCCGCATCTGCTCCTGCGCCTAACGACTTCAGCCTTCCACAAACCGAAGCCCTCCTGCTGCCAGCATTTTTCCGTCCTCAACTATCCCTCCTCATTCATCCACAGCTCTTCTCCCCCGATCCAACCCTCGAGCCACTGAGTCTTCTGACCTCTTAACAACCGACCCCGCCATACGTATACATGACGACCCCGCCGCCGGCCGACGTCTTTCGCATATCGTAGCCCTTCGGGCTAGGCCCGTTCCAACACCTCTCGCCCGGTTCTTGTGATCTTCAAACTCGCGTACGAAGCCATGGCTGAGCGGACCGCTTCCTCGCGGCGGTCGCGGCCGTCTAGTGAGGATGCTGTCGGGAATTTTGTGATCGAGAAGGAGATAGGGAAAGGGAGCTTTGCCCAGGTATACTCTGGGCGCCACAAGGTTCGTTTTTACCCCGCTGCTCCTGGTGGTTAGTTATAGAAGTACTGTGGCTGGGCCGCGTCGGCGAACATCGCCGCCTCTATTCATGCTTGGAGCCTCGCAGTTGTGCTAACTCTCAGCCGCCCACACCAGGTCACTGGCGCACTGGTTGCCATCAAGTCCGTCGAGCTCACGCGGCTGAACAAGAAGCTGAAGGAGAATCTCTATGGCGAGATCAAGATCCTCAAGCGCCTACGGCACCCCCACATTGTGGCTCTCCACGACTGCGTCGAGTCTGACTCGCACATCAACCTCATCATGGAATACTGCGAACTCGGGGACCTGTCGCTTTTCATCCGGAAGCGTGACAAACTCATTACAAATCCGGCCACCCACGAGTTGGCCCGCAAATACCCCGTCGCGCCCAACTCGGGGCTCAACGAGGTCGTCATCCGTCACTTTTTGAAACAACTGACTAGCGCGACTAGGTTTCTGCGCGAAGCAAACCTCATCCACCGCGATGTCAAGCCTCAGAACCTACTCCTACTACCTTCTCCACAATACCGCGAGGCCAACAAGATGCGGAAGCAAATCCTCAGCGCCAGCCACGATTCGCTCACCCCTGCCGTCGGTCTGCCTTCGCTCCCCATGCTGAAGTTGGCCGACTTTGGCTTCGCTCGAGTTCTCCCCTCAACTTCCCTCGCCGAGACGCTGTGCGGCTCGCCATTATACATGGCTCCCGAGATCCTCCGGTATGAACGGTACGACGCCAAGGCTGATCTGTGGTCCGTGGGCACTGTGCTGTATGAGATGATAACGGGAAAGCCGCCCTTCCGCGCACGTAACCATGTGGAGCTGCTTAGGAAGATCGAGGCTGCTGAGGATGACATCCGGTTTCCGCGAGAAAGCGTTGTCAGCTCTGAACTGAAGGGTCTGACTCGAGCCCTGCTGAAGCGGAACCCGGTCGAGCGGATAAGCTTTGAGGACTTGTTCAGCCATTCCGTTATTACGAATCCCATCCCCGGCCTTGTGGAAGACGACATACCGAAGCCGGAGACCTTGCCCATGGCTGAGGCCAGATCCCCGAACGGGAATGAAGGCGGAGGCTCGGTGTTATCTCGTAGACCATCTCTCCGGCGGCATATCGCGGACCAGGAGCAGGGGCGTGAACACGGTGTCCCGCCATCCTCTAAGCCGCGCCGTTCATCACCCCTGGCGACACCCATTGAAACGAAGCCAAATCCGTTGGAGCAACGAGTCCCTAGCCCCCAGTTGAGCTATTCCCCTCGACAAGAGACGGAGGAAGGTCTGGGGATACGCCGACCTGGCGTACAACCGTCGACCTCGGCGCCTGTCAGACCCATTTCATACGTGGACCGAAACCGCCGATACTCGAATGCGTCCCCGCGGCCACCGATCCGCGACGACCAGTTTCCGCCGCAGTCTGCGGCCAGTCGAGTCCTCACAGATGAGGACCATGCGGCGGAAGACATTGCGTTTGAGCGCGAGTACGTGGTTGTCGACAAGAAACAGGTTGCCGTCAACGCTCTCGCCGATCAGATCTCGGAGGCTCAGGCCCTGGCACAGTCGCCCAAGTCCGGCCAAATTGTCCGGCGGGCCACGCAGCAAGGAAACCCGACCTCGACGACGGGTGCTGTTCCGAGTCACTCGTCACGCGGCTCACCCGGGCGAGGCGATCATTACCGGAAAGCCTCGTACGACAAGGCGCTCTCCAGGAGCCCTGGGGCCGCGACGTCGGTGATCTCCAAGGCTATCCAAGACGCCAGTCTCCGCTTATTTGGGTTCAAGTATTCGCCACAGTTGCTGAACAAGGGGCAGTCACCCCCACCGCAGATGTACAGCCCATTCCCAGCGTACCCCACGCCCACCGCCCCGGCGGGTCTGATTACAGACGGCAAGCAAAGCGCCCCCGTCGATGAGGACTCCCGGGTTGCCCAGTGCATCGAGGACTATGCTACGCGGAGCGACGTTGTATACGGGTTTGCCGAAGTCAAGTACAAGCAACTGATCCCGCTAGCTCCCTCGATCGAGCACGGCCTAGGGGGTGTCCCAGCCGACAGGATGGGCGAGGAGGAAGAGGGCCTCACCATGGACGCGGTGGTCTCGCTGTCGGAGGAGGCTCTCGTGCTGTACGTCAAGGCGCTGTCCTTGCTCGCCAAGTCGATGGACATTGCCAGTCTCTGGTGGTCTCGCAAGAACCGGGCGGAGTCGTCGAGCAACACCAGCAGTGGGCATTCCGCCACGCGTGACTCAGTCAATACGCAGGCGCTTGCGTTGAAGATCAACGCGGCAGTTCAGTGGATCCGGGGGCGGTTCAACGAAGTACTGGAGAAGGCTGAAATTGTTCGCCTGAAGCTCATTGAGGCCCAGAAGCAGCTGCCGGAGGAGCACCCTTCCCACCCGAGCAATCACCCGGGCGAGGCGAGCGCCATCAGCGGTTCGGGAGCTGAGGGTGTGTTCCTCTCGGCCGGGATCAGCGCTGAGAAGCTGATGTATGACCGGGCCGTCGAGATGAGTCGCACAGCAGCCATCAACGAGATTGCGAGCACGGATCTCGAGGGGTGCGAGATTTCGTACGTCACCGCGATTCGCATGCTCGAGGCGGTGCTGGATAACGACGACGACCACCTTCCGAAGCGGCGCGTGTCGTCATCGTCCAAAGAAGAGCCGCCGGTCGCTGCTCAAGACGCGGCGAGCGAAATGAGCGGCGACGACAAGCAGACAGTGCAGAAAGGTGAGCCCCCTTTTTTCTTTTGAAGTTTTCTATGGTGGTTATGGAGAGGAGTGTGGTAGACCATCGATCGTGGATCACCGTTGCTAACGTCTCCGATCTCCCGTAGTGGTACAAATGATCAACACCAGACTGACCAGTCTGCGAAAGAGGGTGCAAATGATTGAGGCGGCTGAGAAAGCTCAGCAACAACAGCAGCAATATCAGCAACAGATCGCCATGCGGCGACTTAGCGGGGACGCCACACCACGGAGCGTGCCCGCATGAAGAAAACGGCCAACCCTCCCCTGTAACGACCATAACGAACGAAAGATACCACGGCTCATAGAGCTGTGAGCACACGCCCCGCGGCCGGCCCAGTTTTGATTTTCCCTGTTTCCCTTGCCTTCCGGAGTTCTTTCTCCTTTTCGTTTTTCTCTCACATTCGAGGCACTGCTTGCCTTTGTGGGCGAGGAGTCCCTCATGGCGCCTGGCCGAGGTCATGACTTGACGAGAGCCGAAAGAGGGACGACGGGCTGGCACACTTTGCGGTGCGAATTACGTTTTTGAGGGACAACAACCCCACATTCGTCGGAGTTAGCATGCTTATATAGTTGTTTCAACTGCACATTGATTGGGTTTTCGTTTTTTTTTTTTCAACTTGCTGGGACATACTACTGGGCGTCGCTTCTGGTCACCAAGAGGATGGGATATGGCGATTTGGGACACACACACATAGTGGCGCTGTCACGCATGCGCGCACCTACAGACACAGTCATCGACAGACACAAGGCGTTTTGGAAAGGAGGCACCGCCCCTAAGGGGGTTCGTGGGCGATGGGCCCGATGGTCATCATCCTTGCTGTTTATTTTACTGGCTATTATTTATTGCTACTAGTAGTATATTTTTTTCTCCTTCTCGTTTTTTACTTTCCTTTCCTGGATTGTCGATGTGGATGGCGCTTGGGTTGGTTCGCCTGGGCTTGGGATTCTTACTCTTTCCCGCTTTTCGCTTCATTTCTCCCATTTTCCGTCGTTTCTTTACCATATTGGCGTTTGCAGGCTCGTTCGGTCCGGTCTGGCTTAGTTCGTATGGCATTCTAAGGAAGGGTGAACCGATGGGATCGTTGAGATTGGCAGTTTGGCACTTTGCATGTTAAACGGAGGAAATAGGTGGACAGATCGGGCAGCCCCAGGCGAGGGCGGGCCTGCTTGACACAGAGGGAAATTGATACAGACGGTGCGATACGATACAGTCTAGGCCGGTACAAATGAAATATTGATACTACGTTTGGGTGTTTGTGATGTGTTGCACCATATATTTCAGAGACAAGTGGAGGATTTCCCAAGATATGGCTTTCAAATTTGGTTGATGATTACAATTGGGCTGTCTACTTCCGTAACACACGCCGACACCAGCCAGCGCAATCACAGCAGATCTAAAAGGGTAGTTCATCCCCAGGGACAGACGGAGACAACCATCTAACAAAAACAACAAAAAAAACAAAAACATACAACACCGGGGATTCCCCAGTCGTCACCGACCTGAGTACTGATCCGGCCGTCGCCAGTTTGACTAGGGGAGAGCGGACGGGATCCCGTATTTTCTAGCGCGTATGGTCGTATGTGACAGTCTGGTCTCCAGAAGTTGTTGAAGAATGCCTGGGGGGGAAGAGTCGGGGGGGGGGATGTGCAGGATGATGCACAGAATGAGGTTTATGTCTAAGTGCCATTCCTGCCGTGCCCCGCATGGTCCCTTTGCGTGACATTACCGCTGCGGGGAACGGGGAACGGGGCCGAGAAGGGTGGGGAGGGGGGATGTAACCTAAGTGAGTTGAGTTGATGATCATGACGGGTGGACGAGTGAGTGAGTGAGGGAGTGAGTGCTAACGTCAGTGGGGGTGTGTGCTTGATTACACCTACACATACACACACACATACACACACAAACACACACTCATCCCATCACTTACACACACATTGTGACATACACATCCATCCATCTGTCTTACCGTCGGAGATAGCTCTCAACATCGATGTCAACAGTATCACCCGCTACGATGGAGGACACAACACGACCAACACGGCCACCGTTAGGACCGGGTAACGACAGCGACAACCAAGATGAAACTACCCGCCTGCTCGCGTCTTGGCAGATAGACGAACAGACCCATGCGCGGATCCTTGAGACGGAGATTGTACCTGTGGAGCTGGGGCCGTTTCTGAAGGGTCCCGTGGGGTTTGGTGAGGGTGACAGCGCGAGTGAGGGCATAAACGAGAGAGGAGGAAAAGGAGGGGGAATAGAAGGAGGTGAAATAGAAGGAGGACAGACCGGCCAACGACCGCTGGTCATTTTCGTAATTGGCCAAACGGGCGCAGGCAAGAGTGTGTTTACACCATGTCTGTTGGAGGCGCTTCGGGAAGAGGATGATGGGGGAAATAGTAGGGAGAAAGGGGAGCAAAAACAACGATCTGTCCTTCACCTCATCGCCGATACTTACAAGACATACCACCCTTTTTATCACGCTGCGTTGGCTCACGATCAGGGACGGGCTACTACCGCTAGCTCTGCTTATGCTTCTGGTACTATCCTCAGTACTAGCACCAGCACCAACACCAACCCTACCAATCCTGAGACGCACTCCCCAAACACCACTACCACACCAACCCCAACCCCAAAAAAGCCCCTCGCCTCCCGCCTCGCCGGCCCCTCCGCAGCCCGCTGGCTCCGCGAGATCTGTGAGCGGGCCGCAGCTCTACACGTTCCCCGTGTGGTGATTGAGTTAGCTTGTCGGCGGGGACGAGGACCAGGACGAGGCAACGGAGGGACGCTACAAGCCGGAGGGGCAACAGAAGGGGGTGAACTAGCACGTCTAGCGAGCGGGGTGTTTTCTCTGCACGGGTATACAGTACGTGTGGCGGTGTTGGCGGTACCTACGCCGTTAAGTCGGTTGGGGGTTTTGGTAAGGTTTTATGCGGCGTCTTCTGCTTCTTCTGCTTCTTCCTCTACTTCTGGGGGTTCGCAAGGACAGGAACAGCAGCAGGAACAGCAACAGCAACAGCACCAGCACAAAATGCCCCCACGCCTAACACCGCGCGTGGTGCACGACGAGAGTGTCGCAGGCGTGCGTGAGGCCGTGGCGTGGGTGGACGCGGGCATGGATGCGGTTGATGGGGGATCGTTCGTGGCTGATAGGGTGGTGGTTTTGCGTCGGGGTGGGGGGGTTGTTCATGAAAGGGAGAGCGATCGGGTACGGCAAGTAGAAGAAGAAGGGGAGAAGACAGAGAAACCGGACAGCGCGGGGAGGGCACTGGAGCGTGAGCAAGCCCGGCCGCTGTCGCGCGCGGACAGAAAGACGGCTGCGGCGGATATTGCGATGCTCAGGGCGCTGGGGGGTCCGGGGGTGGATAAGGAGGTGGATGATATTGAGGGACTGTTGGAGGAGCTGGGTGAAGAGACTGAGACAGAGACTGAGGCAAAAATGTTTGATGCGGCGGCTTTCGTATCGATGAGGGAGTCGTAGTAGAAGTAGCGTAGAGTATGCTAATCACCTGAAAGATAAATCAAGACGGTTGAGCCTGATCGGCGGCATGGTAATTATGCTCTGAGTTTAAATATGGGTATCCTATACCGAGCTGACCAACATTGTAACCAACTTGTACACACACAACCACCCGTTCCACATACGTTGCTCCCCTAGAGCATGTACCTGAATTCGGGGTTCAAATCCTATATTTACACCGTTAGTCACTAGCCATACGTAAACCCGGGAGGGAGAAAATAAAACAAAAAAAGGGGGGGGGAGGGGGAAAAAAAGGGGGAAAAAGTAAACTCACCCCTAGATCCAGTTTCTCCGACTCAGTCAAGTTCAGGTTCCGCACCTGCTTGCTCCGCTTCTTGTTCTCCCACGTGATGGCCGCGGCGTACAGCACACACGAGACCACACTGAGGCAGATGAAGGAGATGCAGATGGCGTAGCCCTTGGTGAAGAGCGGGCCGTCCTCCTTGATGAACGAGTAGGTCGCGATGATGCCGCCGATGTTGCCGAAGCCTGCGGAGGGTTAGCATACTGCCTTAGCGAAGTGTAAAAAGGAAAGAAGATGAGACATACCAATCTGCCAGGCACTCCCAATGGCCCTGCGGTGATGCCCTCCCAAATTCATGTTGAACCAGCACACAATGATGGGCATGGCCGAGTAGGTGCCCATGCAGGTCAGGAACAGCGCGGCATACTGCACCGAAAGGTTGTCATGCACGGTAAGCAAGACCGCAAACCCGGCAATCGCAATCGATATAGGGGCCAGGATGAACAGAAACCGGTGCTGGGCCCAGTCGGAAAAGACAGCAACAATCATGGAGAACACAAACGACACAGCCCAAGGGGGCACAGAGCGCAGCTGCGTGGTGATGGGGTCGAAGTGGTAGCTGCCCAAGATAGTCGGCGCAAAGTACGCGTACGAATACGCCGGCACGATCAGGCCAAAGTACATGAACCCGCCCAGCCAGATCTTATAGTCCGACATGACGGTGCGGACGTCACGGAAGGTGATGCGGCGGTCCGCGCCGCTCTCGCCCTGCGACTTGCGCAGCCGCGCCTTCACATATTCGCGCTCGTCGTCTCGCAGCCAGGTCGCCTGCTCGGGGAAACCGGGGAAGGTGAACCAGAAGATGGCGCCGAGGAGAACTGTGAAGCACCCTTCGATGATGAAGATCCACCGCCACCCGCGGTACCCGCGTACGTAGTCGAGGTTGCCGATGGCCGAGGCCAGCAGGCCGCCGAAGGCGCCCGCTAGCGAGGTGGAGGAGAAGAAGAGCGAGAAGCGCTTCTGGGCCTCGGCGCGGCGGTACCAGCTGCCGATGAGGTAGAAGCAGCCTGGAAAGAGCACGCACTCGAAGACGCCGAGGAAGAAGCGCGTGGCTAGCAGGCCGCTGTAGTTCTGCACCAGGCCCTGAAAGATGGTGACGGCGCCGAAGCCGGCGCAGCAGATGGACAGCCAGATGCGCGGGGACAAGTACTTGAGCAGAATGTTAGACGGCACCTCAAACAGCACGTAGGGCACGAAGAAGATGGTCAGCGCCGTGTTGTACTCGGTTCCGCCCATGCGCAGCTCGTTTTCTAGGCCGAAGGATCGCGCGTTGCCGATGTTGACTCGGTCCAGGAATGCCATCAGGTAGAGTACCGACACGAATGGGATGATGTACCAGTCGATCCGGGTTGTGATGCGCCGTTCGGTGGTGTGCGGCGGGCACACTGGGTCGTCCGCGGTGGCCGTGTCCGTGTCGGCGGCGACATGGCCGTCTTGGCCCGGCAATTGATGCCGCTTGGCGTCTTCTTCGTCCGATGCTGGACCGGTCGGTCAGTTTAGTCGTCCGATGAGGTGGAATGAATTGATTCTTCGTTTGTGGGCTAAAAAAAAGCACCAAAACTTCAGGATCGCGCTCGTAACATACCGTGTTTAACCTCGGACATGGCGGCGGAGGGGTAGCGCAGCGCTTCTCCCTGGCGAGCGGCGGTCAAAATGTTCTGCTTGAACCTCACCAAATCCCCGGGTAACGAAGCCCGTCCTTTCTTGGCGCGCGTGCAGGTCCTCTGTCCTGTCTGGAAAAGGCGCGCCGAAAGAACCTCAGCTCTCGGGAGCGAAAAGAGGGCACGCGAGGTGGCAGAGGGGAAGTTGCGGAAAAGAACAAAAAAAGAACGAGCAAGCAAAATGTCCGAAGGGATCGCAAACGCGCTGCAAACACCAAGCGATGGGATCGTGGGACCATGAGTATCTTAACTCATTCTACGGCCTACTTAGTAAGCCAATGGCTTACGGTGACTGGTGAGTGATACCCGAGCTCTCCGGGGTCGGGGTCCGAGCAGGGGCGGTTGTTGCCGATCACCTTCCGAATACGGGCGTTTTCTTCGATCCTGGGGTGGTTTTACAACGTGGTGTGGACGATGGGACAAGGGTGTTTCGTTTTCCGTGGACGGCATCACGACAGCAAGGGCCAGGCCACAGGCCACATGTACACCAGGGGGGAGAGGCGGGGCAGCTTGTGTTTGCTTCGAGAATGATGTTCAAAATGTCCGAGATACAATAGAGCCGTTCGATACCGCGACCAAACCACCAACATCCATCATTTCTCCAACGAGGCCAAGACCTTGATATCCCCCATCCCAGACAAGGCAAAATCGCCGAAGCTTGTTCCGAGCGCCCGCGGATTAAAGACGGGGAAAGTGGGGAACCCAGGCTTTGCTTCCTGCCGAACTCAATTCTGGGCCGTCGAAATGCCGAAAAGTGGATTATTCCCCGCCGAAACTGAGCCTCGCGACTGCGTAACTTTGGACGACTCTGAAGCAGCTGAAATCGAAGGTCGCCGGTTTTCGGCCAATAAAACCGCTTTCGCATTCCCATTCAAAGATGCACATTGCAAATCGCTAGGCTACCACGTCTACACTAAGCGTATAAGATCTCACTCGCATCCTGATTCCTTGATTACAATTGTGTACATGGTATGGTGTCAGTATAGTGGACGACACCAGGCTGGCCTAAAAATAAAAAAAGCGTCCCACCGCTCAAACACGACAAGATCTTCAACAGAATCACGGAGAGACCGAGAGGTGTCCAACCCTCGCTACAGAACAAAACAAGACTCACCATTGCCCCTCCGACATGATATCCTCGTTCGCTAAACAGAATCATAACCTCCCCTTTTCACCTTCCGCCTCATCGCTTCCTATGTCCTTCATCACTTTCGCCAAAAAAATCCTCCTCGCTCTAATATCTTGCTCAAATAACAGTACCCCCAGGACCGCATTCAAACAATGAAGAATATTCCACCCATATCAACATCAACCAACCCCGAAACCCGAGAGCGCTTCTCGCGTAGACATACATACATCCATCCAACTCCCACAATGTACCACAAGCCCCCTTTAACATCTCTTTTTAAAACAACCTCCGCCCGCTCGCTAGACAAAGTTCGTCAAATAAGGCCAAACACAACTTCCTTCCCCCCTTCCACCAACATCACAAAAGGACAAGAGTGTAATCAGCCAAACAAAAAGGTGGGGAATACACAGAACAACAAACAAAGGATTCAATCCTCTACTCCACACTCTCCCCCTTCTCCTGCGGCGTCGGCGGGACTTGCTGTACGGTCGGCTGTGGTTGGCCCGTGGTAGCGGTAGAGGTAGAAGGTGGAACTTGCGGTGCAGGGCGGAAAGGCAAAGTCTGCGATGGCTGTTGCGCCAATGGCTCCGTATTCACCGTAGTAGACGTCGTGGTCACGGGCGAAATTGTAGAAGTAGTGCTAGGTTCGACCGCAGAAGCCGGGTGCGCAGACTGCGGGCCCTGTGGAACAGGCACCGACGGGTTCTCCTTGTCCTCCACGCGTTTCAGGTCCAAACTCTTCCCCCGCGAGGACGACAGGAGACCGGGTATTGATGCTGTTCGCTCGGTGGCAGGCGGCGACTTGTTCCGACGATGCTCGACGTTCTCCTTGTGTTCGCGGTACTTGTTTTTGATCCAGCTTGAGAGTTTGTTGTTGGCATCGTCTTTGCCGTCCTTACCGCCGTCCCTGCCCTCTTTGCCTTCCCGGCCTTCTCGGCTCGATACTTCGACGAGCGGCGCGTCTGTGTTGATGGTGGTGCGGTCGGACGTGTCCCCCGTGGTGCTCCGCCCAGGACGGCCGGAGCTGTTGATGGATGTTCCGCTGGCGAGGGCTGTCGCGTTGGACCCAATCAGGTGGCGTGGTGAGGTCAGCGCCGGAAACGGGGGTGGCGATGTTTCATCCTTTTTGCGCGAGAGCCGCCATCGCTTCTTCTTTTCCTTTTCGCTCGTCGTGTCCGGGCTGGCCGCCTCTATGGAAGCGAATGTGGTCGACTCCCCCAATTGGTCGTGGTCCGAGCCTTCGTTGAATGAGCTGTGAAGGGAAGTGGGAGGAGACTTTCGGGATCGCAAGGACGGTTGCCCGTGCGCTGTGTCGGGATGAAGCGTCTCGGCGTGTGGATGGCCATCGTGAGCAGGGTCGGCGACCGGATGAGTAGCAACTTGGCTACCATCCTGTTGTTGGTGTTGTTCTTGTTGGTGTTGAGTTGCCTGGGCCGTGTGGGTGCCCGTGGGTGGTTGAACACGGTCAGCATCAGCATTATTGCCGCTAGGCGCGACGTGTGACGTCTGTGAAGCGGATCCCACAGATGTTTCGCTCGTCAGTTGTGCTGCTGCTGCCGCCGCCGCCCCAGTGTTTGGTACCTGGGAGCCGGACAAAATCACTTCTAAGGGATTTCCAGCGTCGGCGTTCGGGGAAATTGCTGTGGCGGAATGGGAAAGTGAAGCCGTAGAGCTGTGTGCGCTGGGGTTGGCACTGCCCGGAAGTCTCTTCTTCCGTAGCTTATTGGGTGGGCGGCCGTCATTTTCGCTCGACGCCATGCGCTGGAACAAAACGGGCAGCTTCCGTTCCTTAGACGGTGTCAAAGCCTCGGGGGTAGGAGGCTCGAGAAGTTTCTCTTGGCTCTTCTTGGTACCGGGAACAGTGAGACTGGGCTGGGGCACTCCGCTGCTGGTCGATGATCCCGCGATTGGGCCTTTCTGCGCTGGTTGTTCCTCTGAGAGGGTACCCATCTCCTCTACCAACGCTGGCGGGGATATGACTGGCTCCGCAGCTGGCGTGACCGGCGTTAAGGGAGCAATGTGAGAGTCGTTCCGGGACGCGAATTTGCCGGATTGGAGCGAAGGGGATTTTTTCGAAGGCAAGGTGTTGCTTCGAGTCAAGCCGCCCGTCGGGGTTGCAGTACCGGCCACAACGCCGCTTGTAGTAGCAGCAGTAACAGAACCAGCAGCGGCAGGTGCATTAGCCACACCAGTGGCACTGCTGCCCACGACGGCCGGACTAGCAGACCCATTGTTAGAGCGGTAGGACCTCCTCGATGAAGTCGACTTGTTTCTTCGGATCGAGCCTTCTTTTGCGACGCTCTCCGCCCCGGCGCTCGCAGTCGATGCGGATCGGTACACGCCCAATTTTGATTGATTGGTCGGGGTCGAGGGCGGTTGGAGTTGAGGCGTACCCTTCTGCACTTCTTCCACCGTCTTCTCGTCGGCCGCAGTGCCGTGCATCCCAATGAGAAAGTGGTCCTGATTCTCGATGAGGAATATGATGACACACTGGTTCAGCCGATATTCCTCGGGTGCCATGGCGTGGTTGGGGTGCGAGAGCATGCCGGGCTGGAAAATGGCAGCAAGGTTTTGCGACGTCATGCGGTTCTGATCCGACTTGGCCGCAAACACAGCGAGTAGATCTAGGATATAGAGCAGAAGCTGGCGGTTAAGAGGCGGTAGCTCGGTTATGAGTTGTTGGTACCGGATAACAGCCGCGGTCATGTTGAAGTGCTCGACAAACTGCGGGCCCTCCGCGTCGGTGGCCCCCGGCCTGGTCGCGCCCCTGAGCGGTTCCCGGAACTTCTCGTAGAGATCCAGGGGCACCACCGGCTCGGGGAGGTCGTTGAGGTATCGGCGCAGAACGTTTGCCGCATCGTGGACCGTGTAGCCGTCCCAGACTAAGCCCTTCCCGTACCGATCGGGCGAGTCGAAGATACTCTTGAGCTCCTTGATCCGTTTCTCGGAGCCGCTAAGGCGGAAGATTCCCTCGATCTCGGTGGCTATGGGCCGGGAAGAAAGAGCGAGTCAGCATCCGAAATGGGGGGTGCGGCGTGGCACACTGTGGGGTGGGTAAGAAGCAAGGTGAGGAGAGCCTGAGCCCGGCGGACAGGCTAGGGTGACTGGTAGGTATACGCACCCCGCTCCTTGAGGAAGACCCCGCATTTTGCCACGACGATGGGCACGTAGCCGTAGATATAACTCTTTCCGTCCTCGTCGATGAGGGAAATGGCGACATTGGCGTATGTGATGCTTTGGCGGAGGGGCACACCGAAGATCCCCTGGGCCCGGTGTTCTGCGACAATTAGTTTGGTTCCGGCCGGACACGATTTGCGACGCGTCTGCGCGCGGGTATGCGGCCCGTCCAATGATCGCCAGGCTAATAGGACACGGGAGAAGGCGCCCAGCTTGGGCGCCTTGTGTGGTGCTTTCGCGGTTGTTGTTGGTGGCTGGCTCAAGCTTGCACTTGCACTTGCTCGATGAGCCGTGAGCCTGTCTTCTTCCGACACGATGCGCCATAGGAGGGAGGGCGCGGGTGGGGGGCAATCGACGACGCCATCCATATCTTCTGCGAATAGAGCGGCGGTTCTTTGGGGGGCTGTTCTTGGGAATGGTATTATGACGGACGGGGCGGCTGTACCGTGTGACTCTTGGTGCTTCGACGGGAGCTTAAAGCCCTTCCACCACGACTTCAAATCGCGCTTGTTGGGCGGGGACACAGCCGAGTGTATGGGAACGGTAGGGGCCGCCGGGGTGCTGGGAGTGGCCGGCGCATTCGCGTGCTGGTGCTGGTGCTGCTGTGGCATCGCCGGCTGTTGGGTAGCCGGTGGTTGTACGGGGGATGTCATGGTTGCGGCGGCGCGACGGAGGACTGGTAATTGTGTCTTGCGGCCGGGCTGGGCCGATGATTGTGGGTAGTTTGCGCCAGGGTGCTCGGCGAGGAATCGAAGCTGAGATGAATGCGGGATGAGGCGGAAGGTCCCGGGGATGCGGGCGCACGGGCACAGATGTTTGCTCCAAGGAGCTAGGCGCCGGAGGCCTTAGACGACGTGTGGGGAGAGCTGGCGAGCGTCGTCGAGCAAACCAACGACGCGATGTCGTCCGTTCTTTGAGCACGATCGATTACGCTCCGTGGCCGCGTTCAGCGGGATCGCAATCTCGTCTCTCCAATTATGGTGTGACGGAAGAAGAGAATGACCGCGGCGGGACGCGCTAGCAATGCATCGTCCTCGTATCGACGCGACGAGGGGCTGGTGTCGGTAATTGCGAGTTTGACGAAATGAGGGCGCTTGGTGTGACGACAGGGCAGAGGAACAACAAGCAGGTCGGGGGTGGGGAAGGGGGGCACAGTGGCGGTCCAGCTGCGACAGCGCCACAGCGGCGCATTGCGGGGCGCGGAGAAGCCCGTGACACATCACGTGGGTGACTAAACGCTGCCCCTGAGAATGGACGAAATGTAACGACCACAGAAGCTTAGAGTAGAAGGAAAAGCACCTCGAAGTGATTGGTCGGCCGGTGTGTATCAGGAGATGTCTTACGTGTTAGGGAAAAGAAGCTGGGTTAGACACGGTAATCAAGCACTCGCAGGTGAGCGGGAAAACAGCAGTGTTTCGATTTGGACGGTGAAATCTGAATACATGATCCTGAAATCCAAAACCGGAACTCATCTTAAACATCAAGCCCTGAGATATGGGCTTGAGAGGCGCCAAGTTTCCCGAGCGCGAACCAACACCAGCTGACCAGCAGCAGTGCCTCGAAGCCACACCATCCGACCAGTAGCAGTTCCAGCCGATACTAATCTGCAGCAGCCCACACAAAGTTTCCATCCTCCCCGTCGGGTACGGTACCTCACAAGTCCAAAAACTTCATCCAGGTTCTGGGACACTGGCTGGGGTCGGTTAATGGTTGGCTTGGTCTTCAATGCGTCGAGACATGCCCGCCGAGCAAGAGCAGTACGTCCGAACAGACCCACGGCCACCACAGGCTCCGCACGAATGAGTGGCCCGTCCAGAACCTGTACAGCTGGAGCACGTCGTCGTGCGATGGAAGGTGCGCATACCATGGCATCTCCGACAAGTCTCGGGCCTGATAGCACCACCCCGTCCAATCGAGCTTCCGGAAACAGTCGTGTTTCTCTCGGTCCCGGATCCTCCACAGCGTGAGCAATTCTCTTCGTAAGACCGGGTACCGGAACCGCCGCACGAGCCACAGTTGCCGCGAACCCTACCACTTCCAGAACAGGCAGAGCACTGCACCCTGGTGAGGCCGGTGTCGAGGCAAACGTTGCATTGTCTCATCTTGACAAGTGTCGGGCTAGATCTTGAGGTCTCGTAAGCATTCCTACTTCTTCCAGAGGAGGCTTCGAGGTGTCTTACCTAAACGTGGAGTTGGAGAGGCAGGTTTGGACGTCTAGCCGTTCAATTTCGAGCCCGGAGTTGGAAGAAGAAACGAGTAGCAGGGGTCGTGATCCGATTCAGCGTCAGAACGCAAAGAAAGAGGAAGCAATGGGGAAAAGGGCAGGACGGGTCCGTGAATTCTGGGGATATCTGGAAGCTCGTTGGGTAACTTTGAGGAATCACTCAACAAGGGACCGTTGGATGGGCATGCATGCTTCCTTATATCCTCGCGTCCCACTGACTGGCTTGTGACTGGCAACCATAGAGACGCCCTCAGGAGGGGCGTACTTCCGGCACCGAACTGGGACGCAGACCGAGGCGAGTTGGAGCCGCTCAGAGTTTGAAACAGGTTGGCATTGAAGGCCAACCCGAGTTTGGCTTGGAGGAGGGGAGCGGCCATGGCCGTCGTTGACCGAGTCCATGAAACACTGGTGAGAAGCGAGGTCATGTGTAGAGAAAGCACTGTGACGCAGGAGGCCAGCAACAAGGTTTGAGGTACTATATTAGGCCGACTGGAAGGGGGAGGCGTTTATCTGAGCCGCCGGAATGACCAAGAATACTCTCGCGATCGTTGGTAGGAACAGGCCGTGCGTTCTGTTGGCCCGAAGTTATGGTCATAAGCGCTCGTGAACAGTGTCGTTCGTATGCAGGTTTGGGCAGTTTGGGCAGGTTTGGGCGAACTGACACCGCGCCGCCGCTCTCTGGAGGTGGCTCGGCGCTTTGGGTGATGGCCGATTTGGTTTGAAGCCGGGTGGTCGTTGGCAAGGGCGTGTTTTGGCCGTTGGCAAAGGGTATTGTTGGTCGTTGGCAAAGGCCTGTGTTGGTCGTTGGCGAGGCTCGTGGTGGGTGGGGGCGAGCGACCACGAAGTGGCAAAGGGCGCTGGAGGCCTGAACCAACAGCTTCCACACGGATTTTCAGCCCCCTTCTGGACAGGAGTCAAGTTTAGGACAATTGACTGCATCGCGCCATCCGAAAAAGGGTCGCAACCGTAAAGTATTTTGAGGGCAAGCACCAAGTAAAAAGCTCTGTACTGTAACAAACATGTGCAGTTTGACAGGCGCAACGGCTCTCCCCATATTACTTGGGCTCAGGAGTGGCCGCATCTGCTACAGCAGCCTTTTCCATCTCCTGTAAGTGCCTTTTTCCTTCTTCCGTTGTGGCATCGATGATCCCTTCTTCAATGCTTAGGCAACCAGCCTTATAGAGCGCCGAGGGAAGAGAGTATCAGCGGACGTGTCTCCCTCGCACAAGCTTGGAGCAGGGGGAACTCACCTCATCAAGAAGGCTAACCATTTTCTCGGCTTCCGGAACTGCCATTTCGGCCAGGACTTTGTTGACCTCGTCCAACGATGCGCTCTCTAGCGCTGCCCTCATCTCGGGAGAGAATTGCTCAAAGATCTTCCTAGCATTTCTTCCTTTTTCGTCCTCTCCGCTCTCGGCCGGTGGAACCTGGATCCGAATTGAACTATCGTCGCCTGCTGGACACAACTGAATCTGCTCAACACCCTTCTCCTTGGAGTCCCGCTTTGCCATAGAGCGGATTTTTTGAAACCTCTCGGCGACGTCCTTCTCGAAGATCTCCCGTGCCTGATGGCCCGGCGTTGTAATGCGTTTAAAGAACAGCGCAACACCGTCGCGCCCGAGTGTATGGCAGTATTGCAGCAATACAGCTTGATGTATATACTGCCAGGCCCGTTTCTCGTCGTTTTGATCCAGCATTATGTAATAGGCTTCAATAAACAACCTGTCAGTGTCCGACCCGTCCTGGAGAAGCTCTGGGTACGACTGGAGATGGTCATGACTGGCACGGTAGTCAGAGACTGGGATCTGTGCGAAACGCTTGGCCACTAGAGACAGCTGACTCTCCTGCTCGCCATCTCCGGAGTTGTCTGTGCCGGTAGTCTTCTTGAACTTGGTCTCATCTAGGCCATGGTTCGGGTTGAGCAGCTCCACTTTGATCTCCTGTTTTGATGTCTCTTCTGATTTGGTCTCCTGTTTGGATGTCTCTCCTGGTTTGGTCCTACTGACGTGCGAACTATCGAATCCGACGTGGTAGCTTTCGCTGGTGATCTTGTTGAAGTCCTGTTGCTCAAGTGTATCGAGGTTGCTGGCGAGTTCTGCCTGAAGGTCTTGGATCTTCTGAAGATGCACACCGAGCTCCTGAACAAAGACTTCGTGGCGTTGGCCCTTCTCTGTCCCCTTCTCGTCTAGAGTTTTATTCACCTCATCAAGAATGGTCGCGAGTATCTTCGAGTAAGTCGGAAGAGGCGGCAAGTTGCTATCGAACACGCCTTCTGGTCGTGGTGGGGGATTATCTTCCGCAGGTTTGGTCGACGCCAAATCCATGACAACCTGGAACGCAATGTCGGCTGGGTTCGATTTACTATCGATAGAGCCGGCGTCCCGCGCCTGTAGGGTGGCTGTCAGGACGCCCAGACGTTGTATCAGGGTATCATTGATGATGCGCTCATGCTTTAAAGCCTGAATCTGCCGTTTTCGTTGCTGCCGCTCCATATGTATCTGGCTCTGTTTTGCCCGAATGAAGGACCGTTTGTCGACATTTGGGTGGACCTCGATATCGGAGTCGTCGCTGATCTCCAACGCGTCCTGACAGGTTCATGTTTAGTCGGACCAGCTACTTTTTCAATACCGATGCTTTCAAAAGAGAACTTACCCATTTGCTATAATCCACCATTTCGACGAAACGGCTGGTGTTGAGAAGTGTGGGTGGGGAAGGAGTTGAGGTTCCCGGAATTTTGGAAGGTTGCAGGAGGTTTGGGTACCTATTAGATTGTGAGGGCAGTTACACACTGTAAGAAGGAGGGGAACCTGTGTCAGAACCGCGCGCTGCGCGGCACCTGTCTCACGTGACTCCGCGTAACCCAAAAACAGCCAGCTGATCCAGAGTACTGGTAGCTTGTCCTTTGCGTTCGACCAGGACGACAGATTCGAGGTAGCTGGGACCCTTGTGATTGGGAGCACTGTGGCCGTCGAAGGCTTGTACCGTCTGCTTGAAGTGATGCGACTACTTGCGGATTGGGCCGCGAGCGAATCTTGTAGTTCAGTTGCGTGGTGTGCTGCGTACCTTAGCTAGGTTTGACGATGCTGGCCACCTATTGACTTTAGTTTACGTGAGCTCATATACCCTTTTACGCATAGCCTCCTCCCCGGCCCCCAATCAACCCTATCCCATTTAAGATTTTCTGGCCCTCCTAGCTCCAGTTACTCTCTGTGTTATGTACTCGACTCATAATATTATAGGTAGTCAGCTTTGATAGTTAAGACGTCAGGGTAATCGGGCACGGGGAAAATGGGGGCGGAATGAACGACCCATTGGGATCCACGGTATCTCAACAACGATTTTTTTTAACCATGTCCAAAATAACGAACGAGCGGAAAGAAAATACCAGTTGTTGTGAAATGGGAGATCACATGCAATGTACAAGCTCCTTGACAGAGGAAGCCCTGCGCGAGGCTGACTGTTTATATCTATGTACAGAACGAGAAGATGAACGAAAATACAACCATTACGGCGGTGAGTTCTTATATACAAGGGAATAGGCCACTACGATGTGGCTCTATGTACACTTTCTTACTCCTCCTGTTGACATTCGCCCGTTTACCAGGAAAGACCCAATTTACTCCTCCACAACCTTCTTGTAGCGGTACGGCTTAGCAGTGTGGCTGCCCACGCCCCAGCCAACAGACCGCTTGTACTGCACACAGCCATAAGTCCCGCGGCACTCGAGGGTGTTGTAGGCCGAGTGGGCCGAGTCCGCCCACGACAGGAACAGCGTGACGTGACCATCAGCACCGCCGGTGCCAGCGCCAAGGGTGCCGACAAAGTCACCGGGCTTGAGGGCGTCCCAGGAGATGGAAGTGGCGATATCCGGCAGGCTGACGGTATTGTAGCCCGGGGCGTAGGCGTGCAGGGCCATGGAGACGAAGCCGGAGCAGTCGGTGCGGTAGTTGCGGCCCTGGGGGTCAGGGTAGTTCTTGGTCATGGAGTAAGGGACGTGGCGGGAGACCCAGTACTGGCCGCGGGAGATGATCTCGGTGCGGTTGATGTTGCCCTGGTAGGCGGAGCCGCCGCCGGCGACGGCGCATTCTTTGGTGACCATGCTGTTGGAGCCGGTCTTGACGTAGTAGTCGGAGACGTAGCAGCCGTCGGTAGTCTTGTCCCAGATCGAGTTGCCGGTGATGGTCTCGCCGTAGGTCTGGCAGTCGAGCTTGACGTCTGTGTCCCGCGGGTAGGTCTTGACCGAGCTGTAGCTGGTGCCCGGGCCGGTGCGGCAGTTGACGTCGTCGCCGGTGATGGGGTAGGCCGCGACGGCCGTGGCCAGGGCCAGGACGAGACCGGCGAGCTGCATGGTGGTGGTGATGGTGAGATAAAGAGGTTGTTTAGGTGAATCGACCGTTGTGTTGACTGTGGTGTTGTGACTGGAGGTAAGGGTAGCGAACTTGGAGGAGGCCGGGGATGCTTTATACACAGTCGACTTTCAACTCTTGGCTAGTTATCCCGATCGACGTGACGTGCGGCTAAGACATCGATTTCTAACATTAAACCTACCGGTGCTGAACAGAGTAATTCCCCTCGTCTCGACTATTTTCGTCAGATTTGCCTCGTCGAATACTACGTCAACAACCATCTCTGATCTCCATGTCCAGGGGTCCCGTCTGTTGTCAACGGCGGGCCCGCGGAGCTCAACGCGCCAAGCCGAGGCTCAACTCGGCGCATTCGCAGCTCTCACCCACCTTTCCTCCCCCTTCCCTATCGCCACAGGCCAAACACAGACGTCAGGGGGCCGATCTTGGTGGGTACCATGCGATGGGTTCACCCGCTCTTACTTGGTGATCTTGCCGCACGAAAATGGAAACATGGTGTCGGAGTTGGCTCCAACAGGTCAACAACTCGTCTAGACGCTGCGGGCGCTCGGTGATGGGGAAAGGAAGGAGACCGCTGTTTGGACGACCCGATGGGCTGAAGGGGGGTAGCATCGGATGGCGGCGGAGATTTCAGGGACTAGCTTTTGAGCTTTTGTTGTTGATGGGCGTCCGAAAATAGCATGCTAGTGGGGTTGTGAAGCACCAAAATAAATCGTCAGACGGATGAATTCTCCGCCTGTCTTTTGCGTGCCGGACCGATGGCCCACTAAAACCCCTGGGCATTCCCCACGTTTTTGCAGCTCTGGGCCTTGCCTGGGAAATTTGAAGATTGAGACAAGCCTCGGAATGTTCAAGAAAAGAGAGTGAATCGACAAAGAGCAACGCATTTTTCGGATTCAGAGATCTCGATACTACCTTTTCAACTGAGATTTACGAAGTACGGGCTTGTGGTTCTAGCCTTTGGTTCTAGGCCTGGGGTCGAGGCTCGGTCCTCCCAACATATTTTCCAACGGCAAGAAAAAAAATCATGAGAAAAGTCCTTTCGCTTCACGATCTGTGTTGACACTAGGCTCTCAAATCCGAAGGGCCCCGTTTCTGTGAGGACATGCCCACCCGGAATATTCCGCACTTCCTTCCGCCCAGCCCAACAACAGCACGCTGCATCCTATGTAATACGAAGTACAGAATCCAGAACCACCACCCCTCCATCACAAAATCGAATTTGACGGCAACAGCCCATTCCTCCACTTCATCGCCGAGTTCGAATTAGCCCACTCCAAGACAGCATCGTAATCAACACACTCATGCTCCGACCCTTCCCCCGGCCCAGCGCCCGTGTGACCCTCGAGCGTGGTGTCAGCCGAGCACATGATGCCCTGGCGGATGTAGTTGAAGCAGTGCGCCGTGTGGTGGGCGACCTCCTCGGTCAGCTCGACTCCGCCGTATCCTTGCTGGTAGTGCTCCGCGATGTAGGACAGGCAGTGCAGCTGGTGAAAGACGGTCATCATGTAGCCTGGTCCGTCGTTGTGCCGGTCCAGCGCGACTGTGTATGGCTCGGGGAGGTCGTAGCGGTCGGCGTCGGCGACGACGACGTAGCCTCGGCTGTCTGGGGAGGGGCGGGGTTGTCAGCAACTTGCGTGTTTGGTTTTTGCTCGCTCGGTCAAGCTTGTTTGTCTAATTTGCCTGCCGCTCTGGGAGTTGCTTTTGAACCCCCACGGCCACCGTACATCTCATGTCTCATGTCTCATGTCTCAGGTGGCACATACCTGCGCTCAGCTCGATCCAGTTATGGAGGGTCTGGAGAGTTAACGTTTCGTTGAACCACATATCTCCCCGGACATATCGGGGGTTGTCTTGGAATGTGTAGATCTTTCGCTCGACTGGAGAGCGGGTTAGCAGCGCTCTCAAGGTATCGGTGGATAACCAGGGACCGGAGAAATCGAAGAACCACGGCCGGGGCGTTCACTAACACTGAGGCACGGGCGTGCGCCGGAGGGTAGGCCGGCTCGCAATGAGAGGTTTCGCGACGAGGAGATACACGATGGTGGCGGCCATGGCAATTTCTAGCAACAACCGCAAGTACCACACCACGCCTCGTGTCCGGGGGCGGTGATCCCCAAGCCCCTCATGATCGTTGTTGATGGCCTTGGGGAGAAACGTCTGTTCCTCCTCGTCCGCCTCGTGCTTTCTTGAATCCATCGCGATCAGGGTTGGATGTGTGATGCTCCGGTACCCACGCGGCCCGCGCCGACTGCTGGTTTCGAGTCCGTCGGTTGTCGTCGTCAACTGCCGTGTTTACTATTCCCTGGGTCTTGTTCCTGGCGTGCGCCTCTTTCGATGAGTGAGTGAAATCGACAAAACCTCATTCTGAATGTCGACTTGGGGCATCCAGGATATGTGTCGCGCCATTGCGGCTTCCTGGTTCCTTGAATTTAGCCGGCATGCTTTCATCCAAGATCTGGGGGAGGTTACATCGCCCCGGCAAGGAGGTGCGGAATGGTTTGCTTGACGAATGTCGGTATGTATGCACGATACCGTAAATACCAGGAAAGCAAAGAGTTAAACGTCTTCTGGGCGTTCAACACCGTAAATTCTCATCAAACAATATTCGATACTATTTCCTCCCACAGTCCCCTCCCCCCGCAAAAAATGAGCTGAACCTGTCACCCAGTGTGATGAGGTCGAGGTTCCAAAAGAGGAAATCCAACGGACAACGACCTCCGTGCTTGGCAAACACAGGCCGCCAAGCCCAGACTACGGAGGCTTGGTAGGTGAACTGGCTCAAATCCCTTATCGCCCCACCACAACTCACGTGCAATGCATCTTTCGCAAATATGTTCCAAGCCGATTGTATCTCTACTCTCCACCACCACTGCAAATTACATCGGGAGGCCTAAAAAGTATCAAACAACTAACCCCAACCCTAATTTTAACCAAACGGTCATTTGAAATCCTCTTTGAAAAGAAGATTCAATACCTTTTTTTAACGACCTTGTTAAAAACCTCCATTTATTCAAGTTCTTCAAATCCGATTTTTTAGAGCGGGCCGACTTTGGACCACCAGTGCTACCACCGAGCCAGTCACGTGCAAGCCCACTTTTTATAGCGGGGCCGAGTTTTTTTGAGCCAACCATCGAGGTAGCCTACCTCCCTAGTTTTTAAAGTAGGGTTAGGGTTAGCGTTAGGGTAGGATTTCGGTTAGTTTAAAAATCTCCCTTTTTATAGGAGATTTCAAATTATCATTTAATTATATTTATTTTAGGGTTAGGGTTAGTTATGCGATGTTGTTTCGGCCTACTGGCCGAGTATCGATACATTCGGTTTGAGAAATGTGCGCCAAATGCAATTCGGTTCGTGCGAAAAATGAATTTAACGCGAGTGTGGTGGGGCGATGAGGGATTTGAGCCAGTTCACCTACCAAGCCTCCGTACCAGACCTTCCAAACTTGGTAGAAGCCTTGGCAGCCTTGGCATTTTAGTCTCTCCAAAAATCACGAGCCAAAGCACATGACCCGCCAAGCCAGCGAAGTTTTGTTATCACGATAAGGCAAACCAAGCAAGCAAGCTATCACCACCACCGCTGTCATCACCACCAAGTCTACCACAGCCGAGCCATCGATCGAATTTTTTTCGTCAACACCCTCAAATTCTCCCTCCACAACCACCCACACAATGGATCAAGGGTACTTTCACCTCACTACCCCTACCCTCACCACAATACCGAACTAACAAACGACCCTCAGCCTAACCGCCGCCGAGCAACGTGAGCTCGAGGCCCGCCTCCAAAAGCGCCAGGTCAAGGAGTTTATGAACGTGCGTCCTTCTCCCCCCCCCCCTCCATCCTTTCCCCCCATTTACCCCCCTCTCTCCCTTTCTCAACCCTCCCCCACGGACTACACTAACAAGAGAGAAATGAGTAGGTCTTCGGCAACCTAGTAGACACCTGTTTCACCGCCTGCGTGGATGATTTCACGTCCAAAGCGATTTCCAGCCGCGAGTCCGGGTGCCTGACACGGTGTGTCAGCAAGTCGATGGCGACGCAGAACCGGTTGTCGGAGCGGTTTGCCGAGATTAACGCGTCTGTTACCGCGGAGATGCAGGGGAAGAGGTAATCGGGATTACTTTACATCTGGGGAGTTGGGACGAAGTGGATAAGGAAGAGGTGGAATGAAGAAGGGGGGGTCAAAACGAATAGGGGGAGGGGGGGGTCGAAATGATTGAGGGGGAGTGGGGGGTAAAATAGATGAGGTGGGGTTTAGTTTGGGGGATGTGTATGAGCTTGGGACAAAGGATATGGAATACAGAGGCAGGAGGAACAAAAGAACGGATGACCTAGCGGAGAAGCGGCCCGAGATCCAGGGCCATGTACGATACGGTATGAGATATGATACGACGAACGCATGGCGCACACCAAACAACTGTGCGATTGCGCTTGATTGCATTTCTGGACGTGGGAAAGGGACGTGTAGTGGAAGTGCAATCGGACGTGGAAGCAGACATGAGTGGAAGTGGAATGGACGTCGAAGTGGAATCGAAGTAAAAAAGACATGATATTGACACCTCTTCCCTCAATACAAACAAACCGTCATCAGCCCATGACATTAATCAACACAATGGCCCCTCATCCCCAATAACCACAACTCATCTACCCACCCAACTAAGTCAACAAGTTCACTCCCTCCCCTCAACCAAAACATCCCGAATCCCCTCCAACAACCCAACAACCTTCTCCTCCAACCTCGTCTCACTCCCTCCAGCAGCCCCAACACCCCCCATCGGCCCCGCCCCCCGCCACTCCATCTCCCTCGCCCCCAACGGCAACAACCTCTCCCGTAACACCTTCCGACTCGCCAACCAAAACTCCACACTCTCCAACACAAACCCCCCATCCCACACCACCTCGGGTATATCCCTCGTATTCGCCGCTCTCAACGCGCCCAACACACCGGTGAGTAAAGCTAGGGAGTGCACTTCGGAGACGCCGATCAGTGTCAGGAAATGGGCGTTGTTATTTGTAGAAGTCCGGCTGAGACCGGGGGCCTCGAGGCGGTCGGCTGAGGAACGGAGGAGGTTGGGAAACTGGTTGAGGACGAAGGCGACTTCGGGGGCGATGGTTGGACCAAGCGCGTCGAGGAGGTTGAGGAGTAAAGGGAGGAAGCCTTTAGCCCAGATGGCGTAGCAGCGCGCGGCGCCGGGGTTGTCGGTTAGGGGGTCGACGTGGGCGCGGCGGAGGTATCCGGCGATGTTAGCCGAGGTGAGGTGTCCGAGTAAACCATCGCAGGCGAGTTGTTCAGCCAAGGCAGGCAGGGCGGATAGTTCGCGGAGTAAGAGCACGGCGAGCTCGCCGTAGACGGGGTCGCCGTGGTGGCCGGGGACGGAATCGGCGAGGCGGTCGGACCAGGAGAAGAGCGAGGTGGCGACGTGTAGGATGTCGTGGGAGGCCATGATGTTGAGGATCTGCACGTGGCATTGCTCGATGCCGGGGACGCTGAGGCAGGCTTGGAGGATGGCGGTGACGAGGGCCAGGTCTTCTGGTGTCGTAGGCGCCGAGGGTTCGTGGACCAGGGCGGCGAGGTCCCGGAAGGAGCGGGCGACGACGCGGTCGAGGGTGGCGAGGACTAGCTGGGAGACGGCGACGGGGCTTTCGCCGGACTTAGGCGTGCTGGGGTTCGTGCCGGTGCTGCTACCGTTCGTATTACCCGTAGAACTCGGAGAATTCTTAGCCCCCCGCAACACCACAAACAACATCTTCAACAGCGTCCTAAAATACCCAATCTGCCCCTCACCCCACGGGTTCTCAACACTGTGAATCGCGGCCGTGACAAGCGACAGCAGATGGCCCATGTCCTGGGGCAGCAGCAACGAGCAGTCGGCCAGGCGACGCAGCAGGGTCAGAGCGAGGTTAGCGCGAGAACCAGCCAGGACCACAAAGACATGCTCGGGGGGCTGCGGGCGCTGGTTGGCCTCGAGGCACTGGCCGGCCACCTGCAGCATCTGCCGGGCTACGGCCTGGTGTTTGGGCAGCAAGCAGGCGCTGAGCTCGAGGAGGAGGTACTCCCACGCGTGGAAGAGGGACTGTTTATATGTTAGCAACTGCTCGTCGTAGCAAGTGATAGTAAGAAAAGCGAAGAGAGAAGAGAACCCACCACCTCAGCCTCAACCAACGACAAATTCACATTCGCCGTCTCCATCTCCCTCCTAAACCCCTCCCCCCTAGCCCCCCCAACCCACGCAGCATCATGCCGCAGCGCAGCCTCCGCAACATCCAGCGCATAATAATACCCCGGCCCCAGCGGCCTCGGCGCCAACAACAGCGTCCGGCGAAACCCATCCACCGAACACCCGGGGTATCGATTTGCAAAGTTCCGCGCCAAATTCGCATGTAGCGAAGCATTGTAATCCGCCACAGCCACAGCGTCACGCAGGAAATAGTCCAGATCGTTGACGACGTCGACGGCAAAACTCTGCGCCTGGCGCATCTGTCGGAGATGATACAGCTGCATGGCGAACGTCTCGGCGATATACGCCGCGATGCGGGCCTGGTAGCAGGCGTCCTCGGCGGCTTTGGCGCCCGCCTTGGAAACGACAGATGGAGCCTTGAGATCGCGCACGTACGCCCGCAGTTCCTGGAGGAAGGCGGTGTCCTGCTGTGTCGCGAAGATGGTCCACGGCCAGTAATTCTGCGCGGACGTGAAGAAGTCCAGCACGGCCAGGCTCTCTTGGCTCGGCAGCTGGCGTAGTACGCGGAGCTTGTCGAGGGCCGTGGCAAGCACCGAGGAACCCGCTGAGAGCTGCGAGATCTTGGCTGACTTCAATTCGTTCCCGTTGGTCGACCCCAGCGCTTCCCTCGGCGTCTTGCCCGTCAGCAAGCAGTTGGCCATCCACGGCTGGCGGTTCCGCAGGATCGTTGAGAAGAACCGCCAGGTATGCGCCGCTTCTGGCGTGCGGTCAAACGGCTTGTCGAGCGCGGCAGCGATCTGTAAAAAGGACCGCGATACCGGCGGGCCCAGGTAGCCCAGCAGCGATGGTGGCTCGCCGGGGCTGCGTCCGGCGCTTTCCACCAGCGCGCTGAGCAGTGAGAGCGCCGGTGATCGGAAGGCGTGGCGCACAGCGGGCAGGCGGGCGATGACCGAGGCCGACTGGAAGAGTTGCGCTTGGAGGACAGCTACCGAAGCTGTCTTGGTTTTGTCGGCCCCAGCGACGCGCAAAAGCGTCGTCACAAACCCGAGCACAGTCGTCAGCCGCTCCGAAACCACACGCGCCCGTCGCTGGTACAACGTCGTCGAGTCGGGCAGTTGAAAAGCCGCCAAAAACGTCGCCAACAGCGGCTGGAACCGTAACGCGCCAGAGCTAGACGACGTCGCGAGGAAACTGTCCACCACCAGCCCAGTCGCCTGCACGAGCGGTGCGGCCAAACTCTTGGTCTTTGCCTCATCATCGTTGGTGTTGTCCGCGCCCACGCCGTAGGTATACGACACCAGCTTGTCCATGACCCCCACGATATCGCGGATCAGCGCGCTGCGATCGGCCTCGGACGGCAGCCGCCAGGTGGCTGAGCTCTCGAAGATGTCGAGACACGCCTCGGCGACTGAGAGCGCCACGCGCGAGATCATCTTATCTGATGCTCCGAGCCACGGGTTCTTTTCTGACCTGTCAACTACCGCTACTGTTCCAGCTGCTGCCCCTTTTGTTGTTGTCGATCCCTTGCCATTGGCAGTACTCCCCAAAGTCCGCCTTTGCACCGCACTCGTCATGGCACTCTCCACCAGCGCCGAAAACAACTGCGCGGCCGACACCAACAGATCATACCGTTCCGCAAACAGATCCAGCTGCGCGGTAATACGCACCAGCCGACCCGTCCGCGTATCACGGTTGACCAGCGCGCACCGCGCCATGTACGCCCACACTCGCCCGGGACACACGGGCAGTGCGGCGTGCAGGAACTGCAGACACGACGATAGCGCCGCGATGCTAGGGCCGTCGAGCTCGGCCACGTCCTGCTCTGCGAGCCCGTCCACGGTGTCGGCGATGGTGCCGAGGATGTCTTTGCCTCGGGGAAGTAGCCGGCTGGCTTCGTCGAGGATGCTCAAGGCCCTGTCGGAGGCTGCTGATGTCCGGGGAGGGGAAGAGGAACCCGAGGCCGAAGTCGAAGACGAGTCGGATGAACCTTGAATGTACGCCGCACGCAGCACCGTCGCCAGCAGCGCAACCCCCTCAGCGAGCTCCTCAATACCCAGCGGCCCCAGCCCCCCATTTCCACGATGATGTTGACCATGCGCCCGCTCGCCTAAGCTAGCCTCAATCCGTTTCCCCAGCACAGCGAGTGCCGAGTGCTCGAAATCGAGCTTGGCCACCCGCCCAACATCCGTCACAAACCGGCCGTACGTCCCGCTCGGGATCGTGCACCGCTCATCGGCCGAGGTCCTCCGGTATTCCGCTGCCGTCGAGTTGGCTGTGGCATCGGCAAAGAGGTCGATGTCCCGGATCAGCCGGAACGAATTTGTGTTTTCCTCCTCAAACACCAGCTCGTACGACCGGTCCCAGCGGGTGTCCCACTGCACCGTGAGACTAGGCGTCCGGGTCAGCAGCGAGGTGATCACGTCCGAGGTTTCGCGGTCGGATGTTAACGCTCCCGCCAAAATGCGGCACAGCGAAGCGAACGGGAGGAACTCGTAGGGAAACCGGTTGCGGGCCTGTGCCGTGTACTGGCTGTTAAGTGTGTCGTCGCTGAGCATGCGGGTGTAAATCTCCAGGCTGGCCCTGACAGTAGCAGTAGCCGTAGCCGTAGCGATGTCCCAGTATTGGCTTCCTCCCGAGAGAACAGAGATCAGACACGAGACCGGTTCCGACTGGTAGCCCACGTAGTGGAAGCTGCGCTTAAGCAGGTCCTGGAATACCAGACGCGCGCGGGCTCCCAGTACTGGGCGGAACGCCGCGGCCTGACTCGAGCCGAGACAGACAGCCATCTCAGACATCAGGTCAAACACACGCCCTCCCGCGGTCGCGACTCGGGCCATATTCTCGGCCGGCTCGATGTTGCGCTCCAGCTGCTGCGACGCCAGAAACACGTCGTACGAGGACGCCTCGATGGATACGATGCTGCCCGCCGAATTCCGTCGCTGCCTACCCGACGGCTCGTACTCCAGCTCGAACCCGGCCTGCGCCCGCTGGTTCTGCAGTAGATCCCGGCGCTCGGCCCGCTCCTGATACCCGACGTGCATTTGATGGAGGATGAGCGACCAGGCGAAGACGACTGGCATGGCGGTCATCAGGTCCGCGCCCGCGGCCGCCGTGATGGTGGTGTGGATCTGTGTGAGGGCGTCGGATGAAGCTAGGTACGGGTCCTCGTCTTCTAGTAGGTCGACGTCCTGGTCGAGGTACAAAAGCGACCGGTCGATGTTGAGAAGCTTCAACGAAATAGCCGAGACAAGGCTATGAAGCGGCGGCAGTAGCTCAGTGAGTAGCGGGTGGTCACCCCCAATCGGCGTCAAGAACTCGCAAAGGTCCATCAACGCGAACCACTTGGTCACGAGTTCCGGCGGCGCGAACTGGGACGACTTGAGGTCGAGGATCTGGAATACCACCGAGGCCGCGTGGATAGCTTCGCTAAGCGCCGTCCTAACCCAATCCGCTGCGAATTCCTCCGTCGCCATCTGGGGGGCCTGGCACGAGGAGGATTTCGGCCCGCTCTGGGCGCGCACGCAGCAGTCTTGCAGAACGCCCATGTACGTAGGAGCGAGGGCGTTGAGCCGCGCCGAGACGTCGGTAGCCTGCTCGTCAAATCCGAAAGCGTCGAGCAGAATCCCGTCGCGTAAGCCGTCGAGATCAGAGCCTGCCCCCGAGTGCAGCAGCAGAGCGAGCAGGGAGTCGACCGCAGCGACGAAAAACCGGCGCTCGGAGAGGTACGTGTCCAGCAGGCGACCGCGGCGGGCGTGGTCACTTTCAAAATCAGCCCAGAGGGACTCGGCGTCGGCAGCAGCAGTAGCGGTGGTGTCGAGCAGCGCCATGACGGCCGAGGTCTGCCCGTCTCCCACGCCGGCGGCCTCCTGGATGTTGGCCACATCCTGGGCAGAAAGCGGACCTGTGAGGTGGTTGCGCGCGCGCGACTGGTACTCGATCAGCACGACACGCAGGGCCGCGACCTCGTTGATGTCGGCATGCTTGCTCAGCCACCGTGCATCATCCTTAAAGGTGTCGAGGCTGTAGGGGTCGGCGGGCGACGGCACGACGTTGATGGCGCCCGTCTTGGTCTCGAAGTCGAGCTTGGTTTGGTTTGTTGGTGGTGAAAACGTGGTGGATGGCTCTCGGAGGAGCTGGTGGACGTAGCCATCTCGGAGAAAGGCGGATAGGGCAGCGCTGTTGAGTTGGTCGCACGCCTGGCTCTCGAGAGCGATAGCGATGAGTCTCCACGAGCTACGTGATCATCTTGTTAGCAGGGACAACCTTAGACTCAATATTGGGAATATTGGGAGGGCTCAAATGAAAGACTCGACTGGAACGAATCGAGATAGCACCGGGAACAGACGCACAGGACGAGTCGGCCGCCGCTCAGGCACTCCTCGAGCGGCGGTAAGTAGGTTCTATCGGTCAGGGTGGCCATTGGCGGCGGGGATGTCCATCCGGGGCCGACCCGGTGCGCCGACGAGGGGTAGCGGGGGGAGAGTGCCGCAACGCCGCAGATTGGAGGTCGCTGAGGGAGTGTACGACAGAATGGGCGAGTCGTCTAGTGGAAGAAGTCGGCGTCGCGGTTCGTCAAGACGGATCGGACGCAATGCTGTGGGTATTTTCGAGGTCGACGCGGAGATCGATCAAATCGAAGATAGTATTGACCTGGGAAGCGGAAACTCTCCGTCCCATTCAAAAATGGGAGGTTGCAAAATGCAAACAGCGCTGTTTGGAAAGTACAAATTTACTTTGTATGGGAGCTATCAACTGCAGCACTGCTCGACGCGGTCTGCGACGCGGCTTCCACTTTTTCAGCCTAACGGCCCGGGACAGCTCCACTCGGCGGCTGCCAAGCATGGAGGGACGCTTTGGAGATCTCGACAAGCATTGTTTATCGATAAGAGCTTGCAGAACTGACCCCTGCGGGCCCTGCGTCAACACAGTAATTAAGGCCCCACTCAACCCTCCGGCGCCGCTCCGGCGCATGTTGGTGCTGACCTTCCAGCTGCGCCGGGCCGTGCCATGTGGATTTACACCCCGCTGACTTTTAGAACCCCTCCATCGGCGAGTTGCCCTGCGCTGAACTCGACTCGAAGCAGTCTGTGATCCATCGTGAAATGTACTTGAGCCCGAGCTGACATAAAACTTGCATACCCACCTTACCTAAATTTGCCAATACTTTTGCTTCCCTATCTCTGAGTCCCTCGACAATTTGCCCGCCGAGCACCTTGTTAGCGTGGCAGGCATAAGACGCGGCAACTCAGTGTCCGACTTTTTAAACTGTTCTGGGAACTCAATTAACTCCGTGACTCACCCCTTCTGCTTCATTACACTAGATCCTCACTTTTTTATTTTTACTTTTACTTAGTCCCTTGCTAAGCTTGACAACGGATCTACACCACACCACGGGAAAAAATACCTTGCAATCATCGCCTCGAATTCATTGGGCTCTGCCCGCCCTCCAACCCTCCGAACTCGGTCATCACACACTGCGATATTCACCACAGCCTACAACACAACACAACCATGCCGGCCACACCAGACATCATCGACCATTCCCCCCACCACCCTGACCCCTCGCCCCTTGTCCCAACGGCCACCAATCTTGTGCTGATCGACAACTACGACTCCTTCACCTGGAACGTCTACCAGTACCTCGTATTGGAGGGCGCCAATGTGACTGTGTTCCGCAACGACAAGATCTCGCTCGATGAGCTGATCGCCAAGAAGCCGACCCAGCTGGTCATCAGCCCCGGGCCAGGGCACCCGGGCACCGACTCGGGGGTCAGCCGCGATGCCATCAAGCACTTTGCCGGCAAGATCCCCATCTTTGGGGTGTGCATGGGGCAGTCAGTTCCCTTTTCCTTTTTCTCCCTAGAGCATGATGTGAGAAATTCTAGACCGTAAATAGAGACTGACTGGATGAACTAGACAATGCATCTTCGACGTCTACGGCGGGGAGGTGAGCTTCGCCGGCGAGATTTTACACGGCAAGACCTCGCCCCTGAGCCACGATGCCAAGGGCGTCTACGCCGGCCTGAACCAGGGCCTGCCCGTCACCCGCTACCACTCGCTGGCCGGCACCCACGTCACCCTCCCCGGCTGTCTCGAGGTCACCTCGTGGATTGCCAACGAGGACGGCTCCAAGGGCGTCATTATGGGCGTGCGCCACAAGGAGTACACCATCGAGGGCGTGCAGTTCCACCCCGAGAGCATCCTGTCTGCCGATGGCCGTGGCATGCTGCGGAACTTCTTGCGTCTGCAAGGAGGGACCTGGGCTGAGAACGAACGGCTGCAACAACAAACAGCTGCTGCAGCCGATCACGACGACAAGGCGAAAGGGGCCGCTACCCCGACTTCGAGCCTGCCTGAGCACACCAAGACCGGCGGCAGCAACAACATTCTCCAAAAAATCTACGCCCACCGAAGAGCCGCCGTGGCCGCCCAGAAAGAAATCCCCTCGCAGCGCCCGTCCGACCTGCAAGCGGCCTACGATCTGAACCTCGCGCCGCCGCAGATCTCGCTCATCGACCGCCTGCGCAACTCCCCCTTCGACGTGGCCCTGGCCGCCGAGATCAAGCGGGGGTCACCCTCCAAGGGCATCTTCGCCCTCGACATTGACGCGCCCACCCAGGCCCGCAAGTACGCCCTGGCCGGCGCCAGCGTCATCTCGGTGCTGACCGAGCCCGAGTGGTTCAAGGGTAGCATCGAGGACCTGCGGGCCGTGCGCCAGGTACTCGCCGGCATGCCCAATCGTCCGGCCGTGCTGCGCAAGGAGTTTATCTTTGAGGAGTACCAGATCCTCGAGGCGCGACTCGCCGGCGCCGACACCGTGCTCCTGATCGTCAAGATGCTCGCCCCCGACGTGCTCACGCGGCTGTACCAGTACTCGCTGTCCCTAGACATGGAGCCGCTGGTGGAAGTGCAGAACGCGGACGAGATGGCCGTCGCCATCCAGCTCGGCGCCAAGGTCATCGGCGTCAACAACCGCAATCTGGAGAACTTTGAGGTCGACCTCGGCACCACCGGCCGGTTGCGCAGCATGGTGCCCAAGGACACGTTCCTGCTCGCCCTCAGCGGCATCAACTCCCACCAGGACGTGCTCGACTGCAAGCGCGACGGCGTCAACGGAGTTCTAGTGGGTGAAGCCATCATGCGTGCCCCCGACGCATCCAAGTTCATCCGGGAACTCTGCGCCGGCCCAGACGCACCCGCACCCACCTCGAACCAAAACAACCCCCTCCTCGTCAAGATCTGCGGCACCCGCAGCGCCGAAGCCGCCACCGCAGCCATCCAAGCCGGCGCCGACCTCGTCGGCATGATCCTCGTCCCCGGAACAAAACGGTGCGTATCCCACGAAACCGCCCTCGCCATCTCCGAAGCCGTGCACGCCGCCCGTCAGACCACCACACCCACCCCCGACACCACCACGGATTTCCAAATCCCCCAAACAGCAACCGACTTCTTCACCCTCACCACCACCACCCTCCGCCACCGCACCCCCCTCCTAGTAGGCGTCTTCATGAACCAACCCCTCTCCGACGTCCTAGAAAAACAACGCCTCTACAACCTCGACCTCATCCAACTCCACGGCTCCGAACCCCTCGAATGGGCCTCCCTCATCCCCGTCCCGGTAATCCGCAAATTCAAACCGGGCCAAACCGGTCTCGGCGTGCGTGGATTACACGCCCTGCCGCTGTTGGATTCGGGCGCTGGGTCGGGGAAGACGCTTGATGCGGAGGCTGTGAAGAAGACGTTGGAGGGGGATGGGGAGTTGAGGGTTTTGTTGGCTGGGGGGTTGGAGCCGGGGAATGTGGCGGAGGCGGTTAAGGGGTTGGGGGAACTGGGGGGGAGGGTGGTCGGGGTTGATGTTAGTAGTGGGGTGGAGGTGGAGGGGAGGCAGAGTTTGGAGAGGATCGGGGAGTTTGTGAAGGCTGCTAAGGCTATTAGGTAGAAGAGGTCTTTTTGGGGTTCATGTGATGGGAACCTGATTTAAGAGTTGCTTTTGGTCTTGACTTGAGTTTGCTGGGGTGAGGATTTTCGAAAAGTTACTGCGTAGGAGCGAGATGGTTTCTAGCCAGTTGCTTGTTGTTCTCTTTTCGGAATCAACGAGTGGGTGAAGTAAGTAGCTCTGGTATCTGACTTTGAATCCAATTTCAAGACATATCAGTTCCCTAGTAGAACTCAACCTTTTAAAGCCAGAGACTCTCCATGAATTCAACCTCGTTCTCAACACAACCTTCTTTTCCGGCTGCATAGATTAGCCTTTCCAAAGGTTAGGGAAACGACGAGACAGTATTTCTTCCATTGCAGTTTTATTCGAAGCTGTTTCTGCCCAGCAATTTCCCCCATTCCTTGCTGAGCACCCCGTCCTGAGTAGTTTTCTTCCCTTTACCACATCTCTTCTTCTAGCCAGTTTCTCTCTCACCTCTAGGGTCTATTCGTTCTATTATCATTCCATTCGGTTTCTGGTGGCCACTTGCCCTTTCACCAGTCCGCCTTTTTCACCCATCTTGCCACACACACCTGCTCAATTCTTTTCTGAACAAATACATCTGCCAACTCCATCCTGTCGACTGCACCTACGAAAGATAATACAGGAACAAAACGCAGGCGAGATCACCAGAGCGGTGGGAATTCAAGTTAGACATTGGTATCGAGAGAATAAGGTCATCGATATATATACGATATCAGGTTGGTCCGTACGCACCAGCAGCCCTCTCTGCGGGGGATATACGAACGAGTAGGCTGACAAGTAGTGCAACAAGCATCAGACAACCGGGAAGAGGAGAACAAACCGAACCAAAAATCAGACACACACACGCATTCACACACCCAAGAAGCGACGATGCGCACCCGCAAAGAAAAACCCATCTTCCGCAACCTGACCATCACCGTAGCCGGCAGCCTCATCGACCCCAACGGCGACGGCAGCACCCAATGGACCGACATCAACATCGACCGCTGGGTGACGCTCCGCGGCGGCCGTTTTACCCGAGCCATGACCGACGACGTGACACATGTTGTGTGTACCGCCGAGGAGTTTGAGAGGAGGGGGTTGGTTGGTACGTCTTTTCCCTTCGCTTCTCTCTCCCATACATATCATGCCGGTTTGGTAAGGGGGCGTGTGCTGATGGAATGGATGGTATAGTCAAAGAAGCGCTCAAACGCCCCAAGACATGCCAAATTGTCACGCTGGATTGGCTGGAGGATTCAATGCATAAGCGGAAGCGCCTAGATGAGGAACCGTATTCGCATCTGAGGGCGCTGCGGCGGGCGAGGGAGAGGGAGAGGAAGAGGTTGATGGTGGTGAAGGGGTTGGAGAAGGCTGTTAAGCAGGTTAATCCTAGTGAGTCTTTCTTTTCTTTTGTTTTGTCTGCTGTTTACTCGCTTGTATTGAAGGGGAAGAGGTACACTGAAGGGGAAGGGAGAAGGACGGATGTGGCTAATCTGGTTTCTGCAGACCTGTATCATCTGTATCGCGACCATACGTTTTTCCAGTATGAGGTGGTGATTACCCGGGATGATGAGGAGGCGGGGATACTGGGGGAGAGGTACATTCTTTCGGTGAGTTATTCTTTTTCTTTCCCTTTTGAGCGGCTGGCTTGTTTACACTGCTACAAGATATCCGTCTCATAGCATCCCCTTCCACCAAATCAAGGACATCACAGTTGGCCATATTCCAGATACACATAAACATATTCTGTACCTTTGATCACTTAATGTAAGAACCCCCTTCCAGCAACAAACCCCAGCCGGTTTTACAACATCTGGCAGTTACGCCCCCTTTTGTTAACCACCATTTCTACCCCCCACTTTCGGGGCCTGCTCACTAACACTGACCCCAGCTCTTCGAATCCAACAACGCCAAACCCCGCCTCTACTGGTTCCTCGCCAAGTACTACAAGAAAAAAGGCGACACCCAAGCCAAGATCCACCGACCCAGCCATGCTCCGGGCCTGTTTGCCCGCGAGTTTGCCCTGTTTGAGTCCTTCTTCCGTATCAAGACGGGGATTCCCTGGGCGCAGCGTCTGCTGGGGGTAAAGGGTGGGGAGGAGAGGGAGAGGGTGTTCAGGTATCAGCCGCCGGTGAGTTTGCGTTTGGGTTTTATTTTTTGGGGTGGGTGTGAAAAGAAAGGGGGTGTGAGGGAGGATGGGGGGGGAACAGGAGAAATTGGCTAGGGTATGCTAACACATTTGATCAGACAGGCGGAAAACCTGTCGGTTGGGCCCCGGCTCAGTATATCCCAGCTGAGGAGATGACTGATGACTCGGTGGCTCCCCTTCCCGAGGGATCCAACAATCACACCGATCCGCAGGATGTGAAGATGGCTGGGACTGAGACTGAGATTAAGACTGAGACTGAGACTGCCCCCGCCACCGCTATACAACTCCCTGGTCTAGTCAAAACTGAGCACGACGGGCATGACATCAACGAGTCCAACGAGTCCAATGGATCCAACACGGATGTACCCACCACAGAAACCACAATAACTTCCGGCATCAGCACCCAACAAGTTTTCCCCTTCATTGCTCAGGAATCAACCCCGGCCCAGTATATCCCGGTCGAGGAAACGTCTGAAATCACTGCCTCTCTCCTTACCCTAGGATCTAACAATCACAACGACCCCCAGGATGCGGAGATGGCTGGTAGTGAGGCTGAGACTGAAACTGCCCGCGCCGCCACGATGGAACTTTCTAACCTAGTCAGAACTGAGCGTGGCGGGTATGATGCCAACGAGTCAGGCGCACACAACACGGATGTACCGGTCACAGAAATCACAACGACGCCTAGCATCAGCACCCAGGAGGAAGTCTCCCTCATCCCTCAGGAATCGACCCCGGCCCCGGCTTCAATTATGCCTTCGACTTCAACTCTACCTTCGACTTTACCCCCAGCGTCAACCTCGACTCCCTCTTCAGCTCCTCTCTAGTTTCAACTCCAGCATCGACTCAGGCTCCAGCGCCTGCGCAGCATCAAACACCCTCGCTCGTCATGGCCCCCGACGCCTCGCTTTAGGCGGGAGGTATCAATGCATTCTGCTAACTGGCAGCAGGACCCTAGACAGGGAGTGAAGCTGGATAGGAAAACCAGAATTAGCACAGTTAGCCCTTTAACATTTCTCTTTTATTTTTTTTTTTTTGTTATTTTGTACAGTAGCATTACCGAACGCCTCGCCTTTTCACAAGTCCGGGGAGGTGATGCGGCAGATGGCGTAGTTTTATCTTCATCGTTATCTTTGACGTCATGGGGGGCGGAAGAAAAGGAATCATCACGGGGAGGGGGCACCAAAAAGGAGGAAGAAAAGGGGAAACTTCAGTCGCTAGCGCAGCATACATTTCTCATGGTATCGTAGCCTGCTCCGACAGACACGAGGGACACTTTGCCTGGCCGTTATCATCATCACCATCCATTCATCATCGTTACGAGTTACAAGAATAGCAAACAAAATACACGCGCTGCTTTAACTAACTGACATCGAGGTATTCTTGTGATACAACCAAAAATAAATAAATAAAGTGATAACACAATGTCCCAATAGTAAACAACGGTTAAACTTCAATTCCAGCCTCCCACCGCACTCACACTAGTAGCCAGTATCCATAGGTATCCATAACAAATCAAAACCTCAACTTCGGCAAAACAAAAACCACCAAAACCAACACAACCATCAACCCATAAATAAAGCCATACAGCCTCAATCGTCCCCACCACCCCTCCCCCTCCGTCATCCTTGTCAACATCCCCATTTTGCGCGTAACCCCTTCCATATCCTGGCCGGTTTTACTCAGCCCGCGTCCCGCACGGTCGACTAATTCGCGGTCCTCTTCGAGCGAGGCGCTGAAGGCGTGGGAGGACTGTTTGAGTTCGGAGGCCAGGCGGAGGATGGAGGAGGAGAGGGCGTCTTGTTCGGCGCGTTGGTGGTCGAGGATGGCTTCGGTTGTGGAGATGGCTGTTGTGGGGGATCGAGTTGTTGTTGTTGGGGGTGAGGTTGGGGAGGTTGTTGGGGGGGTTGGTTGGGTGGTGTTGAGGAGGGAGGAGGTGGTGGATGCGCGGGTTGGTGGTGGGTGTGGATGAGATTGTGATGGTGAGTGGGATTGGGATTCTGGAGGGTTTTGGGATTGTGACTGGGCGTGAGGGGTGTGGCGAGGCCGGAGAGTTTGGGAGGTTACCGTGGTTTGTTCTTGTTGTGGTTCTCTATTCGGAGGATCGTCTGTCTTATCATCGAGCTGCGGTTGTGGTTGTGGTGGTGGGTGCGATGTTTGAGGCTCGCCCCTCGACTCCTGTGGTGCATCGGCAGACTGAGTCGACTCCAAGCTCTCGCTAGGAGTAGCGATAATATCAGCCAAAATATCCTCCCCATCAGACGTATCGTCGTCGTCGTCACGGCCGTCCTTATTCCCCTCCTCAAAACTCCGCCCGCTTCTGCTCCTCCCAGCCGCAGCAAACTCAGCCAGATCGCTCAGCCGCTCAGACAATTGGTCAAGAATCTCCTGCTTCTGCACCAAGTCGGTCTGAATGTCCTGGCGACGGGCGTGGATCTTGACGGTGAGAGCTTCCTGCTCGAGCTTCGTGAGGAGCGACCGCGCATATTGGACGTTCTACGAGCAGCGGCCTGTGTTAGCGCAATGGTTTTCTCAAATGGTGGTGGTGTGGTGTTGCGGGTGACCTACCGCTCGCGCCTTGTCCCTCTCAAACTCGCTGTCCCGCAAGCGCGCCTCGCGCTCGGCGTCGGCGTGGAGGATGGTGCGTTGTAGGCGAGTGAGCAGCAGGGTGAGGTCGGTCTGGGGGTCGGCGCCGCGGCGGGGGACTGGCGTTGCGGTGACGCCGTGGATTAGTCGAGCCATGGTAGGGGCTGTCGGTAGCCGGGAATACGTATGCGGTGCGTTGCGGTATGCTGCGATGTTGTGGATGCTGTCGGGTCGGACTGAGTGGATGGGTTTGGAATGAGGTTGTCACGAGTTGATGAAAGAGTACTGTGCGCAAACGACACTGTATGCGCCCCTGCACATTGAATCAAGCAGTTGACATGTGGCACGAGCTGGTCGTTGAGCACTGACATCACCCCCTGGACTGCTGTGCTGATTAGGGTTAGGGTTCAATGAGTCTCCAGAGCGATAAGAGAGCTATCCGTTCTGGGTAACCTTCAAGCTTCAATATCCTCAACGGCACAACACTACCCGGGCCTTTTCTCTTCTGGAATTTTCCTCTTCTTTTTCTCGCCACCTCGCTACACTCTCATTAGAGAGGTGTTATGGTTGCGTGATATCCATTCCTCGATCCACACACCATGAGGGCCGCATCCCGGGCATTGAGGCGGACACCCTCCCGCGCTCTCTCACTTGGCACAAGTCCGTTTCTCGCGACAAGAACATGGCCGGGCTCGGCTTGGGCCGGGAAATCAAGCTTTCCTTCATGTGTGCAATCTAGGACCGGGCTCAGGATTGCAGCATCACAGCAGAGGCAATTTTCCACCCCGACAAATTCTGGAAGCTCAGGGAGCTCAGGAAGTGAGAACCCCGCGCTCAGCGATGATGACCTCTCTGGGGAGCGGAAATGGTCGACACCCTTAGCGAAGCAACTAGGGGCCGCCATCCAGGTGGGTGCTGGCTCTTTTAACCGTTTCTCTCTCCTACTACCCTTATATCCCGCTCAGCCCATAAACACCTACACTCGCATTCCACTAAGCTAACCGTGATTTAGACCACTGGCCCTGTGCCCTTAGCCAGCTACATGCGCATGTGCCTGACGGCCGACATTGGCGGCTACTACACCGGCGCATTGGAAGAGGGCCGGGACCAGTTCGGCCTAAAGGGCGATTTCGTGACTTCTCCCGAGATTTCCCAGGTGTTTGGCGAGCTCTGCGGCATCTGGTATGTGGCCGAGTGGATGGCCCAGGGCCGCCGGAGTCAGGGGGTCGAGCTGATTGAGGTCGGCCCCGGTCGTGGCACTCTGATGGACGATATGCTGCGGGTGAGTGAGATTTTCGATGCTTTTTCGAGACGGGCCGAAAAGAAAGACGGAAAGAAGTCACGAGACGAGAGGCCAGGAAAAAGACGGCAGACTGACACTCGGCAGACTATCCAGCGATTCCCGGACATGGCCAACAGTATCGACGCCATCTACATGGTCGAGGCCAGCGCGGAGTTAAGGATGGCGCAAAAGAACCTGCTCTGCGGCGAGGATGCCCCCATGAGCGAGTCCAAGGTCGGCTACCACAGCGTATGCAAACACAGCGCTCTGCCCATTGTTTGGACCGAGACTATCAAGTCCATCCCTGTTGGTTCGTCACCTCAACCCCCCTTTCCCCGTAATCTACCATCTCGTGATAACAACCTGACCGTCTCTCTCTAGCCCCCGAGAAAACACCATTTATCATGGCCCACGAGTTCTTCGACGCCCTCCCAATCCACGCCTTCGAGCTCGTCTCCGTCCCACCCACGCAAACCACCGCCCGCACCCCAACCGATACCTCCTCCCCATCCTCCAAAACCTCCCACCCCACCCTCCAATGGCGCGAGCTCATGGTCTCCCCCACCCCCCCAGGCTCAACCCACGCCTCCCTGCGCACCCCAACCTCCCAATCCCACGACACCCCACCCCCCGACTTCCAACTCACCCTCGCCAAAGCCCCGACCCGGCACGCCCTCTACCTCCCCGAATCCTCCCCGCGCTACCGCTCCCTCAAAACCACCGTCGGCCCCGGCGCCCTCCTGGAAATCTGTCCCGACGCCGCCCTCTACGCAGCCGACTTCGCCTCCCGCATCGGCGGCTCCCCGCAACACCCCAAACCCCAGCCCTCCGGCGCAGCCCTAATCCTCGACTACGGTCCCGGGGACGGGACCATCCCGACCAACTCGCTGCGGGGTATCAGCCGCCACCGCCGTGTCAGTCCCTTCGCCGAGCCGGGGCTGACTGACTTGTCGGCCGACGTGGATTTTGCTGCGTTGGCGGAGTCTGCTACGCGCGCGAGTGAGGGGGTGGAGGTGCATGGGCCGGTGGCGCAGGCGGACTTTCTGGAGTTGATGGGGATTCGGGAACGGGTTGAGATGCTTGCTCGTGCGATGCGGGATGCTTCTTCTGGCACGGTGGCAGGAACAACACAAGAAGACGTCACCAAAGCAGTGGAAGACGTGAAGAAGGCCTGGGGCCGTCTGGTCGATCGCGGGCCGAACGGGATGGGCAAGATCTACAAGGCGCTGGCTATCTTACCGGAGAACGGAGGACGCCGGCGGCCGGTTGGGTTTGGAGGGGATGTTGTGGGGGCTTGATCGTGCATTACGCTCGAAGGTGGGAAGACGGTGAACTTCAGGAGGCGAAAGTGAAGGGGGGTTAGAATGTGTTGGCCGATGAATCTATTTGTACAGTACGGCCGTGGGTGCGCATGGACATAGACGACCCTAACCCTGATTCTCGAATGAGCGAGAAACGGTGCTCGCTCTCAAAACGACATTTCGAGGTCAATACAGCAGCAGATTATGGGAAATACACCCTAAAAAAGCTTGGCCGTATACCTTCTATATAGGCCGCCGTATCTAATAAGTCTTTCTACCAGTTTACTTTGTATTCGTGTGCTGCCGCTGTGTTTTAGGGGCGTGTTCGACGTTCAAACTCGAGGTTTGGCCGAGTTGACTAAGGCGCTACGTTATGGTGCAGGGGTATGAGCTGCACGTACAACCCTAACCCTTGATAATAGAATGCATCAGAAACGTTGGCCAGCTCTCAATACGACCTTCCCGGGACGTTATAGCGACACATTATGGGAAATACACCCTAAGAAGCCTTGGGCGTATACTTTTGATACAGGCTGCTATATCTAAGAACTTTTGTTGCCAGTTTCTGTTATTTTCGCGTGCTGCTGCTGTGTTATACGGGCCTGATCGACGTCCAAACTCGAGGTTTGGCCGAGTGGTCGGAGGCGCCGTGTTATGGTACAGGGGTATAAGCTGCATATATAACCCTAACCCTTGATTATAGAATAGGAGAAGTTGGTATGTTAGAAAAGTTGCTCGAGGAGGTAGCAAGGGACAACCTAGATCAAGACCACAAGCTAAACAACCTCATAGTTCGCAAGACAGAAACCAAACTGAACCAGCGATGCGATAGTGGTTACGGCCATGATTGATGTAACATCATGTATTACCGAACTATGTACACCTCCGCTCTAACACACACAGTCCACCGATACGGATACCCTGTAAGACGGAAACAATGAGACGGCAATCCAAACGAGAAAAACATTATCCGCCAAAAAAAAAAAAACGCCATCCTCCGCTATAGTGATAATATACACAAGACCACGCCCAGTCCTGCTTTCTTGTCCTCCCGAGTTATCAATAATCTCTTTCCCACCCCATCCGCTTCGACCTCTTTCTTTGAGACCTTCTATACACACCTCCTCCCTTCTTACCGCTATCAACCCAACACCCCCCCTTTCACCGCCCCACATCATCCCCTCCCCCCCACCTTCACAATCCCAACACCTACTTTTTCCCCTTAACCATCTGCGCCGACTCCTCCTCACTATCATCCTCCTCCTCATCATCATCGTCATCATCATCGTCATCATCCGACTCCCCCGACCCCGACTCCTCCTCATCAGAAAACTTCCCATCATCTCCCACAGCAAATATCGTCTCCCCGTTATCCAGCGACGCCCTCGCCGGTTGCGAAGACGACGCCGCTGCACCGGCGGCGGCACCGGCAGCGGCACCGGCGGCAGCCACTGAGAAGCCGCGCGACTGTGATTGCGACCCGCTTTGGTTTTCGAAGCCGGGTAATGTGCTCCCCGTCTGCTTCTTGTTACCGCCAATTCTAGCCTCCTCATCTTCGTCATCCGACTCGTCCGGATTGCCAATATCGAGGTTAGCAATCTCAAACGTGCCATCGTCGTCCTGAGCAATCTCATCACTCATGGCGAAACGGCGATTATTGGCCGTGGGCCGCCAGACGTATGCGATGAAGGCGACATCGCCAAAGTAGACAATGTTGAGCCAGCCGTCGAGGACGAACCAGCGGGTCTTCCAGTGGAAGGGGACGAAGTCCGGGTCGCGCGCCGAGGCGAAGGTGAAGGAGTTGAAGAAGAAGAAGGCGAAGATGACGAGGATGGAGATGAGGATGCACCACCATAGTTTGCGGTACATGGCCTCTTTGACGTGCTGTTTGCGCTCGCGGAGGTCCTTGAGCGTCCAGCTGAGGGAGTTAAGGGTCCAGACGTAGAAGGCTGTCAGCGTGCCGGCTAAGGGGAAGACGATGAGGAGGACGAAGGGGCCGGCGGTATCCGGGTTGACTACGAGACTGGTGATGGCGTAGACGATACCGAAGACGAAGTGGGCGATGGCGAGCCACCGGACGTAGATCATGGTACGGCCGAGGGTCGGCTTGACCACGCCGTAGCCCATGCAGACGATTAGGAGGAGGAAGAAGGAAAAGGAGTTGCGGGCCGCGTTAAGGATGGCGACGATGACGAGCAGGACTTGAGATCCCACATTGGATCCGTTCCTATTGAGGTAGTCTGGGGGTTGTTAGTGACGGTGGTCTTTCGGGGGGGGAAAAGGGGCTAGAGAAAAAAGGGGGTTAGGGTTAGGCTAGACATACCGTAGAAGCCCCAAGTCATGAGCATCTCAATGACCAAGAAAATGAGAATGGCCGTGATATAGTTTTGCACGGCCACTATTCCAGATTAACATGCTATCCCACAACGGGAGGGGGGAAAAGACGGATGTGCTTACGTATGTCGGACCTGTGTTGGAAGTACAAAAACCCCCAGAACCTGCCATGTTCGTCAGCTCACAACTCACACAACCCTGACGGTAGTCCGGAAAGGTGCCTCTAGGATACGCACACTGAAACCAGAGCATATGCAAGCGTGATGCCGCCGTAGAAGGGCAGCTTGGGGATCTGCGTAGCCGGAAGCTCGCCGTACGCGTTGCGGAACTCGATAATGGCCTCGTAGTTGGTGGCGTCGAACTTCTCAGTGACGACGCAGAAGTAGCCGGTCTTGGCGATGGGGTACTTGATGGGCTTCGAGTCCTTGAGGTGGACGGCCTCGGTCAAGATGACGTTGACGGATTGCTCGGTGGCGTTAGGGGCCACGAGGAACTTGCCAATGTCGGTCTGGTTGCAGTATCCGGCATCGACGAACTCGGGCTGGCAGATGGCGGCCCGGTCAGCGCCGTCGGGCAGCACGTCGAGGAAGCTCTGGTCCATCCAGTCGAAGATGAGCAGGCTGACTACCGGGTCGTCGCCCCCGTCCTTACCGACGCCGGTGAACTTGACGTGGATGAAGGGGTCGACGGGACCGCCCCATGAGCTTTTGCTATACATGCCTGTGTAGTGTCAGAGGTGTTTGCGAGGCGTAGGGCTGAAGCCGGGCAGGGAGGACAAACCGGCACATCGTTGGTTATCGTCTTGATCCTGATGCGCATCTCGTATTAGCCGGCTGCTTGACGCAGTAGCGGGGACACCAGCAACATAATTACAAGCTTGACTTCCAATGCCGCTGCTGTCCACGCGGACAGCAGTAAGGCAAGGAGAAACCCTGCCCAGCGCCTCATATTCAACAATGTGTGGAGGCCCTCCTCTGCGACTTATATAGTGATATGTGCTGTCGTATATGAAGCTAGCAAGGCGTTGATGCTGCGGCGAGTGAGCTTGGTCAATCAGACGACGAACAAGCTCAGGGCTGGCCAGCGGCAAGACGGGGAGGGGCGGCCCCGGTCAATTCCGATGCGATGGCTGTCGAATTCGTTGAATCCGTCGAGCCCGTCATGCGTGTGTGGCTTCTTTTCTCTCGTTGCTTGGCTCTCGTTCTCGCTCCCCCTTTTGCGGTGCGGTCGCGGGGCAGACGTCGGCGGTTTGACGGGGCAATCAAGATAGCCAAGGTTTCTTATGTAGGGACCGTGACGCTGGATTCGAAGTAGGCGTCGGGGTTTGGAATCAGGGTCGGGAGTGAGGATAGTTCAAAGCTTCGACGTTCTGTGCTTCGGCTCCGTGCTTCCCACCTCCAACCTGGAACTGCGACGGCCCAGCTCTTGGCGGGACCTTCCCTGACCCACTAATGCCGGCTGCGCCGTATGAAACGCGTCAACGGGCGATCGCGCACTGTGGCCCTGGGCAGCTGCGATAAGATAAGGTAAGGCTGGCGGCATTCGTTCCTTTCAGAACATCATGCATTTTATTCCAGAATCTTGGGCCAATTCAACATTTTACACTCCATTTTACATTTCCTCGTTTTTGAACCCACTGATCCGACCGGTCGCTCTCCTCTCTCCTCCTTTTACCAACCTATTATCGAATCCCGCCGGCGGGACGCCTGCACACCAGCGACAATGGGCAAGGGCACCGACAAACTCTACATCACGCACTCGGAGTGGTCGTCATCGGACGCCTACAGTGCTAGCGTTGGCTCCAATGCGCGCTCTCGCGGTGATGGGACAACATACGCGAGCTTCAAGCGACTCCCCTTCAATTTCTGCGCCGCCAGCCTCCAGCCTTTCAAGAACCCGGTCTGCACCCCTAGCGGCACCATATTCGACGTCGAAGTCATCAGCGCGTGGCTGGACAAGAACAAGACCAACCCCGTCGACGGCGAGCCGCTCGCGGCCAAGGACCTGATTCGCCTCAACTTTTCGCGCAACGCCGACACGAGCGCTGCGGGGGCCGACGACACGGACGCCAGCGGCGACTTCATCGACCCCGTCACCTTCAAGGTGCTCACCGACAACACGCACATCGTGGCCGTCCGCCACGGCGCCTACGCCAACGTCTTCGCGTGGGATACCGTCGAGCGCATGAACATCAAGACCAAGATGTGGCGAGACCTGCTCGACGACGCCGAGTTCACGCGCAAGGACATCATCACCCTGCAGGACCCGCAAAACGCAGCTAGCCGCGACCTCAGCCAGTTCCAACACCTGAAGGACGGAGGGGACGCGCTCCCCACAAAAGAGCACAAGGAACAGCGCGAGCAGGGCAACATCAACATCGGCGCGCTCGGTCGGATAGGGGACAAGGTGCTCCGCGCTAAGGAGGCCGTCGAGCGCGCGCGCCAGGCCCGCGCAACCGGCACCGACGTCAATCGCACCGCCAAGTCAGCGTCCGCAGGCACCAACACCACGCGCGCACCTTACCAATCCGCAATTGTTGAGAAGAAGAAACTAGCCCCCAACGCGGCGGCCTACACCACCGGCCAGGCAGCCGCGTCCTTCACCTCCACAGGCCTCACCCCCTCCACATCAGGCGAGCGCGCAATACTGTCCGACGAAGAATGGATGCTAGTCCCACGGCGCATCAAACACAAGGGCTACGCGCGACTAGACACAAACCTCGGCCCACTAACCGTCGAGCTACACACCGACACAGCACCCAAAGCAGTCTGGAACTTCCTCCGGCTCGCAGAGAAGGGCTACTACCGCGGCGTATCCTTCCACCGCAACATCCGCAACTTCATGATCCAAGGCGGCGACCCAACCGGCACCGGCCGCGGCGGACAAAGCATATGGGGACGCACCTTCGCCGACGAGCTCGAGGGCCCACACGTGCACGACACCCGCGGCGTTCTAAGCATGGCCAACAAAGGCCGCAACACCAACTCATCGCAATTCTTCATCACCTACCGCCCGGCCAAGCACCTCGACCGCAAGCACACCGTCTTCGGCCGCGTGGTCACCGCCGCCGATGGGGATGCCTCGACCGGCCAGAATAACACCACCACCCTCAATCGCATGGAAGCCGTGCCCGTGGAGGAAAACACCAACCGGCCGCTGCAGGATATCACGATCCAAGACATCGTCGTGCTGATTGATCCGTTTGCCGAGTTCCTCAAGGATAAGAAATCCAAAGAAGATGATGCCCAAGCGCAGGAGGAAATCAAGCGGCGCGGCGGGACGGAGGATGATCGCACGACGTGGACGGGAAAGCGGTTGCGGGATGATCAGGGGAATTCGCTGGGAAGGGGGGATAGCGATGGGGGGGTGGGGAGGTATTTGAAGATTGCGCAGCAGCAGGGGACGGAAGGGAAAGGGGCGTCAACGGCGTCGACGGGGCAGGGGAGGATAGAGACGTGGGAGGAGGAGCAGGCGCCGGCGAAGAAGAGGGCTAAGACGGGGGGTGGGTTTGGTAATTTTGATGGTTGGTAGGGGTCGATGACAGCAGACAACGAACACACACGAATTGAAGCATTGGCAGGCGTTTTGGGAAAGGCGGCTCCTTGTGCGAGTTGGGGCTCGGATGGTAATTTGGGCGGTTGTATATTTCAGCGGTCGGGTTGACGACGCATTGTTCATTCACTGAGCTGCAAGCTGCTAAGTATGAAGACGTAGTATCACACAGGATGACATCAGTGGACATATCTTCATTGGACACACCCCAGCTTATATATGTTCATATATAATAAAGTAAATAAATAAATAAATGTACGGCCTGATCACGCACTAAAGAAATCGGCCTCAAAAGCAAGGCTCAAACAACCCCCGGATATGTTGTCCTGATCCGACTCCCCGGCCGTCCGAACCGTTGTATTTCCGTTCCGTTCCTGTCCCAAGTGGTATCACGAATCCTCTAGTTCCTTGGCCAGGTGTATCCTTTCCTTCCTTTTTCCCCTTCCCTTGTAAATCCAGCACCAGTTTGCCTTGATTCGGGTATATATATCCCCCTCACCCCTTTGGTTGATTGTTGTTGTTGTTCTTGTTGTTCATGTCAAGATTGGTGTGAACGTCGTGCGTTGTGTTGTCGTTGATCCCTCCCATTGTCCCGTCCAGTGCCTGTGTCCATCCTTGGAGAAGGGGAAACATCATACCGCTGGGATATATACCGGTGAAACAGCAGAAACAGCAGCCATATCAATCCCACTGATCCCAACTTCAAGATCCCCAGTACCAATATCATCACCAAGACCAAGACCCACACCAACAGCCCCATCCAAACCCGGATCAACAACCACACCCTCATCCCCAGGCACAGTTATACTAGGCATTGTTATACCCTGTGTAGCACCTACATCCCCCTCCCTCGCCGCCCGCCGTTCCAACAACCCCGCCACAACATCCGCCTGCCTAATCCCCGTCTCCATATACAGCGTCCGCATCCTCTCAATAACATACGCCCTTCTCGCCGCGCCACACACCGACGACATCCCGCCCACATACATTGGCCACACCAGCGTGCTGGTTGCTGAGACGAGGAGCATGTACCGCTCTGCTTCTTCGGTGGCGTTGGCGTTGCCTGTTATGTCGTCTTCTTTGACGCCGTTGTCTTCGAGGGAGTCACCCGTAAGGGGTGAGGAGGGGGTTAGAGAGGAGTTGCCGGTTACGTCGAGCATGGTTAGGCCGCGGGAGTGGGGTGGTGGGGCATTTTGGATTGGGGTGGTGATGGGGCTGCTGGTGGTGTTGGATGGCGAGGTTGGAGGGGACGGGGTCATGCGGATTTCGACTGTGGAGAGGGGGGATGTGGCGGGTTTGTTGTTGTTGATATCGTGAGGATCGTCGTTGCCGTGGGTGACTTCCATTCGACTATCGATGCTGCCGACGGGCGGTGTGGTGATGAGACCTAGCTGCTGGGGCACGCTGGCGATGATATCGGACAAAATATGCTCCAGCTTCCGCTGGGATGTGCGATGCACCTCGAGATACTGGGCAGCGTCAAGAGTCGGCGCGGGCCCGTGGAGGTCGCGAGTGATGACGGTGATGACGGTCTCGAGAATGAGGATGCGGGTGCAGTGGATGTGGTTCCAGGCGTCGGCGTGCTGGATCGACGGGTAGAGGTGGTACACGTCGCCGTAGACGGCCGGGTGGTATTGCGGCTGCTGTTGCTGCGGGAGGCGGAACGCGCGGTAGTGCCACGACGGCGAGAGACCCGCGATCATGGTCTCGATATCGTGGTCGATGGCTAGGCTGCGGCTCACTATGGTGGCCGGGTCCGTTAAGAAACCGCTCTTGATCTCGGTGCGCAGCTGCAGCACCTTCATCTTGAGGGGCAGCAGGCGCTCCTCGGCGTTCTCGCTCCCGGCCGGCGACGCGCGCACCATGTCGTCCCATAGCTCGATGAGCGAGTCCGGCATGGGCACGTTCCGCTGAGCGCAGCTGACGACAACACGCTGACACAACATGCTGAACATCTTGCGCCCGGCTGCGGTGCGGAACTGGGCCGGCCCCCGCATGCGCGCCAGGGCCATGGCGCCGTTGACGTGTTCCTGGAACGCCTCGATCGTCGTCGTCGTGCGCGGCGTGTTCTCCGACATCATCTCGAAGACCCCCAGGATCAGCACCGATAGCATCGTGCTGTCCTTGACCGCGTCGGCGGGGTCCTGCAGCGCGCGGTTCGTCAGATGGAGCGCAGTGCCGTACGACTTGCGCGCCGCGTCCATCAGGTGCGGCAGCTGCGCGGTGCTCGCCAACCCCATGAGGCCCACGGCGGTCATGCTGGCCAGCACGACATCGACGTGGCAATCCACCTTCGGGGACGACGGCTTCCAGACGTCCCGGATGAAGTCGAACCGCTGGTGGGACACCGTCTCGTCCGCCGTGACATAGCGCGAGAAGAAGTAGGCGAACCCTTGTTCCTGACATGTTGGTGGGAGGGTGTACAACTGGGCCACCGGTGGTGAGCCCGGCCAGCTCCCCGAGTCAGGCGACATGAGACTGCTGCTATCATCGTTCTGGTACGGGATGATCCCCCAGCCGCCAGCCGAGCTGCTGCTGATGGTCACGGACCCAGGCGTGGGAGGCACAACTAGCGACAGCCGCGCGCGGGGCTCGGGCGTGACCGATGCCCGCCCTTCTGATCCCGATGGAGTAGATACTGGGCTTGCGATGGCGCCCTTCGACTTCCTACGGGCCCTCGCTTTGGCCTTCTTGATGACATGGAGACTCTCGTCGCGGAACATGAGGTCGGTGATGTTCCGGTAGCCGGGGCATGTCTCCTGTCTCTTGATGCATTGGCCGCATCCTGGCGCTTTCTGGTCGCACTGCGAGGTGTGTTAGAGTGAAAAGGAAGAAAGAGAGAAAACCTCCCCCCCCAAAAAGGGGAAGAAGACGGGAAAAGAAGAATAGCAATCACAAACGCCCAAAAAGAAGCAAAAGAAAAAGAAGCCCGGCAAACTTACCCGAATCTTGCGGCCCCGACAGTTGGAGCATCCCTTACTGGGCCGCCCGCAGTACACCATTGTGCGCCGAGTGCCTTAGTGAGCGATGAAGCCCAACGCCCAAACGCCAAAATTCCCAACGCGGTATCGAGCCCGAGGAGGACGGACGACAGATGACGGCCGCCACAACACAAGAACAGGCGGGCCGCAAAGCTTAGCCCAGGGCCTCGTCCACTTTTTTGCGTTGCGAGCGTTTGGAAATGTGGAGATCGTCTTGATTCCTTTGACCTGGACGACCCGGGGTTTGCCGGCCGTTGATAGTGTAGTGTAGCCGGTTCGTGGGCTGACTGACGTAAGAGAAAGAAAGGCTAGTGAGAATACTGACAATAGTGTAGTTACACTACACACAAGGACCCGGAGAACGTGAGTGAGGTGAACGAGAGACTGTTGAAAGCCTTGAGAAGTGCCCGTGAGAGAGCCTGGCTGAGAGCTAACTAGCCAGCTTCTTCGTGGAGCTCCCGTCTCGAGGCGTCCTGCTGTCAACTTAAAAGACAGGCGGGAGCCGTCGTAGATATCATCGCCCAGCGCGGCGTCTAGTCGTCCCGCGTGCTGCGTGCTCTGCGCGGTGTGGGTTCTCCTGAACCGGTTCTCCTGGATCGTTTCCCCGGCTGAGGTCGTACCGGGTAGGGCTCAATCCTGGCCCTGCCCCCCGGCTGGGTGCAACTCAGTCCTAGTTGATGGTGCTGTGGTTGTGTGGGACGTTGAAGAACAAGCCCCCGCCGAGCGACCGATTGGAGACGGGCTCGAGACGGCGAAATATCCAGAACACAGCCGCTTCTCGGGTTCGGGACCCCACAGCCTGTCGTCGACGTTACTCAGGTACTTGATGCTCCCGCGGCTGGTCCCCTGGCTGGTCCCTGGCTGGTGGCCGTTGCTTGATGCCTAGACACACTGCGGAATCCATGGCGGAGAGGGATGGGCAGGCTTTTTAGGCCCTTTGCCGGGTCTGGCGCGTGGAGTGTGGTGGACGGTGGTCCATGTACCTGCCTACCGCGACTCCACTCGTCGATGGGATCTGGACAGGGGTATTGCCTCTTTGGGAAACCTGTGCGAAGGCATTTTCCATGCAACCAGGAGATTGGCGTGTCTTGGCGAGGCTCCCACCAGCTCCAGCTCCAGGGACTGTGGCTCGTCTGGAAAGCTTAATTCGCATCGGCGCGCTTGTGATTCGTCCATCGTGTTGAATGGGACCACAGTCTGGGGACTTCACCCCACATCCCGGTCATGGTCATGGTTGGCCACGCCCACGAGCCACCGTCCCACTGTCCCACTCTCCCACTTCAAACATGACAGCAAGCAAGCAATCAATGGCAGGGTGGCATGGCCCCATCACGGCGATTGTTCGAAAGCACCTTCCATCTCGACTCCGATGAGGGTTGCTTGCTGACTGTCGTACAGCATATCTTGAGGAGGAACGCGGGGGCGCGCTGCCCAATGGTTGTGGAGATGGTCCTCGATCTCGCAAAGCCATGAACTGTGATACATTCCGGTTCACACCTCGGAGGACCTCAGGCCCGGCTTCGAACTGGCCCAGCGAGCCGATCGCTTCATTATCCTAGCCACCGACACGGCACGGGTTGTTGTCCCAAAGTTCCAAGCGTCGGGTGTCGTCAAGAAATAATTTGTGATCCGTGAGTCCTAGAAATTGCGGGCCGGTTGTGATGTCGATGGGTTGCGTGAAATTGTTCCCAGGCCCAAGCCACGAAAATACTCTAAAATTGACCTGTGTGATGTTGCTCGATGCGGCGCACAGCCAGGCGCTAGCCCTGGAACGGAACTAGGGCAGCAGAAAGAAGACCGCCCAGAATAGCCGCGCCCCCAAAGTTCGAGAACTTCTTGCAGCAACACCGACCGATTGGAATATCAAGAGAAAAGTTAAAAAGCAGTGCCCCATTACCCCGCTCGGCGCTTCTTGAGGGATAAACGAAAAGGGAGACCCGAGAAAAGAAGCCACGACCGTCACACCAGGGCCGGGCCAGGTTTCCGTATGTGGGTACAGTCTCCCCCGCCTCAGATCCGTACCTATCGTTGTGAGAAGTCCTAGACTCGACTGCACAGTAACATTGAAGTTCCCGTCATCCCACACCTCGACAATCCGCGCCGAGACAGGTCAAGCCGGAGGCATTCGGAAGCCGACCATGACGAGGTATCTCCCGCTCCAAAATCCTCCCGAGAAAAGAAAAGAAGTACGGGACTCGTGATGTGGGAGTAATGCTCGGGTTATTTCTTCGTCTATTCTACCTTGAAAATGTACTCCTTGTTCAACTTTATTTGTTCGGGTATACACGTGGAATACACATGCGTCCAGGCACAGTGTTTCACACCACTTGGTAGCATCTTCAGATTGGCGGGCCGGGTCCAGCAGTTCAGCCCTACGGATATCAGTCTGGTAAAGTTAGCTTGCTCATGACTGGTGCAACTGCGAGCTGCAGTGTCGAGACGGACGGCTAAAGGCTGTGTCACTTGCATCTCCAGAGCCCTACGGATACCGCTGCAATAAAATGCACATTAACCCCTAACCCTGGGGCATGCGAGCCAGTACGGACCCCGCAATGTTCGTTGAGTAACCCCACCATCCCGAAAGGGAACATTTCCCATAAACTTTCTATCGAGATTGAAACCACCAGCCTTATTACGCAGGGAGAGTAATTTCTGAGCTCTTAGGAATAGAGCTCAGGGCATACCTCCGTCGCCATGCCCGTGAGGTTCCCCGATTCCCTCTCAATTCCCATACTATTACCCCCCCCGCGATTGACCACACTCAATCACTAACTTGAACCCCCTAGCTCATCATCATCACCGGCCTCCCGACCTCCGGCAAAACCACCCGCGCCCGCCAACTCCACGCCTACCTCTCCTCCCGCCTCGCCGCGACCAGCCAACAACAACAACAGTCACAATCCCAACCCCCTCCAACCCCCCAATACCGCCTACACCTAATCTCCGACCCCTCCCTCTCCATCTCCCGCACAGTCTACGACCTCTCGCCCACCCAACTCCCCGCGCACGTGCGGTCAGCCAACGCATCCGAAAAGGACGCGCGCGCAGCCATCTACGCGGCCGTCAAACGCGTGCTCTCGCCCCGCGACATTGTCATTCTCGACGGACTGAACTACATCAAGGGGTGGCGGTATCAGCTGTTTTGCGAGGCGAAAAATGTCCGCACGGCGTGTTGTGTGTTGCAGATTGGGTGTGGGAGGGAGAGGGCTAGGGGGGTTAATGAGGCGCGGTTGGCGAGAAGGGGGGTGGATGGGGGGGAAGCTGTGGGAGATAAGGGAGAAAGGGGTGATGAGGTGAAAGCTGCACCGGGACAAGAACTAGCACCAGAATCAGAACCAGAACCCACAGCAGAGACCCCCGCAGTAGTCGCGGGCAACGACACCACCAACGACGAAGATGACAACGACGACGAAGAACCCTACACCCCCTCCAACTGGGAAAACCTCGTCTTCCGCTACGAAGAGCCCAACCCCATGACGCGCTGGGACTCCCCCCTCTTCACCCTAATCTGGGAAGACGACGACGCCCAAACCCAACAAGTCTTCGACAAGATCTGGGACACCATTGCCGGCGACAACCGCAAGGCTGTCAAACCCAACCAATCGACCGTCCAGCGCGACAAGGACCCTGGCGGGGACTATCTTTATATACTAGAGCGCGAGACGCAGGATATTGTGAAGAGGATTCTTGAGAGGCAGGCTGATGAGGGTGAAGGTGGGGAGGTCACGCTTCCCCGCGTGAATGGTGCCGCCGCCGCTGGTAGTGCTGGGGGGGAGGATTTGGTGGTTGAGTTGCCTGGGAAGAAGGTCGGGTTGCCGCAGCTGCAGCGGTATCGTCGGGCGTTCGTGGCGTTGAATCGAGGCGGGATTGGGTTGGAGGCTGTGGGGAAATTGGCTGCGGAGCGGTTGAGGGAGAGTTTTGTCGGGTATTTAAATGATGCTTTTGAGAAGGACGGTTGAAGGGGGGGGCTTATTACAGCATAAACGTGACCGGCGCTGGACTGTCGAGGGAAGCTTCCACAACCCTAGCACCCTGTCCGACTGACAACGGCTTGTGGTAAAAAACGAAAACTTGAAATCGAGGGCGTTCTCCTCGGCCAGGGCATTGAGAAACAGCAAGCACAGCGAACCACATGCCAAACTCGGCCCTAGTCCACCGGCACCAGTCGCCGAAAAGGAACAGAAATAGCCACCACAGACCCACCAACTCTGGACCCCGAGCCGTGGGATGCCAACGCGGCAATACCGCACTGAGTGTCCTGCTCAACGCTCTTATCTTGGAGCGACCGCTGGATACTCGCTGGATACCCCCCCTTGGCTCACGGTACCTGCCTGGAAGGATAAATGCGAGATATATTAGCAGGAAAGGGATTTAGCTGAAAACCGAACGAAGTAGAATTGATATGAGGGCTAGCAAGTTGAACTGCTCGTCCTTTTTGGAATGAACTTGCCGCGACAAAGTCAGATAGGTAACGCTACTAGCACAATATACCCCGGAAATCTACAATACCCAATCTACACACTCATACCTCCTCCACACACAAGCAAGACCGTCATAGAACGTGGGAAGAACGCCGATATGTACAATTATCACAAACCGAGTAACGTATCAAACCCAACCAAGAACCAAGAAAAAGGTCTGGCCTAAAACCACGAACCCCTGAACAGGCAGGCAACCTAGTGTAGACAAACAGAGCCGGAGAAAAAGCCCCCTTTTCCACCTTCCCCCCTCCCCGCCCCCCCCCTCACAAATCTACTACTACTACAAAAGAAGGCAAGGTAGGGAGGGTAAGGGGCCGACGCAACAAACATACATACATACATACACTTCCACACACACTCGCTCATCTCATCAATCTAATAAACAGACAATTCCCTTACTTTCTACTACTTTCAGTCCTCCGGCTCTGTGTCGGTGTTGGTGGCACTGGTATCATCGTCCTCGTCGTCTGTCCCGCTCTCTTCGTCTGAGCTGTCCTCATCCTTCTTGCTTGGTTTCCTTGTCTTTGGTTGCCCGCCCTTGGCGGCGTGCATGATGCCCGCGATGGAGTCTGATTGTATTGGTTAGTATCCTGTATATGAGGAAAGGGAGTGTAAGAGAGAGAAAAAAAACTCACCCTCTTCCGGCTCACTAATCTCGTCTTCCACCTCCATCTGCGCCGCCTTGCTCGCCTCCTCCACAATCAGCGTCACCTCCATCTTGGTGTCAAACCCGACGTAGCTGTCACAGACAACGTGCATGACAAAAGTGTAATGCCCCGCCTGCGGCGGCGCCTGGAACTGCGCCTTGAGCGTCTGCATCGCAAACGTCGGCGTGGTGCCGTCGGCCTCGAAGATCGGGCGGTCAAACTGCGCAAACGTAAACGGCGGGACCGCCACACGCCCTTGCTTGGAGTCGGTCAGGAACACGTGCCACCGGGGGCTGTGGTCACGGGCAAAATACGGGGCCGCGGCGAGCGGTGCGGGGACGACTTCGGCTTCGGCGGACTCGTAGATGGGCTTGCCCGTCTTCTCGTCCTTGCCTACGAGCTTCTGCGTCTTGCGGCCGCTGATGGCGTCCAGGTCGTCTTCTGCCGGGTCGACGTCTTCCAGGTCGATGGGGTTGATCGCCGGCACGTTTTCGCTGCCGGGCGGCACGAAGCGGCCCTTGACGACGAGCGTGACGAGAGAAGACGGGATGATAAAGCGCTCGCCGGTGACCTTAAAGTACGCCTTGGCTACGCGCAGGAAGGGGAGTTGCTTGGCCACCCCCACGGCTTCCTTGTACTGCTCTTCCGACAGGAGCCCCTTGCCAACCACCAGGCTGCGCCGCTTGGCATCTGGCCGGTCCATAAAGTCCTGGACGTTGGTGTGGATGCGCGAATCGCCCTCGACGGCCTTGACGACCGCTGGGCTAAAGTAGGGCAGTTGAAGGAGTGGTGACGACTTGGGAGGAAGAGCCTGGATGAGAAGCTGGCTGGTGTAGTACGAAGCAAGGAGCGGTCCGGTGTTCATGTAGGCGAGAGCGATGGCGTTCAGTGCTTTGTTAAGAGAGTGCGCAATGGGGGCGACAGCGAACTTGGCCTTGTTCGACTCGGCGTCGCCGAGCTCGATGCGACCGAGGTACGCCCACAGCAGCGCGAGCGCCTTCCGGCGCGGGCCGCTCTCCAAGTCCTCGAGTTTCTCCTTGTCCTTAACAGAGAGGCCGCCGGCGAGCGGGGACAGTTCGCCCTCCGCAAAAATTTTAGATTCCACATCCGAGAGACCTGATGTCGCCTTGTCCCCTTTAAGAAGGTTCTCGTACTCCTGTCCGGTGCTCAGCGCGGCCACGACACCGCCCTCGTTGATGTTGTCCTTGTACTCGCGGAAGATCCGGTTGGCGCTCTCCATCAGGACGCCCTCCTTAGAGCGCCGAAGCGTCCCGTACCACCAGGACCCGACCAGGTACGGCAGCAGGACACCAAAGAGCACCGAGTAGACGAGCACGACGTACTTGCCGTTGCCGTCCGAGACGATGACCTTGGGTAGGGCGATGTTGATGCTGTACCCTTGCTTCCCATCCGGGTTGCCATACTGGATATAGTTGTTCCGGATATCTTCGTCGGTGAGGGCCTGGTAGGCCTTGGAAATCTCGACGTAGCGGGCGGTCAGGTCCTCCATGGTCTCGTTCTTCGCCGGGTCGGGCTTCGCCTTGTCCGGGTGCAGGCGCAGCGAGAGCTTCTTGTACGTGCTCTTGATCTGCTTCTCGGTCGCGCTCTCGGGGATGTTCAAGATGTCGTAGGGGTTCCACAGCTTGTGGACCGGGGCCTCGGTGGTCTGGATGAGGTAGAGCATGTAGCCCATGACGGCCCAGCCCGCGACGACAGCGAAGAAAAGCCATAACTTCCTATCCTTGCGCTTTTCCTGCTTGCGCAGCGCATCGATCGTGTTTGTGTGCTCATGCTTGAAACTGGTGTGAATTCGAGCGAAGGAGGCGGCTGGGTCGCGCGACCGCTTGACGAGTAGGAATGTGAGTGGGACGGTGATGATGAGGGTGAGGGTGAACACGAAGAAGGGCCAGAGGTAGCCCTCCTCGTCGTAGGCGTAGTCGGTGCTCATCGCTGCGAATTCGCCGGGGGCTTGTCACCCGTTAGTCGGCCGCTTCAATCAATCTGAAGGATTCCCAGTCCGGGGGTTATGCAAACGCGCGCAATGGTTGTTGAAGTTGGTAGGACAAGGTGACAAGAACAGGCGACTGAACGGCCTGAGATCTCCAGCTCCCCTGGCAGGAAATTGGATTATTAAATTCAAGAGCGCCCCAATGCCAACGTGTCTGCTTTTGTACAGACCGTGGAAAGAGAAAAAAGAGCGAATGCAATCCGCACTCGGGCGGGAAGAAGAAATGTGATGGGAAGGGAAGAGAGAGAGACTTGTCTTCTGTCCTGCAATGTGGCGGATTCCACTTGCCCACAGGTGTCCTTGTCCAGTGAGTGCCGTGTGCCCCCGTCCGAGGTCGCTTTTTTTGCGGAGTGCAACAAAGTGAATCGTGGCCTCCAGATCCGAAGAAACAGGGGTCAAAGCTTCCCGCACCCAAACCCGCTGCAAGGCCCCCGGTCAGACCCGCCCAACGACCGCCAAGACCCGCTCAGATCCCGCTGTTTTGGGACAGACTGACAAGACACTGGGCTGTTAACATGAACATTATGTTTGATTTATGCCGAGATGAAGATATTTGTGAGTGTTAAATATCTTAAATTTTAGGGGATCAGAGAGGCAATGTATCAGGAAGTGCTACAAAGTTAGCGACTAAAATAAATACCAGGAGGCATGTATGTCCGTCCGTTCAACTCGTGTGAATTGTTCTTTGTTCAAAGCACGCAACCGACTCGGATAACTTCGCAGCATTCTAAAGCTGTGAAAACTACACTACATAGTACAGTACACACACACATTACAACCATTACATCTGACCAGTATCCGCTTCAGAATCCCCGCGGTGATTATTTTTCGACGCTAGTCTACCTAAGCAAGGCATACATAACACAAACAACCCGCAGCAAAGCAGGCACTGGGCGTGGTATACAAAGTGCGCTAGAGCGGAACCGAGGAACCAGAAACCCAGGATGAGGTTGAATCCGCCCTGAGGCGGACCCGGGAGCGGGAGTGGGAATGGAGGGGAAAAACAACGGTAGCTCCCTGTCTATCTGTAGGAAGGAAAGAAAAATCCCTTGCAATGACGATGATGATGATTGGTGATGCGTTGTGCTTGTCCCGGAGGAAAACCAAGACAAAAAAAAGGAAAATAAACCGACAAAAACAAAAAACGGACATATGGGGAGGAAAAGGGGGTAGGTAATGCAAACCCAATCCTCCCCGCAAATGTTGTGATGACTTGAGATGACCCCATGAACGCCTCCCACCCTCCTTTCCCGACCCGCTCCCCTTCCGTCCATCCGTCAATGTGGTGCTGAACTGGTTGAGTAGTGGTAAGAGTAGGAGTAGTAGTCTATGCCGGAAAAAAACGAGACTCCAAATCTCCCAATGCAGCGCAACGACGACCTGACTGGTGCTGTTGTGGCCTCTAATGTGCGCGGCCTGTTTGTCTTCCTAATGCCTTCATACAAACATACACCGTCCCAGCCGCGACCAAGAGCATAAGTACGAGATACGGGGGAAGAAGGACGACAGCGGCGGCGACAATCAGCCAAAACTTGCGCAGCTGCTCCAACCTGCTGCCCCTCTGCTCGTCAGCCTCAGCTCGCCACGCCGCTTTTGCGCCAGCAGCACCGTTGTTGATGTTAGATCCCCAACCCTGGCCACGGCCACGGCGTCTTTCCTGTTGTTTGAATTGTCGTTTCTTCCATGGACGACCATAATGGGCATCCTCCTCCGAGCGGTGGCTGTTATCGTCGTCACTGTCATCATCATCGTCATCATCCCTACTTGCCAGGCCGTCGGTTGCTTCTTCTTCCTCGCTGGATTGTCACGAGAATTGGAAGCCCTGGGGGAATCCGCCGCCTCTGCCACGGCCGCGGTCGTTGAATGAGAAGCCGGGTCCGCCGGGGAAACCACCGCCGCCACCACCGCCAAATGGACCGCCACCACCCATACCTCCACCGTGCATGCCGCCAGGCATGCCCCCCATCATGGAGAACAAGATCTCAGGGTCGATGCCGCCGCCCATACCGCCCATGCCACCACCGCCAAACATATCAGACGGGTCAGCTAGGTCGACGCCGCTGTCGTAGCGCTCTCGCTTCCTGTAGTTTTTATGTTAGCTATGAAGAAGAAGAGAATGAGGAAAATAAAAACGCGGGCGGGTATAAAGAATAGGACGGGGGGAAACATACTGAGGGTCAATCAGCGTCTCGTACGCCTCGCTGATGTCCTTGAAGCGGGCTTCAGCCGCGGCATCGCCAGGGTTCTTGTCCGGGTGATGGACGATGGCGAGTCTGCGGTAGGCCTTCTTGATATCCGAGTCGGAGGCACCCTTCTCGATGTTCAAAATCTTGTAGTAGTCCTTCCTCTGCGACTTCTTAAGCTCCAGCTCGGCCCTGCGCACCTCCTTGGCGATGCCTCGGTCCTCGGGGTCGAGCTCCTGAATCGCCTTCCACTCCCGGACGGACGCCTCCCACTTGTCGGCCAGGCCGAGCGCCGTGGCCTTGGTCTTGCGGGCCTTGAGGTATTGCGGGTCGAGGCCGATGGCCTTGTCGGAGTCGGCGACAGCGTCCTCGTACTGCTTGAGCTTAATCCGGCACAGTGCCCGGTTCTGGAGGAGCTTTGAGTTGGTGCCCTTGTTGGCCGGGTCGACGTCGAGGGCCGACGTGTACAGGTCGAGGGCAGCCTGCCACCGCCCAGCCTTGTACTGCGCGTTACCGTCCTCCTTCATCCTGTCCAGCTTCTGCACGGTGCGCAGCCACTTGATGGCATCCCGGAAGTCTGGGTCGCAGCTCAGCGCTTTCCGGAAGTGTTGCACGGCCTTGTCATTCTCACCCTGTGAGTACAAGGCACGGCCGCGGAGGACCAGCGCCTCGGGGTCCTGGTTGTTGAGCCGCAGGAGCGACATGGCAATGTTCTGGGCCTCGCCGAGCGAGTTCGCGTCGCCCATCTTAAGCAGCGCCTCGCCCCGCATGAGCTGCCACTTTCTCGGCTTCAGCGCACCGACGCCGAGCAGCTTCTCGGCCATGTCCAAGGGGTGCAGCACCATGGAGGCGGCCGTACCGTCTCGCAGAGCCTGCTGGGCAGCCCGGACATGTCGAAGCATCTCCTTGGCGGGGCCCATGTCCTTCGCAGACGGGGCCGGCTGGATACGGCCGAAAGTGGCAATGGCATCCTCAGGCTGGCCCAAGCTGGTGTGGATGCGGGCGAGACGAAGGAGGATCTTGGAGTTGTGTGGATCCAAGTCTACGGCCCGCTTACAGTCGTCTAGGGCATCATTGTACTTGCCCGCGGACATGAAAGCCGCAGCCCGGTTGCCCAGGTAGGTGGCCGAATTTGGTTGGAGGACGACCGCTAGAACACATGATTAGATTAGTCGATCAATTCGTGGATGAACTTCCACAGGGGTATTGAGGCAAGCACGCGACATGACATTTTGCGGATTGCGGCGATTGTTCATCGGTGGCTGTTTGCTGACTCACCCTTGGTGTAGAACTCGACGGCATGGGTGTAGTCACCGGCCTTGAAGAACTTGTTTCCCTCATTCTTGAACGACTCGGCTTGCTCAGCCTGCTCGGCATCTGTTTGTTGCACGGGGCTGTTTGGGTGTGATCGGTGGGGCGGGGGAGCGGGAACGGCCTCGCCGGCCTCGTCGTTTGTCGACGCAGCAGCCCCTCCGTTGGTGACGGGCACGGTGAAGGAGTTTTGGTGGGATGGGGGGTTGGTCGACCGCGGGGCCGACTGGTGTTGTTGGTACTGCGGCGGCGGTGACTTAGGAGGGGGAGGAGGAGATGCGGGCTTCGCCCCGTTGACTCCGTTGGCCCCGGCGGTCCCGGCAGCCGGGGCTTCTTTGTGCTCGGCGGTGTCCATCGAAGTGCGGGCGCTCATGGCAGAAAGTTCGGACAGTCGCTTCCGCTGCTCGGGGGGCAAGTTGAGCGGGTGTGTGTCCGGGTCAAACTTCTTTCGGCGGCCGGCGTCGGTCGGATGGCGGCCAAATGGGCGCGAGGTGCGCGGCGACGACTGCGACTTGGAGTCGCGCGAGGTCGGTGAGGAGGGGCGCTGGGAGGATGACGAAGCCTTTTTGGTGGGCGACCGCGAGCCGGACGACTTTGTGGGAGATTTGTTGGGGGAGGAAGGATAGGACGAGTTCTGAGAACTGGCGAGGTCGTCGTCCTCGTCGTCGGCCGAGTTTGGTTTTTTGGACGAAATTTTGGAGAACAACTTCATTTGCACCGATTTGCAGCTAAAAAGGCAGCAAAAGGCAGCGAAAGTGAGAAGGGAAAAAAAGTTCGGTTAATACCGGGGCGCGGGATTGCTATACGCAGTAATTGCGGTAACGTTAAGGTCCCGCAAACGATAGCAAGCGGAAACGTCAAACGGCGTTTGACTCCCGCAGCAAGGTCAGGCTGGGTATCGCTGCCGGTGCATCAGGGCAGAAATAGCGGGTAGGAATGGGGGAGGGTACCAAATGCCGGGTATCCCAGGGTATCGGGTGTGGGTGCGGTTGCGTGGTTTGGTGTGTGTCCGTGTGTTATCTGAAGGAAGGAAGTGGGTGTGCGTACACATGCATTTGCAACTTGCGAGGCAAGTCTAATTTTTTTTCCCTCTTCTCCTTTCGTTCTTTCCCTGTGGCGGAAACACAAGCGGCAAAAAATTGATGGGGACCTGGAAATGCAAGAGGGGTGGAACGGAAGCGGTGCAGTCAGTGGGCGATTCGCTCAACTCGGTAAGAGGGAGAAAAAACTGGAAAGTTGGGGACTGGGAAAAGGATGGAGGTCGGTGACGGGTTCAAAAGCTGGCGGGACAAGGGCAGTTTGGGACGATCATCAAAAAGCCATCACGCTTCCCGCTTTCCCGCCTTCCGCCGGGCAGGATGATTGAAAGGGTTTAGATGATTGCTCAGCCCTCACAGGCAAATCACGGAGCCTCTGGAGGGTCTCTTTGTGACTTGCGATTCGAAGAAAAATATTGGGTTGGCTGGGGTTGCGCCCGTTGCTCTGGAAATTTGGGGAAGGGTCAGAGGCGATTCGCCCAACCTAACGGCCGCTTAGCGGCCGCTGGAGGCTTGAGGAGGGGCTCTGGAGGTCGCCTGCTGCTGCGAATTCGGCAGATCGGCAGGATGCAATTATCACGATATATCGTTATAGGCCATATCGTGCTGCAGGGTGGGAGGCTGGAGGAATCCCGGATTCTCGAAGCTTCTGTGGGCCGGTCCGTCCCCGGCGTTCCAGCGGTCGCGGGCGTAATCAAGGTGGAACTCATCACCCGGCCGAACAAGCCCGGTACCACAATCCATCGCAGCATCCTGCGAGCCTGCGAGTCCGAGATGTCAGGTCCTCGTTAGAAAATCCCAAGTCCTGTTCGTCCTGGTAACCGCTCAACCGCTGAAGCCGCTTTTGCCTCGACGGTGGCAGGTGGGTGGTGTGGCCATTTGTCATGCCGAACCAAAGAAAGAAACAAAATCAAAACAAAACAAAGAAACGTCAGCCAACGGGCGACAGCGAGCGGCGCTTGGCGTGGAGGGCTGGGAAGGGCTCTGGGGTGTGACAGGCCATCCGTCCAGTCGTCGTGAGCTCGCAGCGTCATGGTGCAAGGCTGCCTGTGCGAGCTGCGGCACGATTGGCCGGGATTTGTGATGAACCCCCAACCGGAAACAACGGAACGGTCCGCAAGAGACGAAGCGATGCCACTGGAGGCACCTGCAGATACCACAGTCTTGGTTCATGTGTCTCGTGTCTGTTTTTCTGCAACCTACACTACGGACCAAGAAATCACCCACGTGACGGCACAAGACACAGCGAAGACCGCGGATGTACTATGTATTGCTGTGAATAAGCCGTAAATACCTTGGTACGGAATATCTGGCCTACGGCTTGAACAACTCAACCGTCGTCCTCCGCATCTTCAGCTGCTCGCGCTGCCGCACCGTTGCCCCCAACAATCGTATTGACAAAATCGTGATACCGAAACACCTCGCCTCGCTTCCCCAACCCGGCCGCTGTGCTCTTGCTAAACGCCCTCCGTCCCGTGAAACCCGCAATCACCTTCTCCACCTCGAGCGCCGTCAAAGGCTCCTGGCCGGGCTCCGGCGCGGTATGGAGCAGCGCGTCGCGCAGCTCGGCCACGTCGATCTGACCGCTGTCGTCGTCGTCGAATGCAGAAAAGGCCGACACCAATTCCGGACCTGGCGACAGGGCGGCGAGCGATTCTGCTATGGAGTTGAGGAAGAGCGCCATCGGCATGGTTGGCGGCCCTGACGGAGGGAAGAACTGGGCAACGTCGCTGGCATTTGAAGGAAGTCCTAAGCATCGTCGGTTTCTGTGTCAGCGGAATTCGCAGCAAAATGGGGGTTTGTCCTGTCCGTCTTACCCAGCTGATTGAGCATGTCCACCACATCTTCCCGGTTCACGACGCCGTCGCTGTCACGATCTAGTATCTGAAAGGCTTCCCGCATTGTGCGAACCTGCGCCGGTTGTAACTGAGAGAGGGCATTCCCGTGGCCCACTGTGCTCGAGGCCGCAGGTCGAGGGAGACTACGCTGCCGTGGTTGCGGCGCTTGATGATATGTCTGTTGCTGTTGTTGCGGGAAATATGTTTCGGGGTCGTCTTCCACTGTGGCCTGTCTCCGAGGCGGTCGGAAATCCTGTGTCGGGCTGGCGGTCGGGCTGCTCATGAACTTTGCGCGAGCCTCCGAGAAGCTATCTTTGGTCGGTGTTTCCCCCTGTCGTAACGTGGCAGAAGAAGCGGGCGATTGTGGCCGACGGAAGGGAGAGGAGCGCGCTGAGCCCGATCCGTATCCCAACGGGGACGGTCGGTATGCTGAGGGTGTTGACTACATTAAGGGTTATTCATCAGTACCCTAAATCGGCCTTGAATCTCTCAAAACCTTCGTACCATCTTGTTGATTGCTTTTTGCAGAGACTCTTGTTAGAATATGTCGAACAGACACCCTTCCTTTTGGTGTCGGTTTGGTTTCCAACCCCGTCAAGACTCGTAGTGTCCAAAATCGGTCGTGTTTTCGGCGCAATGTCGCGGGTAGGGAAGAAGAGAGCTCTTAACAAACAGTATCGTGTGCACTAAATGTAATTATGTGGGAGTCGGCAGCAACCAGCAACTTTGATCACGATCTTGCTTGCGTCTTCGTCATGAACTGGTGATCAGCATCCCGCTTCGCCTGGAAGACGGCAAGTAAACAAATCGACCCGACAACGGCAGGGGTTTGAAGCCCCGCAGCCAGGCTCGGGCCACCTTCAACTTCCAACAACCCTAACCCTCCCCGAGTTCACAGATAACCAGAGTGAGAAATCTGAAGCTTTTCTCCCAAAATATCCCTTAAAGACTGGTTCAACAGTTTTACTACCTAAGTCGTAGTTAAAACTTAACGCAATTGAGCTGAAGACAGCCGAATATGCATTAGAAACGCAGTTGAAGGGTCATACAAGGCATGAGAGGGGTGGGAAAATCAAAGCTTGGCATCACCTGACACCCGAGACACCCCACCAAAAATCCCCCGGCCGGCATCACAACCCCCTGTCGAGGGATGGCCAAAAGCGGGAGTCTTCAGTCCCGCCGAGCTCCAAATCGCTACACGTGTAGGGACTCGTCCGATTTAGAGCACTCGACCGATATTCCACACAAACACCGGCCCCGGGCATTAGAAGAAAGGCGCGATCCGGACGGAAACCGGAGCGTCCCCCCACGACCAGGACGACGATATCGACGTGCTCGAGAAGCTTGGCGCGAATGCCCTCCCCCTTCGACCTAGCATCGACATCTCGGCTCTCAGACTTCTCAATTAGGGGTTTCGTTCGGCAATTGCATACCGCGTATGGGCACGTTAATCCGCGACAGTCCATTCTACAATAGGCCGGAACGGCTTTTCGTCGCTACTACGGAAAAGGGGCCGGCGACTGTCGCAAGGGGGGGTGTCAGGCCCAGCTAAGATCGGTGGTCCAAGGGGGATAAACACCGCGGACGACAATGGCGTCCAACCAGCTCCCCGGTCCAGCTTCGGGGAGGACGAGCAGCGCGGCTAGCCATCGCAATGGGTCCATTCCTCAACAACGAACCTCGTTGACGGCAATGCCCCCAGCTCGTCCGACCCGCTCTCCCCAACCGTTTGACCGGAACTCGGACCAAAGCGCCAGGAATAAGCCACTCTCAACCGGCACTGGCGCCTCGTCTCAGCACAGCTCGCTCTCGGTCGGCGCGCAACTGATCTACGAAAAGCCCGTGGAACGGCCCCGCAAGCTGCGGTCACAATACCCACGGAGCAGCTCCGAGAACCACGTCGAATACATCCTCGTCGCGTCGTTCGACATCGACCGCGGGCCGGTCATGGAACACCAGTACCCTGTAGCCATCACAGGCGACGAACACATGCTTGCCGAGCTCATGCTTCCCGATCAGGCGCACGTCCGGAATCAGGACTGGACCATCTTCTTTCTTCACAAGGACACCAGCCAGGAGGAGGACGACGCGGAACGGCAAGCGAAGGAGGCCCGGCGGGCCCGGCGGAACAGGAAGCGGGATCGGGCGAGGGGGATAATACATGAATCGGATGATGAGGGAGGGGAACTCAAAGGTTTGGATGACGACGATGACGACGACGACGATGATGATGATTTCTGGGACGACGATGAATCTACCGACTCGGAGCCAGACGGTTTTGAAGGACCACCGCTGGTTTATGTTCTTAATCTGGTCAACACGAAACAAGATAAAACGGTCAAGCGAGGCGCGGTGGTGAAAGCCATGGCCATTTGTACCCGACACCCTTTTCTACATATTTACAAGGTAAGCTTTTTTCACAACAGATTCTCATGTTTAGTTCATTTCCGCCGTCTCCCCACCGTCACGTTGAATTGACCATCTCGCCAGCCCCTTTTACTACTAGCCCTGGAGGAATACTTCAAGTCGCCCGTCCCTGAAACGCTAGCGCTCCTGTACAACGCCGTGAACGAGATGGACCTGTCGCTCATGCCGAAGCTGAACTGGCTTGAGCGGCATCTCCTACAGTCGAGTGAGAATAAGGATCTCTTCGTCGAAAAGTTCGAGGAAATGATACAGGCGCGAATCATGGGGGCATCCGGGGTAGACCAGCCTCTCGACGCCAGCAAAGGCCCGCCCTCGCGGCCCAGCATCTTCCGCTCGGGATCGAGGGCTCACATCGAGGGCCACGCGGTGTATGTGGTGCCTCGAGACACTCACGAGTTCGAGAGCAAAGTACTGTACAAGGGCATCCCCATTCCGATCAAGGTCCCCGTGGCCGTAATGCCCGAGATCGTCGGCGATTTCTCCTTGATCAAGCTAATCCAGAACTTTTCCGATTCACACTCCAAAACACCCCATAGCTTCCAACTCCACCCCCATCTAACCACCAACGGCCCCAACACACACCCCATCATCGTGCTCATCAACGCTCTCCTAACCCAGAAACGGGTCATCTTCCTCGGCCACAACATGCCGTCGGGCGAAGTGGCCGAAGCCGTCCTAGCCGCCTGCGCGCTCGCATCAGGCGGGATCCTCCGCGGCTTCACGCGCTACGCTTTTCCCTACACCGATCTAACCAAGGTCGACGACCTGCTCAAGGTCCCCGGGTTCATCGCGGGCGTGACCAACCCGACCTTTGAACACCACCCGGAGTGGTGGGATCTACTGTGCGACCTGCCCAGCGGCAAGATGAAGATCAGCACGAAGATCGAAGCGGCGCCCATCACCGAAGGATTGGTGTACTTTCAACAACAAAACCCAGCGTACGCGAACCTGGTGCACAACTCAGCCGGCAACGGCGGCGGCGGCGGCGGCGGGCTGTCGTCCTCCTCGTCCTCATCCTCAGCCGCGAACGACCTGACGGGCGACGCGGCTTTCATGGCGGATATCCTCCGCAGCATCACGACGCGGGCGGGCGAGCGGGTGATCCGGGCCAAGTGGCGGGCGTGGGTGCTCAAGTTCACGCGCATCGCGGCGGCCTTTGAGGAGAGTGTTTATGGTGCTAGTGCGTTGTATACGGGGCATGGGGATGATGGCCAAGAAGGGTTGCCGAGTGCGATTGGGAGCGCGCAGGGGCATGGGTATGTCTGGGTGGATGAGGCGACGAAGGCGAAGGAGTTGGCTGGTAATGTGGCGCGGATTGAGGGGTGGAGGAATACTAGAAGTTATTACAGCTTTATCCAGGTGTGTTTCCTTGCTCTTTTTTATCTTCTTCTTTTTCTTTTTCTCTCACACAGATTCCCCAAACACCGATTAACAAACCCCAGGACATCGCCCGCCTCTCCCTCATCCGCCCCCTCCGCGGCCTCGACCTCGGCCACCTCCACGACCGACTCCGCACCCAACGCCTCACGCCCGCCCAAAGCCGCGACATCTACGACACCCTAGCCCAACACGTCCGTTCCTACGACGAAATCTGCCTCCTCCTCAGCGTCGCGCCCGAGTCCCAGGCGGGTCTATTCTACATCGCCCTCGGCCTGTTCCACAAGGACCGTGAGGTGCGGTTCCGTACGGCTGATCTGCTGGAGCGTGTGGCTGAACACGAGGCTGGACAGCACTGGTGGAGGGTGTTGAGCCGGTTTGAGAAATTGGCGTATGTGAGGATTAAGAGGGAGGCGGAGGCGGAGGCGAGGGCGAAGGGGGGGAAGGAGGAGGGGATGATGGGGGATGTGGGGATTGTGAGTGGGGGGTTGGGGGATTTGGATCGGAGGGTGAGTTAGGGGGTGTCCTGGGGGTCATGGATATGGCGTTGGCGGTTGTGGGTTGAGTTGATTTTTGTTGTGGGTGGGTGCCCAGGGGAGGGTTGCATAAGGGTGAACATTTTTACTTGCTTTTACCATTTCTTGATATGTATCTTTCAACTTTACCGCCCTGTTGCCCCCTCATCTCTACCTTGGAATCAACGGATCTTACATGGGCATCTTACACAACGTATGCCCACCGTCTCGGACGCCCTGCTCTTCGAAACGTTCTGTCCTTGCCGTTCATATCTCTTTTGTTGCAGTTCTTCCACCATCCACTACAGCAATCCCAAGTGCTTGGCTGCGTGGTTCACATGGTCGTCGGCAAAGGTGGCCATGAAGTAGTACGAGTGGTCGTAGCCCTACTCCCATCAGCATTACGGTCCTCACACTCACACAAACACACACCAAACACAAATCAAGGGGACATAGAGAGGACATACCTCCTGATACCGTACCGTCAACCCCTCCACCCCCGCCTCCTTCGCAGCCTTCTCCAAATTCTCCGGCAACAACTGCCCCTGCTTATAAAACCCATCCTCCGTGCCCACATCCACCAACGCCTTCAAATCCCCTCCCTTCCACCCCTTCACCAACTCCGTCGCATCATACTCCTTCCACTTCCCACCCCCTTCCTCCTCTTCCCCACCCAAATACCCCCCAAAAGCCTTCCTCCCCCACGCACACCTCGACGGATTCGCCACCGGCGCAAAAGCACTAACCGACCTATACCTCCCCGGCTCCCTCAAATACGCCGTCAACGCCCCATGCCCCCCCATCGAATGCCCCGTTATCGACACCCTTTCCTGATCCAAAACCGCCCCAAATTTCGGGTCACCGAACAATGTGTCTGGCAGCTCCCGGGAGATATAACTCGCCATGCGATACCCCTTGTTCCAAGGCGGCTGGACAGCGTCGAGGTAGAAACCGGCGCCGACGCCGAAGTCCCAGGCGTCGGATTCGCCGGGGTAGTTGAGGCCGCGCGGGGAGGTGTCGGGGTAGAGGATGGCGAGACCAAGGGCGGAGGCGCGGTGTTGGAAGAAGCCTTTTTCGGAGCAGTTGTTGGGGGTGCAGGTTAGGCCGGAGAGGTAGATGAGGAGGGGGACTTTGGTTTTGGAGGAAGCCGAGGAGGGGTTGGTGAGGTTGGTGAGGGCTTGAGGGGGGAGGAAGAGGTTGACGGCCATGGGGGTGGTGGTTTCCGTGGATTGGTGGGCGAGCTTGAAGAGCTTGCCGCCGAAGGAGGCGATTTCGGCTTGGATTTCGAAGGGCATGGTGGCGGTGGTTTGTGTTGTCGTTGGGGTGATTGGTTGTTGGGTCTGCTGTTGAAGAAAGGTTGAAAGAAGGGTTGAAAGAGTCACGGGGGCTCGAGAAACCGTGGAAAATAATCGAGTGGAAGTGGGGATAGCGTCACTTAGTAGGTCCGTACTGCACTGTAGCTCGGGTGTATATCGGGTGTAGATTTACGCCCGGGTATCAATACAAGGTGTGGTCAAGTGCAGATGAACTATCTTGAACACAACATAACTTCGACTTTATCTATCGGTCTAAGGTATCGGATATAAAACACCCCCCAATATCAAACTACCCCGCCAATTGATTGCCGTCATGAACTCGACGGGAGCAACAAACCGGCTAAGGGAACCCCACCATCTTCAATGCCGATGGCGGGGTAACTTTCCGCCCGGCCCAGCGCTATGCCGTCATTTCCCCAAGCGACCCCGAACCCCAACCCGCTAAAAAAAAGTCAACGCAAAAAAAGAAAACCCCCAAACACCGCGGCAATGCCAAGAAAATGCCAATCCCATCACCAACCTCTCCCTTTACACTCTCCGGAGTTATTCACAACCCACCCTATGGAGACGCTGTCTGCGTCTGATTGAGATGGCACTCAAACGAGGTAATGTACTCGTTCCACCCAATCTTAGTCAAGTTGTACTTATTCTCGTAGTCATACGAGACAGCGCCAAACGTGCAGCCCGTGGGGGATGTGCAGATCCCGCCGCATTCCGTGCTACAGACCTGATTAGCATGGCCCACAGCAATCTCAGGTAGGTGTGTAGGTAAGTGTGTTGTTGTTGGGGGATAACTTACAGGTACGGGTAGCAATAAAACGGCGCATCATCCGGCGCAAACGTGGCCGCGTTGTTGACCAGCCCCTGCGGCAGGTTGTAGCACTTCTCTAGCTCGTACACGTTGTACTGGCAGACGCCTTGGCCGTTGGGATCGCTGCAAATGAGGACCTATGCACGGGGTTTTGTGTCAGACAAAGGGTCGTTGTAAAGGAAGAAAAGGGGGGGTGGTTCTTACACCACCGACGGCGCCATCACGACGCTGGAGCACGGGCGAGGCTTGCGTGAGGGCGGCCAGGAGGCCGGTGATGAGGGCTGTGGTGCTGAGCATGGTTTCTGGGGATCTGGCGATACTGGCAATGCTAGGAGTAGAGGCGACGGGTATCGAGGCTGGGGGTTGTTTATCTTCAATGAGAGAGACAAAGAACACGACGAGGAATGTGGTTTATTCAAGCAGTTTTTCGGACAGTGGCTTAGAGTGTGGGAAGATATGTAGGCTAGGAGCTCGATCACAAACTAACAACACCCTTCGGCCCGATCGTCTCCCTATATATACTTTCTTGCGTAGTGCGTAGCTAAGGTCGTCCAAAAAGAGAACCCAGCTAACTACCGTGGACATCCGCTGGCTATCCGGTCCATCCCGCAACACGAAGTCCAGTGCTGACGGCGGAGTCTGCGCGAAACCAAAAGATGGAATCCTTGGTGCCTCTCGATTAGAAAACGCACCGAAAAATAGCTTGCAGATACGACCTCCATAGACTCTACCCTGGCCCCAGCGCCCGCATTACATCATGACAAGGCAGGCAACTTTAGTTGAAGCCTGTCCCGGCTCCTGGGATGGAACGCGGCACTGCGGCGTTTTGATGGCTGGGGCTGCAGCGGCAGTGGGGGACACTGCTTGACTGGGACAGGACGACATGGGGCAGCTCCTCCCATCACACCGCTGTAATTGGCTTCCGTCGACAACAACGCAGTCGCGCAGCACCGCCCTCAGTAGGGTCCCGTGATCTTGGGCTGGACAACAGAGAAAGAGAGAGTTCCAGATGGGAATAAACTGTGCCGATCTCTTGCCCAAGGTTTGTCAATACGAACTTTTTTTCCTTGCCCGCCATGTGCCCACTGATGACGGGCAACGACATGGGGGACTGCACAAGGACATCACGAGTCCTTCCTTCAATGTCGAAGCGAACGTTACATGCGCTTGGTTCCCAACATGTTTTCATTTTTCGACCCTAGTGGATTAAGGAACGCAAAGATTCCAAAGGATTGAGCAAATATTGGAAGGGAGCACACGTGTACTGGTTGAATAGAAGCCCGAGTCCTGCAAGTGTGAGCGAAAGAGAAGACGAGATGTACAGGTGTGAGAGACATGCGTAAACATGGGATAAAAAAGGAACAATGAAAAAAGGCACCCGACTCGGTGGAGTTCGGAGAATTCATCCCGGGACACATGGCAGGCCGACATTTGTGTGTAAGCTTATCTTGATGCCGACCAATCACTAAAACATCACCGCGATCCCAGCAATGCTCCTCGGTCACGCTCAAGAGAAGAGAGAGTTGTAAAAAAAGTAAATTCAAGTCTTCATTGTTGGAGTTCCGTTGTCTGACCGTTCATCACAGCCCAAGTCGTCGCTTAAGTTCACCGGTTATAGAAATATGACTCATTCTTATGTCTTTAACATTGTAATAAGTCATGGTTTGGGGTGCCAAAAAGTATGGCTACAATTTTCTCAACCCCCACCTTACCTCACACGTTGGACTCAACATGGCAAGAAGTGCTTTAACTATCTCTGGATCACAGGCGCATTTCCCGAGGGCGTCAGCACTGCCACGTTGTGGCGTGGACCCACCGGAAAGTGGGTCTCCCCGACTTGCCCTCGCACATGCCTCGCTTGCCTCGGAAACACCGCGGTTTACCCTCTGCGGCCTCTGATTGGCCGGATCAGAGGGTGGGGCGTGCACCGCCACACCGCACAACTGGTCTGAGCTCCTGAGATAATTCATAACTATCGTCAGATTTCTACAGGCGCCGCCGTGCTTTGAGTCTCTGTTCCGTTACAATGAATAGATAGGTAATCAGGAATATAGGTTATTAGAGGTAGTAGTAGCCTAGGTTTAGGAGGTATAGAGATAGAAGGTAACTACCTCCCTCCAGTATGGAGATGATGACTACAATCCAGCGGGTGGTTTCTGAGAATTTATTTGTCCTGCAAAGGGTGGTCGCTGCCGGCGGTATTGAGGTCCTGCTCCTGACGCCAAATCTTGCAAGCGCTTCTTATTCTGCCGCTCTAGCAACATCAGTTTCATTTGCTGGTCGCGCAAAGCTTGGGAACTAGTAGTGGCCTGTCCATTGGGCACGTCAGGCCTCATATTGCCGGGACCCTTCTTGCCTGGGTTGCCAGATAGCCAAAACTCAAGAGGGAAGCGTTCAGGGATCCTGGTGCAGCGACTGCGCTCCATCAGGACGCGCATGGTTGCTCCGGTGCTGTCATGGACAGATATATCAGCGCCATGGTCCACGATGAGCAAGCTAGCAATCTCTAGATCATCATTGGCCACCGCCGCCCACAGAGCCGTTATGGTTTCCCTTGTGCATCGGGTGTCTGTTTTGGCTCCATGCTCCAGTAACCACCGGCACACCTGGTAATTTCCAGCACGCGCAGCCAGAAATAATGGGGTTGACCCATCCTTCTGTTGAACGTTGACGCTGGTCCCGCCGGTGACAAGCTCTTGTATAAGGTCGAGTTTCCCTTCCCTTGCAGCTTTGAAAATGTTCAAGTTGCTGCGCATGCCGGAGGGGAACTGCACAGGAATAGCTTCGGAGTGGACACGTTCAGTATGTCTGGAAAGCTCTGATTCCGTTGCAAATCCGATCTGGGAGCTGGGACACCCATCACTGCCGCATCGGAAGGGACGTTCATGTTGTCTGACATGGTGACCGCGTGCAGAAGCGGTTTCGAAGCCGGTCTGGAAGAAATAGCACCATGGCTTGGAGCACTTGTATGCTACCCGGCCATAAAGATGACTGATCTCTTCAAGGTCTGCCGAGCTCTCGGTGTTCGCATGAGCCAGGAGCGGCTCGAGGCCGGCTCGGACCAGCTTTACCCGAGCCTCGATGGGGAAAGCGTCTTCCCAGTCTCTGCCGTCACCGGGGATTTGATGTATCTGGGTCCGAACCGCGGTAATGTCCGTCGCGGTGTTGGCAGTCGCCGTTTCATCCTGGGGATTTAAGGCATCCGCCAGCTTGGCGACAGTCGTAAGGATAGTTGTGTCCTTGGAGCACTCGGTTTGCCTCGCATGTTTCCACCAGTTCGCTGCCGCGTAGTCGAGGAACCCATAGTAGCCAGTTCGGCAGTACACCGTGACAGCAGGTTTGCCCATGTCGGGGTTGAAAGGTGCAGAAGATAAATATTGAGCACAAAAAATGGCCAAGTCTGCGTGAAGGTCGGCCAAGTGGAATCTGCCGGTTTGAATCAAGTACCTACCAACAGGGTCAGTTTCAAGTCTCCTCAGAAAATCAGAGGAAGCTAGGGAGGCAGTTGGCTCACATTCGGGCAGTTTCGTGAACGAGTTCCACCAAGTCGTCGGGCTCAGACCCCGGAGATCCGGAGAGATCCTTTTGACCAACCTCGATCAATGCACCGCAGTACTTCTTCGCTGGTTCGAGGAGCCGGAAGTCAAGATCGGCGGTTTCTGATTGGACGTCGATGCAAAATCGGGCTTGTATCTCCTTCCAGAATAACGGCCGCTCGGCGCAGAGGACGAGGTTCAGGATACGCCTTGCCAAGTCAGACTGGCTCTCGTCTGGTCCTTCCAGAATGTGGACAGCCACTCGCTCGTAACTGGGTAACGCTATCGGTTAGCTCTCCGTAGATCTGTCGCGATGGCGGCTTTTGTAAACCATACGCTTGTTCCATGCCCTTGGGGAAATTCTCCTCCCGCAACTCTCTTTTGAAATGACCACGTGTCGGTTGTATCAAGAGGTTACTGAGCACAACCTTGGCATAGAGAAACATGCCTGGCCGCTGTCAGCTTGTCACCAGAGATATGAAGGCCTGTCTGACACCCACCTTTGGCCGTGGAGGTCACTTTGCCAACAATACCCAGCCTGGCATCCTCTGCTGCACTGAATTTCTGCTGTATTCGGAGACTTTCCGCTTCGCAGTATGTTTTAATATCGTTCATGTGGGAAAGAGAGGAGTCCACTTGTACCGTGGGCCAATGTCCCAGCCGTCTTTCCAGTAACCCGTTTCTTTGCCCGCTGATGAGCAAGCGGATGCACCTGTCACTCGGCCCACTGCTGGCCTCATGGTTCCTTGGTTGTGAATGTCTCATGAGAGACTCGAGCCAGTCGATCACTTGGCCTTGCGCATCCTCTGCTGTCACGCTCTGGTCTCCAGCACATTCGTCGAGTGCATCAACAACAACAAAGCAGATGCTCTGAGCTTCCAGAACCAGCTCCGCTAGTTCGCGTAGAAGGGAAGCCGACCGGATCCTTTGCTGGTCTACCCGTATGCAGCGTTGGTAGACAAGGTCGAGAAGCACTTCGTCCTGAAATACTGCTTGAGATAGGAGGGAAAGGAGCATAGGGACAAAACCTCGCTTGTCGGGCTGGTGGTGCTTAAAGAAGAAATAGAGCAGTAAAAAAGGGCATCCGGTGGGGTTTCCTCTCTCCTGCAGTTGTTGGAGGTGTTGTACAACTCGGGACGCAAGAATCGTCTTGCCTAAGAAGGCAGCAGTCGTCAGAGATGCTGAGAATGGTGGTGGAGGCTGTCGGGTCGACAATACGTACCTGTCCCCGGGATGCCGGTCAAGTAGAGAGCTCGCGACTGTATCATGGTCGTGTCCACCCATAGATCGAAGGCAGTGTCCGCCTCGATCCAGCCACCAGAAGCGGAATTCCATCGCTGGTTTGACGCTCTTTCAAGATCACAGTAGTAATCCGGCGGGTCAAGCTTGGAAAGGACGAACTGGCGTTTCCCAATGAGGTCTTCGCGATGTCGTCGGGCCGCTTCCTCATTGTCGATAATGTGAAGCCGTTGAAGATGCCGAGACAACTCGCCAACTTTGTCCTCGATAGATCGAACGGATTGGCGGACGTCGGCAATGGTAGCCGTGAGCTTTTCATCTGACAAGAGTTCCCGGTGCTGCTTGAGTTTAGTCAAGATGGGTCCGAACTGGGTTTTGAAGGTCCTCCAGGCCGAGTGAAAAACCGTCTTCCAGCCTAGTAAGGAGGAATGTTAGGTTACTTGAAATTCAAGAGACCGGGGATCATAAAGTCGTAATATACTTGGTCTTGAGAAGACAGCAAGGGCCTTCCTATGAAACTCCAGCACATCGCAGTAGTATTTCTGCAGGTAGATGCCGATGTCAGGATGATTTGCAAGAAGGTTCTCGTATTGCGACAGGCTGGGAAGAAAGTCGCCAATTTCGGCGTACGTGTCGACAAGACAGTCCAGCGTCTCGACCCAGGCGCCTGCAGCCTAATACAAGGCGCATCATTTAATTTAGTTGAAGGTGCCGATAGGGGCGGGCGTTTGCGACGTGGACCCAGAAGACTCACGAGGAGGACAAATTTGATAGGACCCCAAACGAAGGCCACGGTAGAGTTGACGTTGACAAAGACCTCGACAACCTTTCCCAGCTGGTCCATTCCCTCAACGAACTTTGCAATCCTCTGCATGCTGCGCTGTCGTCGCTGCGAAGCCAGGCGGGTTTCGATGTCCCTGATTGCGTCTTCGACTTCTTTCCGGGAACATCCCCGGAACTCACGTCGCTGCTTTTCCGTCAGGCTCGCCGCGAAGTTGGCGGTAGCCGCCTGAAAAGTGGCATCAAGTGACTGGGAGATGCCAGACATAGTCATCTTCCCGCAGAGAACATTACAATAAGCCCTGAGCACTAAAGGAGGAAGAGTTTGGGCCTCTTGGGAGAAACGGTAAATGCCAGCTCGATGTTTTGGATGCAACGTAGAATCGTGAGGCAGTCAGCTCTGGTACATGTACGTGTACATTGGCACAAATACCGTGACCGCCGTCAGTTCCTCAGCTCCCTGACTGTATAATGTACACCTGCCCGCGTTACACCAGCCGTGATTGGTGCCCGCCTTTCCTCCTGTGGCAGTGTGACTGCGCGCGCCCAAAGCCGCCCAAATCGGCGCAAGCATTCAGGCTGGTGTTGGAAAAGAAGGGCGGTTGGTGAAGCTCGGTTGCATAATTACCTGGTACCTTAGGTAGTTGATCCGGGCCCGCATCTGGCACGCGGATTTTGCAGCGCCAGATCGCCAGCTGATAGTGTACACTTGAATCAAGCATCGTAAACAGGGCCAATTCCGTGTCGATTGTGGCTATTTGCAGTGTGTAGCTGTAACCTCCATGTTAACGCTATTTGCAACCGTTTCGTAGCTGTGGCGAATGTGGTTGGTCTCGTAACAGCTGGGCGCCCCTCGAGGCTCCCCGAGAGCCAGATGATTGGGCCTGGAAAAGCCTAGCAAAACTGCCTTGCATAGGCGGTGGAAGGAACAAAATGCCACTTTATTCAACGGTTCAGTAACTTCAGTTTTGACTCCCGATCATATCCCCGAGGACTGCAACATGGCGCAGGAACATGATCGTGGAGACTGGCAATGGTCCTCTTGGGCTCCCGCGGCTTCGGCCACCTTGCGGCCCCCAAAACGGCACAAGGAGGGCGACGACGTGCAGAGCGCTTCCCCGAAACGGCAGCGTCCATCGCCATCGCCGGATATCAGTACCAGCCATCCGGTCCCGCTGCTTGGATCCGAGACTCTGTTGCACATCGACATTGCTCCCCCAGTGCTGTCCAGTTCCTCGTCCCCAGCATCGGCCGATAGCGCCAACTCGGGCTCTGTCCCCGTTAATTCGGCCTCATCACAAGGCGCCCTCCCCCAGGTGGATTGGGTTCCCACTGGTGGACCAACCGTGGACGACAGCGATCCTAGGATCTGCTATGGAGCGGTAAGAAGCAACACCTTCTTGCATTCCCGATGCCCTCCTCGCGCTGACATGTATTTAAGCTGTGCAATGTCAAAGCTCGCTTCAAACCTGCTGGTGAGGCTAGACTGCTGGTGTCCGGCGACAGAACATTCTGTCTGCTCAGGGTTGTCAGCTCCAGTCCGTATTATGCCTTGGCAACCCGGTCCCACAGGGTTGTGGCCGATCTCGACTTGACCACTTGTCGCTCTTTGCGAAGCCTGGAAGGGCTGCCAGGCCTAAGATCCGCAGCTGTGATCGAATCCACAGCTGTATATCACAGCCAGGAGAAGGGAATCGTGCCGCTCTCGATCAATGTGTATGGACCATTGTCCAGCGCGGATCAAGTTGGTAGCGTGCTCTCTGCGGCTTCTGCATTCCTTCAGCATCCGTTCTTCCTCGAACCCGGCTGCAAGGACTACTTTAATCCTCAAATATTCCGAACCGGAAACGAGATGCAGAACCTTACACACCTGGTCGGCTTGACTGAGAAGGATCTCAAAGCGAAGGCTATATCGGACGGGATTCAGCACATCCTTGATTCTCTCGATGAGATCGCTCTTTCCAATGGCCCGGAGAATGAAGCCAGCTGGGAGCCGCAGCATCTCCTTACGCGTCTCACGAAGTACGGCCTTTGTTGTCCAAATGGTGTCGTTTCCGCTAATACGATTCTAGACACCAGGTTGCCGCTCTTGGGTTTATACAACGCAGGGAGTGCCTCCACCATTGTCAAGCCATGCACCAGAAATTGCGGCACTTCACAAATATATTGTACGTACTCTCCCCCAACGGGACCAGTTGTGAGCGGCGCTTTATCATCGGTGTTAAGAAGCAAAACAGCTCCCACGACAACATCCCTTCCTACACGACTGGCGGCATACTAGCTGACGTGATGGGCCTTGGCAAAACTCTGACCATGATTGCGACCATCACCTCTACTTTGGCCGCGTCTCGACAGTATCTCAGTAACTCTACTGCCCATGAATCTGGCGTCAAAACTGGAGCGACATTGGTCGTCGTAACCTCAGTGCGTGAGTGTTCGAGGTAACCCTGATGATTTGACATACAAGGGTTAACCGACAACATGAATAGAGGTTCTAGACGTCTGGGAGACGGAAATCAAGAAGTATGCCAAGATTAGCACCCTGTTTGCCTAAAGGAAGACTAAAATCTCTAGACATGTCGAACCCGAGAAGCTCAGGACGTACAGGTTCCACGGCAGGAACCGTCCGGCATCCCCCGGTGTTCTGAACGGCTTCGACGTTGTGCTGACAACCTACGCCACCTTGTGTGCTGAACAAAAAAAACGAGGGATCTTGCACCAGGTGGACTGGTACAGGGTCGTGCTTGATGAAGGTAAGCCGGACCTCCCCTCCCAAGACAATGGATGAAACAATGGCATTCTCTGCTTGAGCCCTATTCGCTGATCCGAGGCCAGCCCACTGGATCCGCAACCAAGGTTCTAAACAATTCAAGAATGCAGCGGACCTCAGATCACTCCGCCGGTGGTGTCTCACGGGAACTCCCATTCAAAACAGCCTAAATGATCTTGTTTCATTGCTGGGATTTCTCCACTTTGAGCCCTTCTCATCCCGCACCTTGTTTGGCCGGCACATTGTGGAACCTCTGGCTAATGACATGAAGAGTGGAGGTGAGCGACTGAAAGAGATCCTACGTACCATATGCCTCCGACGGGACCAGAGACTCCTCCAACTTCCCCAACCACGGCATGAGTTGGTTGAAGTGGTGCTGCAACAGGAAGAGAGGGCGCTCTACGACCGTATCCTGGCTCAGTATGCTCGCGACCTCGACGACGTTGTCAGCTCTCGCGCCAAGGTGAAGAGATATGGCATCCTATTCGCAGCAATCATGAAGCTTCGAAGGCTTTGCAATCACGGGACTTTTGCCGCATCGCCACCAACCGACTCCGCCGACCAGACTGAGCCTGGCCATGAAAGCGAGCTGGGCTGTGAGTTTTGCAATGGGGCCGACGAGGACATGCTGGAGCTCGTCAATCAAGACAATGTCTGCTCCGAATGCGGAAGGGAGCTTCTTTCGACGACAACTAGTTGCTCACAGGCCCCCGCTCCCAAGATAACATTTCGTCTGGGGGAATCGAAGCCGTACTCTGACACCGAAGGCTTCTCAAGCAAAGTTCAAGCAGTAATCAACCGGCTGAGCCAAACTGAGCCTGGGTCTAAGAGGTAAGTCCCGACGCAGCGCAATCCGATCTGCCAGATCACGACTGACCGCTATGTTACTAAAGCCTTGTGTTCTCGTACTGGACGGCAACACTGAACGTTTTGGAGCAGCATCTGCGGACCCGTGGCGTCCGATATCTCCGAATCGATGGCAATTCAACCCACAGCGCCCGACTCCGCGTTCTCGAAGAGTTCCGAAATCAAGACGCGTCAGTTCTCCTGATGACGGTCGGAACAGGAGCTGTCGGGTCAGCAACATCCCCACACGTATCCCGCAGACTTATCCTCCGATGATGAAGCTAAAAGTGCCATCAGACTCAACCTGACAGCGGCCAATTACGTACACATCGTCGAGCCGCAGTGGAACCCCGCGGTCGAAGAGCAGGCCATCGCACGCGCGCTTCGCATGGGCCAGACGCGCACTGTGACGATCATTCGATATGTGGTGAAGAGCTCGGTCGAGGAGGTCAGTCGGACCCGCGCGTGCACTGAACCAAGAAACATGTGAACTTCCTTCGTCTTACCTGTCAAGTAGAACATATTTCACCTCCAGAGGAGGAAGCAAGGCCTGGCCAAGTTTACCCTGGACGGGGTCTCGCAGGACGGAGTCGTTGGAGCACTGGATGTGAGTACCCGTTTGATTGGGGATGGTTGACTGAGCATGATTGAGCTGACAGCCGTTGCTGCAAAAGGATCTGCGATTCGTGTTGGATCTTGACCTCGTCGGGTAAAGAGGTGGACGGTTAATATGTGCACATGCAAGTCGGGTGGTCTCTGTCATAATCCAGCTTCATATGACGGTGGGAATTTAAGCTAGAACTCAACTAGTTACTGCTCTGCGGACTCGGAAGCGGCTGTGGAACTGCCAGTCCATCCGTTCCACACCTTCAGATCCACGCGGGTGGAGGATAACAATGTCCAGATCCTTGGGCAATAAGGGAAGCTCAGAATACACCTTGCCAACATCGCGCAGGAAGTGTACAACATGCCCACGATATTTGTATTGCTGCCCACGACCCTAGCGCTTCTTAGCCTGCGGACCCTCTCGCAGGGAAGCATCACGAAAATCCATTGCACATTCGAGGCACTAAGGGTGCACCATAGTTGTGCCAAGAGCAGAGCACCTCCCTGGTTCTTAATGATTGGCTCAGAGTCGGCTTGCTATATTTGCAGAAAGCGAGCTAATATTAACTAGGATTTAAAAAGGCTGTAGGAGAAACGGCAGACTAAGCCTAGTAGTCGAAGATAGCACTGGGCCAAGAGGATAAAATATTCCCGATCGCATGGATGTCACATCTCGCACAAGCTAGGATTTCCTAACGAGAAAGCGGCAAGGAGCCACTGGGACATTGTACATCTTGCAAGAACAACACTTCTTCTGATTTTAGAGACTTTGTCCCCGAAGGATCGGTTCATTTAGGAGTAGAGGACTGTCAGTGAAGCTGAATTCTTTGAGCATCTCCACATCATCGCCAGTGAACATCGTTGTGCTGGACCATGTTCCTTGACAACGTACCTCTAGAAGTGGCCTCTCGACAGATTCACACATTATTGTTGATGCTTCGCTATTTCTATTTGGTTAGCTTCTACCGCACTGGCGGAAGATAGACAAGTGAACTTTCCGATTTGGATCCGGAGACATGGGCGCTGATCCGGCTCGGAGCCCGGATCTGAGCCCGATTGAGAACGTGTGGGCGTGGATGAAAAACTGGATTGAAGATCACTACGATGTGGAGAGTCTGGGCCTCCCACGGCTCCGTGAGGCTGTCCAGGGAGCTTGGGAGGCTGTGCCATTTGATTTTCTTTGACAGTTGGCCCATTCGATGCCCGATCGGCTCCGACAGGTCATTGAAAATGAAGGGGGGGGGAGGGGAGTTGGGTACTGATACTTATAGCTGCAATACAAACTCCGTGGGTCTTGGTTGTAGTATTGTACTGTGACTTCTTGGTAGTTTTCCTGTTTCTGACTTAGTGGTGGTTGAAGCCACACACTAGGATTTATTGAAAATATTATAATTCCAGCTAACCTACGTAGGCAGAGGCTGTGCTGGCCCAACGTTGGTAATTACTTATTGTAATTACCAATCAGCTTCCCCGCTCCGAGTCTCTCACCACCGCCTTTCTCTCTCCACTTTCGCCCGCTCCGTCCAAAGTTTCGGATACTAGTATCGTCATCGACGTCAAAGTTGCAATGCAATATAGGACACCGCTTTGCTATACAGTCGAAAGAGGGCATACAGCTATTATATAGCTCCTTCTAGTGAACGGAGCTCACAATAGATCCACTGTATGACAAGTACTTTCATTCCTAGTAATTATAAAGTACCTGCTAAGTGGTAACTAATAATACTAGTTTTATTATAATTACTAGTGAAGCCATAATATTACTAGCGGTCTTCTAACGATATACTAACCTGAACTCCGTCAACCACAGTTCTATGTAAAACAACCTCCCCCATCAGATTATCAGACCATCTCCCTCAACCTATACCTCACTACTGTACGTGCAGGGCACCGCGTTGGACTGAGAGACGGCCGTGGCATCAAACTGAAAACACTTCAAATCGGCGCCTGGTGTTTCACGGGTCACGTATACAGAGTACGTGCCATCGTCTTCCGCGCAGGCCAGGAAGTTCCCGTACTGAGATGCCAACAACTGGCCGTCTGATGGGGTGGACCAGCCATAGATTTCGGCACGTGGATTAGGTTTGCCGTTGAGCTCGTTGAAGTAGAGTAGCCTGCCATGACCTAGGCGTTCCAGTTTGTTAGTAAACTCCGAAAAGGAAAGGAACGAGGAGAAAGCGGAGGTATACCTTCTGGGGAGAGGTCGATGGCAACCTGCTGATGGGAGTCGGTTTCGCCGCCGTAGAGGAATAGCTGCTGGTCCTGGACAAATAGAACGGCCGCCCCGGCGGTCAATTCGCCCCCATTACACTGCTCGTCATGCTTGTCCTCGGGCAGCGATAGCCACAGCTTGTCCTTGCTCGCGTTGATGAATTTCATATCAATCGGTCCACCGGGTCGAAGTGCACGGAGGTTGAACTTGCCGTCTGTCGCCTCGGCCGCCGTGCCCTTGGGGGTCAGGGCTGCGGCGGATACAGAAGCCGCTGTGCTGGTGAGGATGGTAAAGGCAGTGGTGAGATGCATGGTCGTGAGTTTTGTGGGGAGCACTTGTGAACCTGAGTTGGTCTTGTGGACTGGGTTGGACAGTGTGTGTTGATGCTGGGCATGTCTCGATGTTCTGAGATTCTTCTTTTAAAGAACAGTTCCGCCCAGCCGACTCCCGCTTCCCTGGGGACCGCGGTCACCCTCCTGAGATGAGAGCCAGCCGATCGTAAGAGCGCTCCCCCCGTCCAGGACGAGATCGGAGTCTAGTGTATGGTGGTCACGCTGCATCACAGCTCGGGCCGGCCAGATTCAGAACCACGATGCCCACCGTGCTGTCCCGATCCAGGAATCGTCAGACCACACTACACTAGCAAGGGACAACTGAGACACTCTATCCAGGGTCAGTTGCCCAACTCGTCCCCGATCATCACCAAACTTTATTTCAATCGAGACCTCCCTGCCCAGGGCTGGCTGGGTGACCGGGAACACTGGCGGTGTGCTGCGAACGGATGGTCACATCCCACCTCATGTTTGGCACGCCAAGCATCTATAACAAGCCTTTGGCCGATGCCAACGTTTTGGGAGTTAATTTTGTCGGATTGGGAGTGTGTCGAAAATAGGTAGTTAATTAGTTGTTCTCGTCGCTCTGTGCAATACAGGAGTGTGGGATTCCCCTTTGACATGTTCCTTGACAGAACCCACAGACCCGACAGGAAGCCGGTGGTGTTATCAAAGGTCCACCCCTGGGTTTCGAAGGGCGGTGGTGATATGAAATAGGGAATCTCATCGAAGTACTTCAAGATACGTACCCTTACCTAAGTATATATAAGTATCTAATGCTCGTTTTATCTCCCAAACTAGGAAGGAAAAGAAATACGAAAAAGAAACAAGGGAAAATATACCTATTCCAGAGCGGTCGACGATGAACAACTGAGAAGAAGCGCTCTCATCCCAATTAGATAGCAACATCTGGTGATTTCGCAGGAATAGGATGGCTGCCCCATTGGCCCACGGGCCGTCAGAGATAACGGCCGTGTAGCGGCCTGCAACACAGTAGTGATGGATGCGATACGCAAGACTAAACTCACGCAATCTCCCACAAACACCCGACTCCGTAAATCGAACAAACGAACAAGAATTCCCTTTTCTATAAAAACAAAAAATAAGCCCTAGAGTATATGTACAAAAACATTAAGTCGCTAATATTACCCGCACAGGACCACCCCCTCCACCCTCTTCTCTCCCCCAAAAAGAGACAGGAAAAGAAGAGGGAAGAGGCAGCCCGTCTTGCCCCAGCATACACACATCACCCACCGCTGCCCAACCCGTTGTCCAAAGCCCCCCATCAATCGCCTGTCATCCACCTCCCAGTCAAGATAAAACTGCAGTTTATCTCTTAGGTAGGGGGTGGACAATAAAAGACGCTGTGAGAGCCAGCCGCCCAACAAACCAACCCCTTTTCCCCTTCTTTACTGCCCAGAACAACCAACTCCTAAACAAACCCGCCAGGCTAGAGAACCCGGAGTAACCCACCGTCATCACCGTCGTTTTCATTGTAGTAGTGGTGTATCAACTCCCACTTCGCTTGCATAACCTTTGTGTGTTCATTCTTGCTGTCGTGTCGCTCAGAGAGAGAAAGAGAAAGAGACGGGTGATCCAGAGACAAAAGACGTAGACAGATAAGAAACAAAGTTATGCGTTGAAAATTCCGAGCCTGTCCACCACCGCCTCTTCTCTGTCCCCATCTCCTTCGTCTCATCCACCATCGCCTTCTTATCTCAAAGAAGGAGTGGGAGATAAGAGAAAAAGGAGGAAGACAGGAGAGGTGAAGGGTGAACAAACGGCCAAGCTAAGTGGAAGCGAAGTGAAGGCAAAGATAAAAAATACAAAAGAGAGAGAGAGAGAGACTGACGCCCTCCAGCCAGTCCAGTCCAGGGCTTCCGCGCTCGCTTTAGATGAGAACAACAGCACCGACCAACCCCGCCAGCAGCGCCAAGCCCTTGCCGCGCAGGGTATCCGCGCCAGCCGTCGCAATCGGCGGGGGGGTCTCGGTCGGCGTCGGCGTCGACACCGGCGTCGAGGGAGTCCCTGAGGGAGTCCCTGAGGGAGAACCCGGGGTCTTCGACGGCATGCCGGGAGTCTCTGATGGGTTTTCCGTGTCGTCTGAGCAAGTGGTGGAAGCAGGGGGTGAATAGGTAGTGGAAGGAGGAGGAGGAGGAGCGGAAGAGGGAGGCGGCATGTCATCCGAGCAAGAAGTCGATGGACCAGAGCCGGAAGATGATGAAGTAGCCGGTGGCGTGTCGGAAGAAGCAGGCGGCACGTCATCCGAGCAAGAAGTAGATGAAGCAGACTCGGATGTAGAAGAGGGAGGCGGTATGTCATCCGAGCAAGACGTCGATGAAGCAGAGTCGGAAGTAGAAGAAGGAGGCGGCGTGTCATCCGAGCAAGAAGTCGAAGAAGAATCCGGCGGGGTGTCAGAAGACGCCGGCGGAGCGGTGGAGTCAGGAGGCGAGGACACCGTCACCGACGTCGGGATAATGATGGTAGTGGGCGGCAGCGGCGTAGAGATGGTGACGGTTTCGCTGGCCTCGACGGTGACGGTGGAATAACCCGTGACGGTCTCCTGGGCGGTGGCCGGTACTTGGACGGTCACTGGCACATGCTTGGTGATGGTTACTGGGACGACATCGGTGATGGTGTGCACGTCCGTGTTGGTCACGGTGATGCTAGCGAGGGAGTTGTTAGAATTGTTCGACGGCAAGAAACAGCAAGCGATGGGTTAGGTCGGGTACTCACGTGTCGGTCTTGGTCATCTCGACGGTGGAACCCTTGATGACGGTGGTGTAGGTGGTCACCGGGCAGGAAACCTGGGATCGTTCTGTTAGCTTGTCTTTCCACTAACTCGCAGTGATTCGCTATTGACAGCGAGAAGTAAACATACCGTTGTGTACACATCAGTGGTCTCGTACTCAGTCGCCACCGAGGTCGTGTAGATGGTCTCGGTCTGCCGAACCTTGGTCACGACAGTCGACGTCGAGGTCCATGTGACCTCAACTGTTGAGCCGCCAACAACCTTGGTCTCGGTCACAGGGCATAGCTCGGTGAGTGTCGTGTAGGCGACTGTAACATTGCTGTTAGTCAATCTCCAGCTTCTACTTTTCACGCGCTCAGTGGATTGCTCTAAAGCTGCTTACCCTCGCCGGTCGACTTGGTCACTGGAGGCCCCGTCTTGGTAATAACGATGGTGGTGGGAACAACCGTCTCAACCGTGCTGGTGGTGGTGTAAGTGGTGGTGTAAGTGTGGCCAGGCTTGGTGTGGGTTTGCGTGACAGGGCAGACGGTGGTGTAAGTCACAATGACCTTAGTCGTGATGGTCTCGCAGTCCTCCTTTGGCCTGGTCCTCCCCAAGAGCGCCCGGCCGCGAGCGGGAATGTTGGCTGCCAGGGCCGAGGCCGCGAGGGCAAGAAGCGACAGGGCGGCCCTCATGGTGATGTTCTGTACTGGGCCGATCTACTGGCGAGAATGACGGCGGACTGTTTTGTTCGAGAGAGCTTGCTGCTAATCAGTAAGACGGGATGGTTAAAATCCCGGGAACTGTAGACACCAGGTAGACGAGCGACGGTCTGGTAAAACCTGAGCAAGCGGACTGATGGTCTGGGAAGAACCCCCAAGAAGCCGGCAATGAGAAAGCTGGATGGGGAGAAGGAGGACGAAAGAGCATCGAGTGACCCGGGAGGTGGTATGTTTATACGCCAGGGCCGGCAAAAGCCCCAGGGCGACCTCGAGGGGAGCCGGAGCTGTGATACGACAGGGGGTTGGGATGTCATTGTCATGTCCCCTGCCTTCCAACAGCAAGGCTTGAGACAATCCCATCTGGGGGTCACAGAGAGCTGGCTGTGGTGGAGAGCAGAGGTGGGACCGCAATTGGCAAGGATTGAGTAAAGCGAGAATTCTGAGGCCTTCGTCTTGCTCTGTCTGTGCCGGGGATTGTGGGGTTGGATACACGCCCCTAGCTGACGTTGTGAGACCGAAGAGCGGAAGCTGGCTTCGAAGACCGACAACACTAAGCCTGCAGACAGCCGTCGCCGTATCCACCATCTGTCTGACTGGCTGGCTCGCCGGCGAAGCTACCTAGCAGAGCTGGGCTGGGTGGTTGGTCCCATACCGGCCGGGCCACTGTTGGCCGCGCAGAATGTCGCCAGGAGGAGGCGAGCTCGAGGCAAGCAATCGTCCCGGCTGTCCGATCCCCCGGGTGCCAATGAAATGTGCGGGTTCCAACACAGCACGGGAACCTCGAATTCTGCGTACCATGAGCGAAGATGGTCTCCCTAGATGCGGCCCGACTGCGTATCTCCCAACCCCCCAAGTACCGAGATCGAACCTAATTTAGAGAAGCCAAGAATTCAGAGGGTTCCCATTCGAAGCGGCTCAGCCGTTATGGTGCTGATTACCCCCAAATTCTACTGTGGCACATACCTAATAGGCATGCCGCAGTGTGTGGCTGTTGCTCGTTTCGGGGCCGGGAGGAGGGCCACACGGCGAAGCATCCTTTCCCACGGCTACACGGCTTCTCTACACATACCGTGTAAGTGCCTCACCTTGGGCAGCCCCCACTTTTTCCGAAAACCCTGGAACATGATGGCCCGGCCAAGCCGAGAAAAGTGAAGTTGCGCCTATGAGAAGAGGAGAAGTAAGACCTTGTGTGTTGCTCCCGGAAGCTAATCTTCGCACCGGCCTTAGCGGCTGTATTCGAGGACGTCCTCGTCCCGAAGAACAAGCTTCTGTCAGTTGTCGTTGGAAGTGTGTGGGGGAGGTGTAATTCTGGGTCCCCTGACAGTGGGTGAGTGGCCGAAAGCGGTTGCTGGGACCACAAAAGCGGGAGATCTCCCTGGAATGGACCAATCATGCCGGCCTCTGCGGGGCAATGACGGTGCCCTGCCAAGCCCATGTGCCCCTGTTGGCACTCCCTCTCACGTTTTGACATGTTTCTGGTGCTAACCTTAAGACCGCTTTGTCGGCCGGCCGCGATCGCCGGCCTGCTTCGGTGGAGTTGTATTGGGGTTGGATGGATTCCTAAACTAGGAAACAGCGGCGGCGCCGTTTCTAGTCTTGCAGTGCCCCCAACATCGCTCGATGAGACCAACAACGCAAACGAGATTGCCGGGCAGTCTGAAACTCATCGCATGGCTGAAGCGGGAAGCAAAGGTTTCCTCATCTTGTTATCAGTCTTTCGTTCCCTTTTCTTTCGATTTATTGACTGGTCTCAAACCCCCTTTTGTGCATGTCCTGTGAATGTGGCCTCTGGCCGATCTGATGTCATGGAAAGTGGTGGCCCGAGGGTGATGGAGGGCCGGGGATCTCTCCCGGGACCTGGCAGCCGGGAGGCCATTTCAATGAACACACCAGCATGGGCGGCCGACGGACCGCCTTGTCCGTGCTCACCTCCGCGGTCCCCAGCGGCCTACTGAGGCGTGTTTGTTGCCCGGTCGGGTTCTCCATCAACCGTTCGCGCGCGACCCAGCACGGTTGGGTGGGTTGAAAATGATGGCTTTTGGCCTGGAGAAAAGTGAAAAAGAAAAGCCCATCTGTATGCCGGTCATGGCCAAGGAAACTCCCGTGGTCGCCCCCGCGATCTGCAGTTGAATCGCTGACGTGGTGACAATTCTATCCAAAGCTGAAGAATAGCCATTTGTAAATTGAGCGAGTCTCGCTCGAGTCTAGACTTGTTTGTTGAATGAGAGTGTTGTGGAATTGACTCGAAGCGGAGGTTGGGTGGTGGGGGCTTGCATTCCATGATCTGCGATTCAACGGCTTACACTCGTTCCTGCCTTCCTTAGGAAACTGATAACATTTGACCCATCCTACAGGTAATCGGAAGCAACGAACAACCCAGTATCTTCCTCTTACTAAAGTTATCCGCGGTCGACTCCACGTTGTTTCAACAACGGAATCGAGTCCGTATTCCTGTGCGAGATTCTTACAATTCTTGGGAATCCGCACCACCGGCATGAAAGCTGCATTGAGTGAGACCTCGATCTGTGGAGAAGCACAGGCAAGGAGAATGTTCAGGCTCCGAGGAAGTACAACATCTTGTTCCCCGCCACCAACAAAACACCCGTAGTTGCGCTTTGCAAACATGGCCACGACAACAACTCATCTGTGTGATGAGAACATGTGGCGTCCGATGGCGATTGGCTCGGTAGAGCCTTTCGGCCGCCACTTTCTTGCCGTAGCGTGCAGCTTGTTGCTCGTTTACTGTCTGGCTGGCCGTCTCCTTAGGTGAGCCTCAGAATGGGTTGTCCGAACTTGCTCCCCAGGCGTCGATTGAGACGGGCAAACATTTTAACCCCCGTTTGGGACGACCGCTCGATCGCGCCGTTCGTTGAGACCGGGCGATATGGCGGTCAAGATGGACGGATGACGGCCACAACAAAGGGCGGGATTGTAACAGAAGCCGAAGAAGGCGGCATGTTGCTCTAGGGCTCAAGTGAGACGGCGGTTCCTACAACTTGTGTACGGGATAGTCCATGGAACGAGGCACATAAGATGCGGTGCAACGCGTCCGCCAACCTGGCAACGCTCATGGACGGAACTGCCGGGGGACTCGCGGTCTGGGGGAATAGCGAAGAACACAGGACGGTGGTGGACTGCGTTTCATCTTCATGTTGGGGCACATTATCGGGGGGTTGTTTGCATCCGGTGCCGCTCCAGTGATCCGCATTTGTTTTCTGTGCCGTTCGATGAGGCAGAGAAGGGTTTAGGAATTGAGGGCCGCGAAAGGGTGCGCAACGGTGCCTGAGATTATTGTGGAGCCACTCCCCTGCAACGAGCCGCGGTGAACGAGCCAAAACTTGTGATTTCTCTCTTCATCCATGACAGAGCGACTTTCACAACAGCATTCTAGGAGCTCCATCAACGGCCAAACCTTGCCTCTAATCTTCATATCTTGAGCCACGACTGCGGGATTGGTCTTTTATGGGCAGTCTGTCAAGTACATAAGTCCCCGACGCTTCTCGGCGCAAAATAACCCAGCTTGTGTGACATGTGACAATACCTGCATCGTAGGGTCAGTGAACCTCGGACCGCTAGAGCCAGAGGCATTCTTCAGTAAGTTTTGGAGGCCAAACTGTCACATACGACCATACGCGCTAGAAAATACGGGATCCCGTCCGCTCTCCCCTAGTCAAACTGGCGACGGCCGGATCAGTACTCAGGTCGGTGACGACTGGGGAATCCCCGGTGTTGTATGTTTTTGAACTTTTTCTCCTTTTCACTTTTTGGCCTACTCGATCCAACCTCAGGCGGAAGTCCAAAGGGAGTTCTCAGTCGACCCTATAGGGCTGGCAAGGCTGGGTAAGGTAGCTTACCTCAGAATATAATCACCCCTGCCCGGGCGAGTAGTGTGATGAGGGTAAGCAGTGTGAACAAATTGGTCATTAATAGTAGTAGGCATTGTATCGCTTCCATCCAAGCAGTATCCCGTCTGATTTTAGAACCTAGAGAGCAGCTTGAAGTACCAAAACTTTCAGTTTTCCACTGGAGCTGGCAATCTAGACTGGTTGAATATGAATGCCACCAAATCCTGGAAAGCCTTGTCGAGATCATCGTTGATGACAATGATATCGTGTACACCCGTTTCTGCGTACGCTAGCTCAGTTTTTGCCTGAGCCAATCTCCTCTGAATGCTCCCTTCATCCTCAGTACCTCGTCCCCTCAGCCGTGCCTCGAGCGCTTCCAAACTTGGCGGCCTGACAAAGACAAATCGCGGCTTCATTTGAGAATCCGCCTTGGACTCCTCTGCCTTCAACTGCTTGACCCCTTCCATTTCAATATCAAGCAAAACGACCGACCCTCCCGTAGTCTGATCAATAACTGTCTGCTTGCTAGTCCCGTACAAATTGCCATTGAACTCGGCAAATTCGATGAAGGTACCCTGGGCGATAAGCAACTCAAACTTGTCTCGAGAGACAAAGTAGTAGTCTGAGCCCTCCACCTCGCCGGGTCTGGGCTTGCGAGTGGTGTGGGAGACTGTCGTTGCGAATGTTCCGGGATATGTGTTGAGGAGTCTTTGACAGAGTGTACCTTTGCCGACGCCCGAGGGCCCGGAGATGACGATCGGTCGGCGTTCCATAGGCACTGTCCAATTAGTCAGACTGATGCGAACAAGCCCAGGAGCTGGTATTGAAGTCAAACATACGAGGAGCCATCAGAAGTCAACTCATGAATGTGTGGATCAGAAGAGTGTGCGTGTAGCAGAAGGCTGGTAAGCTGGTAATTCCCATTCGACCCTACAGGGCTGGGACCAATGAGCGGGCCAGCCTCAACGGCGCTGCATGTTCCTCTCCTCTAGTGTAACCTAACCTCGACGTTGAGACAGAGGGAGCGAGAGATAGGTGGATCTGGAAATACCACGCTACCAGCCAACCATGCTCGACGAGGACATTCGCTTTCCTAAAAAATCTTGAAGAGGAACCCGCTACGCTGAACCGCACCCTGAGTCTCGTCACTTACACATGATATGGTCAGGCCAGCGCCGACCTTACTGCGCCGCCATTAGATGTATCAGCCGGACCAGGCCGCCTAGACGGTCGAGTGCGGTGTGTGCGGTGCTACCTACCTGGTATAGGTGTGCTACCGGCACCAATACCCGAACGCCATGCCATTAGGTACCTCGTTGTCTTCTAAACCTAGTAGCCTTGTTGCCTTTGGGCCGCCTTAATCGGCCTTTCTCACTTATCGAACCATTTCTACTTCTTTTCTAGGTGAGCACTTGGCAGACAAGGAGAACGGTAATACGCCAAGGACATAATCTCAGTGAGCTAACTAATGGAGCGGAGCCTTAGTTTGGCTGTACAAGCAGCCTCCTGATCGCCTAAAATCACCCAAACCTCCGCGTCCAGAAGCTTCGGTTCCGAGACATGATCACAGAAAGCGGGCGGGAGGCTGCCTACGTTTACACGCACTAATTTGTTCATGTTCAGCCGAGTCAACATGTAGAAGTTTGCGTGTCTCGAGGGCGGAAGGTGAGAAGTGGGGGCGGGGTGCCCGTTGCTGCAATTGGCCAATGAGAGGCGGCGCTCCGATAAAAGACCTGCAGCGAAAAAAAAATCGCGGGGGAGGGGCAGGAAGCTGTGCTGCGCAGGGATTTTTTATCGCTCGCTTCCTTCCAACACCTAAAACGGAAGAGAGGCACGATGCCAGGCAGAACACGACCAATTCGATTCGACCCAGCGTGAACAAGATGTCGTCGTCCCTGCGCATCCTCCTCATCGGCAACGGCGGTCGCGAGCACGCGCTTGCGTGGAAACTCGCACAGTCGCCGCTGGTCGAGTCCATCATTGCCGTCCCCGGAAACGGAGGCACGGCTGGTGTCCCCAAGGTCGTCAACAGCTCGGCCGTGGCCGCCGACGATTACCCGGGTCTCGTCGAGCTCGCGCGCAAGAATGCCGTCAACCTCGTGGTGCCCGGCCCTGAGGCGCCCCTCGTTGACGGCGTCGAAGGTTTCTTCCGTGACGCTGGCATCCCCGTCTTTGGCCCGTCCAAGGAGGCTGCGCGCATGGAGGGCAGCAAGACCTTCTCCAAGGACTTCATGAAGAAGCACAACATTCCGACCGCCGCGTACGAGAACTTCTCCGACTTCGAGGCTGCCAGCCGGTACATCCAGTCCGTGAACCACAATGTGGTCATCAAGGCCACTGGTTTAGCGGCCGGCAAGGGCGTGCTCATCCCGCAGACAAAGGAGGAAGCCCTGCAGGGGCTCAAGGAGATCATGCAGGACAAGTCCTTTGGCTCGGCCGGTGATGAGGTCGTCATCGAGGAGTTTCTGGTCGGCGACGAGCTGAGCATCCTGTCGTTCTGCGACGGCACGACCATCAAGTCGCTACCTGCCGCTCAGGACCACAAGCGTATTGGAGACGGCGACACCGGCCTTAACACGGGCGGCATGGGCTGCTACGCCCCGACCCAGCTGGCGACACCGCAGCTGATTGCTCGCGTCGAGCGCGAGATCCTCCAGCCCACCATCGACGGCATGCGCAAGGACGGCTTTCCCTTCCGCGGCTGCCTCTTCACGGGTCTAATGATCGCGCCCGACGGCACCCCCAAAACGCTCGAGTACAACGTTCGTTTCGGAGATCCGGAGACCCAGACGGTTCTTCCCCTGCTTGAGTCAGACCTGGCCAAGATCATGTACGCCTGCGCCGGTCCCGTGCCGTATCTCGAGGACATCCAGATCAAGGTGTCGTCCAAGTTCAGCACCACCGTGGTTGTCGCGGCGCCGGGGTACCCCGAGTCGTACCCCAAGAACATCCCGATGCAGGTCGCGGATGCGCCCGAGGGCATCAATATCTTCCACGCCGGGACCAAGCTCTCGGACGGCTCGCTGTTCACCTCGGGCGGCCGTGTCATTGCGGCCACCGCGCAGGGCAACTCCCTCCGTGAGGCGGTCGACAAGGCGTACGAGGGCGTCAAGCTCATCAACTTTGACCGCATGTACTACCGCCGGGACATTGCGCACCGTGCGTTCCGCGCAGCCGAAGCGGCCTCCGCCGACGGCAAGCTCACGTACGCGCAGTCCGGTGTGAGCATCGACGCCGGCAACGAGCTCGTCAGCCGCATCAAGGCCGCCGTCGCGACCACCCGCCGGCCCGGCGCAGACGCCATCATCGGCGGCTTCGGCGGCGAGGTTGACCTCTCGGCTGCCGGCCACCCTGGAGCGCCCATCATCGTCGGTGCCATCGACGGCGTCGGCACCAAGCTCATCATCGCGCAAAAGATGAACAAGCACGACACGGTCGGCATCGACCTCGTCGCCATGAACGTCAACGACCTCGTAGTCCAGGGCGCTGAGCCGTTCATGTTTCTCGACTACTACGGCTGCTCGCGCCTCGACGTCTCCGTAGCCACCTCCTTCGTCGAGGGCGTCGCCAAGGGCTGTCTCGCAGCCGGCTGCGCGCTCGTCGGCGGCGAGACGGCCGAGATGCCAGACCTCTACACCGGCGACGACTACGACGCTGCGGGCGCAGCCATCGGCGTCATGCGGGCACCCCAGCGCCTCCCCCGCCGCGACGCCATGGTCGAAGGCGACGTCCTCCTCGGCCTCGCCTCATCCGGCGTCCACTCGAACGGCTTCTCCCTCGTCCGCCGCATCATCGCTTCCCGCGGTTTGCAGTACACCGACCCTTGCCCGTGGAGCACCAGCAGTCCCCCGCAAACCGTCGGCGACGCCCTCCTAACCCCGACCCGCATCTACGTCAAACCCCTCCTCACGGCTCTCTCCAACGTCCCCAACGCCATCAAAGGCATGGCGCACATTACGGGCGGCGGCCTAACCGAAAACATCCCACGCATGCTACCGCCCCATCTCTCTGGCGAAGTAGACATTGGCAGCTGGGACGTGCCGGCTGTATTCAACTGGTTGGGCCAGTTGGTCGAGCCGGCCGAGATGGCGCGGGCGTTCAATAACGGATTGGGGATGGTATTGGCCGTGGACGCGGCGCGGGCCGAGGAGGTCGCGGCGGTGTTGAAGAAGGAGGGGGAGACGGTTTGGACGGTGGGACGGTTGGTGACGAGGGAGACGGAGGGGTGTGTATTGAAGGGGTTGGAGAAGTGGGCGGGGCGGAAGTGAGATATTTGTGTAAATGGACGTGCGAAGCATTAAAACGGCCGTTGTTCTTTAGAGGGTATCGAATCGATTAGGGGCGGTATGCGTCTGTGTTTCCTTTTCCATATCCTGCAAAAACAATACTTTGGGAGGATAGTTGTACACACAGGAGTAGAAAAAACCAAGGATCAAGTCCATTTTCCCTAGACAAGAGGCATCGATGGCTCAGGGATTGTGCGTAAATCCATAGAAATGTGAGTGACTGTCTTCACAGTTCACTGTAAGCAGGCATGGGCTGGATACTGTCTCGTCTGTGTAATAATAGTTAGTGTTCTCTCGTGGCTGTACCGTAAGTATTGTACCTCTAACGTGCCGGTATTTACTACTGGGCACTCACCATCATGTCCATTTCTCTTTGTTCTTCTCTTCCCTGTAGTATCAGCACAGACAAGCCTACCCTATCTGTCGAACGTAAGAAGCATGTAAACTTACTCACAGACAGCTACTCAACTTCACACGATCTACCCCTTAAAAACGGCAATACTTCGTGTAAACATCTCTTATTCATTGCTCCGCCTCTAAAGGGGTATCGTATCGTAAACGTATACGTAAAAACTCTATACTTCGCCGGTCTTGGTCTTCCTTTCGCCTTCCGTGCTCCCGTTAGTCTATTTCCTTTTCATTTCCTTAACTTCCCGTCCATCTACTGCGCTCCGTCCTGCCCCATGCCAACGGCCCTCTCCAACTACGGCATCTCCCAAACCCAACAGGCTCCTCTTGGAGAATACGCCTGCGGGGGCCAAGGAATCATAGCCAAGTTTGCCCATGGGACAACCAACGCATCCACCCGTTACCAACTTTCCTTTCTCCCCGCCGAACACTCTCAAGCATTAACCCTCATATCCGACCCCGTCGCCTTGGACGCTACCCCATTCGACTCCGTCGCTGGCGCTACCTTTGTCGCACCAGCCTGCAATCCACGCGCCTTCTCGGTCAGGGCGTGCAGCTCGTCGAGCATCAGGTTCCGGGTGGTGCGCGTCAGTTCGTCGACGTCGGCGGCCGTGAGACCCGTGGTTGGGATCGGGTCGAGGACTGGAGTTGGTGGGAGGGTCAGTAATGCGTTTAAAGCAGGTTTGAGAAACAAAGGGGGTGGGGGAACTGAGAGACATACCCTTGCATGGAATGCGACCGGCGTTAAACACAAGCCCCTTGACCCAAAGGACGTGGCTGTAGTTGGCGACAACCACAGGAACAATGGGCACCTGGGCCTGGACGGCGAGATGGAAGGCGCCCTTCTTGAAAGGTAGCAGCATAGGCTCCTTCGCATAGCTGCGGGTGCCTTCGGGGAACATGTAGACGCTCTGGCGCTTGTCGCGGATCTCGTTGGCGGCGCCCTGCATAGCCTGACGGGCGTCTTTACTGTTGGCGCGGTCAATGAAGACGCTGCCGCTGAGGGCCATGAACCAGCCGAGGAAGGGCACCTTCTTGAGCGACGCCTTGGCCGTGACGCTGCAGTACTTGGGGAACATGCAGCCCAGCATCAGCACGTCCAGCTCGGTCTGGTGGTTGCCGATGAAGACGGCTGGGCGCACTGTGCCCAGGTGGTTGCGTGGGTCCTCAACGTCGAAGGTGACGCCCGTCGCGAAACCCATGAGGTACTTGAAGCTGCGGGCGACGGTCCACTGGGAGAGCTGGCCGCGACCGACCAGGCGCAAGGCGACGGACGCGGACACGCCGTAGAGGGAGCAGACGATTAACGACATGTACGAGGCCAACACCCTGGCCACGAAGGCGGCCTTGGGGAGGACCAGCGAGAGGGCGTAGAAGAACATCGTGAGGGCGATGTACCCGACTAGCAAGCAGCCGGCATAGTAGAGAAGGGCCGCCATCTTTAAATAGCGGGGCGCCCGGGGCTCGGACGAAGCGCACACAGAGAGTCGGAATGGAGGAGTGGAGGTAGGTGGGAGGTGCGCTGCAGTGAGGCAGCAGGCGGTTTCCGCAGCGAATTTGACGTGCGTGCGGATGTTCTTGCCTCGGCGATGTCGGTGCGGATGGCTAAGCGACAGAGGGGTAGGACTCGTTTTCTGCCGGCAGAGCTCGGGTGCGATGCGCAGGGCCTCTAGGGTATGGGCGTCATGCACCTCTCTGGTCGGTATGAGGTATGTGTGTCTGTCGTCTTTCTCTCGTCACTCGTTATGTTTCTTGCCCCCTCGTACCGAATGTTCTGTGGTGTACTCGGCGGCGGGTGGGTAGTAATAAGGCGGATAAATAGGTGCGCGTGTCGAAGGCGATGGTGGGAAGAGTTGAAGGTTTCGGGGTCGTTCTCCTTCGTGCGGTTTAGGGCGTCCTGGTCATGCCTGGTAGGTCATGCTTCGAGGTCGTTCGGTCGGTCGGTCAGGGGAAGGCGGAGCCACCAGAGAAGTGCACGTGTGACCCTCCGGTGGGTAGAGATCGAAAGTTTTTGGACGGGCCGGGCTGGGCCTTGGGACGGCAGATTCGCCGTGTGGCTGCATCCATGCGTGTTCAGCAAAGAGGTGGGTGGGAAGAGAGTGTGGGGAAGCTGAGATCGGCTTTCGGGGTTGTGAGTGGTCAGAAGTATCCAAATGGCCCACATTATCCTGTTGTCGTTGGGAAATCGTTGAGAGCAGGGGTCTCTCGTGGCCGATTGTGGCGGTTGTAACTGACAACAACAGACGATACATCAAAAGTCGAGTTGAACACATTGAAGTACGTGAGTAGGTACGTCAGACCACCTTCATGCACTTCAAAAGGACAATTTACTAAGAGGTTGGTTTCTAAGACGGACGTGAGAGACCGGTTATTGCCACAGTCCCTTCCGACCTTGTGGGTCCCCATTTACACAGTACGTCGCCTTCCTTCCTTCCCGTGTCAACCTCGAAACATCAGACCAAGGTAAAAAAGTGCAAAAGGCGAAGCTGCGTACAACCCTAGGATTCGAACCGTTCGAACTTTGTGCCTCCGAAATTTCTTGCTTGCACATACCACGCATGCGCACCCGAAATTTCTGGCTAGCTGATTTGTATTGAGCGCAACGCAATTCCACTCGACCAGACGGCCTCTGGTAAAGGCTAACTTGAAAGCAGTGCCCGAGGAAGGAGTCTATATACCCTCTCCGCTACGCACCTCCTTTCGAATGCCTTTCTGACAACATTACCAACTTCTGGTTTTCACATTTTCAAACTTTTGAGAACTTGACTTTTTTTAAATGCTATAGAAATACATAACTCATTCTACATCACAACACTCCAATACCTGAAACATGTGATATAAACTCTCGGGTACTTAGCGACTAAGTCTCCTCCGGCTTTGAATGTCCAAGCAACCAAGAGCCTTAGATTCTCTGCTACCCGCAAACCCCTTCCCCCGGCTAGGCCTCAGACGCTCCCTCCTTGTTCTTGGAAGAGAAGCCGACGTGCCGACAAAGTCAGTTCCGAGGTCTGCGACGGGATGAAACCGGCATAGCCACCCAGCATCGCTGGTGGACCTGAGGCAAGTCATGGCCAACAATGAAAGTTCAACCCCGCTGCACCACAAGGTGCCAAGGCGGCTCAGCAGCGGGATTGGAACAGCAGGCCACTTCCATGCACCCATGCAGCAGACCCTAGAACGCGACACTCCCGCACTGCAACTTCAACCGCAGCAACTTCCGCACAGTCTTGAGCAATCTGAACAGCCGAGCGATCGCTTTGCTCCATCTCGGTCCTCGACGACTTGAGCGAATTCGGATTTATCGATCGATGGAATGGCCATGATTGACTGAGGTGCAACGCTTTCTCTTTCTCGACGACACGCCCGACGATTGGACGATCGACGATCAACGGTTGACGATTTCGTTCTGACTTGGTTTCGATTCCAACTGACGTCCAATATTCCCTTGAATCGACCGTGCCCTTCGCATTGTCACGAACCCGAGGAGCTCGAAGTCAGGATGGTTAGATCTCTGCAATAGCGCCAATCGAGCTCGCTTTTGTGGAGAGACGGCAAGACCGTAAACGAAGAGACGACCGCGGAGCGATACCTCGACGATACCTCGGGACCCAACCTAAAATAAACAAACATACTCCCCAACACGGCCACCATGGCTGCTGCATCCCGCCGCGGCCAGCCGCCGCTCTCGGTCCACCTACCACAGCACCCGACCAGCCCCCTTCCCGACCTCCCGCCCATCTCTGCCCTTTTTCTAATCGACTTCGATGTCAAGGCCGGCTACACCATCACATGGAAGCAGGCCGTACCGGGCCTCGAGCTCGAAGGCACCGTCGAGTACAAGAGCCTACCGTCCGGCCTCCACACCGTGCCCGATGACCTAATCTACTTTGTGCACGATGGCGGCCACGCCGGGCTGAGCGCCTTTGTGAATACCCCCACCGACGAGGAAGAGACCCGCCACGCCCGCATGATTGCCGTCGGCGTGCTAGTGCCCCTCAGCGCGGGCCGTCTTGGTCGGGCCTGGCGCCACGCCGAGGGTCTCAAGTCCATCGCTGCCCGTCTAGCTGCCGACCGGAACCAGACCCAGCTCCTGGACGAGTATTGGGACGAGAACGGCGTCGGCGAGACCACGGCGCCGCAGCCGCTCAAGGACATCCCGCCCGAATCACCGCTACTGGGCGTCAAGGCTGTCCGTCCGGGAGCTGGCAAGGGACACGCTAGAAACCGCTCCGCCTCAGACGGCGCTGCCTTGATTCCGCCCGGCCACCGTCTTTCCCCTTTCCACCCCGCCTGGAGCCTGACCGCGCTGCTGGATACCTTTGGGCCGTTGATCTTCCCCATCCAGCGCGCCGCACTGTTGCGCAAGCGCATCCTGATTTCCTGCCATGCCCCGGTGCATGAGGTCTGCAATTTCGGTGCGCACAACTCTGGAGAACCCTACGTCCATGTACCGGTTTGAGCTAACGCTTTTTCGTAGTGTACGATATCTCCGTTCTGTCTAATATACCCCTTTCAGTATGCGACGTCATAGACACTGCGGCCCCAAGCCAGCGACTGCGGCCGCTCTTTTGCATCGGCGTCCACGACCTATCCTCTCTGCTAGAGTACCAAGCACCAACAAAGCGGAGTCGGCGCTCCAACGACAGCGACGATGAACCTCACGACGACGACAGCGCTGCTGGCTGGGTGGCGTGTACCACCGACAGCATCCTCGCTATGAAAGAGGGCCTCTGGGATATGCTCATCACCATGCCACCGCCGTACTCGTCCAACGCCACGCAGCGCGTCTGGCCCACGGTAGAATGTCCGAAAGGCGTGTCCGTCCGAGCCACCCAACGCGATCTGCGCCGATTCCGCTCTCTAACCCTCGGTCTCGCCCGGCTGGCCCCTCCCACCGCGAATCCCTCCTCTACCCGGCCGCCACTAGCCTCCGTCCGCAGCCCGCCCTCCGAAGCGAGCGACTCCCCAGTTCCTCCTGTCCCAAGCATCCGCCTTTCTGCAGCCGCCAGCTCTTCCCGCCCGGGGACCGCAACGGCCACAACCGGAGACCGCCCTTCAGGCTTCCCAACCACAAGCTCCGACGACGACACCGATACCATTGTGGAACCCACCACCTGGGCCGCTCTGGCCTACAACGGCTTCATGTGGTGGGCCTCCGCTGGGGAGAAGCGTCACAGCGACGAAGTCGACGAGCAGAGCCACGACGCCTCCTTGCTCACCGACCTCGCGCCTCCCTTCTCACCCTCCATGGCCGCCAGTTCGCCCCATCTTCGCGCGAACCGGCAGCGTGAACCAAGTCTGACCGCGGCCGCGGCTGCCCCTGCTTCAGGCGACATGGTCTCGTCACTTGCTTCTCTTGCAGCTGCCCGCCCAGCTGGCGACGATGAAGAAGACGAAAACGACACCGATGCTCACCACTCTCACCCCCACCATACCCGCCGCAACGACGAAGCACAAGCCCGCATCGAGTTGGCTGTCGTGGCTTATTTCCACCGTCTCACGACATCTATCATGACCGTCCTAGCGGATATTGTCGATTCCTCAGATGACGATGATCTGCTTGGTCTCGGGCTTTTGGGTGGTGGCGGAAGTGGAGGTGGAGGTGGTTATTCCGATTACACAGATGGACCACCATCCCGTGGTGGGGAAGGTAGTAGCAGTGGCGGTCTACGAGGCCGTCGGCGCGGGCACCACGACGAGGACGAAGACGACACCGCGCGATTACTCGGCAGTCGATCCAGTACCGGTATCAGCACTAATACTACCAGTACCCGCGGCAGTCAACCCCAGAGTCGACACAGCAACGGAGACAGCAGCAGCGGGGACGACGGCAACGGCGACGAAACGAGCCGATTCCCCTGGGTCCGGATCGACAGTGAGGCGCTGGCGGAGATGGGGCTGGATGTGTGGAGTCAGGCGGATGCGGACTTTGTGGTGGATGTGGCGGCGAGGTATTTTGCGAGGCGGGCGTATGTTGAGACGAAGGGGGTGGAGGTTTGTGGGGTTAGGGTTTGCTAGGGAGGAGCGGTAATGGGTTTATGAGGTAGGTGGGTTATCTTCTGGACGTGGTTATCGCGGGCGTGAGTGATACTGGATTAGCAGATTAGCAGGCGAGCGCGCAAAGCACAAGGCAAGCGGGAGCGGTTGTATGAATGGTAAATGCTGGGGTATATATTTGGTGATTGGGGGGGCGTATATACATCTTTTTTGACGTTGTTTAGGATCGCGATATGATACCTCTGTATTATATGTTTTTTTCAGGGGTTGAAATCGAGCTGGTTTGCGCTGGTGTTCATACATTCTAACCCTAACCCTTAGTATATTTCGTCACTTACACGCTGCATCTAATCGACCGACCGAAAACAATGTGACAGCAGGTATTCGGGGTCTCCAATTCAGGGCTCACAACACGTTTACGAGGCCCTTCATAGAAGGGGGCACATATCCAAGGCAACTCTATGGACGCAATTTCAACGGCCTGTCCAACACAGCATCGTATGGTCCTCACCTTTCATCTCTATTCTAGATCCTAGCGAAGGAGTATGGTTATTGGGACTGTGGACATCACTCTTTTAGCCGTTTACGACAGGGCTTCTAGAAATTGTTAGTTCTTAAACGGAATCTTTGGAGAGCCTTCAGCTAGAAAAGAGGGAGCGGAGTTTTGCCTGATACCGCTCCTCATCTTCGACCTTAGCTTTCACAATCGTGTCGATATCTTCCCTCCAGAAAGCTGAAGTCTGCTTTAGATCCGAAATCACATCTCTGTTGTCGCAGAACTTGGGCGCAATATGATCCTCGAAGAGAAAGAGCCAGCCGTTGAGTGACCTGATGCAAGCCCAGAACCACACTGCCTTAGAAACCCATGTGTTCAGCATCGTCCGTGTAATCGGAATGTCATGTGCCGGAGGGATAGTTATCATCTCCTCTTCCATTGCGGCCAAGAATGCCTGCCGCGCTTCGTCAAACTGCTTATACTCATCGTTGATGATGTTGTCGATACTACAACTTGTCAACCAGTACGGTACGGCTAGCATTTCCGCTGGCAGCGAGCAAATCCACTCGAGATCGATCAGACAAGTGACGTTCCACTCCTCGTCTACAAAAATGTTGCTCTGATGGAGATCGGTAGGTTGTAGGAGGAATGGCCCGTTCTGGCGTTCCGGAATCATGAAGTGGTGCATGACTGTCCGGAGTAGCGTCCGGATGGTAATGCGCTCGCGGGCTTCCTCATCATCGCGAATGGCGTGGGCGTAGTGGAGGAAGTAGTTATCGTGCAGGGTGAGCATGTCGTAGGCGAAGGCGACGGGGCTTTGGTAGAGTTGGCGAGGCTGTATGTTTCGTGGTGTCCTGCTGTTTTCAAAGATCATCATGGTGGATATCAGCGGACGGTTTGTGAGCGTAATTGTCCCGTCACTCTGGTTGAACTTGAAAGACCCAATGTGCGGTTGCGGGAGACGAGCCAGCGAAAGCATCGTACGTGCGATGCCATGAAACAGCCGCGCACGGCGGTTAGAGTCGTGGCGATGTTGTGCCCAGGTCGCTGAGAGCATTTGGCCGGTCTCAGGCCCAATGTACTCCAGGAGCATATAGGCAGTGTTCACCGCCGGCGTGCATGGGACTCGCGTGTAGTTTGACAATAGGGCATAACCAAGGAGAAGATATGTGAGTCTCTTAAGGGAATGCCAGAGGCGAAAATACCATGGCCATTGACTGATGTGGGCAAACTGGGCCGGGAGAAGGGCATGAGCCAAAACGCAGCGCCTAAAGGAGATAGGGAAACACAAACCTGGCTTCCACCTGCAAAACCAAAGGCATAGAGGTACGGGATACGGATATCGGTACAGTGAGCTTGCATCCAGGCGTAAACCGCCGCCTCGCAAGAAACCTTCTCATCAATGGTGCCGGGGTGGTGTTGCTCGGCGAGCTTGTGAGGCATCGGGCAGCGGAAGACGACGCGACGAGACTCGGACGAGGCCCGGGACCGAACGTCGACGAGGACACAGAGGTTGAAGCCACCTTGAATCCATGAGTCTGACGGGAGAACGGCACAGCTGTCACCGCGGCGCAAGCGTAGATGGTGCCTCACCACCACGACGATCGAGTCTCTCTCGAGGCGAATCTGCTCCCTAAAACGCTCGGCAGCGCGTTGATGCTGGATGGCGAGAAGAAAGTCGTCTTCGTCGTCAGCGGCTGAATTAAGCGTGCGTTGCCGCCCGTTCAACAGTATACCGGCCATTGCGCGTGACGCTGTGCGCTGGACGGCAAATGGGCACGCGATGAGGAAAGAAAGGTGTAGTTGTTTACACTTCCAGGCGCAGGTGGTTGCCGATGCTATCTGCGGGTACGGATTCCGTGTGGGAGCTGAGCTTTAATTACATACCTTACCATGTAAGAAACCTCTCAACCCTGGCACCGCGCGTTAAGCACTAGCGAAGATCCCCTTCCTTTTCTTCCTGCGTCGAGTCATCCCAATAGCTTCAAGTCCCGGCCCGTAATCTACTATTGTTCCAGCCGCGTACACATAAACCTTTGATCGTTTAGGTGCCGCGAACGTGCGACTTGGACGTGCGGGTTGAAATCAAGCTTCCTTATGCCGATAAGGCACTACCTGGCTGTGGCCAAAAAAAGCGGCAGACTAAAACCGATAGCTTTAGTCCGAACCGTTAACATTCTATCAAATCTTCCCAAATTTACTCTTTTTGGTCTTTTTTCACTTTTCCACACCTCAATTTCCCCGCGCCCATAACTTGGCCCTCGCCCACTCCTCCATTCTCGTCACCATGGCCCGCACTCGAGGCCAAACAGCAGCCCCGTCACGCGAAAGCGCGCCTCAAAAGCACGCCTCAAAAGCGCGATCGCCTTCAACCCGCAGCCAGGTGCCAATACCAAAGTCTCAAGCGCAAGCGATCAGTCGAAACCGTTCACGGGCCTAGCCCCGGCGCAACCGACCCGCCGACAGTCACCGGAACCTCTGAATGCGCGACTAACCCGGTTGGAGTCTGGGTGACAGAAGGGCGCTGGCCAGAGGAACAGTGCTGGCCAGAGGAGATCTCAGAGACGGACCCCACCATGGAGCGCCTACTTCTGCGTAAGCGATCAAACTCTGCCACATCCACGGCGCCCAGCGATCAGAAGCCGCGGGAGGATAAGAGCGCTCCATATCGAGACCAGCGCTATAAGACCCTCCTCGAGGTCAAAGGCAGCTATATGAGCTATATGATCGAGTCCCTGTTAGACTTGGCCAGTGCTAGCCAAGCTCTTTGCCGGTCCCTTCTCGAGACGATGCAGCCAGTTCCCGGCCACTCCCTCTTCCGCGACGACATCTTCAAAGCCACATGTCGGAAGATACACGACAAAAATGAGGCACGGGTCATTCAAGATATCACTCGGCTGATTGTTCCTTCGGCCGAAAGTCTTGCTACGTTTGGCGCAGAGAGTCTTGATATATCCTGACGGAGAGTGTTAATGAAGGGTGGAACAACTCGATCCCCTTTACTGAACCTCGTCCCCAACCCGACTACTCCGTTGGCTTCAGGCGAGAGGCCTTCACCGAGGAGCAGCTCACCAAACTATCGCCATTCCTTGGCGACTTCATTGCTGGAGACCAGTCCCTCTTTATGACCACCTACTATATGTATTTCCCGTTCCTGACATGCGAGGTGAAGTGCGGCGCCGCGGCGCTCGATATTGCGGACCGCCAAAACGCTCACAGTTTGACACTCGCAGTAAGGGCTATCGTTGAGCTTTTCCGTGCCGTGAAGCGCGAGGACGAAGTCCACCAGCAGATCCTTGCTTTCTCTATCTCGCACGATTATTGCTCTGTAAGAATATATGGTCACTACCCGACGATTACCGGACGTGATCCAAGTATTACCGCTATCCAATTCACAAATTCGACTTTACTACACTCAACGGAAGGGACAAATGGACATCATATCGTTTTACTAAGAACGTCTACGAGACATGGATGCCTACACACTTTAAGAAAATCTGCTCGGCCATCGACGAGCTGCCATCGAGGAGTCCAGTTAAAAAGGCCTAGGGTAACAGGTAAACTATAACCTGATTGTATAGAGCTTTAGATATCTAAGTATTTTGGAAACACCGTTGGACTCACCTATATGTGCTTGGATATATACGCCGAATGTAATGCCCGATTTTTAAGATCGTAATCATACCGGTAGTGTGGTTGTCCAGTTGAGGGTGTGACCAAACCCAGCAAAGACCCGCTCAGGTGCAGCCAAAAAAAAGCGGGAGACTAAAACAGATACCTGACATAGTAAGTCCAATCCATTAACATTCGATCAAATCTTAACAGATTTTGATCGATTTAATCTTTTTGGTCTTTTTTCACGTTTTTAAATTTATTCTTTTTGGTCTTTTTTCACTTTTGTAGAAAAGTAAGTTGTCCAAGGGCTTGGTCTGCCGCTTGTTTTGACCACGGCAAGGAGCCGCTGCAATAATTACCTAGTTGACTTGTAGGGACCCACCTAAGCCCACACGGGCTTTGGAGCTTCCTGCAACACAAACTCGCATCAACTCATCAACTCATCAACTTCAACACCTCACATGCTCACTTCACAAGACCATGGCGTCCCGCCGGCCGGGATTTCCCCCGGCCTCACGGCCATCACGTTCATCACGTCCGCTCTCTCATTCAACAACCCCGTTCTCAGACCCAACCACAATGACGGCGACAAAAATCACACAACGCCCCAGCTCACACCCCAACTCAACCCCAGACCCGGCAACAACACCAACAACAACCACACCAACCTCAAAAGCCGACCCAGCACTCACCGCGCAAACCTCCCTCGCAACCCTAACCCCAGCCCTCCACCTCCTCGAGCGCGCCCACCACCGCAACAAGAACCAGCATCGACTCTCAGGCTGGTGGTGGGCGCGCGCTGATATGCTGCGGCGTGGGGTGCGGAAGCTGGTGGGGGAGTTGGAGGAGCTTATCGGTGATGGGGGAGGCGATAGTGAGAAGAAGATGACTCGTGGGAAAGGGAGAGGAAGGGGGAAGGGTGTGGCTGAGGGGGGGAGGGGGTTGCTGGAGAAGGTGGAAAGGAGGGCTGGGTTTTTGAGGTGGTCGTTGGGGCCGGGGGCGTTTGTGTAAGTTGGGATTTTTTTTTCTGGGGTTTATGTCCTCTTCTCTCTCATACACACACTCTCTCTCGCTCGACGCAGGCTAACAAACACAGCGCCTTCACCCAACTAGCCGCCGACAAAAACTTTGCCCAGCTCGGGCTGATGCTACTGGGTGTACTGGCCCAGATCGATCAGGCCCTTGCGCCGTTCGCGCCGGCCCCAGTCAACGGCGCGGCCGGAGACGTCGGCCAAGAAGCAGTAGTGAGGCCGGATGAACTCCTGGGAGCATCCGCTCCAAACGAGGACACCGAGATGGCGGACGACGTCATGGGCGTGGCTGTTTCCCGAGAGGAAGTCATGGCGTCCATTGAAGGGGACGACACATTTCCCCAGACATCGGCTTCCACGCCTCTACCCCATTCAGAGGAGCGGGAACCCTTTTCCCCGGAAACACGGCCACAGACGATATCCATCCCCACCCACACCGTTTCGTCTAAGAAGCAGTTGACCTCAGAGTCTCGGCTGGAGCGGCAAAACAAGGCGTATAGCACCGGCCCTGACGAACCAGCCCAGCTCAAGAAGAAAAAGAAAAAGATCAAGAGCGGAGGTGATGAATTCGACGACATCTTCGGCACATCTGAGCCGATTTCCAAACCCAAGAAAAAACGGCCAAAGCTGGAAGGTGGCCTGGACTCGGGCTCCGTTACAAGGACAGGCACGAGAACGAACAAGACAGACGACACCACCTCCATAGCGCCAGACCCCTCCCCTCCAATGACATTAACCCCGGCCGAGCCACCCCCCAAAAAGAAAACCTCCTCGAAAGCGAGGGTAGGGAACGATGAGTTTGATGGTATCTTTGGCTCACTCGACGACGACGGCAGCGGCGGTGATGCCGAGGAGAACACCAAGAAGAAGAGTGATAAGAAGGAGAAGAAGGAAAAGGTAAAGAAGAAACGGAAGAGGGGGGATGAGTTTGATGATATCTTTCGGGGGTTGTGATATCAAGCTATCTTACCCTTACTCACGTACAAATACCATCATAGCTTCCGACAGTAATTATAATTAATTGCCCAAATAATCAACCTATACCCAGGCACACCCCTACTTGGACATGAAATGGCCCTACACTGTCTCCTGGAGGATACAATGAACTATTCAAACCCCGCCTTGTTTCAAAACTTCATCGCTTTAAAGTTACATAATACATGTAGTATGTCACCATGATACGATTACTTACATAAGGCACACCGGGCCCATCAATGCAAATATCCTTGCTACGTAACACCCCTCCGACAATACATTCCTTACAAAACAGACTGCCTTCTCACAGACCGTTCCGACAATCTATCATCCGTGATATACTCGCCAACCGACCTCCAAGTAAAGTTCCGTCTCCCTTTATTCCACACATAGAACAAGGGACACACTGACATTTTATATCCTATCTCCTACATGCGATTGACCCAGGAAGGATCAGATCTTCCTAAGCGTGTACTAAGTACATATCAACCCCGCCTAAACAAATCAATACATGACAACGACGGACACGTACAGGGGCCTGAACACATACAGAAACACAATTACACAAGCAGCCTCAACTCGCAAAAGGGTGCCAGAAACATTAAATTGACAATAAAAGAACACTTAAAACCACAAAAAAAAGACACAAAAAACATCAACCACACAAAGCAAAAAATAGCAAAGGTTACAAGATATTTCTCCAAGCCATTCCTGACGCCCCTCCATCCCAGACAGACGGTGAGAAAAACCGCCCCCCAGCTCCTCCAGCTCCTCCTCCTCCATCATAGCCCCGAAAAAAAGTGACGCGTATCACTTGTTTGTCATCCCTCTCTTAGCTAGTTCCTGCTTCTTTCTCCCCCCTTTCCCAATCTGCTCTATCTAACTTCCCTTCTTTTTCTCCCAGCTGCGTCAGCTTAAACTACGGTGTCGCCTTCTTGCCACTTATGACCTGAGAGTCGGTACTGGTATCAGCGCTAGAATGCGACGACTGAACATCTCCTTCCGACGACCTCATCGTCGACAAGGACGACAGCGTTCCAGACGACGACGAATTCGACAGCACATGGCTACCCTACTGCCTCCTGTCAAGACGCGTGTACGACCAGATACGGGCGCAGGAATCGCCCGAGCCGGTGGCGAAGTAGCCGCCGTTCGGGGTGGGCACGGGGCTGGGGGCGACGGAGATGACCGAGTTCTTGTGGCCCTGCAGCATGAGCTGGGTGTGACCCGTGCGGGGATCCCAGAACTGCACGCCGCGGTCCTTGGAGCCGGAGAGAACCCATTCCGAATCGGGGGTGAGCGCAACACTGAGCACGAAATCCTAGATTTTGGGTATCAAGCGTTAGTAGGTCGGGGTCTTACGAGGTGAGCAGGGTAAGGAAGTGGACAAGTGATAAACGTACCCGGTGACCCTCAAAGGTCTTGATGCAACGGCCGCCCTTGAGCGGGGGCTGCTGGCCGTGGCCGATTTGGCGCGACGTGGTGAGCTCCCACATCTTGATGGTCTTGTCCAAGCTGCCGCTGACGAGCTCGCGGGCGTTGGGCGAGAACGCCACACTATAAACGCTGTCCTTGTGTCCGTCAGGGCCCTCGAGGCGCTCGAGGAGGTAGCCCATCTTGACGTCCCAAACCCGCACACTCTTATCCAGAGACCCGGCAGCCACAAGCTTGGTATCGGGGGAGATGGCAACCGTGGTGACGCCGTCCTCGATGGTGAGCGTCAGGTTGCAGTTGCCTGTTTCCAAATCCCAGATCCTCACGGTCCTGTCACCACTTCCAGATGCGATGGTGCGGCCATCACGGGCAAAGTCGAGCGAGTAGATGTCTTGGTCGTGGCCGGCGAAAGTGGTTCGGATTTGCCTGGCAGCAATATCCCAGACCTAGAGTAGAAGACACAATGTTAGACACAGGGCGGGGCCTCAAATACGGTTACAAAAGAAAACAAAAAACTTACCCTGATCAACTTGTCCTCGGCGCCAGTAGCCAGGTACTTGCCATCCGGGCTGAAGCAAACGCTCCTGATGTACAAGTCGGCATTCATATCAATGTTCTCATCCTGGAGGACGCAGATCTTCTCGCCGGTGCTGACGTCGTAGATCTGGGCGGACCGGTTGCAGCCCGTCGCAACGTACTTGCCGTCATGGCTGAAGCGCACACAGCAGACGACGCTCTCGTGCTTGAGAGTGTGAACGAGGTCGACATCGAGGACGCGCGGCACCGACTGGTTGAAAATGGCCCACCAGTCCTCCCGGACCTTCTTAATGTGGTTCGGGAGACGCTCAGGATCGAGCTCGCTGAGCGCATTGCTGTGAGAGGGGGGAGGAGGAGGAGGGTGCTGGGTCATCCGCGCATGGTCGGGCGTGGGGTGGGTCGGGACCTGAGGCGACTGACCCGGTCCGTTATACGGCACGGGAGTGTTGATCTGGGGCGTGGCAGGGCCGGCTGCCGGGGGGCGGCCAATGGCCCGCTTACCCGGACCGGGCGAGGCTGTAGTCTGCGGAGGCTGGGCAGGGAATCCGCCCGGCGCAGGCCCTTGCGGATACTGTTGCTGGAACGGAGGCTGCTGCGACGGAGGCGGAGGCGGCGGTGGGGGAGGACCCTGAAGCTGGGCTGGGGGCATATGCGGGGGCGGCTGCTGCTCCTGTTGCTGAGGATGCGGAGGGGGAGCCAGGCCTCCCTGTGTGACTTGGCCCGAGAGGATGGCACCGATGACGGTGTTGCCGTTAGGGTTGCCGATCTGCGGCGGCGGCTGAGGAGGGGCGACATGCTGAGGAGGAGGGTTCATGGGGCCGGGGCCTCCACGGCTCTCCAGCTGGCGGCGCAAAATGGCGACCTCCTCTTCGTATCTACAAACCAACAAACAAACACATGTTAGAGCGGCCGGGACCCACAAGTCGGTAGGATCATTTTTCAAGATCAATACGGGGTCACTCACTTTTGCTTCAAGCCCATCTGAGCCTGTTCCATCTGATAAACCTTCTCCCGGATCATCTGCATCTCCTGGACCTGGCCCTGGACTGATCGGAAAATGTTAGCGCATAGGTCTAATCACAAGCGAGACAACGCAGTATCAAGCCAGAAACGTGTAAACCGAAACCTGGCGGGCGCTCTCAAAAGAACCCTCCTCCTCCCTTCTCTTCAAACGCGACGGAGGCTTACTTTGATGCTCATAAGTCTCCGTTTGCCGAATGTGGGACTCGAACTCGGCGCGGATTTGGTCGAGAAGCTCGTTCAGACGGCTGGCGCCGCTGTTGGCAGGGGGGACACCCCCCATGCCTCGATGGCCCGGATACATGGACATGGTCGTCGTCGACTCGTTGGATTATTGGATCCGAGTCGAGACGCTCTTCGCAAAAGTCGGAGAGTGCGAGGTGAGGTCAGAAGCCGGCAATTGGCGATGTCCGAAGGACGGACAGTTGGAGGTTTCAATGGGACAATAAATGGATCTGTGCGCGAAGGCCGCTCGGACGGTTGGCGATGATGATGATGATGATGCACAGTGGAAAATTTTCCCCATCAACCGGTGGCCGAAAGGTGCAGTGTCCCCGCGTGTGCGCGCGCAAAAACACGGGCGAATCCAGACAGACAAATTGGAGCGAGCTTGGCGTGGGCCGTATGCACGTTCGTGATGAAACGGCTCAGGGCGCGGCAGATGCACGCTGCAATGGCTGCGCGGTCGTTCCGGGCCGTTGCGGTGGTCGGGTGGACTGGTCGCGATGACGATGATGACGGATCGCGTGTTGTTTCGATGAACAAAGTGTGTGTCGGAGCGAGGAAGAAAAAGGGACGGGGACCCCAGAGCGGAGTCGAAGGGAGAGGGGGGCGCAGGAGCGAAGGGAAGGGAAGAAAGCGGCTGATGGACTTTGGGGGAAAAGCGCAAGGCAACCCGGCCAAATCAATCGCAAGCCAAAAAATGGTACCTTGCCCGACGGGCGGCGGGTGGCACCCAAGCATCCAAGCAACTCAAAAGGAAAACCCACACAACCCACACCCTTCACACGCTGAGCACGCCCACAAGAGACCAAGCTCGCGAGCGCGCGGAGCTTCCCAGGTGCCAGGGCAAGGGTCAGGGTTCGAGTGTCGCGCTCAGGTGGGGACCTCGCAGGTGTGTGCATAACAGGAAAGCGGATACCCCAGTGGGTCTCTCCCGTCGCTGTTCTCGCCGTTCTGGAAAGCGGGAAAAGTGAGATGGAAGGGGAGAGTGGGGGAGTGGAGCCAGGGGGGGCGTGTGCAGTGACCTGCAGAAGCCCCAGAGCAACGGAGTGGCCCGAAAACTGCACGCCTCTACGCTTTGCGCACCCGCTGTGCTCCCGGCCTTCGCTCACGTTCCATCATGCTTTGTGTCCTGTTCCTCCGAATGGATCACGGCCCATGGAGAGAAGACCTTGCTTTTTTGTTTCCTATTTTTCCCGCCGGTCCACCAAGGCAAACGCCATGACGCCTGAAGAGCTAAGGCATCCAACAAAATGCGGAGATGGATATTGAGTCGATTCTCATGGCGTTTATCATGTACTAGGACAGTGCCGAAAGCAAACGGAATCGACCTACACCACATACACTACTGCGTAACCCCGAGTCTCGTCGGTCCGCGTGCACCTAGGCAGTTGCCGTGGCAGATTTGCTTGCTTCGCTTGCTGACCTTGTGACCAAAAAGCGAAGAACTGCGCCTGGCGGTCCCCCTTTTCCCCAAACTCCCCTTACCCACGAGTTCCAAAGGGCTCCAGGCTGGGGTAACGAGCATTTTTTCGGTTGATTCCCCCCTTTGACAATTACACGTAGTGTTATTCAGCCGGCCTTTCCCACAGCAAATTGGAAAAAGAGAAAACGGCCCTCGCCCGGGACCCCACGCTCTGACGCGCTGCAAGGTGCCTTGCAGCCACGGGGAATTATCCGGCTCGTCAAACCGACACGCCGCGCCTTGTCGAGGGCTGGTTCTCGAAACGGGCTTGAGAGAAATGCCGGTGGGGTTCGTCCGGCTCAGTCAGCCAGACCGGGAAATGGAACAAACTTAGGGATACATCATAAGAAGTCAACAACAGCCTCGCGGATCCCCGCATCGGCTCAGATTTCGTCGTTGCGTTATTCCTCACGGTATCCTGAGCCAACACCCTGGGCGTGAACCACACCAGGTTGAAGAAAAGAGGGTGTGTGGGCGAGTGGGGTTAGAGGGTATTTCCCCATTCGTCTCACCTGCAGGTTTCCAGGTTGTGCTCCCGCATCTCCGCTGGGCAGCGATTTGGTACACCAACGATCATGGCCCTTCCACGACACAACCCCCTTGCGGCAGGGTAATGGGGTGCGAATGTGGAAGTGTGGCTTGCCCCGACAAAACGACCGTGGTGTTGCGTTTGAGAGGGTGAGAGGGTCTGACACGAACAAATCGTGACAGCGTCAGACCCTGTCGTGCCTATCTTACCACGCTGCGGGCGGCGCAACCCACACCTTTGGCACACGGACCCATCAACCCGCTGCGTCAACTCATGGATCGGCGGAGGGTTTGTTTCCCTCAAGCTGATGAGCAGGCAAGTGGCACAGCCGAGAAGGTGGGATGATGTTAAGCGAGTTAAGCTACGACGCAAAAGTTCCAACAAATGTCAGACGATGTAAAAACAATTTTTGTTGGTCCGGCTGCAGCCTTCTTCTTCACGACCGTTGGCCCTCACATCGACGACGGTCCGGGTGGCCCAAACAACACGTGGTGGACTTGAAGTCTGTGTGCTCTGCAGAAGCGGGCGGGGATTGCATTTGCCACCACCAAGTAAAAATATCCGTGGGGACGGCCCTTGCTTGCCCTGCCTGTGCGCGCGCCACGCCAGGTTTCGAGGGGTCTGAATGGGACCCGGACGACTCACCGCTCCCGCTTGCGCCCGAGCGCCCCTCGGGAGTTCGTGACTTGGCCGTTCGCACCACAACCAACGGGAATGCAGTCGCATCCTCATTTGGTCGTTGTGGATTGCTTGCGGGGATGCGGATCGACGCTCCGCGTTTCCTGTCGGGATTGGAAAATGAGATGAGGAAAGAGGAGATAAAAACCGAGACATATATCAGCAGCGTCGTCAGCTTTGGGAAGGACAGCAAGAAACAGTCAGTAACATAGTACAACAAAAAATGGACGAGGAAACGACGGTATCAACATGGTGACTGAGGGAACCGCAGATAATGTGGGCCAGTGTAGTGTAACCATCAAGAAAAGCAGATCCGCTACAACGAAAACAACCTACAAGTAAAGACGACAGAAAACAATAGTTAAATACGGAGTTGGACTGCTCAGAGCGACATATGTAGTGTATTCGTGACGTTCAATTCGGCACGGCCCCCAACCTCTTTTGCGTCGGGATCTCTTCCCGATCTGCGGGACACTGCTCGCTCGATCCCAGAGGCCAGCCAACAAGCCCAGTTATCTCCGGAGGCCCAGCCGGTTCGGCAAGCCTGCTGCCCGGCCCGATGCGCGCATGGGGCTTTCGTCGGCCCTTGGACCGCGACCGCTCGTGACGAAAAGGGAAAGGAAAAGTGGAGGGTTTTCTCGATGATGCGATGGACAGTGCTGTGGGTGCCTTGCTATGACCAAAAAAAAAGCGACAAACTAAAACAGATATGGAGCTTAAGTCCAAACGTCAACATTCTCAAATCTTAATGGATTTTGTCAATTATAAGTAGAATCGCTACCTAGAAGCCTGGTATCCATATGATCCCAGTATTGCTGTTTAAAATCTTGTTTTAAACTCCGGATTGGTTGATTTTATTTTGTTCTGTCTCCCTTCGGTTTTTTGATATATTCTTCTCCGTCCCTTTTCACTTTTATAGAAAAGTAGGGCATCCAGGGACTTGGTCTGCCACTGTTTTGGCCACAGTGAGGGTGCTTACAGTACACCACAGCGGCAGAGAAGTTAGCGGGCTCGCGAACTTGGCTCGAATCGGACGCTAGTTAAACCAAAAGTGCATATTGCTTACTAGCCACCCATTATCCGCACCTCTCGCGCCACAGTCCTCATTCCGACAGACGTTGCATGCCGAGGCGGGCAAACTCGGCGCCGCCAAAAGTGACGTGGATTGATTGTGTTGATGTCATCCCCTTTTGATCCGGGATGTTTCATCCGGCTGGGGGAAAGGAAAGGGCTAAACTTGATCGGGAACATGAAACGTCCCACCTTTCGGAGTTTTGTTCCGAGAGAATAAACTGGGAGATATTTAAGATATCGGCTTCCTCCTTCCCATCGTATTCGCAGGTGGGATATCTAGAGAGAGACATAGCTGGGTGAACGGACATCGGCGATCTGAAATCATTTGAAGCGCGAAACAGGTGGCATATCAGTTGAATGATGCGAGCTTGACTCGTTACAACGACGTTGCCTAACTGCTCTAAACCATCCCGTTGAGCACGCGGCCTCGAACTGTGTCCAAGGCCGGAGCGATGCTCCGAATATGTGAATCTCCAGCTCATGCCCTCTCTCAAGCTGACGTCAAGGCCATATATCTATGCTCGTAGTCTTATTAAAAAATAGTCTTCGTTGCTCGTAGTTTCGAATGTTTCCTAGAACCCAAACCGCCAGTCTTTTTGTTGATACTGCTTCTATCTCGTCCCCTTATGGCACTAATGGAGATTGAGGAGACTATGGACAAGTCTCAATACCAAGGCCACTGGAAGCTAGTGCCTCCAAGACGTGACACCGATCGACACAGATCAAGATGGACATCGACTGCGCGGGACTGCGGAATTCTCATTATTATGTACCTTCTAGCCACATGCATCCCCCTCATCCTCCTTTACTTCTGCATGAAACTGGCTGATCATGCCAACGGCTCATCCCCACTCGATACGGCACTGGCATCCTTACCAATTGGATTGGAGACGAGGGCGGCTGGTTTAGGCCAGTCTTGGCAGGAATCACCGTATGTCGGGTATGGTAGTGAGGTAGATGCGGCATGGGATGAGCTCACTCATGGTATGGCCCTCAATAATCTCTCGTGGGGTATAGCAACTGCTAATGGGGAGGAAAGCGAACCGCGTGTTCGTGACCGAAGATGAAGCTTCTGTCTTAGGCACAGCTCATCTAGGGGAAAAGAGCAAAGATCCTACGACCGAGGTGTGGGGATACACAGCTGGTGTCGAAGCGTTCTACCAGCTGCGTTGTCTTGACCTGCTGCGGCGAGAAGCCCATGCGAGCGGACGAATGAAAGGTGATACTGAGATTGGTAAGTGAGCTTGAGCTTCTGATATGGACCGCCCGACCTCTGACAACCGCCTCAGATTACTGTGTCGAACAGCTCCGAGAGGCTTTGATGTGCCACAGCGATGACGTCCTCATTCCCACCCCCAAAGGGGCCGCAGATGAGTTGGGCGGAGAGGGCTCTCGACCTCTTGTCGGTGCCGAAGGAAATCGACAGTGCCGAAGCTTTGAAGGGTTGAAACGGTGGACGCACGAACACTCGGTCGAGTCCGAGGAGCCAAAATAAGGCCAGTGTTTAGGCTAGGGAACCGCGCCCTGGAGTGGGAATAATTGGGGGAGAATCCACCTCGAAACCTTTTTATTCCGTGCGGGCTGTCACCATGTTCTGTCGGCATATTATTTCTTGGCGTTGAGCACTCCAACAAAGCACTTAAGACTTTGTGAAGATCAGGGTAAAATCTGTCTCGGGGCAGAAAAGCAGAGTGGACTCTGTTTTACGGGCAAGAGACCAAGAGGACGAGGGTATATGTATACGGTCCAACGCGTACCTTCCCAACAATTACACACCGTTGTCTGGCCTAGCGGTCACCAGCGGTGGTCCTTGAAAGGGCCTGCCTTGAGCGATGGGTTTGTTCGCTTGACCGTCGAGGTCAAGGGTTTGATTCATGGCAAAGGCAGGTTAACGAGTAGGGATTTTGGCTTGCTACTCTCAAGTAAACTTGCCACACTAGTAGGTAAGCTGGCGACTTACAGTGTGGGTAAAACAGGGTTTCGTAACCGGGCGGCAGCCCGCTGAGCTTTTGCTGGTTAGATATTTTGATCTTTTGATCCTTTGCTTCTTACTTACTTAACTTCGAGTTCCCGCAACTAACAATACACAGTCGTTGGGCCCCCTGTCCCACAGTGTCTGAGTTGTTACCTTCCCTTGTGAGACAATGTTACCTCGTCCTCCCGAGATTCCTTCGACGCCTTGCCGACCCACGCAGAGACAGAGGAAAACGCACATAGGAAATGATTCGACGCGCGCACAAACGGAGAGCAAGGAAAATAGTAACGACTGACAGACTGGGTGGATTCAAGTCACACCGAAAGGAAAAATTCAAGGAACCAAAAACAGCCACCCGCAATAAAACTGGCCAACCCTAAAAACAAAATCCGACAACGACCACCCTACCCTACCAACCACACCCACCATCACGAAAAGCTGACAAACTTCGGGTCCCTCGGTCTCCCATCCGCACCAATCCCATTCTCCTGAAACCGCTGCTCCATATACACCCGCCTTGCCTCATCAAACTTAAGCCGCCTCTTTTTCATAATCCGCAACACCTCCCTCTTCGCCGCATCGTCCAGTCCCGCCCGGCCATCCCCGCCCTCGACATTGCCCGTCAAATCGAACGTGGACGACGACAGGCCGGCTTCGATGTCGTCCTCGAAGGAGCCTGGCGCTAGTCGCGAGTAGAGGTATTCGCCGCCCGGGAGGTGCTGGGTTAGGCTGTGGAATGCGTCTTGGAAGGCTGGGATCCAGCGGGCGCGGGTGAGGAAGAGGAGGGTGCCGGTTACGAGGACGAGGAAACTGAGGCTGTAGAGGAGGTAGCCCATTGTGTCGGGTGTTTTTGGTGATTGTTAGGGGAGGAGAGTGGCGATGTTGGCCGTGTGGTTGTTTTCGGATAGGTCGGAGAAAGGAGATCGGGGTTGTTAGGGTCTCGATATCGACGGCGCCGTAATTCTGGTTTAGGCGAAGCGACTTGTTTACGATTCGGCGCCGCGGGGGAATGGGTTGGGGCGCAAGCTCGCAAGGGAGGATTCGTCAGCGGCAATCAGTTGTGGTTGAGATGCGCCGGGCGCGGGGAAAGTAATAAAAGTTTAAGGAAAAGGAGGTTCAAATGAAGGGAAGGTAGGTCGCGCTATGCGGGTTTGAAGAACATTGTTCAGGCTCAAGAGGTGAGCCTGGGTTTGTTGAGCGCGAAACATTCAGGAGGCCCGAAGATGTGTCGAGAGTGTCGCCAAAGAGGCCGCCGTCAGCTTTCATAGGTAATGGACAACTGACGAATATGGAACACGAGACGACGCACGGGCCAGAAGTAGAGTTAAGTTGTTCGACGGCTAAAACGAAACCGGATTAGCGTAATTACCTCCATCTGGCTCTGTTTGATTGACTAAGCTAGCCCCAAAACGGCAATTTACGCGAGCACACACTCGCCGCACCAAAAATCCAGCATTTGGGTCTGAAATTCGATATCACGAAAACTCCAGACGCCTTGATTCCGAACGTATCGCCCTGTTCAACGTCCATACCGCCAAAATGTCCAACGTCTCCGCTGACCTTATCTGGGAGGTTTCCCGTACGTTATCCTTTGATCGGCGGATCTGGGACCCTTGCGCACGGAATTTCTGACTTAGAGTTTTGCAGGCCTCCAGAACTCCTACCTCGTCAAGACGAGGACTGCTCAGTTCTCGCGGGACCCCCTGAACCTGAAGAACGTGCACTCGCGCAAGGTACGACTCGAAAACTCGAATTTTTGGGAATCAAATGAATGGGTGGGCTAACACAGTGGACAGTACGCCGGGTTCGTCAATGACAAGGTACGATAATCTGGATATTACTTACGGGCGGGGTTTCGAGGCAGCGCGGAACAAGGAGGAAACAGAAATCTAATACGAAGGGAATAGGCTATCGGCATCTCCGCCAACGAGAAGGGTGGCGTTCAGGTGATCAGCAAGAAGCCCGCTTCGGCCAACAAGCCTGCTTCGGGTCTGCACACCGTCACCTACGGCGGCAACAAGACCGGCCGCAAGTTAGTGCCTCCCAATAACTCCCGGGTTCGACGACAGGGGAAAACAATTCTGACGTGACCCTTCCATCTTGAATAGGACCTACCGCAACGTTGCCAACCAGGCCGCCAAGAACGGCTACCGTGCCGACCTCCGCTCCGTGGCCGTCTCCCGCGCGAGCGCCCTCCGCCGCGCCCAGCGGCCCGCGAAGGCCGACCCCGAGCGGAAGCTCCGTGGCAACGCTGCCAAGAAGGCTGCTGCCGCTAAGCAGTAAGCTGGGGTAGTAGTAGTCTAAGGGCGATGGGTAGAAGGATTGGGTTAGGGAAACGGGAAGTGCTCTGTATTCGGGCCCGCACGCTTCGCGCCAGGGAGAGAGCATGACGGACGGAATTGGGAACGCCGGGCAAATTAGGACAGGACGGATTGCTCAAAACGATTACTCGCATTCGGGAAAACGGCGTTTTGACTGATTGATATCCAAACAAATCAACCACCCAGAAGCGGAGTCTTTGCAGCGCGAATGGTTGTGTCGGGACAATACATATATGATGGGCGCACAAACCGCCCTGATGCCAAGCCTTACCTGTTTACCTTGCCACCGTATTTCGACAAACCGAGAACCCACTTACGTGACGCCGTGTCCTGAGTTAGGCACGTACTATGTGCTGTAGTAATGTAAAAAGAGGTAATGGGGAGAAAGGGACCTCGGGAAGTCTACTTGAATACATTCATGTCATTCATGTCCGCAAGGGTGCTTGGTGGACAGGCTTCGGGTCGAGACATGGCGGCATCCCGGTCTCGCCCGATTTTGTCAAACCGAGAACCGGGCCTCGGAAGTTGGAGCGCACGGGAAACTGCATGTGGATGGATTCCTTCGCGGACGAACATCCAAATAATCAATCAGTCAAAGAAGATGGAGGGAAAGGGAAAACAAAAATAAGACGTGGGAAAGAGGCAATGAAACACTTCACTAGTAACATTACAAAGCGCCGAATAGCCGGCTCCTTTACGTGGTACCTTACCTACCTAGGTGTCCGAGGACGGAGGGGACAGCAATGCAATTGATCCAGACCCCGCCATGCACAACACCGTCTCAGCAGGCGAAGACGGAACGCGGGGCAGGGGCTCAGGCCTGAAGGCGCGGCGGTGGGGGAGTGCGCCTGCAGCCGAGTAGCAGCCCGGCTGCCCCGCGACCCCGCCAACCTCGGGGCGTTTCGTACTTAACCTGCCAAGCTCCTCAGACTAGCTCGCGATCGCAACATTGTGTCCTCCTCGATTCTCCCAGTGCCTTTTTTTTGCTGCTGTGCCATCCTCCTCCAGGTAAATTACCCAGGATCCCCTCAAATTCCCTGGATGTTCAATTCCACTTTCACTCGATCTAAGTGCTAACACTCGGGTCTACTTCCTCGTGAATAGCTGACCTTTTATACCCCGCTTCACCTTCCGAACTCTTCACCTTCATACCACAGTCAAGATGGTCAAGGCCGGTAAGAAGCTGTCCTGAGCTCGGGTTTGTGTGCGCGATTTAGGATGCTTGGAAATTAACAAGATGCGCAGTTGTTGCCGGTGCCTCGGGCGGAATTGGACAGGTTCGTTTTCTTACCCCTTGGTTGCGCCAACCGGCGGGTTATGCTAACTGTTGTTCCCTTGATCTAGCCGTTGTCGCTGCTCCTGAAGCTCTCTCCGCTCGTCTCCGAGCTTGCTCTCTACGATGTCGTCAACACCCCCGGTGTTGCGGCTGACCTGTCCCACATCTCGTCCAGCGCCGTAAGTCCTCAAGTTCCTGGGGACGAATGGGTCGTCACTTCGAGCTGCCGACGATTGCTGACGCTGGTTGATAGAAAACCACCGGCTACCTCCCCGCCGACGAGGGCGCCAAGAAGGCCTTCAAGGATGCCGACATCATCGTCATCCCGGCTGGCATTCCCCGTACGTGCTGATATCGATGGTCGAAGCTGCTCCCACGGTAAAGAGTCTGGTGACTGACCGTACCGCTTATCTAGGCAAGCCCGGCATGACCCGTGACGACCTGTTCAACATCAACGCTGGCATTGTCAAGGGCCTGATCGAGGTGGCTGCCGAGGTCGCCCCCAAGGCTTTCATCCTGGTCATCTCCAACCCCGTCAACTCGACCGTCCCCATCTCGGCCGAGGTTCTCAAGGCCAAGGGTGTCTTCAACCCCCAGCGCCTCTTTGGTGTCACCACCCTCGACATTGTCCGCGCCGAGACCTTCGTTGCCGAGATCGCCGGCAAGAGCAACCCCTACGAGCTGACCGTCCCCGTCATTGGTGGTCACTCCGGCGAGACCATCGTCCCCCTTTTCAGCAAGGTCGCTCCCTCGGTCACGATCCCCGATGACAAGTACGATGCGCTCGTCAACCGTGTCCAGTTTGGCGGTGACGAGGTTGTCAAGGCTAAGGATGGCCTCGGCTCGGCCACTCTCTCTATGGCCTACGCCGGTTACCGGTACGCTCCCACTACGAGAAATCCCGAAGCTCCCCTAGTCCTAAACGCTAATTTTCCCCTTTAGGTTTGCCGAGAAGCTTCTCAAGGCCGCTGCTGGCGCCAAGGGCCTCGTCGAGCCCAGCTACGTCTACCTCCCTGGTGTTCCGGGCGGCGAGGAGATTGCCAAGAAGACCGGTGTCGATTTCTTCTCCGTCCCCATCGAGCTCGGCGTATGTTCTCATTTCTCAATTCCTCCGATATACTATAAAAGAAACGCAAACTAACACATGAACCCTCTCTAGCCCAACGGTGCCGAGAAGGCGGTCGACATCCTCGGCGACATCACCGACAAGGAGAAGGAGCTGCTCAAGGCTGCGGTGGCTGGCCTGAAGGGCAACATCGAGAAGGGTGTCCAGTTTGCCCACAACCCTCCCCAAAAGTGAACCCGCCCCCCTTTTCTTTGATTTCCTTACTTTTCCCAGGTAGTGGGATGGCAGGACGGCCCCCTGACCACACCCCCATTTCCTTTGTTGATTTGATCGACGACGATGATAAATGAGGCTATATGCTATGTGTCTTCCCCTCTTTCTTTTCCTTGTCTCTTTTGTTGAGGAATATCTGCGGTGGCCTACCAGCTTAGTCCCGGCCCTTTCTATGGCCGGTAGAGCAAAATAGACAGAATTGCCTCTTTTATGTCAACCCTTTTTTGATCCCTATATTATCTATCCAATTGTCCGCTTCAAATGTCCAGTGGCTAACTTGCAATCCTTTCTTCCTTTTCCTAGGTTGTGATTTGACAATTAAGTCAAGAAGTTCTGCCTGTCTCACTACAGGTGAGCCGATATCGGGGTATCGTCGTCCAGTAATAGATCTTCCCCAAGACTAAAAAAAATACCAAAAGAAATCCCTGAATTTGTTCCCCCTCCTTCGCCAATGCAATGCACGTTTGTTTAACCCCGTTCTCGCTTCGCTACAATAAATCCTGCATCTAGCAAGTGTTTTGAAAGGCTTATTTGGCGGGCAAAGGAACCCCCACGTGGATGAAAGGGGTAAAGGGTGCATTGCGGGGGAAGGAAGAGGCTATTAGCAAATGGGTGGTTTGCTGATGAGGGGGCGGGCGCGGGAAAGTATTTAAGCGGTTGGTTGGTTGGGGTATTTTAGGTATTACTTGTTTGGGATGGGGATGGGAAATACGAAATAGTGGATGTTGGAAAAAGTTGAGAAAACGATGAAGATGCATGCAGTTGTTTGAGGGTTTGGAAGTTGTGGTGCGGGAAATAGGGATGGATGAGAAAGAATACATGTTGACCTAGCCACTCTTGTTGTGATAGGTGATGATGTGAGAGTGAGTGATTATCATCAAGAGGGTGTGAGCGGATTCTATGGGAAGTTGCATGAGACAAACTGAGTGTCAAACCAGAGTTCTTCACACGAACCCGAGGATCCGAAATCGGGAAATAAGTGTGCTTTGGACGTTGGTCTTACATCTATAGTTCTTTTATGTCTCTCACACCAACCTAAAGGCCCTGGCTCACATGCGCCCAAATGCTCGAGGCCGGTTACTTAGTCTTGTGCGCGAGATATTCCTACAGCCCTTACTGACGGACCACTGGCCAGCTATGATTTGCCGTACGCAAGTCTATATATCCTCTCCCAAGGGCAATAGGTTGGCTTGGGTTTGATCGATCGTCCCGGGCGCCTCGCCTCTGCGTATCGCCTCGTCGTCTTCGTCATGTCGTCCCCGTCGCCACCAAGCCGTTGACCACAAGGCCATGGTCTCTGCCGTTGTCCTGCTCTCCCGCCGTGGAAGTCCCCCTCTCCCCTCCGTAAAGGGGGGCAGCAAGATTGTAAAAGCCGCATGAAGACAACTTTATTCTCGCACCGCATCAGACATTACACCGCATCCCTGGGTATCATAACACACACAACCATCACGTTCCACATCCTCTTCATACCGAGCTCACGTCTTAGCCGACACCGTCTTGATCTGGAAAATGGCGCTCGGTAACTCCGTCGTCTCGGCTTGGACGGTCGCCGAGATGCCGAGCCCGGCCAGCGCGCCGCGGACGATACCGCAGGGGAGACGGAGGAACTGTATGAGTGGTTTTAAGTTAGAGATCTCCTGATTTCTGGAGGCTGGCTGGCTGTTTTTTGCAGGGGCGAAGGAGGAAGAATTACCGGCTGGGCGCCAATGACTGCTTGGCTACTTGATTGCGCGCTCATGCGTGAGAAGGGGCGGAAGGCGTTGTCTGTGAGGACATAGACTCCCTATTTGGATTGAGTTTAGCTACCGAAAGAAGAGGGACGGTTATCGGATAACAGAAAGAAGAAACGGAGAGGGCGCGTGCAAGGATCGCCAAAAACCAAAAAGATCACCAGCCGACCTCCTTCACCGGCTGAAGGAGGGTGCTTTGGTTACGAAAACCCCCGATGGGTTTTTCTCCGGATTGAACCGGCAGCCTCTCGGTCGGTTGTCGAGGGGTGAGGCCGCCGCATTGTCGGCCCCCCAGCCAACTATGCCACTTGACAAGTTGAGGGTATTCTGGGGGGCTCGGTGGCAGGAGGGCCGTGGACCTTCTATGTATACCACCGGACGGTAGGTGGTGAGGGAAGGAAGGAGGTCGACAGTGCGGCCTTGATGCCGAAGCGCTGCGCCGGTGGGGGACGTGACCGAAGAACGGGAGGGGGAAAGTGCTTACTCTGTGGTTGGTTTTGAGGTTATCCACCTGTTTCCGGAAGACCAGTGTCCATAGGTCCTTACATATGAACTTGATCACGTCCAGAGTATCATTGAACCGTGGCCTCTCGCGGGAGAACCTGTGGTACAAGTCCCAGTTAGCCCTCTTTTCCTTCCATAGCGGGAATAGCAAGAAACAAGAAAAACGCAACACAAAGCGTCCAACCCATCATCCCCCAACCTAAACCACAGAACTTACCTCTCAACAAGCCCTTGCCCAACCCGATACCCAATCGCCTCCAACCGACAAAGCGCCGCCTCCCTCTCCTCCCGATCATCCGCCACATCCCCCGACCCCAACCCAGAAGCCCCCCTCGTCTCCGACCCTATCCCCCCCCTCGCCTTATCACTCTCTTCATCACCCTCCTCACTACTCCCACTACCACTCTCGCTCTCCTCACTTTCGTCCCCATCCCCATCTCCGTCCCCAGAAAACCCAGCCCGTTCCCTCGCCAACGCAGCCGCCTCCAAATCGTTAGCCACCCGATAAGCCATGGGCACAAGCTCGATGAGGAGGAAGTCGAAGCAGGAGGAGGAGAGGAAGCGGGCGGTTGGGTCGGAGGCGTTGTAGGGGGGCATTACGGCTTCGAAGGACATTTTTTTGGTTTTTTTTTTAAGGGGGGGTTGTTTTGTTTATGGGTTGGGGGTTTTGGGTGGTGTTGGGATTGGGGGGTTGTTGGAGGTTCGCTTTAGCGATGGGATGGGCGTGTGTTGTTGTGGATCTCGGTGCGTTGGGTGGGTTGAGCCGGTAGTTGGGTGATCGGGCTCGGTAGGGCTGTGCAGGCGGGTTCCTTTGTTTGTTGTGTGTTGTTATAGATCACGGTTCGGACTTGAAGGAAACTTCGCGGTTTGACGGTGCGCAAAGGCCAGCTCGTTGTGTCGACGTACGAACTGCGGGCGGGGCAGAAAGGAACAGCGGATGTCGTTGCGAGAGGCTGCGCTATGGCTGCTTATTCGGGTCGAGTTGGGAGAATTCGACGGAATTTCTGGCCGGGAACGCCTATTTAGTCGGTGCGGCGCGGTAGTGGTGGGATTTACTTTGAAAGCTTGTCGTTGCTGGTTGAGGAAGTCAGTCTAATTCCGGAAATGTGACGAAGTGGGAGAGCTCCAAGCTCCGCCAAGCATGCGCCGCTATGCATCTACCCGAAATGCTCTTAACCAACATCGATCTCACAGATCCCTCCAGCAAACGCAACTCTCCCTCTCTCTCCCGTCAGGCACCCAAAGGTAAATAAATGTATACGGCTCAATTTCGTTCCGCCTATTCCTGCACTAGAGAAAAAAAAGAAAGCCACGACGGATTTTGGCTACTGAGCCAGGAAAGTTATCACCAAAACGGTAGATCAGGCCCGGAGACTATGATACCTATCTAGGCCCATCCTTGGAAATCCCCAAGGGCGCAAGCAAACGCGCTCCTCTCCTTTACGCTCGTCCCTCTTACCCGCAAACGCCCCAAACGCCGTCCAGCTAATAGTGCAATTACAATATAGGATGTCCTTCTCTCCCTCAACGCCCAATTTAACCCTGCCCTCTTTCCGCCACTAGTTCCAAGGACCAGAAAGATGACATGGCCACAAACGTGGCCATAAACCCGAGACCATATCATCAGGCCGCGCTTCCCGGCCCCGAAAGCAGACCAAACCGCCTTCATTTCCGCGAGTGATTCGGAAATAATAAGCTTCCCCGCTTCTAAAAGGAAGGTCTAGCGCCCGAGATCCCAGGACCCAAATTGGGGCGTTTCGCCGGCCGCGCCGGTTCGTCATCGTCCGACAGTGTGAGGTCGATAACCTCAGGGGCCGGACGCTTGTTCGAAGATCGGGGCGCGGCCGAGGTGTCCCGGGATGCGACACTTGTCGGCGTGGCTAGGTGCGGTGCCGGCGCGGCACCAGGCGCAGAGCTCGCGGCGCCCCATACGGATGACTTGGTAACCACGATATCGTCGTCGTCTACGTAGCTCGCTTCGTTGGCTGGGGTCGCCTCCTTCTTGGCGCCTGGGATAGCCCACCGGCCGCTTGGCTCGATGGTAACCTGCTCAATGGACTCGTTCGTATGATCGAGGATTTGTTGCGCATACCTATTCCACGTCAGACTAAGTTTTATCGACTTCATGGCTCTCGCAGACCACTCACTCGTCAATAGCCAGCTGCTCAAAGGGCGTGGGTTTGTTGCAGATGGGACACAGCCATTGAGGCCCTTGTTCTTGCAGCTGCAGGTAAGAGGTCGCGTCAAAGCATTGGATGTGGTTGCAGCTGACTCCTCGACATGGTTGCTTGAGCCTCATGTAGGAAAGTGGGCACTTGAGGCTCAGAACCTGCGACGTGGCGACGATATCTGGGTCGTTCGCCTTCTTCGTGACTGAGGAATAGTCTAGTTAGCGGATTTACTCGTGCGACAGTATGTGGCCAAGCGGCCAGTCAACACCCACTTTCGGCCACGACCGATTCCTTGCGAATCTTTTTTTGGATTCGCGATATCAAGGTCGGGATGGGCACCGCCTTGCAGACGACGAGCGCAAAGTAGAATTTCTGCGCCAAACCGTTTAATTAGCAAACCTTCTCCATAGTCATCCCCGGTCCATTACCTGCGAGCTCCGATACGACTGCGAGCCTACCTTCTGCGTCAAGGCGTAGGTGATCTCGACGGTATTCGAGTAGGTGGGCGGCCGCAGGCGCAGCGAGTCCGTGACGTCAACCGGTCTAGTAGACCCGGGTTTGTTCTTCAGGCCCCGCAGGTTCGCCTTTACATCCCCACCGTTCACTTTGAGCTCGCACTGGTGTGGAAATGCGATGTCTTGGACCCCGACATTGCCGGCGGTACATAGAATCATAATACGCATCGCCTTATCCGCTATGCAAAGCTGAAGCGCCGGATGGTCCTGGACCTTGAGGGAGATGCGCTCCGAGTTACGGTGCGCAGCCATTACTGGTCGCATGTTAGCCGCAAAACCCGATTTTACTAGGGCCTCTCCCGGTAAGCCCGGTGGATGCTTAAATCATTTTCCTAACATACCCTCGAGAGTTTTGACCTCGCCGACTTGGTACTTCAACTCATAGAATGGACTGGGCCGGTAAGAAATGGTCGGCGGGCGGAGGTTTGGGTTCGGCCGTGGCCGACTGGGTTGCCCGGCCGCGGTGACTGATGCATACGTAGGTGCGGGGGGGTTGTGAGCGCGTTGCCCGCCAACAGGCGCATGGCTAGATTGACTATACGAGCTCATGGCATAGCTGGGAGTCGCCCGCGATTTCGCAGACTCGTAATAAGATGCGTGCGGCGGTTGTGATGGTGGCGCTTGCTGGGACTGGGCGGTGTTTGGTTGGGCGGCGTGCGATGAAGACGACGATCCCGGCTGGGATTGCGCGTGAGCCTGCGGTTGGGGAAGGGAGGAGGAAAGTAGCGTTGACACGGCCGGCGCCTGCTTCACAATGCTCTCGCGGATTTCATGGAGCCGCTCCCAGTCGTGGGTGACGCCACAATTGTTGATTTCTGAAGTAGGAGTGTTAGTGATGGCGCAACGACAGAACATGTTCGAGCCCACGCGTCAGTGCCGGAAGTGCAGACACGCGGACAGCTGGCGAGCGCTAAGAGTCGGGTTGGGCCAAAGTTACCGAATCGGCAATGCAGCGGCGGAGAAGGGCGGGCGGAAACTAGAAGCAGTCTTGGGGAAAGAGGAGGGGAGGAGGAATCGTTGAAGGAAGAAGGGGTTGGGGAATGGGCTCGGAAATACGTTGCGATCAAAGTCCCGCGTGCTCATGTGCCAAAGAAAAAGGAATCTAAAATAGTTGATATGTTGTGACTCACGTTGAATGATGCGCCTTTGCAAATCGCTTTTGTTCCCTGATCTGGAGATGCCATTCACGGAGCAGATGGCCTGGAGGCTTGTCTTTGAGATGGACGGAATCTGGATTGTTCGAATGAGGATTTGGACCTCGACCGACTTGTCGTCCATTATAATCTCACCCCCGAGACCCAGACAGGCCCGTGGGTAGGTACAAGACTGCCTCGCAAGGCCAAAATCAAGAGACCGGAAACCTAGCAGGAAGGCGCGGCGCGGCCGATGCCGAAGGGCGCTCAAGCAACCCGAGTGCAGGTGCCGCCGCCGCGGACACAGCAGGGCGGACGCGGCGCCCCCTCGTGCAGCGAGTGAGTTTCGGAGTCTACGTATACGCAGGTAAGGTGTGTTACAAATCGTAATAAGTCGTGCAATGGGCTAATAAATGCTCTGGCGTCGACACGGGCGCGTTGGGGCCTAATTTTTCCCCTTCACAGCGTCGACGATTTGCTCATCGCTCAAGGTTGTCGTCGACACAAATGGGCGGTGTTGTATGGCAGAAAATGGACTGCCTGGGAAGAGCCCGGAGCCGCGCCTGAACCTCCTTCCAATGTTACAGGGGTGTGATATGTGGGGCAGGTATCAGGTACTTTGTGCTTGGCAGAAATGAGCAAGGCTTGGTGAATTTCAGCCGAATTGTTGGTGGCTTTGAGAATGCCCCACTTGATTGCAGGAGTATCGATACCTGGAGCTTTGGAGCGTGCCGGGCCTGGACCGAAATTTTTGACAGCCCGCCATACAGTTGTATCCGTACTTTTCATCTCACTGAATTCTACCTCGGTTTTTTTCTCACAGTGAACAAAAACACATCTTGTGTCTCTTATATTCGGGTCAAGGGATTTCTGCAGTCATCTCACCCCGATCATCACATACACCAAAAATGGCGAAAAGCTCACGATCCAGCGTCATCAAGACGAACAACCGACGCCTCAAGAAAAATGTCTTTGGGCCCGTCGAAGCAGCGCGCGCCGAGCGCCTTTCTGCAAAGCTGCTGGCCCTCGCAGCCGAGCCCAAGCCGCAAAAGGATGTCGAAATGAATGAGGGTTGGTTTTAACTCAAGCTACCTTACAGACGGGGGTAAATGGCTAACCCTTCAGCAGAGCCGGTTGATGAGCCCAAGGAGGAGGCCGCGGCGAAAGACGACAGTGAGTTTTGAACAGGCAGGGTGTTTATGAGTCGGTTAAGGGTTACTGACCTGTTCCACAGCAGCTATGGAGGTTGAGGGGGCCAAGCCGGCGACTGGGAAGCCGAAAGGCAAGGGCAAGAAGAAGGTGGAGAAGCGGAGAGGCAAGAAGTCGTCAATTGTGTTCCCGACGAGGGCGCCGAGGCGGAACAAGAAATGAGAGTTCGACTGAGAGTACCGACATCACGGAGGGAGATGCTTACTGTCAACAACTACCGTGCCCTCCTCAACGGTGGGACTTTCTGCCGGGTCCAGTGTTTGACAAATTACAGGGAGTTGAAGCCGGGTTGAAAGGGGGGGCGAGCATCACCATGCAAGGGGGGCTAGCAGACGGGACAGGCACGTTTTCCAACACCGGATCGGCGTGCTCTTGCATGCTCTTGTTGTTTCTCATGCGGGAGAGGACACGATTGGGTTCATGGTGAAGTTTACATGGGCGGAGTTTGGAGTTGGCAGCACAAAACATTGGGTTGGTCAAGGAAAAAAGGGATGGGGGCGTGTCGCTTTTTGGAATTATCCCGTCAAATTTACGCAACATCCAAACCAAAGCAGGTTGAGAGTCCAGCTCTACCTACCCGGCCGAAACATTGTGGATGATAGTTACGGTCCGAGGCGAAAATACGGGCCTTGCAAGTGAACTTACGGGACCCACGTGACAGCGCGAAAGAATACCCCTGTCACCTCATGTCTTGGCTCAGATCCCTTGTCGTCAGACGTCCCCATTCGGGGGTCTCAGATATTCGCAAGAATATCTAGCCCATAGCTCGAGGGCCATGATTTAGTTGTTCTAGTTGCCCGAGTTTGATCTATCTTTGTGTTTGTCAATCTACCATGGCCACCGGGCATAATTGATCCTTTTTCTCCCAAATATTTGCCCATTTCCGATCTCTCCAACTCAGTCCTCTCTCCTCCCGAGATGACGACGGCGCGACGCGGTCGCCATGGGACCCTGAGCTGCGCACTGCTGCTTGCGGCCAACCTCCTAATCCCCGCGGCCATCTATGTGTTTGCGACCGGCTTCTTCCCTTACAAACCACTGCTCCCCGGTCTTGCGACGTTCGATTCTGTGACCGAATATGGCGAACCCCCCGAGGCGCCGTTCGACAGGCTGGTGTTCATGGTGATCGACGCTTTGCGAAGGTTCGTGGGGGTCCGGGTGAAGGAGAGGGGTTGATGGGTTGGTGGGTGTGGTGATGAAAGGCTGACTTGGTGTTTTGTTCTTTTTAAAATATAGTGACTTTGTCTATGCGGAAAACAGCGGCTTCCAGTTTACACAATCGTAGGGCCGACTCCCTCCAACCCCCTTCTCCCCAAGCTGCCCGCGCGCAAAAACTGACGAGACCCAACCTCGCCCCACCCCCCTTAGACTCATCCGCGATGGCGCCGCTCTCCCATTCACGGCGCATGCGACCTCGCCCACCGTCACAATGCCGCGACTCAAGGCGATCACAACCGGGTCGATCCCGTCCTTCCTCGATGTCGTCCTCAACTTGGACGAAGGCGACGAGAGCTCGAGCTTGGCCTCGCAAGATACGTGGCTAGCGCAGATGAAGGCCAAAAGCGCGGGGAAGCTGGTTATGTACGGGGATGATACCTGGTTAAAGCTGTTTCCGGGGACGTTTGATCGTGCTGAGGGGACGACGAGCTTTTTTGTTTCGGTAAGCGGGCCTGGTTTGGAGAGGGTGGGGGAGCTTGGGTGGAAAAAGGGAAACAGAACAACGGAAGCTGATCGAGGCAGGATTTTACCGAAGTGGACAACAACGTTACGCGGCATATCCCGGAGGAGTTGAAGAGAGACGACTGGAACACCATGGTGCTGCATTACCTCGGGTTGGATCATATCGGCCACAAAGGTGGACCTAGGAGGTTGGATCCCTTGAGATGGGGTAGTTTTCTTGTTTAGCAGTACGCTGACGCCTCCAGTCCTCACATGGTCGTCAAGCAGCGCGAGATGGACGGCATCATCCGCCAGATTTACACCGCCATCAACACACACGACCACCTCCGGTCCACGTTGTTCGTGTTCTGCGGCGACCACGGGATGAACGATGCCGGCAACCATGGGGCCTCGTCCCCAGGCGAGACCTCGCCCGCCTTGGTGTTTGTGTCGCCTAAGTTGAGAGAGCTACAGAGCAAGCTGCAGTCGCCCACGCACGACGATGACGGGGACTTCCAGTACTACAGCACGGTGGAACAATCCGACCTTGCCCCGACACTGGCTGCGCTGCTTGGCTTTCCGGTGCCGAAGAATAACCTCGGGGCACTCATCCCTGAGTTTCTGCCTTTTTGGTCGAACAGTAAGAGAGTTTCTGAGAGCGGGGGAGCGAGAGGGCGGTGCTTGTATTAACGTGGACATAGAACGAGACCAAATTGGGCTTCTCATGCGCAACGCCCGTCAGATCCGAGATATTGTTGCGGCTGCGTTTGGGCCGCAGATTTTCGAAACAGAGGTGGATGAGGCCGTCGCTGGGTCATTGTCCGACTATCAGGAACTAGCACGAGGCTGGAAGGACTTGGCCGAGCGCTATGGACAAGGTGCGAACGCGGCGGGGAATGCCGAGTTAGAACTCGCTATCGTCAAGGTAACCCGGCCCTCATATGCCCAGAGGTCATAAACAAAAAGTCTAACCTTCCACAGTGGCTTCGTCACGCGCAGAGCGTCCTCAGCAGCATGGCCAGCAACTACGACATGCCACGGCTTTACCTGGGACAAGCTGCCGCTGTGGCTGCCTTGATTGCTGCTGTCCTCGCTGTGGCATGGTCTACCCCTGACACGGTCACCTCTTTTGTCCCCTTGACCGGCATTGTTCTAACCTACGCGGTGATGATGTTTGCGAGCAGCTACGTCGAGGAGGAGCACCACTTTTGGTACTGGACAACCACAGCCTGGTTCGCATACATCGGCGTCCGGGATTTTCAGCGGTACGTTCTTTGTGATTTCCCCGTTTCAATAATCCGAGATACTTACTCTTTTCCAGGGGCCACACATCCGCCTTAGTCCAGACCCTTGCAACGACGGCCCTACTCACCCTCACCCGACTCATCCGCAGCTGGAACCAGACCGGCCAGAAATTCGCTGGCGGACCCGACTTCGTCAAGACCTACCTCAATACCAACCCCGGCTTGCTGTGGTGTCTCGTCGGCGCCAGCTACCTCTGGGTGCACCAAAGCCTGATCTTTGGACTCAGTGGATTGCCCATCTGGCTCAACTACACGATCGCCACGGGACTGGTGCTCGCGGCGTTTACGTTCAAAGTAGCCTTCACGCTGGAAGACGCCCCGGAGCTGGTGACCGATGTGGCGCGGTGGTTCTTGCAGGTCAATTTCACGCAGGACGCCTCGCTGATTTCGCGGGCTCGTGCGGTGTTTATGGGGTTGGGTTTGTTGGCGGGTGTGGTGGTTGTGTTTATGCTTCTCCGCCGGCGTATTTCGGTCGGACAGTCCGGTATGCCTCTCTCTCTTTCTTTCTCCCTTTCTCTCTTCTGACAAACTCCCGAACCCCGCACTAACCAACCAACCTCCAGGCGCATCAACCCTCCTAACAATCTACACCCTCCTCGCGCTAACCCAATCCCGCCCGCAAAACATCCCCCTCTTCCTCCTCTTCAACCTCCAACACAACCTCCTCCTCCTCTGGATCCACCCCTTCTCTTCCCGTTCCTCCCCCCTTCCTTCTTCTACTCTCTCCCCCACAGACCTAACCACCACCGCCCTCCTCCTCCAACACACCGCCTTCTTCGCAGCGGGCGGCACCAACTCCATCGCGTCCGTCGACCTGTCCAGCGCATACAACGGTGTAGCGCGGTACCAGCCGGCTGCTGTGGGGTTACTGACGTTTGTGGGTAATTGGGCCGGGGCGGTGTGGTGGGCTTTGGCGGGCGCGGTGTGGTTTTTGACTTTGGAGAGCAGGCGCAGGCGCAGTGCTACTGCTACTGCTACTGCTACTGCTGCTTTTGCTGCTCCAGGAAGCGTCTGGCAGAGCCACATCGCGACGCTGACGGTATTTGTAGCTGGGAGCGTGGTGGCTGTCATGGCGGCGTGCACGGCACTGAGGACACATTTGTTTGTGTGGACTGTGTTTTCGCCTAAGTTGTTGTATAGTGTGGCGTGGAGTTTGGGGCAGCATTTGGTGGTGAATGGGGTGCTGGCTGGGGTTGTGTATGGGTTGGGGGTTTTGGAGGGGGAGGGTTCTTGATGGGGCGGTGCATTGGATTGAACGCTCACAGATATTCCACCGCTTATTGTTGCATGTCCAAGTCAACAAATTCAGGGTTACCTAAACAAAACATAACCCACGTTCGGCAAATAGCATACCGTAACCACACTCACGGAACGCAAAATAGGACCCAAAACCTCGACATGATTATTCGGTTGACAGATAGATGAGATGGATGGTATCTCGAAATACTATCTAGAACAAACACACATGCATGCCATACCAGCCGCCCGCCTATGTAGTAGTCGCCTGCTTGTTTCCATGATGACAAAAATAGCGTACGAAGCAACGGATGAGAACTGGGAACTGAGACTGAGAACTGAACTGAGAAGTGGGTAAGAGAGAAAGAAACACGGACGCCCATGAACGAGGACGGAGGAAAACCCAACCCATAAACGCCATCTGATGCAAAATGGGTTAAGTCAAGTCAAGTCAAGTTATTCAATGCTGTTTCCTATTCCTATTCCTGCATCCTGTTGTCCGGGTCATGTCAAAGTGTATGTGGCCAGAGCACCAGACAAACAACCCCACGCGACAATAAACGTGCTGGCAACGGAGAAGAAGAAAAAAAACAAGGTAACTTGCTCGCTAGCTGCAATGCCAATCAATTACGCTGATCTGAGCGGGTGAACAACACAAACCCAACACAACAACAAAACAAATAGAAAATTAAGCGGGGAAAGAAAACCCCCTAATACAAAGGAAAACAAGACAGGAGGAAAAACGCCAAACACCCAACAGAAACACCAAACGGTATCCGTAACCGCGAAACGGTAAGTAACCACACAACTGTAAGGTAACTGACACCCCAGGGATCCCTTAGGGGTGTGTGTATGTATGCATAACACAACGCTCATTCAAAGGACACAGTCGCTCAAGAACAGCGCGAAGAGAGATATCAAAAAGGGGGAATCAAAACCCAAAACAGGACATAACACAGAAACAGAAATACTCTCAACGACCCTCGCACTCCCTCGCACTCCCTCGTACTCCCTTACCCCCCCTCCTCAGAAGCACTCCCACTCCTCGCCCGCACCAACGGTCCCCCAAACATCCCATCACCGCCGCCTTCCCTCCTCGACCCCGTACCTGTACCCTTCCTCTTACTCTTATTTTTAATACCCCCAACACTCCCACCCGCACTCCCACCCGCACCCGCACCAGCAGCAGAAGCAGAAGAAGACGACTCCCCCCCAAACAACCCCGCCAACCCCAACGTCTGACTCAAACTCCTCGCTCTCCCTCTCAACCCCCCACTCCCACTTCCGCTCCTCTCCCTCCCATCACCAACCCCAGTATCATCGTCATCCGTATCGCGGTACCCCTCCTCCCCTTCACTTCGACTCCCGTCGTGGTAACCCCCATTTTCATCAGCACCATCGTGTCCGTGTCTAAAATGGAAATTACCCCCCGCCAATGCTCGTAACGTGTCTCCGACAACAGCACTGACCGTTCCTGAAAAGGGGGAAGGGGAGTATAGATGAGATGGGGGTAGACGGGAGGTGCTGGCTGGGGCGCGCGGGGTGGTGGGACGGTCTCTGCCTTCTCGTGCGCCGTCTCTGGTATCGTGGGCGGGGCGCTGGTGGTGATGGGGGATAGATCCTGGTGTGGACAGTGGTAGGGAGACACGGGAAGGTGGGGTGAGGACGGCGGTGTTGAAGAGGGTTGGGAGGGCGGGGGTGGTTTTGGAGGCTGTTGGGATCGGTTGTGGGTTAGTGGTGGTGGGTGCCGTTGCTGCTGCAGTAGACAAATCTAGGTGGTGGTCGGTGGGTGAGGCGTAGGATAGCGTGGTGGTGCTTGCGCCGGCGGCTGAGGGGATGTGGATGGCGGAGATGAGGGAGTCGGCTGAGAAGGTGTGGAGGCCTGGGGAAGGTCGCGAGGGCGGGGTCGAAAGGGTGTCTTGCCAGGGGTTGGATAGCAGGGGCGCGTCAGGGTGGTCGTGGTCGTCGTGGTACTCGCTTTCGTTGTCATCGTTGTCGTCATCGTTGTCGTCATCGTTGGGACCGTGGCTGAGGGGCCGACGGGGCGCAGAAGGCGCAGACCGCGGGGTGGGATACCCGTCGTGCTCGTGGACGGTATCGGAGAAACTGACCCGCGACGCCCGGGACGAACCCCCCGAGCGCGAGGGCGGATTGCGCCGGCGTGGCGGGGTCGGCGGGGGCGCGCGGTCCTGGTTGGCAAGACCGATAGTCTCCTCGATGCCCTCGACCTCACTCAGAGCGGGCTCGTCGCCGTCGCCGTCGTCGTGCCGCGGCCGGCCGCTGGTGATGAGGAAGACGCCGAAGAAGGTCAGCAGGCAGCCGCCGACGAACTTGGCCGCCTGCTCCTTGGTGGTGCGCTCGAAGTCGCGGTATAGCACGGCGCTGCCGATGATGACGGACAGCGTGAACAGCACGAACTGGATGGGGATCACCTGCGTCGAGTCGAAGCGCTGCAGCGCCTTGTTGACGTAGCGCACCTGCAGGATGGCCGTCGACAGCAGGATGAACACCAGCACGTACGTAACAGGCGTGGTGAAGGCGCCGAATAGGGTCGATGACAGCATCGAGGACACGCCCTTGGTCGACAGGACCGTGTAGCCGCCTGTAACAGTTAGCATCACGGACTCTTCTCTTTCCTCTTTTCCCCTTCTTTTTCTCCTCTTTTCTCTCACTCCTGGCACATACCGAATAAGCCCACCAACCCCAGATCAATCAAGATCGTCCGGTTACCATACCGCGGGCTGAGCCACAGCAACAACACAATCAACCCACAGCTGACCCCCAAGTAAATCTCAAACTCCATCGTCGTGATAGCCCCCCACACCTCGTGCGGCCCCAGCTTGGTCTCCTCCGTCTTGGCGCTCAGCACGACCGTCACGGCCCCGCCAATGGCAATAATCACCCCCCAGAAGTCGCGCGGCCGGAACCGTTCCTTGAAGAAGATCGGGGCGATCACGCAGTTCGACACCAGCGCCACCACCCCGAGCGGACTGACGATCGACGCCGGCGCAAACCCGTACGCCAGGAAGTTGCCCATCTCGCCGACCGTGATCAGCACCTGGCCCAGCCACCAGTACGGGTCCTGGAGGTACGTTGACGCGACCTTGGGCTTGTCTTTGCTGTTCCCGTGCCCGTTTATACCGTCATGGCTATCGTCGTGATTCTCATCGTCGTCGTCGTCGTCCTCGTCCTCGTCCTCGTCGCGATATCCGTCGTAGCTGCCCGCGCGGGGCGACCGGGCTAAAGGATCGGTCTCGGACGATCCACGAATACTGCCGTCGCTATCGTCGGTATCATCACTGTACCGCCCAACCGTACCATTTCCTCCCCCGCTCCCGTACCCATTCGACCCAGCACCGTACGGCCCGGCCCCATTCCCATTCCCATTCCTACTCCCAGATCCATCCCCATTTTGGTGTCTCCCCCGTAACGCTAGCCGCGCACGCGCCCTCGCCCATGCTTTCTTACGATGCAGACGGGTATGTGCATAGCGCTGGACGTTCAGCGCCAGCGCGATGAGCACGTTGCCGCAGATGGCTGTGACAATACCAATCAGACTGGACCAGTTCTGCAGTTCGTCTCCCTCGTCCCCATTGCCGTCGCCGTCGTTGTTCCCGCCGAGCCAGGAGGCCGGGGACAATCGCGGAGCGGGCGGGATATTATCCATGGCCGCCCGCTCTGTGTTTTCGTCGTCCCGTTCCAAATCCAAATCCGTGTCCCTCCCTCGTCGGCCCCGGTTAGGGGGCGGGCGCGTGGCTTTCTACCGTTCTCTGCTTTGTATGTTGGGGGGTCGGTCGATTTCACCCGAAACTAGCGATGATTGTCGTCCTCGTACTTGTCGTCGGCACCCGCAAAGAAAAACAGGCGCGCCGGTGTCGCGATGGATCGTGGTAGCAGGTCATCGGCGTCGGTGTTGAGTTTTCCGCGAGGCGCGGTCTTATCGTGCGTTTCCCGGGCTGTGTGTTATGTTGAGATCGGCCTTGATCTTTTCTTTTGTCGGTGTTTCGGTCTTCTGCATCGAAAGTGGGCACCCCTGCCCGCCAAGCCGCCCTCGGGCAGTTGTTCGTGACGGAATTTGCGATCAATCTACATACAGATATTACAAAACAGTTTGAATCTGGGCGATAAGGAGAAAATAAAGTCAAGCGACAGCGTGCGTAAATAATTTCAGTCACTCAATCCAGGGCGCAAACAGTCGAGCACGCGAGTCCTCGCGTGGTGTTGTTGGTGGTTGTGTCTTGTGCCGCTCTCCGAACTGGGCCTTGATTACGAAATGCGAAGTACGAAGTCAGGTCCCTACGCAATGCTTCGGATTGAGCTGCCTCCCACCCGATCAGCTGCAAAGACACTGAGTGGCTTGACTGGATAGGTAGGTATTTGGGCCAGCAAGCTCGGACCAGTCGCGGCCCGACGGCAGGCTTGGGCGAAACATGTTTTGATAAGCCTAACAGCCTGGCTAAAAACAAACCAGTGTTTTGTGTTTTGTGTGAGTTTGAGAAAAAGGATCAAGGAGCTAAAAAAAAAAAAAAAAAAAAAAGCTTTGACTCGCGACTTTCAGCCACGGAATCTGATCCAGACTCAACTCAGCGGCTTGTACCGGCGTCAGGAAGTAACGTCTTGTCTGTCCAACCCAGTGCGGCAAGCGCCAAGCCAAGTGCAGCTTGACTCTTGCAGCGCTGCAGCTTCGCCGTTGTAGCCAGGTGGAGCCTGTTAGTCAAACGAGACCCACGACCAATCAGTCCCTATGCTGACGCCATGCCGCCAAGCCCAGCAAGTTGGTAACCGCCAGCGCTGCGCCTGTCCGATGAGCTGCCGTGACGTAAAGGTTCTCACTCGGGTTGCCAAACACAGAAATCGTGACACACAGCATCGTGCGAGATTCAATTGCGCAATTGCTGGGTTTTCCAGCCTGCTTAAGGAATTACAAGGTACTAGGTACGAGGAAGAGAATCACGATCCAGCCGTCAGCTGAGGAGAAGAGTTTTCCTGGGGAAAGTCCGCCCATTGGGAAAAGGCCCAATGCGGAAAGTGCCATTAATTTCAACGCCCAGATGGAAGGCCCAACCGGGCCAATCCATCGCCATGCCATTGCCCATTGTCCTTCCTGTGTCCTGCTATGCCATTTCGCTGCCATAGAAATAAGTTTGAAAGAAAGAAAGAAAGTAAAAAATTAAAACTTTTTCATGCCTCATTGCCACACTCCGATGGCTTTTTTTGTGGTCCCTGTTTTTGCCCCTTTTCGCCGTTCCAATTCCAAGAAAAACAAACAAAACAAAACATTATTACCAGGCCCCACAGAAGTAACTGTGCTTGCCTTCCGGGTGGCCAAAACTTAATAGTCCGACGATGACGCCGACGATAATGAACTCGTAGACGGACGCCGGCGCGCACACGGCGCCGTAAACGTCCGGCCCAAGCCCATCCACGCCGGCTCCGGCACGGGCGCCGTCCCCTCCTGACTGGCACGCCACAACTTCTGCGCGGCCTCACACGTCTCAAAGTGTTCCGCCAAAAACTCCGCGCGGGAGTAGGACCGATCCCGCAACTCCAGGTGGTCGTCCGAGAAATCCGCCTCAAACGCCACCTGGCACCCCTTACACGACACGCCCGCCTCGGCCGCGCCCTCTCCCCTTGCCGTCCGCTCCAGGTACGGCAACGTAGTCGCTGCTTGGAACCGCAGCGTCAACGAGTCCGGCCACCGGCTGACAACCTCCTCCGCCTCCTCCGCGTCCTTGCCCTGCCCCTCCAACAGCGCCAGCGCGTGCTGGACAGCCACAATCCGCTTCTTGCTATGCAACACCGGTAACCGGCCCGCATCATCAAGACTCGCGGCCGACATCCCCGCTGCTTCCCCAACCCGGCTTAGGTGCGCCACGCGCGTAGCCGGCGACGACGCAACACACGTCAAACAGCACCGCGTAGCGGTCGGCGCAAACAAAAACCCGCCAAATGCAGCCCCGCACAGCGAGCAGTCCCGCGTCGTCAGCGCGGCATAAACATCGAGCACAGGGACATGCACGGCAAGCCCCGTGCGAAGGAGCACGCAGAGGGCATCGAGGGCGTGGGCGCCGACGTGGCGGAGCTCGCGCACCGAGGTGAGGACCTCGCGGGCGGTGCGGTTGACGTGGCTGAAGCGCAGGGCCGAGGCGACGTCTAGCTCGCGGCAGACCATGGCGATTAGCTCAAAGGGGAGGTGGCCGAGGGCGCCGAGGTCGAAGTCGAAGTCTGCGGTGGTGTTGTTGTTGCATGATGGGGTTGTTAGGGGCCGGAAGATGGTGGCTCGTACTGCGTCGTGTTGGCGGGGGTGGATGGAGGCGACGGGGAGTTCGCGGTCTGCGCGGCGGTAGGAGGTGATGTTGAGGATTTCGGCGGCTTTGGTGGTGTTGTTGTTGATAAGAGCGCCGGTGTAAGTGCGGCTGGCTGGGTCGCTTGGCGCTGCTGGGCCCACTACAGGCGTCTGTAAAGTAAGCGTGGCCGCCATGATAAGGGTGTTATCAATGGAATATCAGGTTGTAAGTGAAGTATGTATGTACAGAGAAATCCATACACATTTAACAACAAGAAAAGGTTGAAGACAAAAAGATAATGCCAATCCACCCAAACAGCCCCCCTTATTTCTCCACGACAACCGTTCAACTTATGTATCCTTCTGAACACTCTCTCCAACACGTCTGACAACATCTTCCCAAACAATGAACCCTCTCCATAAAAAAAAAACCGGAAATTGCGGGGCCCCAAGGGGGGCACCGCTGGGGCACCATGGCGTCCTCGTGACACTCTATTACGGAATGGATATCATCGACACGGCTCAACAGGGCAAGACCAAGGACCCGGTAGTTGAATACCGCTCCTGACCGCGGCTTCCAGAACGGCCTGCTTTCGCACCATGCGGGGCCAAGCTTGCCAAGGGGCCCTCGCGGGCTCCAGGGGGCCTCGCCCCGTGGTCAAAAATGTGAGCTGGCTCCACAGCGGGCCAAGGCCCTGAGGGGGCCGCTGGAACGCGCCAAGGCCTATTTGCACTGGAAGCGTCTCGATCTCGCCATCACTTCCGGGCGGGCACCAGCGCTGGAGGTACCTTCCATGCTGATTTTTTTTTAGGGGGGTACGTACCGGAGTACAGTACTTGAGTACCTGAGCTTGTAGGCGTAATCGCCGCCACCAGCGAAGTTGTTCTCTTTTTTTTTTTGCCTGGCCTGGCCTGAGCGCATTGACCTGGAGCTCCAGCTCCATGCCCTTGCATTCGTCATCGCCAATCGCGGCCGGATGGACTGCCCCGTGTTCCATCCATCCCATTGCGAAATTGAGCCACAGCAGAAGCGGGAAACGGATCGTGACACAAAGGTGAACCACGAACGAACAAGACACGAGGAGGTGCATTTCTCATTACCTACGCGAAACTCGGTTCTCGTTTGGATTTTCCTAAACACGGCAAATTGGCCAAAAGTGTGCAAATATTGGGAGGATTTCACGCCATGCGCGGTGACGGTCATAGTACTAGCGGAAATAATAACGACAGCGACAGCGACGATCGTGGATCCAACAACAGCAGCAGCATCAGCAACAGTGATACCACCAACCCCTTCATCCGCTTCCGGCACCACGTCGACGCCAACATCCATTCCGGCCTAACCACCCTGCTGGCCACGGCCCGCCGCGAGCCCTCTTCCGCCGTTCCGGGTTCTCGTCCGGAGAATCCTTCTTCTTTTCCTTCTTCTAACACCACACCCACAAACATCTCATCCACACCCAACCTTTCCTCGTCAAACATGGATAAACCCACACCCACATCCATCTCTACACCGACCCTAACCCCAGCCCAAACCCATCTCGAGTCCCGTCTGGACGTCCTGCGCGCCGGTACCCCCGCCGAAGCGAGACTAGGCTGGCACTTGTTTCTCACGCGGTCGGCCTACTCGCCGTTGGTGCTGGAGCGGGATGGGACGTTGCCTGGGCCTGGATTTCGGGGACGGTCAACGGGTGGACGTGGACGAGGACGGGTTGGATGGGAGGGTGAGGATGGTGATGATCAGAAGGTTGTAGATGGGGAGGGCTGGTTGGAGGCGTTTGAAGATTTGATGAGGGTTGAGTCGGGGCTGGGGTTGAGGGAGATACCCTCTTCCAAGAGGGATAGGACCGTAGATGGGTTCGGCGCGTTTGGAGTATTTGGTAGTGGTGGTAGTGGTATCTGGGACCTCTCCCATCACAGCGGCATCCACAACAACCCATGGCTCACCCGCCAAGAACTCCGCGAAGCCGCCTGGCTCAACCGCATGCAGTCCCACGGCCTGACCGAAGTCCTCTTCCCCGTGTACGACCCTGGCCTGGGGTATGCTTCACCGCGGACGGCTGCCGAGTGGGCCGAGCGCCGGCGGACGGAGCAGCAATACCGGGTGCAGCAGCAGGAGCGGCAGGAGCGCGAGGAGCGCGAGGCCGAGCAGGCGTGGGAGGAGCTGGTGGGTGCTGGACGGCGGGTAGTAGAGGAGGCGCGCCGGGAGGCCGAGAGGGAGGCTGAGGCGTGGACGGAGGATGCGAAGAAGGGGGTGAGGAGGGAGGTGGATGCGTGGCGGGATTTTGCGAATGAGAAGGGGGCGTCGTTGTTTGATGGGATTGGGGGGGTGGTGAGGATGTTGGGGAGGGTGTTGGAGGATGAGGTGAAGGCTTTGGAGAAGTTCGGGAAGGGGGATGGTCATGATCGGGGCAAGACGGAGGAGGGACAGCAGCAGCGGCAGGACCGAGCTACGGAGAAGAAAGCCAAAGTCGAACCAGAAACGGAGAACGACCTGTACTCGGCTGTCGAGTCCGCGTTTCACCAGTCGGAGCGGTCCCTCTCCAACTTCTTCAAGTCCATCGCCGAGGGCCAGCGCAGTAGCAATCCTACAACAATAAATAGCAACAACAACAACAACAACAATAACAATCAACGACCCAACCCCGACTCGTCCACGCCCACAGTCAGCACCACCGAGACGGTCGAAGACGGCCTAACCAAAAAGACCACCACAGAGAAGTTTGTCGACAGTCGTGGGAATACACACTCCCAGACGGAGACGACGTGGACAGATGAGCACGGCAACGTGGTCATGAAGCAGGTGCATAGCACCGTGGGTCGGTCAGAGCGTTGGGGGCAGAGGTTAGAGGATGGCTCGTCTGGGGGAGGAGTTGAAACTGACGAGAAGAAGAATGCCACTGGTGAACATGGGGGACAGCAACAACAACAGCAACGACAACAACAAAATAAGGATGGCGGGTGGTTCTGGAAGTGAGGTTTGTTTTGTCTGCGCCAAGACTGCAAGACTAGTAACAGCCCAACTCGGTACATGACTTTCCACGTTCTCCCCACGATGTTAGATGGAAGATGCTGGGACACAAAACCACACGGATGACAGATCTCTCCACTCAGCACGGCAATTGCGTCAAACACTCCGCTCTGTTGAACAAAACTCAAGCACTTGACTCATTGGTTCGGCTTCTTTTCTTTTGCCGTGAGGATCGATGTAGTGTACATACACGTGAAAAATAAAAAATAAAATAAAAAATAAAGTTTTGTTTAACCTTCCCTCTTTCCTAACCGAGCCCACTCAACCACCCCAAACCACCTAGTGTAAAACCACCAACCCTCGCGTCTCACATTAACTACCTAGTTAATCCCAACCACAAGAAAAAAAACATTAAAAAAAAGCTTGTTGTGCCCAGCCTCGCCAGCCAAGCACTTGCCCCAAGGGGAGTTTCCGTGACAAATTATGCACTTATCCCATATCCAGCATGACCATCAAACAAGCCCAGAAAACATGCAAGGATCCGCAAAAAAGGTACATTTTGCTTGGCAAATGGAAGCCGGAACCAATCCTTGTCTGTCGGTTCCTGGCGCAGCGAGCCGCTGAGCGCAGTTGCAGAAAGGAGTTTTTTTGGTGTGTTTCTGCGAGTCTTGTTTGTCACTCTTGTCCATCAGGTTCCACCATTACCTAACACGACCGAAGAGTACCGCGAGTACCGTTACCTTCGTGGGAAAAAACTCCGAATTTCAATTGCCTGGAATGGGGCGATGGGCAATGGGGACAGCGGCATAGTGGCACAGCGTGACGTGGATGTGGGCCGATGGGAGAGATACCCCAGGGTTTTCAGGTACCTTTTCGGTTTCGGCGGAGGCGCTGTATCATCTACCTGCCAGGTATACCCGTTGCGAGCCGTGAGAACGGGGTTTGGCAATGGAAAGGGTACTTAACGGAAGAGCCGGGGAGATGTCCTATGGTACCTCATCACTTTCCTTGCCTCACTAAAAAAACTCCACGACCTCGTACTCGGGGAGGCTGGATTGGATTGGATTGGACTGGACTGGATCGAAGTTGATGAGATGAGAAGTGCCCGAGAGCTACACTAACAAACCCGCGGTGAGCTAGTGAGCCCATCACGGCCGGGAATGACGGGCGGGTGATCGACGTGTCGGGCCAGGCACAGGATCCGGGGAAAAAGAGGACAGCTTAGACTACGGATAGTTAGACCGAGTTGGACAGGACAAGCAGGTCACACAGGGTCTCTCATTAACGTGAGGAAGCGAATGAGGTTGGGTTGTTGGGGTGGTCACGGGGTCAATTGAGTTTTTGCAAGAGGTGATTTTCCCTTTTTTCCCTTTTCTGAGGTGTTTTGGCGTGTCTGGCTTGTTGCACAGGCGGTGAAGTGACAGGCTCGATGGGCTTGTTGGATTCCAAACAAGTACCGGCGTGCGTCCCTGTGGACGGAGTAAATTGATTGCATTCCTGCAACGAGTGGGGATGAGAGATGCAGCGCCAACAAGGCATGCCAAGTTTTGAATTGATTCCTGAGAAAGGATTGCCCGTACAAGTTATTACTTTACACTACACTGCAGGACATCTGTACATTTGCTTTGCTCATGTGCCAAGAAAAGAGCGTGATATGACGATTACTATCGTGCTCCGTATGCTCTAATGTACCGAGAATTGTAAACGACACTGCCGAGACTGCCGAGATAGCCGATCTCCCTCCCTCAACACCACTATTACTCCTTGACTAACAGGGCAACTGACAGGAACGGACCTCACTTGCCCGCCCGCATCGTAGCCTTTTTCTTCCGCATCATGCGCTTGCGCACAATGATCTTGGTGCGCATCGCCAGTTTCTCATCCGCCTTCTTGCGGCCCTCCTTGGTCGCCGGCGGTGGTGGCGCTTTGCCATCAGCCTTGCCGTCCTTGCCGGCACTACCGCTCTTGTTGTCCCTACCACTGTCCCTGTTACCACTATCCCTCCCCCATGGCTTCCCCTTACCCTGACCCCCCTTCTCCCAGCCCTTCCCATCCCTCTTCTCCGGCCGGCCACCACCAGCCTCCCTCTCCTCCCTCGGCAACCGGCTCCTCTCCTCCTGCTGCCGCCGACGCTGCACAACATTCGCATTCTCAATCGCAAACTCCACAATCAGCCGCTGGTTCTTGCCCGCCTCGTTGGTCATCGCGTGTCCGTTGAGGTACCGCAGCCCCATCAACGCCCAGCGATGCGACGAGTACTCGATGAACCCGTATCCGCGCGACCGTCCGCCGCCTGTCTTCTCGTCTACTTTACTGCCCTGCGTCGTCTCAAACACGATCTTGGCTTGCCGCACCACACCCTTGCCGCGGGTCTTGCGCCTGTGCTCGGCCTCGCGGTCTTGCTCGCCGCCGCGGGCGTTTTCCTCGCGCGAGATGGGCTGTCGCCGGCCTTCTTTGACGTCCTTCGCGAAGCCGACAACGGCCTCGCGGGCGAGGGCTTTGAGGTCCTTGGAGTTGAGGTTGGCGGGGAGGTTGCGGATGGCGAGGCGGGTTAGACTCAGGTGTAGGCTGGGGTTGGACTCGATCATCTTGCGTCGCTGTTTGGCGCTGGTTTCGCGCATCTTGACTTCGGCGGGGGTGAGTTTGCTGAAGAGTGGGGATTTGGACGAGATGGCGCCTTCGGAGAGGAGGAAGAGTCGGCGCTTGTCTTTGTCTTTGCGCTTTGTGCCCTCGTCTTGTAGGCGGGTTGCTTCGTCTTTGGACACCGCCTGGGCGACTTGTAGGATGCGGCCGTCGAGGGTGTATTTCCCTTCGGGATCGGCCGTCTCGTCCTGCAACACGGAGTGTTTGGCGAGCGCGGCGACGGGTTGGTGGCGCGGGGCGCCCCTGAGGCAGGTCTGGAAGTCGTCGACGTTGAAGAAGCAGACAAAGCCGGTACCCGCGGGCCGGTCTGTCGCGCGGTCCATGACGACTCGGGCGTATCGTACCGGGCCGAATTTTGTAAAGTGAGTTTTGAGCGTCTCGTCGGTTGTTGAATACGGTAGGTTGCGTATGAAAAGAGTGGCCGAGTTGTCCGTCAGCGGCTTCTTCGGTTTCTCCTCTTCTGATTCGTCTAGCCCTTCCAAGTCATCGTCGTCGTCTCCCTCTTCATCATCATCCTCATCGCTCCCTTCCTCGCTCCCTTCCTCGCTTCCATCCTCGTCTTTCCCATCCTCATCTTCCTCCTCTTCCTCCTCCAAGTTATCACCGTAGTTCTTGAAGAAATTAACAAGATCGCGATCCTCCTGTGTCATATTCGGATCATCTTCTTCATCCTCCTCCTCCTCCGCCTTCTTCCCCTTCTTCTCCTTCTTCACCTTGGCACTCTTCTTCTGCTCCCCCTCTTCATCCCCCTTCTGCTGCTCCCACGTCTGCTTATCCACCGCCCAATCCACCGCCACCGTCCGCCCGTCCACCTCCATCCCATTAATCGCCTCCATCGCCTTCTCTGCATTCTTCCTTCCGCGTAGCGTAACAAACCCAAACCCAGACAACTTCCCCTTGGCATTGGGCAAATCCGCAAACTTGACCTTCCCAAAACTCTGAAACAGCTTAGCCAGCTGATCCGACGTCTTGATACTCCACGGCAAGTTGCGGATAATCAGCTTCGGCGCGCGCCGGGCCTCTTCGGCGTCAGCCTCCCGCTGGCGCTTCGCCTCAATCGTCTTGGCCCCGACATTCGACCCGGCCTTGGCCAGATCACGGTGGCGCGGCTGGGCGATATCGAGTTTCAGTCGCCGGCCGCTGAACAGTTCATTCTTGAGCTTGTCTTTCGCCTCGGCCGCATCATCAGGGTCAGCGAAGGACACGAAGCCGTATCCGCGCGAGGTCTTGGATTTGGGGTCGAAGACGACGGTTGCGTATTTGACGGGGTAGTGCTGCGAGAAGAACTCGGTGAGGGACTCGCTGGTGGCGCTGGGCGGGAGCGACCGGACGAAGAGTTGGCGGTGGGATTCGACGCGGGCTTTTTTTGTTGGGGGGTCGCTGGGTTGTTGTTGCTGCTGGCGGTGTGTGGTCACGCCGGCGGCTTTGTCTGCTGCTGCCGCTGCGGCGACGACATCGTCGATCTCGCGTTGGCGTTTTTTGTCCGGCGGGCCCATGGTAGGCTGGCCTGTTTGTAAAGGTTGGGTGTCGAGGGTGTTTGTAGCCCGGATTTAGCCTGCTTTTTTGCACCTTCAAACGTCAATTAACTATGGTTTTCGTTTGTCGCAGTAATTTTCACAGCACGAAGGTACGTCTGGACGAGATGCAGGAATTGGCCTGAGCTCCATGCTCAATCGCAGCAGCAGAAAAAAAAAGAGACCAGGGAAAACAGATAAGACGGCTTATCGCAGAAGATGTGGGGCCAAGAGGGGCCACCCCTCCAAACCTCTGCGCGCTAACCGCATTGAGAATGTCCCTAGTAAACAAACAAGACCCCAAAACTCCAAGCACCCACCACTCGCCATCCCACGTCCCACCTTCGATCCCAACGTCCGACACGAAAACAGCGGCATCACGATCGATGATTTCACCGATAACCCCGATGTCACACCATCGCTGAGGGGGAATATCAACGAATAAACGACAAATCAAGCCAGAACCACCCAACAAATCCCCGAAAAGAAAAGAAAAAAAAGACACAAAAAACCATGCCCCGAGCCTCAACGCGGTCAACCCGCTCCTCCGCCGGCGCCGCCTCAACCCGATCAGCCGGCGGCGGCGGCGGCACCCGTGCCTCAACAACAACCTCCCGCGCGTCTTCCGCAGCAGCAGCCGCCCATCACAACGCCGACATCCCCGACGAGACGCCCGACAACGCGCTGCGCACCCAAGTAGCCGCGGTATTTCGCGATGCCCAGCGCACGACAGCGACACACCGTAAACTGGCGGTAACGCTGCGCAAGATCCAGGAGGCGTGCTGTTATGAGCCTACGAGCGTGCGGAAGCCGTCCGGGGGGGCTGGTACGGGTGGGGGTAGTGCGTCGATTGCGGATTTTGATGAGGATGATTTCAATGCGGAGTTTACGCGGTGTGCGTTGAGGGTGATGCCTATCAAGAAGAGTGAAGGGGTAGGGGAGAAGACGGTGCGGTTTATTGGGCTTTTCCTGCGGCACGCGGTGGACAAGGATAATGAAGTCGCGGGCGAGGTGGATGAGGATGCAAGCACGATGCCGGAGACACCTGGAACGCGGCTGACGACGCAGCTGATGGAGACGGCGCTGCCGTTGTTGGCGGGCAAGGACAAGTTTGTGCGGTACCGCGCGACGCAGCTGATTTCGCATATTATTAACTCGCTGGATGCGATTGATGACGATTTGTTTCAGAAGCTGCGCGCGGGGCTCTTGAAGAGGATTCGGGATAAGGAGGCTATGGTGCGGGCGCAGGCGGTGTTGGGGTTGGGCAGGTTGGCGGGGAATCAGATGGAGGCGGAGGAGGGGGAAGATTCGGATGAGAGTGATAGCGATGGGCGTGATGCTGGCTCGGCTGGGTTGTTGGAGCGGTTGTTGGAGGTGCTGCAGAATGACCCCAGTGCTGACGTGCGCCGGTCGTTGTTGGTGAACCTGCCCATCCTGCCGAGCACGCTGCCGTTCCTGCTTGAGCGGGCGCGCGACCAGGACGCGGCCACGCGCCGGGCGGTGTACTCGCGGCTGCTGCCGGCGCTGGGCGACTTCCGGCATCTGTCGCTGTCGATGCGCGAGAAGCTGCTGCGCTGGGGCCTGCGGGATCGCGACGAGAACGTGCGCAAGGCCGCGGGCCGGCTTTTCCGCGAGCGCTGGATCGAGGACTGCGCGGGGACGGCCCCTCCCGCGGAAACGGGCCAGCCGGCTGAGGTGTCGCCGCCGAACCTGGACGCGCTGCTGGAGCTGCTGGAGCGTATTGATGTGGTCAATGCTGGCGGGGAGCACGGTGTCGGGCTTGAGGCGATGCGCGGGTTCTGGGAGGGCCGGCCGGACTACCGCGAGGCCATGTTCTTTGACGATGCCTTCTTCGAAACGCTAAGCGCCGAGTCGGTGTTTGTGGTGCGCACGTTCAACGACTTTTGCCGGCACGAGGGTGGGGGCAAGTTTGAGTCCCTGGTCGAGGAGAAGCTGCCCGAGGTGACCAAGGTGGCGTTTTACTTGGAGCGGTACATCAAAGTGCTCATCGACGCGATCCAGCGGGCCGAGGAGAAGCAGCAGCAGCGGGGTGAGAGCGAAGAGAGCGACGAGGAAAACGAGGAGGACGACGACGAAGGGGACACGGCTGAGCAAGAGTTCATTGTGGAGCAGCTGCTGCACATCGTGCTGACGCTGGACTACTCGGACGAGGTCGGCCGGCGCAAGATGTTCTCGCTGTTGCGCCAGACCCTCTCGATCCCGCAACTGCCCGAGGAGGTCACCAAGCTGACGGTGTCGGCCCTGCGCGACATCTGCGCGCCTGATGCGGCCGGCGAGAAGGAGTTTTGCAGCATTGTCCTGGAAGCCGTGGCGGACGTACACGACACGATCGTCGACGAGGCCGAGGGCGATGACGACGGACTTCCGGAGAACGACGACGAGAGCTTCCACTCGGCACGGTCCGAAGTCAGTGGCGACACGACGCCGACGCGGGCCAACGGTGGTGGTGCTGGAGGAGCTGGTGGCAAAGGGGGAAAGAAAGTAACCCCCGAGTCCGAGGAAGAGGCCGCGCGCAAAGCCATCCGGGAGATCATGATCAACATGAAGTGTCTGCACATTGTGCAGTGCATGCTGTCCAACGTCGCCGGCGACCTGCAGCAGAACGACCACCTGGTGGCCATGCTCAACAACCTAGTCGTCCCCGCGGTGCGCAGCCACGAGGCCCCTGTCCGCGAGCGCGGCCTGGTCTGCCTCGGCCTATGCTCGCTACTCGACCGCTCGCTCGCCGAAGAGAACCTCACCCTATTCATGCACTTCTTCGCCAAGGGCCACACCGAGCTGCAGATCACCGCCCTGCACATCCTAACCGACATCCTCAACGTGCACGGCGCCCAGCTCCTATCATCGAACCCAGCCCTGCTCAAGGTCTACGTCAAAGCCCTGCGGTCGGGCGCCAAACACCCCGAAGTCCAGGCCGCCGCCACCGTGGCCGCCTCCAAGCTGCTCCTCGGCCGCGTCGTCAGCGACGCCGACGTCTCGGCCGAGCTGCTCAAGACGCTGGTGATTGCCTACTTTGAGCCCGCCTCGGCCGGCAACCAGAGCGTGCGCCAGGCGCTCAACTACTTTTTGCCCGTGTTCAGCTACGCCCGCGCCGAGAACCAGGACCTGATGCGCCGCGTGGCCCTCGACGCCCTGCACACGCTGTACAATGTGCGCGAAGGGTTTGACGACGACGATGCTGACATTGAAGATGAGATGGTTTCGCTTAGCACCATTGCCGCGTGTCTGGTCGACTGGACCGATCCGCGCAAGTGTTACTCGCCGGGCGGTGTTGGCGGCTTTGGCCTGGCTGGCATTGGCGGCGGGGCTGGTGCTGGTGGTGCTGGTGGGCTGGCCGAGGCCGAGAAGAAGAATGTCCCGGCGGATGTGCATTTGGATTTTGCGGAGGATATTCTGGAGCGGTTGAGCGGGAATGCGCCGAGTATGTTTTTCCTTTTGCTTTCCCCCTTTTCCACAACCCTAACCCTCTTCCTTTTATCCACCCTTAACCCAATACCAACGCTTATGAAACGTAACTAACACCCCCCCAAGAAGAAGAAAAAAAAATCATCGCCGCCCTCCTCGGCAAACTCTACGTCTCCCCGGCCTCCTCCGAAGACCGCACCCGCGACGTCTACACCATCGTCTCCGACGCCGTCGACGCCCAGCTCCTCCCCGACACCGCCAGCCGCAACGCCCTCTACAAAATCCACGTCAGTCTCGGCAAGATTGTCAACAACCTCGATGCTGTCGCCGCTGCGGCCTTGTCGGCGGCTACGGCTGAGAAGGAGGCGGCGATGGGGGGAAAGTATAGACGCAGTGTTAGTCGGGCTAGTTCTGTTGCTGGGGATCATGCTGGTGGTTCTGCGTCGGCTGGTGTTTCGGCTGCGCCGAGTACTACAGGGCGGAGGTCGGTTTCGCGGGAGGAGGATGATAAGACGGGGGTGTTGCCTTCGTTGGAGGAGGAGGGGTATGATCAGGATGATGATGATGAGGAGGAGGAGGAGGTGGAGGTGGAGGACCGTAAGGATGTAAAGATAAAAGAGGAGGACATGGATGAGGACATGGATGATGATGTTTCGGATGCGGGGACGGTAGTAAGGAATCGGATGGGGACGGAGATGAGTAGTGCTGGGGGGGATTTAGATGAGGAGGAGGAGGAGGAGTTGTGATGTGTGATGTTTTTTTATTTTTGTTTTTTGAAGGGGGTTGGAAGGATAGATGGGTATCCAGGTTTCCTTTTTGTCCCCTTTGTTTCCGTTTTGATGTCAGTTCCCGAGGTAACGAACAATTCAGTCACGAACACAATGCCACGTCTGCCGCCTCTCCAAACATGTTGTCTTTCCCATCTGTTTAAGCTCCTCCCATCCCCATATTACACCCTCAACGTATCACATTACAATAGCGCGGCCATGGCATGTCAATCTTGAGTTGATAGCAATTGATGTTCTTAAATTAAGGGTATATTCTATCGACATAGCAAATATCAATGACTGTATGTGTTCGCTCTAATTATAATTACTCGCTCCGTGTATATCATATCATGTCCGCATCACCGTTTTCTGCGTTGCTCTCTTTTCCCCTCTCTCATGCTTCTACTCTTTTCTCCTCCCAACCACCGTCTCATCTCTTTGCCCTCCGTTTTTACGCTCTCATCTTCTCTCCCATAACTTCTCGATCCTGGCATCCCCTTCACTCACCATTACACTGTTATCAATCACCTATTTTTCCTCCTTGTACCTTCCTATACAGCCACACCCCCCTGCATCCTTCTCATCGCCTCGCGATGCACATCCGCCATAACCCCGCTCCCCCGCATATGCTCCTCCAGCGCCCACTGCGCACGCAAGCGCATCGTAGCCTCCGCCTCGCGCTTTGCAATCTCCGCCTCACGGCGTTGCGCAGCAGCGATGGCGGCCGCGCTGGGCGCGGGCGGTTGTGCGGGCGGTGCGGGTGGTGCTGCCGCTGCTGCAGCTGTCGCCGTTGCGGCGGCTGCGGCCATCTTCATCAGTTCTGGGTTCATGGCGTTGTTGGTTATGTTGTTCATGGCCATGGTGTGGCTCATACCGCCAGCACCTGGGGCTGGCATCCTGCGTAGGAGTCCCGGAGTGGCCATCCCAACGGCACCACCCATCCCTAGGTTGGTTGGTCCATGCAAGTCGACGGCGACATCGTTCCGGAAGCGAGCTAGCCGGCCCTGGCGCACGGTCTCGGAGGGCAGGTAGTTGGCGCTGTCACGCCGCGGCGGCTGGTGTGAGTTGAAGGCGGCGGATTCGGCCAGGGCTGTCGGTCTTGTGGGCGCTTGCGCTGGCAGCCGGGTCTGGCTCTGGAAGAGCATGCTACGGCGGTGGGAGAGCGGCATGTCGTCTGGGTCCATTCCCATGCCCATGCCCATGCCCGGGCCTATGTCGGCAGAGACGGGCCGGGACATCGCGCCGGGGGAAGGGGAGAAGCAAACGGGGTGGAACCGGGGTGGCGGGGCTTCGTAGATGCTCTCCGCGTCGTAGGCACCGTCGAGGTCTAGGGTGTCGAGGGACTCCTGAAAGGCGTCGTTGGTGTCGGTGCGGAGTTTCTGGCTGGGCGGGGCCATCAGGCCCGAGGCGCGGTGGCGGAGGATCTTCTCGCGCATGCCGATGAGGGTCTGCGGCTGCTGCTTTGGGGCCTGAATCGTTGAGGCGGAGGATGAAGGGCGGATGGGGTCGGAGATGGAGCGTGTGGACATGGAGGGTGCGAAGTGCCGGTACGGGTGGCCGTGGCCGTGGGTGTTGCTACGGCCGAGTGCGGGCTGAGCAGAACCCCGTCGCCGCTGTTGCTGATGTTGATGTTGCGGCTGCAGTGTCATCCGGGACGCACTCCTCAACTGGCTGCCCTCTTCCGGGATCACCTCGGCATGGAGAGGGGTGCTCTGCCTCCTCATCAGGCTAGGCGAAGCGCGATAGCGAGACGGCACCCTCGGCTTTGGCGGCGGGCCTTCTGGGCTCCGCTGTAAGGGCACGTCGGCGGGCAGCTCGCAGGGCAGCTCGGAAGGCAGCTCGGGGCTGACGTATGGTGGTGAGCCGGACGCCATGGTGATAGCAGTGGCGGAAGCGAGTCTAGAGATGGTAAGATTAGAATTGGTGTTAATGTTGCGATACTGCGAGAGAGCACTGGCACTCCGAGTTCGAGTCCCAGTTCGTCTTGCAACAGCCAGAGGAAAAAAGAACCCGTCGTCCTCGACCGCGGCCGTCCGCTGCAGGTCCCTCATATCCAACGGCACGGCCTGCTCCCTGTCACCCTCGTCGCCGTCGTCCGCCCTTTCGGAAATAAGCATCCCCCCGTCGACGAAACCCTGCCGTCGATCCAGATCACCCGGGTCCGGGGTCTCAGCCGAACTGAGATGCTTTGCCCACTCGTTCGTGCGGTAAGTCACCGCAACATCCGACAGGCCCGCCGGAAGGCTTCCCTGCGTCAGCCGGGGGTATGCGTTGGTGGTTGTGGTGGTCGATGCTTCACCGCTCCTCGTGGGACCCCTCCGATCCTTTACTACGTGTAGTAACATGGGATCCTCAGGATCCTCAAGATCCTCACGGTCCGCACGGTCCCCAGGATCCTCCTCACAACGCTCGCAGATCTCAAGATTGTCGAGATCCTCTCGCATGAGTCGAGTCCCGGCACCGGCACCCCGGGATCCAATGTCTCGCGGCTCGGTCCCTTCCTGGCGAATGTCTTGGACCCTGACCCACCCCCCTACCACTGGCTCGCCAACGGCTGGTCCTGAGCTTCCCGTTTCCGAAGCCTCCTCCGTCTTGGGAATAACCTCTTGGCTGTTGTCGACCGGATCAGGCAATTCTATTTTGCTGCCTGGCAGCTCGTCGGCTGAATCCAGCAACGAAACATTGCACACTGTCTCTTCTTGGGTTCTCCCCTTTTCACCGCTAATCAGAAATCGCCCCGTGCTTTTTCCTCTGCTAGCTCGCTGCGACGTTTCAGACGCAGCGGTGTCGCCCATGCTTTTGCCGTCGTCGATCTCGTCGTCGTCGAGATGAGCCACGACAGAGCCGCTCTCGGTGCTGTTGTTTCGGGCCGGGCTCGGCACTATTGGCGGTCCATTCCCCCATTCGCTGGTTGTTGCTGAGAATGCACCCAGATTTATGACACTGTCCATTGAGCACCTTGCAAGTTGGGAAACGGGTACCGAGGCCCAAGAGCCATGAGACTCAGAATCCCGGACCGACACCTCCGGTCGATCCTCCTCGCCGACAACCGCTGCCACGGAAGACCCATCTTCCTCATCTCTTGGCCTCGGGGTGCGGCGGACGGTGAATGGCGTTGGAACAGTGTATGGAGCCGGTGTATCATCACAGCATGAGCTCACGTTTGCTGTCGTCGTCGCCAGGAGCGTCTGCGTACTCTGACTCTCCCGTGGCGCACATTCAGCTGTGTCTTGCTCGTCCTCAATAACAACCCGGACGGGCAAGCTTTCATCATCGTCATCCAGCCCATGTCCCATCGCCATCTCCTTGCGTGATATCTTCCCGGCCGGGTCTCGGAGCTCATGTCCACCGGGGAGTTCAGCTAGCCCCTGAACCTCCATCACCTCCGTCACCTCCGTCACCGACATGTGTTCGCTGCTACCCCCACGTTTGTCGTCGTCCTGATCTTGTGCACCCCCAACATCACGACTAGTCGGTTCATCCTGGGTACCCCCACCGCCATTCCCATACCGACGCTCCCACTCGATGCGCTCGCAGCCCACGGTTGCTTCCACCCGCCGTCCGATCCTCTCCTCCTCTTCCAACGGAGACGGAAGGACGGCCTCCTCATCGCTCAACCTGCCTTCTTCCTTCTTCCCATCCTCCTCGTCCCGTCGCGCTCGAATCATCCGCCACACCCGAAGCTGAGATATGACACCAACCGCAAACAGCAAAATGGCCACAGCAAGCTCCACGCGTATTCCCCGCGTGAGCGGGTACGTCACCGCGCCATCTGGGAACAACTCCTCGTTCAGCGCCCAGATATATGCCCAGAATTCTTTTAGTCCCGCGCGGCTAAAGCAGTCGATGCCCAGGACTGTGGCCGTAGCCCCCGACAAAGCGATGCCACACACAAGGCCATACCGCCGCGTCCAGTGACTAATGTACAGACAGCAGCTCAGCAGACTGAACGCGGCAATAAACACTGCTTTGCCGGTGCTGTTTCGTATCAGTCCGCCCGGCTGGAGGGCCAGCAACCACATGCTAAAGCATAACCCGCCGAGCAGACATCCCAGACCCTCCGTGAGGTCCCGGAAAAGAACCGCCACGCCACCTAGCGCTGCGCCGGCGCAGAGGGCCGCGACAACAAAAGCCCCTTGAACGGCGGGAGTAACGGGCAGGGTCATGAGATACAGAATCAGGACTGTGGTTCCAAGGGCGCCCGTGAAGGCAGCGCTGAAGAAGGTCTGGACCCGTTTGGCCCGAATGCCGATGAGGGTGTAGGGAACGCCGGTTAGGATGAGGAGGGTGCCGGCAATGCCCCATCCTGGTGTGATTTCAGGCTCAAGGGGCAGTTGGCCCTCAGGGAGTGGAGGCACTATTGTTGTCTCGTTAAGACCCTTGTGTCTCTACGGGCTGCATTCCGTCATCCGGGTACGTACCATTGAATAACGTTGAGTTGGCATGACTCGTGGGGTTTGGTGATACCGTGGTCCTCGACGTTGTCGGAAGGATGGTAAGAGTACTACTAGACAAACTGACAGTAGCTACCGACGCGGTGTGTTCCTCGGTCGTCGCCAACGTTGGGGCTGGCAGGTCTGAAGATGAAGTCGTGTCCTGTCTTCTCTCATAGTCGAACATCTTACCCTCAATAACAACGGATAAAAGGAGACAAAGCAGAGCCCGTCGATATAGTCTTTGGAAAGGTCTCATCATGGCGCTTTTCACGACGCATGAACGCCCGTCCAGTCAATGAATCAAATGTCAAAATTAACGCAACCAGGTAAGCTCCAACAAACATATTGTCCTAGGGGAAGCTCCCAACCAGACCAAACCCCCAAGGTCAGTGGCCAGAAGAGAAAACCATAATAGAGACGCTCCGCGTCCCAGATCAACACCGACGGCGAATCAGGGAGCGAGCAAGTCCGGGACGAGGACTAAACGTGAGAGGGTAACCATCGCATCGAACAAGCCAGGTCACGCCCCGTGAACGCGACAAAAACATACTAGCAAGCCTATAGGGTGGCAGACCTCTTCGGTACAACAGCCGAGATCCTTGATTGTCGTAAGATCTGAGCGGTTGATCTTTACACTAGATGGGAGAGGCGGCGTCCGGTCGGGTCCGATGGAGGTCAAAGAACGTGGCCGGAGACGCGCCACGCGGGAAACGCCACGGTCGATGCGTCAACGAGGTCGTCAAGGTCGTGAGATGTCTGTCAACAGGGGTATGTGAGGTTGCATCAGCGAGTTGCCAGGGCCGGGGGCGGGAAGATGCAGCCCGGACAGGGGTGCGGAACCTGCTGCTCGTCGAATCGGGCGACGACGAGGATCCAAAACTTGACATTTTTCGACGCCTCGATCAAGGAATTTTACGTCGGCGAGTCGGGTTCATCATCCTTGCACTGCCGAATCCTGATGTGCTGTTAGAACCCATCACCCCGGCCGGAACCCTCCACAACATGAGCGTTTCTGTCCAACGTGAACGGATCCGGGAGACACACCATCAGGCCTCGAATTCTCCGGCTGATGAGACAAGGCTGGGGCGGGCTAAAAGGACGCGCATCCCACCCACGAGATTCTAGAGGATCGACCCACGACTAGTTAGCACGGCCGATGAATGGACGTATGGATGGCGTCGAAAGCCACATGGAACGTGGCCCATCCAGAACGTGTCCGATCCTCGTCTGCGTCTCCCCTGCATTCTTCACTGCCAAGCCGCGGGATGTAACAAGATCGCGACCCGATTTTCAACGACACATGAGGACGAGGTTGTTGAGAAGAATGAGAATTGCTGTGCTGCTTTGATCGTGAGTGAACAGACCGAAGCCGCGGGGAAATATAGACGCAATTGCCTGTTCATGCTGCGTTTCCGGTGATTCTTTACGGTATGGATCTGTTGAGAGGAGGAGAATCAAGATTTCTCGAGGGCGTGGGGGAACTCCGACGGCCCACCCAACAGAACTCTCAAGACCCGGGGGGACTTTCCCGATTCGGACAGCCACTTACACCTTCCTCAACACCAGACAGTAATGGTAAAATCAAGTTCTAGATCGGTCTCACAAACCGCCAAACATCCCAATCTACTAGGTACCCGTGCCTTCTCAATACCGCCTGGCTACTAACAGCATGTGCGTTCCACTGAAAAAATCGGTAGCGGATGGCTGTAGGTATGTACAGTTCATGTACCTACCTCCCTGCTCGGAAAGTCTCGTCTTTCCGGGTTCTCACTAGCCTAAGACATGAGTACTTCTCTCTCAGTTATCTGTTTACTTTGCGGGAGCATGTGGTATATGGTCAAAGAGACCCACGGAAGGCATGAATTGGGTGTCATTGGGTGAACTTTTATAGTAGTGCCAAACCGCAAAGGTATCTCCATATATTCCAGAGTACCATCTAAATAAAAGCCGTGAAAACTATTTGATACTCAATGCGCCACCTCACAGCGCGACTCTGTTAGCGTAATTCAAATCACCAGGGCTCACTAAAAGCGAAAAACATACAAACGGACGGACATACAGAAAACGCCTCATTTCACGACGTCCGAAACCTACTCGGACGCGAAAACGGCCCAACCGATGATATGGGAGAACTCCGCCCCGACCTAAAAGGCCGAGTCTGTGTTTGACCAAGAGGGTTGAAGCTTGAGCTGAGTCGGTATGTTCTCCCTCCCCCACTCCAATCAATGCTACTCCCATCGTCAGCAATCCCTCCATGCTCATCAACACCAACTGGGGTTCGCTCCTCTGCTTCCACCACCAATCCTAGCGGGCGTGGAAAAAAGATGGAGATGACCCAGAGTATCGCCGTCAGTGGGAACATCACAACCATCCAGAACACATCCGCCGCATTCCCCATAACCCCCCGACGTTGGGCGTCATTCCTAGCTACCACCGCGGACAAGGCAATGACGTCGTCAAGGCGGCGGCGCAAATCCAATATGCTCTGCTCGGTGTCGCTTGTTAAAGTACTGGTCTTCCGCTCATAGCGGCGAACGGCACGGACGATTGCATCGATGTCGGGAGCCACGGCGGCGCGCACCTCCTTGGTAGTCTCCTCGCGCATCTGCCGCGCTGCCTGCTGCTGCTTGGCCCCATTGGTGCAATCACAACCTTCGCAGGGCTTTCGCCGGGCTTGCTCATCCAAGCGAATTTCGAGATTCTCAAGTTGGCTGTTCAGCTCCCGATACTTGGACGGCGTGACGCGCACCGTGCGGTAGGGGTTCGAGTTGACGATGCGCTGGAGGTGCAGGGTGTGGGCCAGGACCAATTTGATGGCATGCGAGAGTGGAGTGATCTCGGCGGCGAGAAAGAAAATTCCGACGTTGAAATTGGAGACAAGTCCTTCCGAGGGCCGGCTGAGAAAGAAGCGCAGCGAGTAGAGCATGTAAGTGGCGGCCGCCGGAGAGAGAAAACATGCACCCAGGGCCATAATTTCGAGTCTATGCAGTCGGCCCAATGCCGCATCAATCTTGCGCGCTTTCATCTTCTTGTCGTCTCCTGACCCAGTGACGCTCTTGGGTGACATCGAATCACTACCAGAATCCGGACTTCGGGCGCCGCTTTGGAGCTCCAACGACTCTTCCAAGGCGGTCTCTTGGCCCTCCCTCACCTGCTGCGTCGCCTGATACCATTTCCTAGCCTCAGGTCAGCACAGTGTTCTCAACTGATCATCAAAGACCGCTTACCATGGCGCCGTAACAGACCAGTGAAGAAAGACGGTGGCCAGGAAGAGTAGGATGAGGTCGCTGAAGAAGGCCGTCCCGTTGTGAAAGAACAGCCCCGCAACCGGGGGAATCGAAGCAAACACAATGGGCAGAAACGACTTCCATGTCGTCACCGCGCTCCTAACATCTGGCCCAGGGTCTACAATCTCCTCGCGGAAATCCTGCGAAGCTTCGTTCAAACTGTACTGGGAAAGGGTCGAACTCCGGCGGCGGATATAAGCCTCGGGTGGGACTCCTGATCTAACGGTGGGCATATTGGGCCTTCCCGGGGATAAAGGTTGGATTTCCGGGTTCGGGCGGCGAATGCTACGAATATTCGAACCGGAAGACGAGCTTTCGCTCACCTCTAGGCCGCCGCCCTCTTTCGGAGAAGGCATATCGGTGCCCGGCGCAGCTTTGGACAAGTTCGAGAATTGAAAAGCTGAGTAGTGTAAATTATTCTAGAGGCAGGGGCCGTTGGAAGAAACATTCGATGATACCTGAAACGAACAAGGCGAAATGAGATCCACGGGTTCTTCGAGTGAGTTGATTGTCTTGAGAGCCTCGAGTATCTTGAGAGTGCGGACGGCGATGTGACGTAATTACTGAAAACCTCTAGCAGGGGTGTGAATGAGTGCTGCACGAGCAGCTATGCGGCAAATCGAGCTAACCACCTCGTCGCTTTCGTAGAATCCCGCCGCCACGAGAAATGTCAGACATAACTGACCGTTCCGGGAATGATGGGGGGATTGAGGCTCTGGATGTCAAGGTCAAAGTTGGCATGTAAGGGGAGAAGCCGACTCGTGCCAGAAGCTGCCGTCGTCCCATATCTGATCGTGGCTGCCCTGGCGCGGGGTGCTCCCACCTTCCATTCCAGCCGCCCGCTAACGCAGCGCTCAGTCCAATTAACGCCCCCGATTGGGAAAGGAAAAGGATCTAGTTGAACACCGAAATTTACCGCGAGCTCCATATGAGCGCCGGCTTGAAATCGGGCTTTGACGGGATAGAGGACCCAGCGCAATGGGACTTACACAGTACATGCGGAATAGACCTTCATACAGTAAGTACCCACTGTATATCCTATGACAGCGCTCCTGCATGGTAAGGCTCAAACACAAGACTTCTAACATTAGAACATGAATGGACTGTTAAGAAGACAGAGCTTTGTCATAAACACAGCAAAAATAACGACTCGATGCGCAAAACGCAAAAGAGAAACTCTTGGATGCACCCGGGATTGAACCGGGGACCTTTCACAGGGCATTGGAAGCTTGACCAGAAACTGGACAGGACCAGGTGCGAAGCGAAAATCATACCACTAGACCATACACCCTTGCTAGCTTGTTGAGGGAAATGTCGTGCCAAGGCTAGATGAGGGGCAGTTTTGGCGAGAGCCGTTGTCGGGGCGAGGAGGGCCGTGCTCGACCAACTGCCAGCTGCCAGCTGCCAGCCGTGCCAGCCCCTTGGAACAGCTTTGAGTTTGTCAGGGAGCTGCAACAAGACGCGTGCTTCAAGCCCCAATGAAGATCGTGCCTGCATGCAGGTTCCCGCAACGCCCAACCCAATTGAACCCGCCGATTTTTTGCCCATTTTCTGCAAGCTCATCAAAGCAATAGCGCCTTTTCTCTCGCCGACGCAGACGCCTCCACGATTCGACTCTCTCCTGGGGACAAAGGGCCGGTCTCTGTATTTCTTACCGCGGCCACAATCACAAACATACAGCTGGAATCACACCCCACGGACACAGCCGGCCAAATCATTGTGCGTGTTCGCCAAAATCGACAAATTTGAACCCCAGGATCTGCCCCAGAGTTCCATCCCCATCTCCTTCAAGAGTGGAGAATCACATCGATCGGGTCGCCGTTCTGGGTCTTTTGCGCCCGTTGACTGGGACCCCTCGCCGAGCAACGAGCGAACCAGTCGAAAAGGAGAAGGGACAATCCGGCACTAGTTTTGCCTTGCGCGACGGACGACTTCCGCGGATCAAGACCACAACGCTCTGGAACGCAACGCAACGCAACGCTCGCCTGTTTTTCCGGTGGCCGTCTCTCGCGGCCGCCGTTGCTAGGTCTTCCCCACGGCTTCACCCGCAGCACCCGCTGCCCACACACACGCCCACGCCCGTTCAACATCACACCATTCGCCGACGGACCCCGAATTGCCATCCAGGCCGGAACCGAACTCAGCGCTGTCGTCACCACACCAAACTTCCGGCGACCCCCACGCGCCCCCGCCTGCTGTCCCTTCGCCTGCGACAGCCAGCCAGGCGCCACGAGAACAGTCCACTCGAAGCGCCAATCCCCTACCTTGGGGCGTCGACGGCGTCCCTGCGTCGTCGTTCCTGCAATCGCCGTTTCGCACTCGACGCGGCGGTGCTCCCTCCCGACAACAGGCGCACCCGGCGCATCTCTGGAATCCGACCAATTCAACCCCGAGAAACCTTGCGCCTCCCCACTCGGGCAGGCCGCGGCGCCCGTCCAGTCCGCCTCCCCCTCCGGTTCCCGTCGTTCGTCCCGAGCTTGCCGCCCTCGAAGAGGACCCGCGCGGCGCCCTTGGCAGCCGGGCCGGCGATTTCCCGCTTCTGACGGTACCCGAGCAGCGAGAGACTCGCCCCCAGCTGTCTAACAGAGCCAGCCTTCATCTCGACCGGTTTGCCGGAGCTGAGCAGCGTGTTAGTCTACCGCCATCACTACGCCATTCATACGACGGGAAGCGAGCGAGCCACACCCCCTCGCCGGTCGAGGAACCAGAAGCTGGCCCGTCCACAGTTGTCCATCAAGACACCACCCAGGCCCATTTGGCTGTTCCCGAAACTAGGAAGGTTCGCAGCCGAGGGCTAAGCTTTACCAAGCTCCAAACACCCATCGGACTCAGCTTCCGGCCGAGCTCTCGAAAGGAGGACAAAGGCAAAGGAAAAGCCGTCATGGCACCACTACCCCAATCACCACAACAAGACGCCGGGGATGGCTTCACGCCAGACCTAGAGCGCGGGCCCGACCCGGCCGGCAACAACCACCGACACTCGACAGCGTCAGCCATCTCCGGCATCGGATCTGCCATGTCGAGTGACTCGTCCATCATGGGCGATCCAGACCAGCCGCCAGACAACGGCGAGGAATGGGGCCCGCAGCACCCGTGCTTCCCGCACCTCAACCCCCACGTACCCATCGACTCACCCGAGTACGCCAACACGCGCATCATCCGCGTGCGCCGCGACTGGTTGCTCGAAGGCGACCTGGCCCCAACCTTCTCCAACCTATACCCGGACATCCTCGACCCGGCCGGCGTGTCGGAGCACGAGTTCCGCCGCGTCATCGACAAGCTCAACTCGGAGCTCGTGCCCATCTTCAGCCCCTACGCCTGGCGCAATATCTTGGACAACGTACTCGGCCTGGCGACCGGTTGGCTGTGGGATGACCTGGGTCTGACGGCTGCTAAGGGCCGCCTGCGCACCCTCGAGAAGTGGATCGAGCAGTGGAATGCTGATATGGAGAAGGCTGTGGACACAGAAGAGGGCGGCTTTCCACCCAAGATTGTGCCGCTGCGTCGCACGGGGTATATGACGGCATGTTACCCCTGACTCTTCTCCGTCCCCCCTCTAAGCTAGGTTAAACCCCAATGCTGACCCGGCACCCCCTTTAGCTCGATATCCAAATCCCCGACCCTGAGCTCGCACCCGCGTCGCCCACTACAGATCGCCCGTCCTACGACGGGCCAGAGTCTCTTCCCGTTCAACCACCAGCTGCTGTAACGGCGTGATGGATATTTTAATGGCGCGAGGCGCTCTATATATTTCTTTTTTCCTCTTGTTTTTTGTCATTTCTTTCCCTCTTTGACTTTCTTGTTGAACTAAACTATACCCCTCTTTGTTGACAACTGACGAGTTATGTGTCCATAATTAATAGTCCCGTACTTAATGTTTTTGCTGTGGGGGTCTGACTTTGCTGTTGTGTCCAACATGACGTGGCGTTGTGTGTGTGTGTTCCCGTGTGAAGATCCGCCTACTTTCCTACCTGGCCTCTCACCTCACTCCCATGAATATGACCTCAGACTTCCGCTGAAAAGAGCAGTGTCTGAAGAAAGTCTAACAAAAGTACTGCAACTTTCCACGGGCTCAGCCTACGCTATGAGGTTTCCTCTAAGTTCGTTCTGAGATATATACATAGTAGTTTGCGAGACCCATGGGAACTTGGACGCGCGGTTGAACAGATCGCACTAAAAATATACTGTTGAGTTCCCTTCGCGTCGATGGGACAACGTCGACGTCTACCTCCACTACGGCGTACATCATGGAACGGCTCTTGTAGCTTGCCAGATCATCGCCGGGGATGCCTTCGCCAATAGTTATCTCGCTCTCGATAAAGGGGGCTCAAGGTAGTGGTGATTCTTTGGGGTGACCCTTACTGTTTTTATATCGTTTTATTTCACCTTTCACGCTCGATATTCTTTGTAACTCAGTTCCGAGGAAATAGGCTTTTTCGTTTGCGGCGTTCGTTGCAGGCAAGGATTTAAGGACAGGGAACAACCTGCACTTGCCAAGAAGGTCGACGTCGAGCCTTTCTTCCACGTCATCCTCCAAGGAAAAAGAGAAAGGAAAAAGGAATTAGGAATAGAAGAAAGAGAAAGCATTAGTATTTTACTAAGCCTGAGACCAATAAGTTCCGTCATGTTGTGGGAAATGGACAAAGTTCCCTCTGGTTGCACTTTCTCTATTCGGGAACTGGTACTTTGACTGCATGGTTTGGAGGAACTGATAAAACGGTACTTGTAACGTGGACAGGAAGCACTGGCCACTCCTGTGATGCAAGCTCTATGCAATGTACCCCGCTATCACTTGCCCTACTAGGACCTGGGACCAAGAACCCAGCGCCCTCCTTCCCACGTGCACTTAGCATCAACAGCAAACCCATCCATCACCATGGCCGCGTATCCGAAACGGTACGAGCCCTGCCTAGCTCTACGAGGGCGAGACATTCCTTGTCTTTTCTGGTTCGAAGATGCGCTTGCGACATACGGTGTCCCTACCGTGGTGTTCGACCTTTACCTCCTCGTTCCCGATATCGATAAAGCCGCCAACGCTCTGGCCGAGAAAGGTTGGACCGACGCTGGGCCGCAGAACTCAACCTACCACTTCTTGAAGGCGCCGATACCACAGCGCCGCTTGAATCCCCCAAACTTTACGCCACCCGACTGGAAACCGAGACCTGGGCCACCATCCACGGAACCACCTGGGCCAACCACCACCGTTCTCCTTCCCGCTACCGACTGGAACGTTCCGGTCGAGAAGCTACGCCTACCCTCCCTAGAGGGTTTCATACCGCCTCTCGCCCTTCTTCTTGACGCCTTAATCGACAGCCTTCTCGACGCGCCCCTTGGCACGCTCCTCTGGATTCAGCTCAATACCTTTGTCTCCTACCTTTATGGCAATTGCGCATCACTGAAAACACAGGACTTTGCGGCCAATCTTCAGCTAGACCATCGTCAATTCCACTACGATGCGCTTTCGAAGTGGATTAGCGGAATACCTTTCCTCAGGGAACAGCGCCAGATCCGAGACGAAATAAGAGAGGGGAAGCGACAGCCACAGCGCAATGCCTGGTATTTCCAACCGACTTATTAGTAGCCACATGGCTGTGTTGGGGTATGCTTGTTTGAGGACGTCGAATACAACTCCTCTCATGTCAAATGAGGTCTAAAGTTTGTTGTCTTGGTTGTATCATGGACCATTCTTGGCATGTGGAAAATATTGCGTATTATGTACTCCGTAGGTGCACGGAAATTATCTTGCTTTGCCCCACCCATTTATTCGCAGTTTCACGGTAAAGAATATGTTCTGTTCGACCTTGTCGAGGGCCTTTGTTTTTGCTTCACCCATGTGTCGTCTTTACCGTAGCCAAGAATAAGTGATATGCTCGTCCTCACAGGTTCACAGGTCCAAAGAAGCAGTCCAGAGAAAAAACAAGAGGTTCTCGACCGTCTCGGCAACCCCCGAGCCCCCACATCACGCGAGATGTTTTGCAGCTCCCGTCCCGAGCTCCGAGCCAACCGATCGTGCCGAACCAACCATTGAGCACCCATCTCTGGCAGTTTTGTTCCCCATTTGTCGGAGTTGTGGGTTGGGGCACGCACAGGGCCAAGCTTGTGGAGTCTGATCTCCAACCCCTTGTCCGAGCCGCCGAAGCGAAACCACCGTACTAACACCATCCTCACAACCCTTGGACACCATGACTTACGATTTCCACTCAAAAAATGATGAAAACCCGAAGCAAAAGATGAATCTAGCGACAACTCGTTTCGATCGAGTGACCTCCGGGTTATGAGCCCGGCGCGCTCCCCCTGCGCCATGCCGCTTTGTTTCGGATTGGATGAAGCAGAGAAGCGCGATGTGGAACTAATATTTGCCTCGTTTGCCTGTTTTTTTGTTCGTTTGCGGCAGCACCGCACAGGACTTGGCACGGAGCAGCTTGACAAGTTGAGGGTTGCCGTTGTTGTCTTCCACTCATTCTGACCCGGAGGTATCGTGCCCCCCCTCGCTGTAGCGGCAGACGAAAATAGAATAGCTTAAGTCCAATCCAGCAACATTCGATCAAACCGTAATAGAATTTGATCGATTTACTCTGTTTTGTCCCTTTTCACTTTTTTATGTATTCTTTTTTATCTTCTTTCACCTTTGGTATTTACTCTTTTTTATCCTCTTTCACTTTTTTATTGACTCTTTTATCTTCTTTCACTTTTTTTATTTATTCGTTTTTGCCCACCGCTGTACCTGTCCATCACCAGACACCTGTCCATCACCATACCTGTCCAACCGAGGCGAGACAGTAATAAACGCGTTCTATACTCAGCCGTGCCTGAGGTTGTTCGATGTAGTCGTCCAAGGCTTCTATCAAATGGTCATAAACCCGTCGGCACGCAACAGGCTTGCATCTCGCCAACACTTGGAGGTTCTTGGTCTGTTTTGGAATATCGAAAGAGGACATGGTAATGGAACTAATGGTATGCTGGAGTATAGGGTACTATATATGGCTGCCTGGGCGTCAATGAATATTTATGTTTCTTGAAAAAGTCGTTAGTTCTCTTTGTCAGTGAGGTAAAACTTTCAGGCCATTCATTACCTCGATCTCGGCCAGGTTGGCCCCCCCACTCCGACGGTTGTTCCTTCCTCAGGAAGGACAATACGGTAATGCCCCAGGTCAAGATTTTCATCGCCGAACGAGGGGTGATTAGATGGAAGGAGCAAAGGGACATGAATTAAAACCAACGGAAGCCACGTAAACTCTCCCGTCTTCCCTTTTTTTCTTTCTTCGTCGTCGAATCTCTTGGTCGCCGTTTCCCTTCGTAAGTTGCAATAGCGTCCATTGTCGTAGTAGAAAAACACCATTTGAACATCGTTTCAATGTATTTCATGTTCATGCTCTGTTTTAGTGATTTAACGCCTGGTTACCTGCTACCATCTGACCCAGCTGTCTTCTGAAGGTGCATCGCGTTAATCCAAACCGTCATCTTTATCCCCAACCTTCAAGTGTTTTGGAATTCAAACTGCTCTCTATACGTCCGCGCTAACATCAAGTAGAAACAATAATCAAGATCTGCCCCTTGGGGACCCTTTCGTAAGTCTATATCCTCGACTAGTGTGTTTAATCCGCGGCTCCTCGTGTACGTGATTGCTAACGTACTTAATGAGAAAGACCAAGAAGTACGAACACCCAACCCAAGGCGGGGTGCCACCCATATGCCTGATATTTAACATTAACTCGAATACATAGTGAACATAACGATCAATCTGGGCCCCGGCCCACTCGCGACCAGGGCCGCCGCCGCTCTTGGTGCGGCATGTGGCCGTCTTGTAAGTACCTGCCTGCGGTACCTATCCTTTGTTCTTGTCAGCCCCAGATACGGTGCTATGTCTGCAGGGCATACAACTAACGGATGATTTATACAGGCTCTCGCCTCCGCCGTCGCCGACGCACCCCCCGCCCAGCCCACCAGCGGTGCTGGCAAGAAGGTCCTTAACTTTGTTAAATATATTATATCAACACGAAATGCTAATGATGAGATAGCCCAAGAGTGCCGAGGAGCTGGCGGCGCAGACAAGAGAGTAAGTTTCCAACTTCCAACTTCGTAATCTACGACACCACGTTTCAAGTTGCTCTAATTTCAAGAGCGATGGCTAACCATGCCTCCAGGAGAAGAACCGCGCCCGTCGTGCCCGGCAACGGGCGAAGAAGAAGGCCCGCCGCGCCGCCGAGGCCGCTGCCCTTGCCGCCGCCGCCTCTGGCCCCGGCCCCGTCGCCGAGTCCCCGGCCCAGGAGGACAAGGAAAATTCGGTAAGCTAGCTTGATTCTATTATTTTTCAATATATCCGACTAATTACAGATCAGATGAACAAAGTTTAGTTAACAATACAAGTACTTGAGTTTTGTCGTAACGTACCATATTTGTGTCACATGTGTTCAACATAATTTTAGCCACTGACTTCTTGGTGATTTTGTTTTGGGTGAGTTATCCTCTTGTCTTTAGTTATTGTTTTTAATTCTAGCATGATATTGCCTCCATCATAACCCGGGCGTCACTCGATCGAGACGAGTTATCGCTAAGAATCTAACTTTGCTTCGGCTTTCCATCATTTTTTGGGTGGAAAATGTGTTGAGTTCAAGTATACAAGAATTGGGGGCTCGCTGTGGCCGAAAAAAGCGGGACGATATTCGTAGCTCCCATTGCGAAGGCTCGCTGGATATCCATCGTTCGCCGTCGTCCTTTCGCTCCGACTATTTTGAAGGACACCCCGAATTCCAGGAACAAGAGGAACCCAATCACACCTCCAGTACAAAATGGGTGGAACACAAAAGGGTAACACTTATCAACTAATTAAAGGCCACTCTATGCTCATCAAGCCCTGCGCTATACACTACTGCCGCAAATTTTCCCACATGAGATCAGACAGGAAATAATACCGGCATCGCAGTTCCAATTTGAAACAATGGGGGACCAACCACCAATCTCAGGCGGAGTTTCAACCAGCTTTCTTCCCCATTTGTCAGTATTGTGGGTGGCCATAGGGAGCCAAGCTTGCCAAGCTCGTTGAGTGAGATCTCCAACCCCCTTGTCCGAGCCGCCAAAGCGAAACCACCGTGCCAACACGACCGTCCCAGTCTCACCCCAGCACAGTGTTGTGCTCCCTCGCTATGGCCAAAAAAAAAGCGGCAGACCAAGTCCCTGGATAACTTACTTTATTACAAAAGTGAAAAAGGACAAAAAGAAGAAACCAAAAAAAAAGTGAAAGAAGACAAAAAAAGAATAAATCAATCAAAATTTACCAAGACTTGATCGAATGTTGTGGGTTGGACTTGAGCTATCGGTTCGAGTGTGCCGCTTTTTTTGGCCACAGCGAGGCTCCCCAGCCCTTGCGGATCCACCAAAAAGGCCATGACTCACACACGAGACCAGACGGATGAAACACAAGACAAAAGCGATGACAAACTGAGGCAAATAATGCCCGCTTCGGACTGCTTTGTTCAACCAATTCAAAAGCGGCATGGCGCAGGGGAAGCGCGCCGGGCTCATAACCCGGAGGTCACTCGATCGAAACGAGTTGTCGCTAGATTTCATCTTTTGATGGTGTTATTGCTGGTGTTGTTGGTGGTGTGGTTTGGGGTGAACTTTTTCAATTTTTTAACCCTGTTTTATTTTTTTCTTATTTTGGTGAGGTATTTTCCCCACTATGTGTGTCTGGCCTTGGTCCCCAAGCGTCGTACGTGCCCAGCAATATGCTATTCGAGGCTTGAGCTTCACTTGACCATTTCCCGAGTGTCTTGTCCTTGTTTTGGAGATAGTTCTTTGGTGTTTTTTTTTTCTTTGACACATTTTCTTTTCTTCCCAACTTCCACGACACCTTGCCTGCAACCACATTGACTTAACTATCAAATTAACATATCATTCACAATACCCATCCTCGGTCAAGGATAAAGAAGTGGTTCACTGTGGCATTTTAGATCATTTTGTTGTCGACATTTTCTCACCCCCAACCTAGGCTCTACCCCCAGCACCAGGGTTAGGGTTCACTGTGAAGGGCTTGGAGCAGAACAAACAGCAACCAAGCTCTTCTCTTATTTCCTCTCCTAGATGAACTCTTTTCCCTCGAGATATCCTTGGTCGTTCCTCATCTTTCTTTTTGACATTGCCTCGTGCTTCTTTTTCGTCGATTTTTGCATCTTCTTCCAAAATCTCGTCCCCCCTTATTCCCCTTTTATCTTTCTTTCATTGTCATACTTTTCTCCTTTTCCTTTCCTCTTTTCGCTTCTCCCTTTTCCCTTTTCCCTTTTCCCTTTTCCCTTCTCCTTATACATCCTTCTATTCTTCATGGTCGGCAACCGCCCGCAAGAACGCGCTACAACTCATTCATGAAATCTTGAAGGATATGTCAATAGGCCTATGGGAATGGAAATACAGAGTATACATCCCTTGCTGATATCTGGTAGAAACAACCCTTTTGATCAGTCGCCCGTGGACCTTCGAAGTATGTTTCTCCTGTTTCATTAGCCATCCTGGGAGGTGCTAGACGATGTCATATCATGGATACGTTGAAACCCGGCCAAGATTATTTTGAATTACCCCTTAATTTCTACTCTATCCAAAACCCCACCCTCCCCTTAAACCTAATTGACAAACACCCACCTCCTCACCCCTCCAAAATCTCCCTCGGCGTGCCCTTCTTCGCCCACTCCCTCAACACATTCTTCCGAATCTTCCCCGTGCTCGTCTTCGGCAACTCCCGCACGACCTCCACCTCACGCGGAACCATGAAGCGGCTGATGGCGCTGTGGTTCCGCGCCCACTGGATCACATCTTCGCCACGGAGGAGAGAATTGCCGACGCCGGAGGCTGGCCCTGTCGTCGTGGGCCGGCGGACGGTGATGTAGGCTTTGGGCCGCTCGCCCCAGTGCGAGTCTGGGACGGCGACGACGCCGGCTTCGAGGATGGAGGGGTGCGAGGCGAGCATGGATTCGAGGGCGACGGAGGAGATGTTTTCGCCGCCTATTTTCTTTTTGTTAGTTTGACTTTCGGGATGGGGGAGGGGGGATTTCAGCCTCTGCGGGGGACGTACCTGAGATGATAATGTCCTTCGCCCGGTCTTGAATCTGAATACTCCCATCCGGATGCCATACGGCCAGATCGCCCGAGTGTAGCACGCCACCAGCAAACAGCTTGCGGGTTGCCTCGGGGTCCTTGTAGTACCCCTTGCAGCAGATATTGCCCGAAAACACAATCTCGCCCATCTCCTTCCCGTCGCGCGCAACATCGACCAACACGCCCTCGGGCTGGTCCGGCTTGATGATGCGTGCGGGCAGGGCCGTCACGAAGCCGTGGCCCTGACGGGCCATCTTGGCGTACTTCTCCTTCTTGGGCAGGGTGTCCCACTCGGGCAGCATGTAGCCGCGTGTAATGGGGCCGTAGGTCTCGGTCAGGCCGTAGACGTGCACGGGTAGTAGGTTCAGGTTGGTCATTTGCTCGAAGAGGTGGGCAGTTGGCGGGCTGGCGGCGACCGTCACGCGGACGGGCCGGGGGAGGGCTTCAGCATTCGGGTCGGCGCAGAGGAGTGTGTTGACGGTTGGCGCGGCGTTGAAGTGTGTGATGCCTTCTTCTTTGAGCAGTTTCCAGATGAGAGGGTAGTCGATCTTGCGCAGACACACGTGGGTGCCGCGGACGGCGCAGATCGACCACGGGAATGTCCAGCCGACGGCGTGGAACCTGTAGATTGTCAGCTTTGTGTTGTCTGTGGCTGGTCGTATCGCCCGCGTTAAGGGAAACGTACATAGGCAGAGTCCAGAGGTATTTACACCGCCCGTCAGGCAAGTTCAGCCCCGACTCGACTACATTCGCCATCGCAGCGAGGTACGCGCCCCGATGCGTGTACACCACGCCCTTGGGCTTGGACGTCGTCCCGGACGTGAACGGAATGGCAAGCATGTCGTCCTCGTCCGCCACGGTCTGTGACACCAAGTCCGCCCACCCTTTACTCCCGGTTTCCCGGTCGTAGGTTAACCCCTCGAGCACAGCCTCGTCATATGGCCCGCACAGCTGGCCCTCCTTCACATCGGTATCCTGCAGCCGTCAGCACTCCCCCGTTTACATTGCCTAAAAGTCCAAATGACGAAAAAAACCACAAAAAACCTACCAAATCAACAATAACCTCCACCTCCGGCCTCGCCTTCCTAAACCCCACCAACAGCCCCTCAAACTCCTTATCCACCACCACACAATCCACCTCAGCAAACTCCAAAATATACCTCACATCCTCCTCCTTCAACCGATAATTCACCGGCACCATCACGCCGCCCGCCGCCACAATGCCATAAATACTCTCCAAAAAAGCCGGCGTGTTCGGCGCCAGCAGGCCGACGCGGCGCAGCCCCTTCTTCCGCAGGTAATAGGCTAGGCCGCGGGCGCGGTCGGCTAGCTCGCGGTAGGAACGCCGGAGTACGCGCTGGTTGGCGGTTACGTGGTAGACGGCTTCGGCGTGTGGCTCGATGGCGGCTGCGCGCTCGAGGAAGAAGGTTGGGGAGAGGTGGGAGAGGTGTGGGGGATTGGGGTTGTTGGTGTTGTTGTTGGAGGATGGGAGGAGGTGGTTGAGGACCGTTCGGAGGCGGGAGGCTGGGGCGGACATGGTGGTGGATGGATTCGGGTTTCAATGGATGGTTGGAGGTTCGGAGGTTTGGATAGAGGAGGGTTGAGAGACCGTTGTCGGTGATTCGGAGTTGTATATGAGATGAGATGAGATTGGCCTCTGATATGACGCGGTGAGATCGTGGGTGTGAGATATCAAGACGAATACGACTGAGATGAAAGAACCTTTGGAATTGAGCGGGATGAAAACAAGAAGAAGCCGACGATGTTTAGGAGAACCGGAAACCGATTGCTTCAATGCGCCGACCCCCGTTCCGAGCCCTGGTGCCGATCGAAGCCGCGGGCAAAACACTAAACCGAAAGGGAATGCAGAGCCGGAATGTCCCAGACACGAGCTGACGGATCAAGATTGGAGGTTCTGCTCTGTGCTTGTGGGCAATGCGTAAAATACGATACGGCGATTTGTTCTAGCTTTAAGTTCCGGCAGTCCATCGGCTCGGAAGTCGCGACTTATGGCAGCCGAGAGCTTCCTGCTGTCCGAACGGTCCCGTCTCGATTCCTCGGCTCAGCCAGCCCAGTGACGACGACCCCGGGTTTCCTCGACCCTCTTCCTTGTCGGTCTCTGAACTAGCCCGATGAGGTAATTCGATGTTTCAGCTTTCTCACAAAAGAACGAGGTAGGAGGATATTTTCAGTGCAATGTCATCCAATGCGCTTGCGTAAGGTTATTATCCGGATAGACAATGTGAAAAGATCATTGACGGATGTCTTACCACCTAGGAGTCATGAGTTTTGTATGTCCGAGGGTCGCTCGTCAGGAAGTTCGGAAGTTCGGGGTATGATGCTAAAAGTTACCTAAATAGGACAAGCGCAAGATGCCAGTTCCCCCGCACTTTTAAGCTTCATCCCCACGGCCCGCATGTGGGTTTCAAAACTCCCGGGTGTGTGTGCGTTGAAGAACTTTCAACTGTACAAAATAAATACTCCTTTTCCTTTAACATAGTTTGTGTGCTTCCAATGAAGTGGCATCAGGGTCACGACACTGTTATTTGAGAATATCGGACTTGACAGTGACTCAATTCACTATTCATTCGCTCGTCATAACTATCGTGACGTGATGATAACCCTCACGGGATTCCCTCAAGAGACAGGAGCCACCTTTCGAAGTCGTGGCATTAAAAAAGTAAAGAGTTGGTATCACGAACCACCCCCCAACCAGCCCAGCCAGCCCACCCATCCCAACCAGCCTAAACCGAAAACACCGACATCCAGCACCTATTCCTTCCGGATGAGGCTGTCAAACAACGGCTTGAGGCTCTTGGCGCTCTTCTTAGGGTGGCGCTTCTGGTCGTTGACATAGTCAACATAAGTGACACCAAAGCGAGTCTCATAACCCTCAGCCCACTCAAAGTTATCCATAAGCGACCAGGCCATGTAGCCCTGGACATTGACGCCGTCCTCGGTGTGCGCAGCCGCCATGGCACGCACGTAGTCATCAAAGTACTTGACGCGGAAGTCGTCCTCGACGATCTGCTCCAGCGACATGTCGTTCTCCCCCTTGAGCGACGTGCCGTTCTCAGTGACATAGATCTTGGGGAATCCGTACCGCTTGCTGAGCCAGACCAGCAGGTCGCGGAACCCTTGCGCGTGTGGGCGCAGCCAGAAGGACTGCGTCTCCGGGCCGATACAGTCGCCGTTCTTGTTGTAGAAGAGCGTCTCGAGGTTGCCCAGGAAGTCGTCTTCGGGCGGCGGGGTCGTCTTATGCTTGATGTAGTTGGCCGTGTAGTGGTTCATGCCGTAGAAGTCGTTGGAGCCCTGGACCAGCGCGATGTCTTCGGGGGACCAGGTCGGCAGGCGGTCGCCGAGCTGCTTGCGCATGGAATCCGGGTAGCGGCCAAAGTAGATGGGGTCGGCGAACCACGAGATGGCGAACTCGATCTTGCGGTCGCACGCCTCGACGTCGGCCGGGTCCTCCGGGTCCCAGGGGAGCGTGGCGTCGCCGTTGAGCGTGATGCCGATCTCGCCGCCCTGCGTCGGCTTGAAGTCCTCGCGGTATGCCTTGACTGCCCGCCCGTGCGCCACCAGGATGTTGTGCCCGACGATCCACGGCTCGCGGCTGCTGTCACCGATGGGCGACTTGCTGCGGTCCGAGGTGTGGCCGGGGGCGAAGTAGCCGCTGTTGTAGCCCAGGATGGACGAGCACCACGGCTCGTTGAATGTGATCCAGTGCTTGCACTTGGGGATGGCCTTGAACAGCACGCGCGCGTAGTGCTCAAAGTCGGCGCCAAACTCCTCCTTGTTCAGGAACCCGCCGTAGCGCTTGTCCAGACCGTCCGGCAGGTCCCAGTGGAAGAGGGTGATGAAGGGCTCGATGCCGGCCTCGATGAGGTCGTCGACGAACTTGACGTAGTGGTCGATACCCTTCTGGTTGATGGGGTCGTTGCGGCCGCCGATCGGGATGATACGCGACCAGGCGATGGAGAAGCGGTACGCCTTGGCGCCTACCTCCTTGAGCAGGTCAATATCCTCCTTGGTCCGCTTGTACGAGTCGCAGGCCACCACGCCGGAGCTGCCGTCGGCGATCTTGCCCTGGATTCCGCAGAAGGTGTCCCAGATGGACGGGCCACGGCCATCCTCGTGGATGGAGCCCTCGATCTGGTACCTGGGGGTAGGGAGAGTATGTTGTTAGCCACCATCAAGGCCCTGGGAGTTGAAAAAAAGGGGCAGCATAGAACAAGCTTACGAGGCAGTGGCAAAGCCCCACTGGAAGTCCTTGGGAAGAGACATGATGCCTGAACGATCTGAATGTAAACAAAAATTACACGGGAAGACAACGCTTGAACAACAACAAAAACAACAGATCTAACAACCTGACCAAGATCGAAAGGGGAGCTCCCCCTCCCTTTTATACCCGCAGGACACTTAGAAACCGGTATTCTGCTGTAGTACCACTCTTCCATCCTTCCCACGCACCCCAATTTGTCCCGCGCGTTTCGGACCGTCGACACCGAGGCAAAGCTAGGCATAACTCGAGGTCCCTCCACAGCACACTACTGCGTAGGAACATCCCACAACAGCGGGATCAGAGCTTTTCCCGAGAGGGGGGTTCCATGATCGAACCCGTGTGTGTGCGAGGCTTTGCGCGATGCGGGCAGCCGGGGGCCCTTGACAAGGACCTGCTCCCCCCACCGCGGGGTAACCTGGTCCTGTTCTTGCCGGGGGTGAAGAGGGGTGCCCGGATGATGGCCGAGCAGTGTGAGTGGGTGGGCAAGTCGGGGCAAGTGGGTGAGATGGTGAGCTCGGGTCTGGAGCAACGGGAGTCTGGTGGTTTGGGGTGTGAAATTGTTGGAAAATGGGGCTGTTTTGGCCCTATGGACAGGGGTAGTTGGAGCTACCCTGGTTGGCCAAGACTGCACCCCACCCTCACGGCCAAGCCCCAACGGGTAAAACGGGCTAAGCCAACGGCGTCGGAAAGTCAACCCGAAACAAAGGTTCAGGAGGGCCGTCGATGGGCTGCCGGGTTCCCCAGGTCTGTACCGTACCTTTCGTACCTTACATGACGACAGAGAGAGAAAAAAGGCTCTTTTGCGCCTTCGCTCTCAAGAGCCGCAAACTCCCCTCACATTCACAACTCATCCGCCTGAAACGTCCGGAAAGCCCGAGAGAAGACCAATTGACCGCGCTTTCTCCACTGCTAGACGATCCCGAGAGAAAAATGCTCACCGTCACGCTCTCCACCTTGGAATCGATTTCCGGAAGCACGGCCCGTGAGAGAGAGTTCCAACGGCCGGACTGGGTAAACTTCGGCAAAACAAAGAGTGGCGCACTCAAAAACATGGTCACGAGCGGGGGCGTTTGTTTCGTTTCGGACGAAGTCCACGGCACCTCACCGCCCGCGCCGAGAGAAGGATGAGGCGACCAGCAAGAAGGGCATCTGGCCAACGAGTCCTTCGGTTTGGGTTGGTTGAGATTTCAATTTTCTGTTCTATGGCATGATCGAGCATGATTAAACCCTTGAACTCCCTTCATCTGCTCGGCAAAACCATGGCAAAACAAGGAGCACGGGACCGGAACCGAGCTAGCTTCCAAGTCCGAGCACTCAACGTCCGTCTCCCAAACCTCCACGTTGTTGCCCACCGCTCCTTGCCTGACTAACTAGTCTCTTACCTCGCCTTGTATCGGCCCCGTCTGGCGAAACTCCGGGTGCCGCTACGGCTGGCCGGGTGCGGCTGGCGACAAGCTAACCAACGTCCAGACCTATCCTTTGCTCCCTCGGAAATGACAAGAACACCAGAGACACAGAGCACCAGTTACCTTATTCCACTTCCCGTCCACGCGGAAGCTAAAGAACGGTCGCGTCTTGCCGAAGGCTAAATCTCGGCGGCACTAACGGCTCGCGGCGCTTCTCTCGTAGCTTTCTGGTTGTCGCCGACCGAGACCGCTTCGCTGCCGACAACACCATAGATGGACGCGCGGGTCGGGGCCAAGATCCATCCCGCTGGCGAGTTAGCGAGTGGACGCGGCACGACGGGAGGGGGAAGATCAGATTGTTTCTTTCCCGGGCTCTCGGCATTCTCGGTTGGATGACCCGGACGGTCGACCTCCCATCATCCCCATCAGCCTCAATTTCGGCAATTCGCTTTCTCATATGCGAGTAGACTCGTTGGACGGTGATTTGAGCTGTCTGTCTTGACCAGGCACCCCCTTACTACCTTCTCACCAGCTGCGTGGCCGTAGTAACCGCCCGGCGAATGTCGTCTACCGAGGCCTGTCTGGGGTTGATTGCTCGGTAGGTCCCACTCTTAGACACGGGAAGCTAAGCGCGCGGCTCTATCAGACCGGGATAGCACGGTGAAGCGAGACTGATGAGAGACTACCACCTGCGTCCTTCATGCGTGTAAGTGGCAAAGATGACAAGGCATCTCAAAGGCAAAGGCAGGCTCCGATCCACTGCCGGCGCCTCCGACTGGGTGAGGTTGGATAGGCTCAATAGGACGCCGGATCCAGGCACGGTTTCGCATTCGCAACCAAGGAAGCGCCCAACCGCGCAGATAGATCGGCGCTGTATGTACATAAATCTGTACTACACGTTACGACCCTACCGCTGGATACAGTGCCGTGCATATCCGCCGCCCGGGCGACGACGGCAAACGGCAGCTTCCCGGTTTCCGCCCCCTTGTGCTTGTTCGCGTAGCTCTTCCGCGGAGCACCCTCGCGACCGGCCAACAACTCACACGCATTCCTCATTGCGGGCCTTTCATCCGGCCGCCTTCTTCGACGTCCTCGACCTGGTCTACTTTCCGCTTCTTTGAACCGTATGAACTCTGCGGCTGTGGCCCACCACCGTCTTCGTCCTCCTCCGTCCACTCCACAATCTCCCATTCCACTCTCACATTCCCCGTCTGGTCGGAACCGACCCCCGTTGTCCGCCGTAGCGTTCTTCCCAACCTACTGCCCTCGGTGAGCCTATCAAACCACGGGAGCACGCCAACTCTATCAGTGCCCCTTGGGCCGAGCTGGCTGTTGTTGCCATCCTCATTCTCCTTCCCCTTGCCCCTTTCCTCCCCTCGTTCTTCTCCTCCCTTCTCCGGCGAAATCCCCCTCGAAGACGCTCCCGACGACGCCCCCGACGACGGCCCGGACGACCCCAATCTCCCCAACAACCCCCACTCCTCCAGATCCCCCAAATCCTCCGGCAGCAGACTACCCAACGTCAGATGGATGAAGTCGGCCTCGGTGCGCGGCGACTCGGACCAGTAGGACAGCGGGGTGCCGCAGAAGCCGCAGAAGTGGTGCATCGCGTAGTCGATGCCTGGTTCGCGGTAGACGCGGTGGATTTGGGAGTTGGTTTCGTTGGAGTATTGCGGGAAGGTTAGGCTTTGGTAGTGTTGGAGGGGGACGCGAAGATAGGTGGGGAGGGGGGTTCCGAGGGTTGCGCCTGGATTGTTGTGTTGTATGAGTGAATTGCTCGTTTTTCTTTCTTTTTTTGGTTTGTTCAAGGAAAGCTTGGGTGATGGGATTGGGGGAGAAGGGTTTTGGCTTACGGTGGTGAGGATCCGAACTAAAGAGGACTTTGGCGAGTTGGTTAATGTCTTCTTGTTCCTTGGGGAACCGGATGATGTAGAGGTTGCGCCGGCAGCGGCAGCCACCACGGAGTGGCCGTGTGAGGTCCATTATGCCGCTTCCCCCTTCTATGCGACAAGGTACCGAGTTGCTAGAACTTGGATCGTAGGAGAATTGGCCGATGCGGGGAAAATTATATCCAAAAACCAGAACGGATGAGAGAAGGACGGGTTAATGAAGGTATACTCGGGCCGCAGGAGTTGGCCCAGTCGTGAGGCCGTTGGTATCGGCCGTGATGATAGGTCCCCTACGAACCCAACACCGCTACTGCCGTTCTAGGAAGTTTTCTTGGATGATGCGTGGTCCGTTTGTCAACCCACCTAGCAACCGAATCAATGACCTCAAAGGACCATGTGGCGTGTCTGAGTTTGGGTCAACGGGTCAATGGGTCGTGCAGGAACCCGACGGGCATACCGCTGATTGCGCCGGAGGAGAAAGTAACGTTTATTGGAGTTGGCAAAAAAGTAATTGTCAAAGCACGAAAATCAAAGAGATATGCAACAAAATCAGGGTGGTAGGGTGGTACACTTTAAATGACCCGAGATGCGGTTGTACTGTGGTAATCACTTACATCACTTACATCACTTTGCTTCCAGAAGCAGCGGGGCATTTCCCCCCACCTTTGGCCCATGGCTGCATCCGTTTGGTTACCGGGCTTGAAATGCTCCAGGCAGGGAGGCACCCTTTGTTCTTGTGTGATCTAGCTTCGGAAAACACAACAGGCAGCTTCCTACAGGGCTCGGGGAGTTGAATCGAGATCTAAGCTGTTTTCTACTTTCGTGGATCGAGTGCATTGCCGTTTGCGCAAGTCTTGGGTAAGATTCTCGTAATGTTCCGTACCGGCATGGTTTCCGGGCATGTGTGAACCCGGGCTGAACGAACCATGACGAACTGGCTGATTTTGTCTCCTAGATCTACCTCAAGTATGTGCACTGGTGACTGGTTAGGAGAATCCACTATTCAATGGTTCAAATCCATCCTTCAGTGTATCCGTGGCCTTTGTCCACTTCCTTCTTTCTCTCACATTCACATCTCGAGTCCCTGGTACTGTGTAACATTCACGTACGGAGGCGTAAATCACACACTGTCCACGCAACCAACGAACCAAGACCCACCTGCCCTCACCGCCTGGCAGTTCCTGCAGCTCTTTGGCAATTTAGCTCCAGTCGCGTCAACCCTTCTCTTTACGCGCGCCGAGCCAACCTCCACTCTCCCTCATCCTTAAATTACCAACTAAGCTTCAGGTTTTTTACCATCTTTCGCCCATCCCGTATCATCCCGGTATCGGGTTAGCACGACATCATGGCGGCCATGTGAGTTTCATTTTTTATTTTCCGGGTTTGGAACAGAAAAAAAAGACACTTGCGACATTCTTCCTTCGTGCGCAGCGCATTCGGCATCCAGCTAACGCCCCAATAGTGAAAGCTTTGATAACATCTACCTGGACTTGTCCCGAGAACACGGCAAGTGCAGGTTCGCCGAGAATGGTCTCGGATGGAAGCCAGCGGCGGGCGGCGATACCTTTACCCTCGACTCGAGCAATATTGGTGGCGCGCAATGGAGTAGAGCGGCCAGGGGCTTCGAAGTGAAGATTCAGCAACGGAGCTCGGGCGTCATTCAATTGGATGGGTTCCAACAAGAGGTGAGGGGGATTATAGGGTTTTGCTGGCGCATCGCGCAGGGCGGGCTTGGCTGACTGACTCTGCGATAGGACTACGAACGCTTGAGCAAAATCTTCAAGAACTGGTACAGCGCCAGTCTTGAGAACAAGGAGCACTCGCTGCGTGGTTGGAACTGGGGCAAGGCCGAGTTTGGCAAGGCCGAGATCTCATTCAACGTGCAGAACCGACCAGCTTTCGAAATCCCGTACTCGGAAATTTCCAACACCAACCTTGCGGGTCGCAACGAAATCGCGGTCGAGTTTTCCGTCGCCGAGACTGCGAAAGACGGCGAGAATGGCGCGACGCCGGGGAAGGGCAGGAAGGCTGCGGCCGGGCGGGACCAGCTTACGGAGATGAGGTTCTACATTCCTGGCACAACAACCCGGAAAGAGGCGGAGGGCGGTGATTCGGAAGGCGATGACGATGAGGAGGAGAAGAATGCCGTCACGCTCTTTTATGACACTCTCATGGAGAAGGCTGAGATTGGCGAGACGGCGGGCGATACCATTGCCACCTTCCTGGAAGTCTTGCATCTTACACCAAGGTTCGTATCTTGCCTACCAGTCCAGTTCTTTTTTTTTTCTAGCCATAGATCTAACACCTCTTCAGAGGTCGCTTTGACATCGACATGTACGACGCGTCGTTCCGTCTCCGCGGCAAAACATACGACTACAAAATCCAGTACGAGGCCATTAAGAAGTTCATGGTGCTTCCCAAGCCGGACGACACCCACTTCATGCTCTGCATCGGATTGGACCCGCCTCTCCGACAGGGTCAGACGAGGTATCCATTTTTGATCATGCAGTTCAAGCAGGACGAAGAGGTCACATTGGATCTGAACCTCTCCGAGGAGGAGCTTAACGGCAAATACAAGGACAAGCTGCAGCCTCACTACGAGCAACCACTGCACCAGGTGGTTGCGTACATCTTCAAGGGCCTGGCCAATAAGAAGATTACGGCCCCAGCCAAGGATTTTACGACGTACGTTTCTTTTTTTTGGCTGTTTGCTCATCTCAAGTGGCAATTGGAAATACTGACATTGCTCTAGACACCGCCAACAATACGGCATCAAGTGTTCAATCAAGGCGAGCGAAGGGTTCTTATACTGCCTGGAGAAAGCGTTCATGTTCGTGCCGAAACCAGCCACGTACATCTCGTATGAACAGACGCAGTCCATTACCTTCTCTCGCGTCAACGGTGCCGTCTCCGCGCTCTCGACATTCGACATCACCGTCCATATGAAGGCCGGCGGTGGCTCCTCGCAATTCAGCAACATTAATCGGGAAGACCTGAAAGCCCTCGAGGACTTCTTCAAGCTCAAGGGTCTGCGCGTGAAGAACGAGATCGACGAGGAGACTACGCTCCTGGCGGCCGCGCTGCGGGACGAGGCTATGGCCAGCTCGGACGAGGAAGTGGTCGGGACCAAGGCGGACCGCGGCTCGGCGGATGAGGACGAGGAGAGTGTGGACGAGGACTTCCGTGCTGAGTCGGAGAGTGATGTGGCGGAGGAGTACGACAGTAACCATGAGAGTGACGGGTCTGGCAGCGCGGAGAGTGATGTGGACAACCAGGTTGATGATGATGATGAAGATGAGGATATGATGGATGAGGATGAAGAGGAGGAAGAGGAGCGGCCGAAGAAGAAGAAGAAGACTGGTTAGTCGGGATTTGGCGGCAGGTGGCCACCAAGGTCATGGTGGTGTTGCCCAATCAGACTGAAGTTGGTTTGGTCAACTCTGGATTATTATCGGTTGATGAGGTGAATTTTTCTACGTGGTATTGACTTGGCGTTGGGGTTATTGGGAACCAGTTGCGTAAGGCAGCTTGCAGTGTCATTTGAGTTGATGTAAGGTATCGGTAAAATACAGCGTTGGGACCTCCTCATTAAGAGGTAGAGAGACGGTGTGTCTCATTGACTAGCATCAAGATGACCTGTAGGAGTAGCAATGAACTAGAACATTCGTCATACGGCATGTTTCTGCATACGTAAAATGGGCCACCTTCCTGCAACAAAGGCCCAAGACCATTCTTTGTTGTTGTTTGTTGATTGGCTCTCTCTCTCTTTCTCGTAAAAGTGACATCTAGCCTGGAGTGCCTGGTGAAGCCTAGACGTTTGGATGGACCGTGCACACACCCCACCTTGAACGAAGGCGCGTGAGCAGTGCTGTTCATTTTGACTTTTCTAATTTCGGTGCCCCACCAGAAAGGAAACCCAGCAGCATTTCCACATTCCGGCAGCCTTTTGTTCAATCTTTTTACCGACAAAAGTGTTCCTGCAACCTCGCACGATTTCTTTCTCTATCTTCTCACTTGTGACTCCCTCCGAACTGCACGACCGCCCGCTATTACCTTACGCTCTCTTTCTATCCCACAGCTGCTGCCCATTTTATCCCAAATTTTTACCCCTCTCCTTTCGCTGTGTCAAAATCGCACACAATGGAGGCGTACTAAGAGGGGTTGAGCCATGTGTGTCGGGCGCTGCATTTGCCGTTCCCGAGAATGAAGAATATTCTCGCATCTGCCATTCAACTGCTCGGGGTATAGCAGTTCAAGACACCAAAACAAAAGGGAAGAAAAAAAAGAGAAGAGATTAAGGAACCTAGAAGGAAATCATCATACCTGCTGCGGGGATAACCCACGCTTCACCATTTACGCTACCGTCCGGCAATGGACGCCCAGGTAAGTGCAGGTGGTCTCGTGCTTCTTCTACTGGTTGCTGTTGTTGTTCTACCTCCCGCGCTGCCTAATCCTAAGAACCCCCGCTATCGCAAGGGGGGGTATCCGAAGGCGGGACTGGCTGTGGGATATGGGATGGATTTGCAGGAGGGGTGGAACGACGGCGGATCTTCACGGGGAACCCTCATGGCGGAGATGTTTTGCAGCGGGAATCTGGTGGGAGTTGATCAAGTTGTTGTTCGTGTGGTTATTGACATTCCGGCTACCTGCAGATCGAGAATGCGATCGAGATCGCCTGGAACCCCGCGTCCGACCAGGCACTCAAGGGCCAGGCCTTTGACTTTCTGAACCAGGTGCGGGACGATGCCCAGGCATGGCAGGTCTGCGTCTCCCTCTTCACCCGATCCCCCCGATTATCCCCCGTCGCCCGGCTGGTCAGCCTCGAGATCGTCAACCATGCCGTCCACTCGCATATCCTCGACGCCGCCAGCCTCGGGTTCCTCAAACAGTCGCTGTTCGAATATATCAACCGGATCTACAGCGGGGATTCCCCCCAGGACGAGATCGACCCGGGGCATCTGCAAAATAAACTTACACAGACCCTGACGTATCTGTTCGTCCATTTATACAAGGAAGGCTGGGAGAGCTTCATCGACGATTTTTTGGCCCTCGCGCGCAAGGATAACAACCTGCCCGGGGTGGTCATGTACCTGCGGATCCTGGGCTCGGTCCACGACGAGATTGCCGACCTGATGCTGAGCCGGCCAGACCACGAGGTGAAGCGCAACAACGACCTGAAGGACCTGATACGGGAGCGGGACATGCGCAAGATTGCTCAGTCGTGGCAGGACCTGCTAGCACGATACGGCAACCAGCAGAACGACGCCGTAGTGGAGATGACGCTCAAGACGATCGGGAAGTGGGTGAGCTGGATCGACATCCATTTGGTTATCAACCAGGAGATGATCAACTTGGTGCTGCCGTTGGTGGGGAGGACACACGCGGCGGGCAGCGAGGATAAAGTGCGGGACGCAGCGGTAGACACGTTCACGGAGATCGTGGCCAAGAAGATGAAGGCCAGCGACAAGATCGAGATGATTACGTTTCTGAACCTGCGCGAGATCGTGTCGCAGCTGCTAGCGAGCCCGCCGCTGAACGAGTGGAAAGGCACCCCCCGGTACGACACAGACCTGGCAGAAGCAGTGGCCAAGCTGGTCAACACCATCAGCTCGGACGTGGTGCGGGTGCTGGAGGACGACAAGGTGGGCCACGAGACGCGGGCCAAGGCGGAGCAGCTGCTGCGGGAGATGCTGCCGTCGGTGCTGCGGCTCTTCTCGGACGAGTACGACGAAGTCTGCTCGACGGTGATTCCGTCGCTGACGGACCTGCTGACGTTCCTGCGGAAAGCTGGCCCCCTGCCGGCGACGTACTCGGAGATGCTGGCGCCGATTTTGAACGCGATTGTGCTCAAGATGCGGTACGACGAGACGTCGAACTGGGGCAACGAGGACGAGCAGACGGACGAGGCCGAGTTCCAGGAGCTGCGCAAGAAGCTGCAGATTTTGCAGAAGAGCGTGGCGTCGGTGGATGAGGGGCTGTGTATCGAATTTTTGAGCAACCTAGTGGGCAACATGTTCTCGACGCTGGAGCAGCAGGGGTCGCAGATGGACTGGCGGGATTTGGATCTGGCGCTGCACGAGATTTACATGTTTGGCGAGCTGGCGCTGCCGAACACGGGGCTGGCGCAGAAGAGCCAGCCTAGCACGGTGGCTGCCGAGCGACTGGCCGTCATGATGAGCAAGATGGTCGAGTCTGGTGAGTTTTTTCTTTCCAATCTTTTCTTCTTTTTTCTTTATTTCTACTACTTTGTGTACCAGGATATGTTACTGACAGTCTATAGGCATCGCCAACTACCACCACCCCGCAATCCTCCTGCAGTACATGGAAATCTGCACGCGGTACTACAACTTCTTCGAGGACCAGCAGCGCTACATCCCGCAGGTGCTTGAGAACTTTGTACGACTGGTGCACCACGACCACGTGCGGATCCGGACCCGGTCCTGGTATCTTTTCCACCGCTTCGTCAAGACGCTGCGGGCGCAGGTCGGCAACGTGGCTAAGACGGTCATCGACTCCATCAGCGACCTGCTGCCGATCAAGGCCGAGGTCCCCGGCACTGACGCCGACGAGGACATGTCGTCGGATGAGTCGGACCACTCGGCCGACGCCGTCTTCAGCAGCCAGCTCTTCCTGTACGAGGCCATCGGGTGCATCTCCTCGACCGCCGCCACACCCCCGGCCGACCAGGGCCTCTACGCGCGGTCAGTGATGGAGCCGCTCTTTGCGGACATGAGCGTGCATATGGAGCGTGCCAAAGCGGGCGATACCCAGGCCATCCTGCAGGTGCACCACATCATCATGGCGCTGGGGACACTCGCCAACGGCTTTTCCGAGACGCAAAGCGGCAGTGGCCAACAGACCAAGAAGCCGCAGCCGCACGAGGCCGTGTCCAACGAGTTCGCCAGGGCCGCCGAAGCGATCCTCATCGCCCTGAACCAGCTCAACGCCAGCAACGAGATCCGCGCGGCGTGCCGGTCCGCCTTCTCCCGACTCCTAGGCGTGCTGGGCTCCGCCGTCCTCCCCCAACTCCCACAATGGATCGAAGGGCTCCTCTCCCGCAGCTCCAGCAACGACGAGATGGCCATGTTCCTCCGCCTACTCGAACAGGTCGTCTACAACTTCAAAGGCGAGATCTACAACATCCTCGACGTCCTCCTCACCCCCCTCCTCCAGCGTGTCTTCGCGGGCCTCTCCGAACCCATCACCGGCACCGACGACGAAATCCAACTCTCCGAACTCCGCCGCGAATACGTCTCCTTCGTCCAGGTCATCCTCACCAACGACCTCGGCGGCGTCCTCATCAGCGCCGCCAACCAAGCCACTTTCGAATCCCTCGTTTCCTCCATCATAAACATCGCCAAAACCCTCACCCACGGCAACCTCGTCCCCTCCCGCGTCGCCTTCAGCTCCCTCGCCCACATGGCCTCCCAATGGGGCGGGCCCGATATCGTTTCCTTCGGCAACACCGACCAAACCCAACCCACCTCTTCCTCCCCGAACCCCACCATCCCGGGCTTCGACCAATTCATGCTGGAACATTTCCACGGTCTATGCTGGAGTGTCCTGCAGGACCCGGGGTTCCGCCCCAATACCGACGCCCAGTCGCGGCAGATCCTGAGCGAGATTGCTGGGATCCAGCAGGTGCTGTATGCGAAAACGGGCGAGGCGTTTGTGAATCATCTGAGGGGGGTTACGTTCCCGCAGTTGGGGATTTCGGAGGGTGGGGAGGAGTATGTGAGGGTTTTGACGGGGAGTCGGGAGAGGAAACCGGTAGTGGGGTGGTTGTTGGGGTTGTTGAAGGGGAGGAGGTAGGGAATCTGTGATTTGGTGGCGGATATCAACGTGGAGAGAGAATGGGGGGTTGGATGGTAAGGATTGGTCGGTCGATTCATAGACGGCGGGCGGGGGGTATGATACATCGGTGGATAAGTCAAGATGACGCACAGATGGACAGACGGTAGACAGTCAGGGGAGGCTAGGTCGTTTTGTATGTATGGATGGGTGTGGGTGTATGTATGCCTAGGCGGATAGGCTGGCTAGTACGCAAAGACAAGATTACTACCTCACTTGCTCACTTGTGGTTATGATGGGTGTGTTCCGTGATTTGGGGGCTGTATAAACGCTCTTTAGTGGGTGAGTGGTTAACTGGGTACTCAGCACTGGGAAGCAGCTTTTTTAATAGAAAGAAATGGCGGGTGGGATTCAAGTGCTGGATAGTCGGGTCGTGGTGTTGGGGTGTATGTATTGAATTGTTTTGTTTTTTGGGTAACCCGCCTTGAATGACTTGTTTACTTGTCTTCAATTACTGTGCTATAACCTCTTGGGTCGGCCATAATTAGGTATGGAAGTGAGGGGAATCATCGTTTTATTTCCCTCACGCTGCCTGCCGTATTCTACTCCCACGCGTTGGAGATCATACTCTAGACTCTCGTCTGGGGTTTATTCCAGTCACTTTGCTTATTCGTCTCGGAAACTGGAGAGTGGGTGCCGTCCTCGGGGTTATTAGTTAAACCTCTTTTGAACTGGGGTTTATCACGGCTGCATCGTGTTGTTCAGTTTGGCTGGCATGTTATATTCTCTTGTTGTCTGCTCGATGAGTGAGTGTCTGATATTCCCATGTGTTATTCCAGCCTAAGATACAGCAGCCCACGCTTGAGTACGGATACATCTTTTCTTTCTGTCTTGCTCCGGACGGCGTACATACCGTTCCCCTACCGCGTTGTATTTTCAATGTAAACAACACATTAGCTGAGTGGTGAATCGGGTTCATTACGATGCTTATTCCACAGTCCTGGAGTAACCTCTTAAAAATACCACCTACATTCTGTCCATGTAGGACATCATGCTCGACTTTTCTACCCGGAAGGACACATATGCCATGACACAATCCGTCAGCAGTTTGAGGATAACCTTGAGATATTAACCATCACATTGTGCCCAAGTCCACACACATCCACCAACTTTTCCTCTCAATCTATGCCGAGATACCCAAGAGACTGTTGACCTAAAATAATCCATGAGTTTGCATATCCGAAAAGCTTGCGTGGAAACCCATGGCATGACTCTTCCGGGCGAAATGACAGCATCGCGCTTCTCTTGACCTATACGGGTTAACTTCAGGAACTTTACCGAACGTCATATGTCTGTTTGACCTGTATGGCTATCGCTTGCATGTGGAATGATATGTCTGGAAGGTTCTGGTGATGAGCGGTTAATACCAGCTCATGAAGGGTTGTTGAAGATGGTAATGCCGAGTGACATAGGTGGTTTTTATAAACTCTTTCTTGAGTAGGGTAAACGAATTGTTGATATGGTGTTTTAGGGGTTAGTTACTCTAGTAAGGCTGGGATTTACAAGGCCTGAATCAGGTATAGGATACACTTACAGGACGAGCTATGAGCTCAAGCCAACGAGAGGTGGTTTAACACCCATGTTCTGTATGAACATCGCTCGACGCTTCCTTAAAGTATAGCCAAGCGGGAGCGTGTAAACCATCTCGCAAGAAGGCGACCAGAAGTGACGGAATTTCTCACAGAATTCTCCTCCTGATTCCAGAAGACTCAGGCACCAATTATTCCCCATTCCCCGTTTCCCATTCCCACCAGCAGCTTGATCTCATCCTTCTGCAGTTAAACCCTCGACATCACAACAATAACTACAGACGCGGGCCTGCCGCCTTGAGTATACCTGGCGAGCAGCGCACACAGCGAGGGACATTGTACGACACTGGGTTTGTACCGAGAGCAAGTGTGATGGTGATCTCCTGCCTTTCGCCAGGCCCGTAGGCGGCATCGTATCAGGATGCTCGCCAAGAGGACCACCTGGTTCTTCTGGTTCTTCACCACCGAGACCGAGGGCGATTCAACAGGTGGCCCAAAGCCAGAACATCCAGGAACAAGCAAGTTGCCAGCCAACCTTGGTAATTGAAGCCGGGTATTCAGCTGGCGGGATCTGCGGCGCGTCGCCGTTGAGAATCGTGTAGATCCACGAGAGCCCGAAGGATGGAGAGATCCAGCTTGTTCAGCCCAAGATCAATACACAGCCACGTGCCAAGTCGTTTGCGCTTCTCCTCTTCAGCCGTTCTCATCAACGCAAGACGCTGTGCAAACAGTGTGCCTCTTCAAAGTCCCAAGGCCCGAACGACTGCTGGCTACTACCAGCCGGCCCTGGAGTCTGGCAAAGGGGCTTGTACGACGTCGGATCAACGGTTCCTCGTCTGAGTCTGAGTCGGTGGTTTTCTGCGGGGGTGATCGAATCCTTCGCCGTTTTAGAGGACTCTCACGCTGTATCTCCCGGTGGAAATAATCTTGACCTGTCTATACCTACTGCAGATAGCTCTACTCTTACTAGCCTCTTATTATCCTAGGATAGTAAAAATAACAGTGGTTTGTGATCTTGTGGGCAACCTCGGAGCTGAGCTTGCCCGTCTCTCGTTCCTGTGTGAGGTGAAACCGCTTGTTTGGTAGACTAAATCGTGCAATGTATGGGGTCCCGATGTGTCTCCTGCTCGGTGTCGTTAGGTTCTTACTGTCAAGAATAGAGATCGTTCCGGTTGTCCTGCAGTTCCATCAGCTTCTACGCTGGATTTACCGTCCCGATTCCATAACATCTCCCGTATCAAACCTTACCTGCATATGCGCATCAAAAGTGATCCCATTCCTTCCACGCTATGGTACATGAAGCATACAGGAAGCTTCCAGACCAAAAACCCAAAACCTAAACATCCCCCAAACCTTACATCCCCGAAACCTAACATCCCCGAGAGTCCAACCTGCCCCCTTCCAGAAAACTGTATAAGCGCCGCCTCCCCCTCCCAAGTCCAGTCCTAAATTTCCTTTCGATACAGTCACATTCTCACATCAGAACACACAGACTCCAACATCTTCACTCCAACATCTCTTCAACGTCTCTCACTCTTCGTGACGTCAACACACATCACCACCACCACCCAAAAAATCATCATCATCAACATCAACATCAACAAAAATGGACTCCCACACCACCCAGTCCAACCTCCCCCGCCCCCGCCGCAGCGACATCTCCAGTCGCCCGGCCTTCCTCATGTTCCCCTCCGAGGGTTCCGTCTCAGCTTCCGGCCCCGCCGCCGCCACCGCCGCCCCTTCCACCATGGGCATGCCCCCGGCCACCACCACCACCACCACCGCCACGGGCCACGGCATGCCCACCACCGGGGCAGCAACAAGCATGCCCCTCCTCCCCACCTCCCTCGGCCCGCTCCACCCAAGCCGCTTCCCCCCCTCCGTCCCCTCCCCGCCCCGCACCTACGCCGAGGCCCACGCCCTGGCCTACCGCACCCCCGGTGGCCTGTACATGGTGCCTCCGGGGTGGCGGTTGGCACTTGTTGAGCATGTGGTCTTGCCGGGGGCGCAGGGGGGGTTGGGGGCAAGGGGGTGTGAGGTGGTTTTTGCGGGGTTTGGGGGGTGGACGAGGTGGGATTTGCAGATTGTGCCTGTGGGGAGTGTTTTGGCTGGGTTTGAGAGGGATGATATGGATGAGGAAGTCCCGGAGGATGGGGAGGAAAGGGTGGAAATTGAAGTTGTTGATGGGGTTGTTGATGAGGTGGTGGGTGCTGGGGAGAGAGAGGAGGGAGAGGGGGAAGAGAGAGAGATGGTGGATTGGGAGGTGGCGGAGAGAGAATTGGAAGATTTTGAAGATGATGCCCTGGCCGAGAGGTTGGCCGCTGCTGGGTGGTCGGACGCCACCGGGTGGCCGGAGTCGATGTTGCTGGGTCAACCCAGTGTCGACGGCTCCGTCTCCGACCCGGCTGCCCCTGATACACCGACCATCGCCCGCTCCATCCTCGGCACCTCGTCGTCGTTCTCCGGGTCGGCCGTCACCTTGGTGGACTGGAGCAACGAAGACAGCGAGTACGAGTATACGAGCAACTCCGAATATGCCGGCGAGTTTGACGACCGCTCGGCCTATGAGAGCGAAAACGACGACGGCGAGTTTGACGGCATCGAGTTTGACGGCAGCGAGTTTGACGGCAGCGAGTTTGGCGGCAGCGAGGGCGATGAGAGCGAGGAGGACGGCAGCGAGGATGACGACGGCAGCCAGGAGGGGGACAGTGAGGAGGACTCCGACAGCGACGAGGACAGCAGCCGCGACGAGGGCAACGACAACGACACCGACACCGACGACGAGGTCTCCTCCGCATCGGGGTCCTCGGACGCGTCGGGCTCGTCGGGCTCATCGTCCTCCCCCGGCCCTCAGCAGCAACAACAGCGACAACAAAGTCAAACGCTGAGTCGGGGCCGGGGAGAGCTGCGGATCCGGCGGCTCGTCTGTTGGGCATTTCCTATAGAACGGGCCAGAGGATTGTCCTTTTTGAGATCGTTAGACGAAGCATAAATTGGAATAGTCTAGAAAATACATCTCTCAGTGGTTTTGCATCATCATGCGTCCGGTTCCAGAACCGTCTTGTCCGCGTGTGTCCGCGTGTGCCCGCGTAACGACGAAATTGTACATGTGTTTATGAAGTCAACCTTGTGAAAATGACATCGTTAGCCCTATGATCGGTTAATGACGGACCGAAACCGTTCTCTTGCCGTCCGCTGTGTAATTGTAGCGGGATCTTGGAGATAGCAAGGATGGATTTCAGGAAACAGACGGTGTTAATGAGGGTGCAAATTAGTCCTTATATATCATGATAAGCCCGGGGCGCAGATGTGATGGCCTGCGGCAATGTACCGCATTAGGTCCATCATATCGCCAATCATGATTCCGGCCGCCTGCGAAACATTAGCGACTCACTACTGTGTGAGCCCACGTCTTCTGGAAGACCACCTGGAGAAAGAGGAGATCGTGAAGGTGGCTGCCATCCCAGGCTTGAGGAAGGTGGACGCTCTTTCGGGAGACTGGAGAAAGGTCGAAAACTGGGATACCATAAGCCGGATAAGTCAGTCAGTCCTCCCGGGAGCTATTTCCAGCTCGTTCTGCAGTTTGGTCCTCGGCATTGTACGTTACAGCGTTGACAGCTGCCGCTCCTCCGGGAAAGGGGGCCATCTCTAGATCCAGGGGGCTTGGCCTCTGGGGGCTGCCTAGCCCTTCTATCAGTGTTTCTTCGTGTGGGATGAGTTTGGTAGTGAAATGGCTAGACAGGGCCGTCACGAGCGGACAGCCGGCGCCTTTCCTCCAATCCATATTGGCACACGCCCCCTTGACGACGTCCTTGAACGTTGTCTAGTCTATCTCGTTAGTCATTATCTTTCGGTCTTGGGATGTCTATTTTCTACTTAGCGGTGATATATGCTCGATGGTTATTGGTAAGGCCATAACGGTACGATTCGATTCGTATGTTACGGTACCTGAGTCTCCTGTCAGTTACATAATCCATGACTCTCAGACCCATCTCACAGGCAAACCCATAAGCAAAGCCTCAAGCACAGCACTCGCAGTTGTTCTAAATCCAAAAAATGAACCAAACACCTGATTTATTTACTTTCCACCCAACGACTACTGCCCAACGTCTCCCTAATATCACCCACACCATCTTTGCAATTTATCCTTTCCAGATACCACTGCTTAATCCACCAAAATCCGCCCCTCCAACTCCCCAAACGCCCCCAAAAACCCCGCAAACAACCCAATCGCACTCTCCACATCCGCACTTCCTCCCGTCTCCCGAATACTATGCATACTCAACTGCGGGTTCCCCAAATCCAGCGTGCGCACCCCCAGCTTAGCCGACAACATCGGCCCAATGGTGCTACCGCAGGGGCTATCATTCTTGACGACAAAGAGCTGCAGCGGCACGCGCGCGCGCCGCGCCACTTCCTGCACGAGCACGATCCCGGGGGAGTTGGTTGCGTACCGCTGGTTGGCGTTGATTTTGATCACGGGTCCGCCGTTGATGGCTGGGGTGTGGTTGCGCTCGTATTTGCCTGCGTAGTTGGGGTGGACCGCGTGTGCCATGTCGGCAGATAGTAAAAAGGATGTTGCGCAGGTCTGCTCGAAGGCTGTTGAGGCTGCGAGCTCCGAGGCTGAGAGTGGTGTCTTGCCGGCGGTGCTGCTGCCTGGGAGTACCGACAGGCGCCGTAGGATGGCGGGGAGCAGGTTGGAGTCGGCGCCGTGGGCTGAGAGCGAGCCGATTTCTTCGTGGTCGAAGCAGGCGACCAGACGGATGCCGGTGTCCTTGCCGAGGGATGCCGAGTCGGTCGACGCGATGAGCCCCTTGACGCTGCAGAACGTCATGTTGAGGTTGTCGAGCCGGGCCGAGAGGATCAGCTCGTCGTTAAGACCGCCGAGGACTGACTTTTGCGTGTCGTAGAGGACGAGCTCGAAATCGACAATCTGCGAAACGTCCACGCCGGCCTGCTGGGCCACGAGCGAGAGGAAAGCCGGGTGGTGGCGTTCCGGTAGCGCTCTCAGGGGCTGGAACTCGCCTTCTGCTTCACCCGCTCCCGCTCCCGCTCCCGTCCCTGACCCCCCCTCGGCCGTCTTGTTCAACTCGGCCTCGGCTAACCCGGCAATGGGAACCAGCTCGTCCTCCTTGTTGGGGTCAAAGTTGCTCTGACGGTGCAAGTGAATGGCCAGCGTAGGGATCCGCAGGATCGGCTTGTCCACCTTGACCAGCTTCTGCACAAACTTGCCCTCCCCTTCGCCCTCGCGCACCAGCACCCGGCCGGCCACGCCCAGATCGCGGTCGAACCAGCTATGCCAGATGCCGCCGCCGTAGGTCTCAACGCCCACCTGCAGATAGCCGTTGGCCGTGCGCTTGCTGACCGGCTTGATGCGCAGACAGGGCGAGTCCGTGTGGGCGCCGACCATCCCGATCGGGTTGCCGGGCTGCCATTTCGCGCCAACGGCAAAGGCCACCACCGACGAGCCGTTGCGCGTGGTGTAGTACTTGCCGCCCGGCTTGACTGTTGACGCCCAGTTGTCACGCTCTTGGATCTTGGTGAAGCCGGCAGCGTCTAGAAGAGCAGCTGCCTCGGCGACGGCATGGTACGCTACCCGGCGTTAGCTTGATGTGTCTCATTTTTTCTTCTTCCGGGTCTATTTTGTCTCATTGCCACTGACGAATAACACGGGGGCTAATACGGCAAGACGGCAAGACGGAGAAAAAACCAATCAAATGTTACATACGCGTCGGCGAGGCGTTGACAAAGTCAAGGAACTCGAGAGCAGATTTAGGGGGAGCCATGGTGTTGAAGGTAGTTGTCGTAATAGTAGTTTTCTGTGTTCTGCTTGTAGTGGTCGTTGACAGGCCGCGGCTGGCAGCGGATAACGTTATCGACAACGCAGACGCAGAAGAAGCGGGAACGGAAGAGTACAACGGCTGGGAACGGCGGCCCAGCAAGTTTGGAACTGAAACTGTCACACGAGCAGTAGCAGCGGCAGCAGCGGCAGCAGTAGGCGAGAAAGACGGGCCGGAGAGTGTGCAGACGGTGCGGGTTCGCGCTCGAAGCGAATGCAGAGTTCGAAGAGTGCACAACCTGGCCCGCATCGGTGCTTGAAGTTGTTTTCTGCGAGTTGTTGTGCAAGCCCCGTTCCTCTGCGCATTGCGGGGGAGCCGGCCATATCCCGCGCGAGCTGTCGGTTTCTCTTGATCATCGACGTGGGGCACGCCCTGCTCCTCTGCAGGTTCTCCCTAACTCTTTTTGCAGCTGGCGCCCCGGTTCCCAGGTCTTTCGCTGCTGCTGGAGCACTGATTCGGGGAGTGCTCTGGTGGGCGAGTGGGCGTGTGGACGCCGAGGAGGGGCGTTCGCTATGGCCCACTTAGGGAGGTGCAAGCGGAGGGTGGGGCGGCTGCTCCTCACTGGGAGCTTGTTCCTGTGTCATCTTTTGATGCTGTTGTTGCCCTTGTTTCTCGAGGGAGAGAGTCGTGATTCTCTTCAGATAAAACCCACAAAGACATGATTGCTGATGATTACAGTGATTATGATTGGCCCCATCGGAGAATATTCAACACCGGGTCAGTTGTTGAGGCAAGTGCAAAGCCAGACAGGTTTGCACAGATGGAAGTCACAAACCACAGCGCAGCTCGCCCCAGCCAATAAGAAGCCGAACAATTCTAATGCGCCCCACCATCCTCAAGACCAAAAATTAACCCGGTCCACTCTGCGTGTGAGAGGTTTCCAAGTCAGGAAGTTACTGCCACTCACTGCACTGCCTCAACATTAACATGGCCGCCTAGGACACTCTTGTTGTACTATGTAGGAGCAAAACATGGCATTGGACCCCTCTCTTTGTTTTCGTGATGCGTTTCCGGGGAAATAGCCCAACTTATCAAGCCTCGCTCGAAACCATAGTTACCCTCCTCGGCATGCCCGTCGTGTCTTGTCTTACCTTGCAGGATTTATGGCCCCCCACGCCCACATACCCGGCGGTTGCACAAACCCTTTAAACGCCTCAACTACCAGCTACCCATCAAGCCCAAAGCGTTTACCGCGGCCACCTCAGTCAGCCATGCTCATGTCAAGCCCTTGTGGCCTCACCGGTGGCGACCAGGTCGTGTATCTCGATGCCTAGCTGAGACGCAGCAGCCAACCAACGAGGTGTAGCCGTTGAAGAGAAAGGCCGCGCGAGGCTCCCAGCTACCTACCGAGCCTACCTACGGATACCAAGCCATAGTCCTAGAACCGTTCTCTCTCTCTCTATTTTTTTCTGTCCGTTCGTCCGTTCTTGTCCTTTTCGCCCCCCAGCTGGACCAATGCCTAACCGCCACGAGGGGCCAGCCCGCCCCCTCTTTCAACCCTCCAGCTCGTCGCAGCCTTGTCAGGGCGCTTCTGGCTGCGCTTGCTCCGGTGTGTGTATGTGTGTGTGTGGCCCGGCTGGCCATGCCTAGGTTGCGGGAAGAGCCTTGTGTACTGCGACCTCATCCCGCGACCACTCCGTTAGCCGCGGCATTGGACCATTTTTCCTGGTCTCTAGTGTGTTTGCTTGCCTTCTGTGGCCGTTTTGTGCGAATTTTCAGATGATCTCCTTCCTTCGCGGGACGGGCCCTGTGGGAAGAACCGGGGCGGCTAGAAAAACGAGGGGGAGGTGAGAAGGGAGAAGGGGACATGATTTCACGCGGCGATCATGAATTCCGATGACACAGCCGAAAATGGTAACACAACGACGCAGACCGAAGAGAGGGGTATCGCTGTTCCCCGGTCATGCATCATCAATTTGACCGAGAGGTAAAACAAAAAAGCAGTAGGATAGCCAACGAAATAAAGATTAATTCCAAATCCGCACTCTCACTACCTATTCCACCACCAAAAAAAGGAATATATCCATCAAGTTCTCCCCTTTCAGGCGCGAAGGCAAGGCAAACGGCCAAAAAGTCTTGTCCCCGCGCATGTCCGTGTCCGTTGTCTGATCGTCGCTTAGTGGGGCCACTCGACCCGTCTCCCGGACGGTTGCGAGAAGGGAGGCCCGCCTGCCCGCCCGACAGGTCCCGGGAAGCGGATCTGGAAAAGCCCAGCCCAGGGCTAGGTCCTGGCTCGGCTGGTTTCTCAACGGTAGGTAGTGAAGGCACGGCGGGCAATCGCCAAGCACACCCAACCGTTCCAACTCCCGCCAACAGCGGGCAGAAAACAAAACCCCCCCCTCTGGAACCCAGCGAGATTGGTGGGAATAGATGGAATGGAAGGTTGTTGGTGGACTGGAATGGACATCTGCCAATCCATCCATTCCATTTTGCCCCGCGTCCCATCCCGTCCCGTCTGCGAGGTTCAACTGGAACTCCTCGTCGCGACCCGGTCGGGTCGGGTCTCACTTAACGTTTAACTTAAGAACAGAAAAACACTTGTGACTTGAATCCCAGGTTCAAAACCATTCACACTAACTAGTTACTTCCCGGGAATAAGTCCCCCCTACCAAACCCGGCAACACGAACCACCCCCCAAAAAAGCCCTCACCAGCCTGCACCAGCCTCCTCCGCAGGCTTCTTCTTTCTCTCTGCCACTCTCTCTCCCTCCAGCTCTCCCCCCGCCCAGTCCAGCCCACTCAGTGCCTCCCATCGCATTCCCCACCTTACGTGGACAGTGGACCAAATCCTCCGCAACCAATTGCTATTCTCGTCCTCCCCTCCCCCTGGGCCGCAAAAAGTCTGGGGTCATCCCCCGACCCCGACTCGAGCGAGCGCCGCCGCCCGCCCTGGCGGGTTTCTTGACTTGATTGGGGGCTCGATTGGTCGGCGACTTTTGGGGGAGAGTGAGTTTTGTTTGGGTTGGCTTGGGGAGGAAGAGGTTGTGATGGGACGGGGCATGCGAGGGGTGTGATTGGGCTTGGTGTGGGCTTTATTTTGACTTGACTTAGCTTGATTGACTATTTGTTATGTACGAACTATGCGGCGAGAGGACAGACTGCTTTTTGGGGGTGGCAAAAAGACGGGGAAAAGGAGAGCAAGCAGTTGGGTGGATAGACGGATGTTGATGTTTTGAATTGGTCCTAGCCATTCATTCATTTGTTCTTTACTTCTCCCCTTTTGACTGCATCTTGCGATCAAGCTTGGGAGACGGTTGTTGGTTGAATTTGACTTTGCTGGTTCCCCTGGCTGGGCCGGATCTTCAATGAAGACATGCATGTAACCCTCCTGCGTCCCAGCGGGTGCTCCCACAGGCTGTCTGTTGTCTGCTGAAGATTTTTTTATTTAAGCGTTGTATTTCTTTTGGCGGGTTTCGTTTTCTTTTCGCATTCTATTCCCCTGCCTATCTGCTCGTCCTCTGTTTTGATGTTTTTTTGTTTTTGGCTTTTCAAGTCGGTCATTCAACTTATTTGGTTTTGACTTGTGTAGCATAGCTAGCCAAACCCAGGTCAAGCGACCTGTTGTTATTCACTCTGCAAGGTTACACACCTCCGATTATGCCAAATCACGAAATCAGGTGTTATCGGCCTTAAGGTGGGGGTCCCACCTCTATCTTTTCGGCGTGGGAAGGAAAAGGAAACGGGAAGCTCGCGTACATGCACCGATGATGCACCTCTTGTTGGTGGGTTGCTTGTTCCAGTCGGAAGTGAGGGTGTTGTGTGGAATCTTGGCGGAACAATGAGTAATCGTCGAGTTGACGGATGCGACTACTGTGTATGTATGTAAGGTAGCCGTACCCGACCTTCGTTGAAGAATGGGAGCTCAGGATGAGTAATCTATCGCAACCAGCTATTGTGTGGTAAGTTGGGGTGATTGAGGTTGCTTGCTTTGGGATGGAATCATAACCAGGCATTTTTTGGCTGTATCAGACGAGGTACCTGATGAAGGCATGGATATCCATGGCGACCGGCCGGTCCGAACTCTAGTGGGATGAACTTGAGTTCTTGAGCTAGTGGGGTCAATCAACCTCTTAACGACCGGAGTCCCGACTATCTTATTTCTATTTCTCTTCGCGTGTCTCAAAAAACACAAGCAGAGACAACCCAGAGAAAAGTGTGTCAGAAACCGACCTGATCGATCGATGGACTCACCGGCCAACCAGCTGGGCTGCCTAGCGACTCACCCGATTTTCCCGGAGAAACATATGGCGATTCTGCGGACTCGGTCTCACCTGCTTTATCCTCGATTGAGCGGGTGTGTCAGACCGGGTACAGGAGAACCAAGACAGAGAGAGTTGGGTCTCGTGTGGGATTCGATCAGTTCTCCCGTTTGCGTTGCTTTGTCGGTTGGTTGACTGGCACGTTGTTGGTGGTGTTGGGTTACAAAAGATGGGAGATCAAACAGTCTGCTGGGACGAGGTGGCATTGCTTGCGCTCGCTCAGATAGACAGCCTTGGGGTTTGGTGGTGGACTCTGTACGCGGAATTCGCTCCTCCTCCCGCTCAACGCTGCCAACTTCTATTCTCATTAGCTAGTGATTTCATGGGCTTTTCCTGGCCATGCTACATAAAATCCCTCAAGAGCGATGCTGATCCCGTGGGAAGTGCCAGGGTGAGGAATTCCGAACTGCAGGCGCCAGTCAACTTGGATACATTTTGTTATTCCCGATCTCCGCAACGTCTTGATCAAGTCCGATGTTGGAGGATGGTGTCGAGGTGTGGTCAGCAGAGGAAAGTAAAGTTTGGCGCTGGGCGGCTGTTGGACGGGACCCGCAAGTGCACGGACGTCCCAGAACCGTTGCCGTTGGGTCTGGACAAGCGCTGGGGTCTCGATTTCCGACTCCAGCTTTCCTGTCCCACTCGGTGTCCTCCTCCCGGTCAGTCGAACTCGCGCTTCCAAGACTGTGAAGACTGACCAAAGCACACACCAGAAAATCTCGCGTAGTTGTCTAAGGAGAGAGATTGTGGAGCGAGTGAATTGGCTTCGCTTCCTGCCCCTCTCCTGTTCGCACGCACTGATTCGGTCGTGCTCGCGAACCCTCGCAGCCCCACGCCCGTGAGAGAGACATGGAGATGCAGTGCATGCAATCTAATATGTAAGATCTGCCCGGAAATGCTTCCGTGGCCAAGGACGTAGTAGTGTAGTTTATCTTGCGGCAATACTGTCATTGACTAAGTAATTACATGGTACATAGTAGGAGAGAGAGAGGGAGAAAGGCTCGAATATTCTCATCCACTCGACCGCTTCGAGGACGGCAAGTGCGTGCCTGGAGCGAGAGAGAAAGAGCAAGTCGAGAAAGCGCGGAGCCCAAAACGGGCTTGGTGGGCGGGTGGGTCGATGCGTGGCTGAGCCGGGGGTATCCTGGCTCTGATCACAACACCAAAACAGATTCGGGGCGTCGGCGAACGAGAATGACCCAAAAGCTCATTTCGCCCAAACTTGCCCCGTCCGCATCGCAACCACCACCGCCGGCCGATAACTGCGGATGCCCGGAGTATATGGAAAACTCACCGCTGTTCCCCACGGCCCGTCAGATTGGGAGAACGGGTCCGTCGGGCGGTCGGTCGGTCGCCTTGGAATGCATGGTCAGTCAGGCTGTGAGCGATGAGAAAGAAAAGAAAAAGAAAGCCACCGGCCAGGAGCAAAGCAAGTCAACGCAAACTGGCTGGTGCTGCTGATGCTCTCGCTGCCCAGATGACCCCCCTGTCAGCCTCACACAATCCCTGTCTGCTGGGGGGCGGCGGAAGGGGGAGGAGGGTTTCTTGGTGGGACGGCGGTGGGACAAAGTAAAAAAGCGTGCGAAATGCGGATTGCTGGGGGGGGGATAAAATGCTGGAGGTGCCCGTCGCGACGAGTGGAAGGGTGCAATGTGGAATGCTTTGGCGTCAAGTGGCTTATTGCGACGGCTAAAACCTGCTGTTTTGAAGCCGTTGTCGTCAAAAGTCTCGCGGCATTGGGTGAGCCGTTGACTTGAAGCCTGGCGAACTGCGGCGACAAGAGAATCCATGGAAGGGAGGAGTGGGGGGGAAGACCCTCGACGAACAAGGTGTTGCTGCTGCAATGCCACGGCTGTTGCAGGACCCCTGTCGCCCAACCACAACCACCCCTAGCGCCCGTCCCAGTTTGTCTCAAGACCGCCTTGCACGGCTTCTCCATGGTTTTGTTCCTTCTGTCTACTGTTGACTCTTCGTTCAGTGTTCACAGCTCGATTTAGAGATGGCACGCCTGGGCAGACGAACCGAGATGGTTACATAGTATAACTTACGAGTTATAAAATTCTAGACATCCGTACTTCGTAGGGTTCATTGATATACGGGCAGAAGGCAGATCCTCCATTCTTTGCTGAGACCAAGTTTTCTTGACGCACGCAACGTAATTTTCACGACGCTCTGAGGGAAAAGACGTCTACCAATATGTGAGGTAAGAAACGGAGCGTAATCCGTCATCGAGACCAACCGCCTGTACGGTTCAACCCAAACTGCTTTGCAAGGGGAGCGGAGTCCTCAGGTCGGGTCGCCAAACAATTGGATCTGAAGCGTTTACCGGCAATGCTAGGTGGTTGAGATTCCTGGGCGCGGGGATCGGGGATGTGGATGCGAGATGCGAGAAGAATAAAAGACCGCGCACAAGAGAATGCGGCGAACACAGCTGCCCAGTCAAACCACCAGTCTCGTTCTTGCCTCCAGCTCTGCTCGCACGAGTTTCAGCTCTCGACTCCAAGAAGGTTTGGCTTGGCCCGTCCACCCTGGTCTTGGCTTTCGGGCGTGGACCCACTTAACCGCCCAGCAGGTCACAGGCTTGGCGATTTGCGGGCCCCACATCCTGGACAAGCCAGGTCCCGTCCGTCCCCATCCCCCATTCCCGCTTCATCAGCGTTTCCCTCCCACTTCTATTACCAGGCACCCGCAACTTGCAACCGACAACCCGCGAACCTGCCACCCAGGACAGCAACGCTTTCAATTCTCCCCTTTCCGCTCGAGAATTTCCAGTGTCCTTTTGTACTCAGGTGCCACGGCTTCTTTCAACATTATTTTCCTCTCATCTCGTTTTTCCCCACCCGGAGAACCTTCGGTTTTGGTACCCGCGCTCGCTACGTACGCAAGAAGTATTCAACTCTTCGCCGCCTGTTTCCGACCGCGATCGACCACCACCTACTGTCAGGGTGAACTCGAAGATCCGCCACCATTATCACTATCACGACACCTCGAACACGATTTTCTATCGCCTGTTGGGACACCGCTAGTCCGGCCCAACTGTTCCAAAAAAAGAACAGCACCGATTGCAATTCAACGGGCTGACATCCGACGTCGACGGGATACCTGATCGCCACATCGTCGAGTTCTCTTCCGCTGCGACCTAGAGACGACCCCCCAAGAGGGCGCTTCGAGTGCGACAAAACGCATCCGTGTAAGCTTTTGAGCCATTCGATCACTCTAGCGTCATCGCGAAAGCAGATGCGGTCGCTGCGCAGACGATTTCTCCACTCGAACCTTACGAATCCCCGATTTTGAACTATCCACATCGATAAGCTGCCGCGGCCGGACGTACGCTCGCCCTTATTCAAGGTCGAACCGCTCGGTTCGCCTCGACGCCTCGAGGCGCCAAGGCGGTGTTGTGGCTTTTCCCATCATACCTCTTACGCCTTGTCTTTCCTCATCATCTCTCACCAACCGCCACTTTTTCCCAGGCGGACAACTCCCTTTCTCCGTTTCCCGGTCTTCAACCACGGACTCTCGTCGTGAGCCACGTTCGGGCCTAACGACGCTCGGAACTCTACCGCAATCATGGCGGCCAATATTCCACAGATGACCCCGAACGGTCAGATGATGATGCTGCAACAGCAACAGCAACAACAGCAGCAACTTCAACAGCAGCAGCCACCGCAGCCCCAAAACAAGCAATTGCAGAACTTTATTTACACGAATCTGATGCAAACTATGGCGACGGTGCCGCCGGGCTCGTGGCAGGCTGGAGTCTCCATCGGCGACCGTCTTGCCAAGACTAGTAATCTGTATGAGCCCCTCCTCTCCCGCTTCCCCCCCGATTCTTTAGCACTTCTTGTCCACCGCTTTTTGTCCTAGAAGACCGAGCTAACGGCCCCTGAAGTGTATCTAACACCCTTCTGGCAATGCCAGACGGTGACTGGCAGAAACTGAGCGTGTCTGCCATTGGCTTTGAGAAGAGACATTTCTTGCAGTCACCAGATAAGGTAGGGACAAAACCGGGCCCGGCTGTTCCAACCCCGTGGGCGTTTCCTTGTCTTTCTTTCATTGTTGATGCTGACATGGACCTGTAGCAATCGTACGACCACGCCATCAACAGCAGACTAGCCGAGTTGGTCAAACGAAGGCAAGGTCTTGCGCCGGACCTCCAGAACCATGTCAACAATGACGCAGCCCGGCAGGCCCAGATGCAGGCGGCTCTCCAGCAGCGGCAGCAGATGATGATGAACCAGATGGCGGCCCGGGGCTTGGGGCAACCACCCCAGCCTGGGTTTCAGCCGATGCAAAATCCAATGCAGGTTCCGGTTATGCCTCAGCAGCCCCAGCAAATCGGTGCCGGAATGCAGCCGGCGGGGATGCTCCAAAACCGCCCAGATCAACGCCAATTCCCGAACCCGATGGGCCAAGTTCGGCAAACGATGATCCTTCAGGCCGACCCTTTGGCCGGGTTGAACCAGCAGAACAAAGCCAAGATCAACGCGCACGCAGTCAAACTCATGAACCAAGCTGAAGAAGGCTACAAGAACCAAATTCGGGCTGTGGTGCAGCAGAGAATGACACAAGCCCAGTTGCAAGAGCATAACGCACAGAATAAGGATCCTGTTCTCACCTTCTTCCAGAACAGTGCGCTCAACCAGGCTCGGGAGAGGACCTTGCAACAGCAACAGCAACAGGCACAACTGGCGCAGCAACAGCAGCAGCAGCGAGCGGGTATGCCAACGAATGTGAACCCACAAGGGCCACAACAGGGCCACATGAATCCTGCTCTCATGGGGAATCTTGGCCGGCAGCCTGGCATGCCTGACGGCCAGCTATTCCCCACAAACTTGGAGGACATTCGGAATGAGCAGCAGATGGGGTTGCTAGCCGAAAAGGCCGGGCAGACCGTTGTCCCGGCCAGCAGCGGCCCAGGCCGTAATTCTATGCCGAACGCGATGCTCGGGCTTCCCCCACAGAACACGCCGGCTACCCAGCCCGGGCCGAACCCAACAGCACGGCCAACGCAGGTACCACCCAATTTTGGTGTACCTCAGCAGGTGAAGATGGACCCGACTGGTGCCCAAGTGCAGGGACCGGGAGGCGTACGTAATGTTCCCGGCCGGCCCATGAACGGGCAGCAGGGAAACATGGGGAACATGAATGTTCCACCTCAAACTTCGCAAAGCCCGGCGATGAACACGCTCAACGCGCCGATGCGACAGCCTCCCATTCCTGTGGGACAACCCGGCGCGAACCCGGCGGCCCAAGGTAATCCGGCTATGGGGAACAATTTCAACCCGAATTTCAACCACGCAAACAACGCGCGCCCACAATCCCTCCAAGGAAACAACTTAAACAACATGAACAACCCGGCCATGGCGGGGATGGTCTCCAACCTCGGCGCGGATAGTGCTATCCGAAACTTTTACGCCGGCTTGCAAAGGGGCCAGGTACCGAACGGCGGCTTTCCCGGCCCCCGGCCGAACATCATGTCCGGGATGCCGGGACATCAGCCTCAGCCCGGCGCGATGGGCGGTCCGGGCCAGCCTGGCATGATTGGTACCGGCCCGCAGGCTGGCGGCCCGATGCAGCCAGGCGGCCAGCCGGGGGCTGCGCAACAGCCCAAGCTGCCGAACGGCGATGCCAACAGCAATGCCGCGTTTGCCGCGTTTGCTCGGACTCCTCCTGCGCTTTCCATGATGAACAACCTGGACATTCCTCTCCAAATACTGAACCAGTTGCGTAGCTTGATCCCGGCTGACACAAAAAAATGGAGCCATCTTAAACAGTTTTTGCAAGCGAATCCTGGCGCTATCCACCCCACGCTACAGGCGAAGTTAGGGAACTTCCAAATATTGCAATTCAAGAACGCTTGGGATAAGAGATCGGCGTTGGCGACAGCTCCAGGGGGTGGTGCACCGACGCCTAATATGGCCATGGGTCAACAGCTGTCGCTCCAGCAGCAGGCGCAGCAACGGCAACAGCAAGCACAGCAGCTAGCGCAACAGCAAGCGCAACAGCAGGCGCAACAGCAGGCGCAACAGCAGGCGCAACAGCAGGCGCAACAACAGGCGCAACAACAGGCTCAACAACAGGCGCAACAACAGGCACAACAACAGGCGCAACAACAGGCACAACAGCAGGCACAACAACAAGCGCAACAGCAGCAGCAGCAGGCGCAACAACAACCGCCCACACACTCACAGCAGCAGCAGGTTCCGCAGCCGCCACAACATGTACCGCCACATCAGCAAGCACAACCGCTCCCCCCTGGGGCTTCGTACCCACCTCACGTCTTCCAGGTAGCTCGGCATGAGGCTGAGCAGGCCCGGCGGGATCCCCGGTTCCAAAACGTGCCGGACGAGATGATGGTGGATTTGGTGCGGAAGGTTAAGCGCGACTTGTTTGCTAAGAAGACCTGGGAACAATATAACCAACAGCAGCAGCAGCAGCAGCAGCAGCAGCAGCAGCAGCCAGGGGTCAATGTGAATGCCCCGGGACAGGTTCAACAACCCGGTCTTCAGCCGACTGCTTTACAGCAACAAGGCGGTGTTGCCCAGCCACCGCAGCCTACTCCCCAACAAACAGCTCTCCACCAAGTCCCGCAACCAAAACCAGCCGCTACACCGGTTACCGAAGCGCCAGGCCCAGCTCCAACTGCGAAGCCCGCCCGACAGCCCCCGAATCCTTCCCCTGCGACAGCGCCCAAGAACCTCAAACGACCGAATCCCGCCACCGCGGGTGAGACGTCTGGTCAGGCCGCCAATGCGGCATCGCGGCCCGGTCCGTCGCAGGAACCAGCCCGGCAAGCCCCCACGGGCGCGAGACCGACCTTGGAACAGCTCATGAGGTTATCGCCCGAGCAGCTTTCCAAGATTCCTCAAGAACAGCTGTCCAAGCTGCCGGCTGAACAGCAAAAGGCGATTGCGATGCGAATCCGTTCTGCGACGACCCCAGAGTCGCTCTCTCGCCTGAAAGTTCTCGCTCAGGACGGTCATCGCATTGCGACTGAGGAAATGAAGCTGCTGGAGACACAGCAGAAGCAGGGCATCTGGGTGCCCCTGTCGCCTACTGCCCTGAATGAGATCCGGCCGAAGCTGAACCAGGCAGCTGAGAAGATCACGCAACTCCGCAACGCGCAACTCATTGCGAAGTGGTATCACCAAACCAAGGACGACGCGCGGGCACGGATGTACTTCAAGATTGTAAGCTCTTTTTTTTTCTCTTTTTTTACCCTTTTATTTTCTATCTAGCCTAGGGTGACAAGACCTGTGCTAACTTGTTTGTGTAGCGCTCCAAGGTCTCTAGGCAATTCACCGACGAACGCATGACCCAGCAGGTGGAGGGGTTGACTGTGACCAATAACGAGCTGGATCAGTACATCACGATGATGGACAGCATGTTGCAGGATCTAGAGGTGCTCAAGCGAGGGCCGGCGCAAGAAGGACAGGCTACTGGAGGAATGCAAGACCCGAACCAAGGCCAGCCGCAGCCGTCACCCCTCAGTGCCGCAAACCTAGAGAAGCAAACACAGGCGCTTAAGCAGGCACAGAACGCGCAGAGCCGGGCAGCGGGCAAGACGACACAAGGCCAGGCCCCAGCGGCTCCGACCTCCTCCCAGCCGCCGTTCCAGTTTGGGATGCACAAGTCGCCTGCCGGCAATCCGGAGTACTACGGCGAGCAGCGCATCACTCAAGATCATCTGGTCATCCCGCCCGCACGGAAGAAGGTCAAGACGGCAACCGGCGGCCACGCGTCGCCCCCTGTGGCCCAGACGCCCAACACGACGTCTTCACCACAAGTCAATGCAGCGTCTCCCGTGACGATGAGGAAGCCCGAGCCGCCGAAGCTCACATGCCCCGAGCCGGGCTGCGAGATGAACTCGATTGGATTTGCCACGGAGGAAGCCCTCAACAACCACCGCCAGGAGGAGCACATCAAACCGTATGAAAACCCTCTCGCTTTCTTCCAGGAGCAGGTGACGGCCACCCTGGGTCTGGACCCCCAGGGCATACCCAAAGCATCGCCCAAGGCGGGCACCGCGGGCCCCTCAACACCCTCGGCAGCTCCTATGGCCATCAACCGATCCAAGCAAGGGCAAAAGGCCGGCGCAGCACCCATGTCCAGGACCGGGTCCATGCAGAGACAGGGCAGCGCGGCCGGCATCAAGGCGGCCGGCACACCCGGCACACCCGGCAAGAACCTGCCCCTGAAGCAAGGGGCCGGCACACCCCAGATCCCCACGGCCGACGATCCCTGGATGAATTCGACCATCGACCCGCAAAACCTGTTCGCTGGTCTCGGCAACTCCCTAGAGGCGGTCACGGGCACGCTGGTGCCCGACTTCAGCACGTACCGGTCCCTCACCCCCAACGACACGCCCGAGTCGATGAAGGACAGCGGGGCATCGGAACCGACGAGCGATATCGCCGAGGGTATGGCCCTGGACATCGACCTGCAGCTGGGCCAGCCGTTCGATAACGACTTGTTGTTTGATTTGGGCAGCTTTAATATGGATATGGATAATCTGGGCTCGCCAAACCTAGATATCTATGCTGCTGGCGCCGATACTGTGATGTTCCCGATCGACGATTTGCAGAATGATTTCTCGAAGCCGTTTAAGGTGCCGCATGATATGTATTCTCTTGATGCTTGAGGTGCGGGGGTTACAAGGGGTTATAAAAGGAAAAGGGGAAAGGGGAAATGGAGGAGTTTTGTGGGATATGGACGTTTATCGCGATGTATCGGCTTGCATTGGCACAGCAGAAGCTTCTCACCACTGTGTCTGCATTATTACTTGGCTTGGCTTGACTCGGTTCGGTTTTGTTATTTCTACACAGTAGCTTTTGAAGTAGTCCTTTCACGGACTCGTTTGTTTCAAGGAGTTTATAGGCTGGTCAGGTTGGGTTGGGTGGGTGACTGGACTGGGGCATTCATTATTAGGATAGGGGGATGGGGAATGGGGCTACTACTGTGTGAGGCGGATAAAGATGGGGTTCTAAAGGGGGGCTCAGGGGATTATACTAGGAATAGGGATTGTTTTTCGCACAGGGTCGGATAAGAGGGGTGGTGATACCCAGATTTTTTGAATGGTATACTTTGCTTCTTGCTTCTTGCTTTGTTAGTTTTTGTCTGTCTGTTTACTTGACTTGTTGCTTGCTTGTTGGTTGGCTGGTTGGTTGGCTGGTTGGTTGGCTGGTTGGTTGGTCAGTTTCTGGGTTTGGGTGGTAATGTGGGAATGGGTTCTTTTCTTTTCGTTTAGGTTGGGGAGCATAAAGGTGGTTTTTGTTCCTGGGGTATGAATATTCTCGGGTTATTTTTATCTATCTAGGATTGTGAGGGGTTTCGGTTGTTTAAGTTGTTTACACTATTAGGTATGGTTACGGTGGGGATTATCGGTAGTGGTACCATTATCATCATCATTGTTATTGTTTTATTGTTTTGAGTGGTTCTCCTCACTCACTCTTATACTAGTTGTTCTGTTGGTGATTATTTGGTGGTGTGGTGTTATTACTACTTTGTTCTCCTTGGTGATACCTGAGGGTGTTATGGGGCTGTTAATGGGCTGTGGCCTGGAGTGAGGTTGCTGTTTTTCCTCTTAATTGGGTAGTTTATGTAGTTGGGATATTGAATGTGATGATTGTTTGGTGTCGGATGTTAGGTAACTTGAATTGCGATTGTGATTTTGATATCGCTAGTGTGGATTTTGATATTCCATAGTAGTGTGGATGACTTCTCCTATTTTAATTGAGGTGCCCCCCTTGTCTTATGAGTAACTTGACTTTTAGTTTTTCGATTGAAGTTGGGTGAATTGAACAAAAAGCGTCTTCACAGGGCAAAGAGAGCTTTCATCTTTTTTTTTCGGGCTTTCACAGATGTTCATCCCATCAAGAGTGGCAAATACCTAGACCAAGCGCGCTTGCATCGAGGTTACGCGGATCCCTGTTCCTGTTGTCTTGAAGAATTTGAGACGTTGGGAGCCGATCTTCAAAACGATCTGAAAAGGTGCATGTGGGGGTCCGTTGGTGGGGCTGGGGGACCCCTGGAACAAATCGGGGTCAGGGTTCAGGGTGGTTTGGCGCGTTGGCGCGTCCAGCACGCGTATTTACAAATTACCGGATTTGGCAAGGGGGTGGGCGAGTGGGCAACAGGCCTCAGTGGGGACAACTGAGGTGAGGTTGTTCTTGCCTTTTGGTTTGGTTGTCTGTCACGTTGGGGTGCAAGGCTTATGTTGAGATACCTGTTGCATACCTGAATTTCTTGCCACTTCACCTGTTGACCGCGTTTTGTGCTGGACTGCTCATTTCTTCTTTTTCGTGGTTTTGACACTTCTCACGCCTTCACGGATGACTGCTTGATATTTCATTCTCTCACTTCCACCCCTGCGACGCGTTCGACACTTGCCCACCGAATTTGGACATTTTGCATGGGGTTCTCCCGCCACGACCAGGATCGTTTCCACGCTTGAAGCAAGACACCATTAAATACCCTGTCTGTATTGAAGTTACAGCGTGCCGCGGTCGTCACGGTTGTTCCACCCACAAAGTGGGGGAAAGGTTCCTCGTCACGGGTTATTTCTCTGTGACGTGAGCGTGTTTTCTTCGTTTTTGTCTTTGGCGACAGATGCAACCTTTTCTTTCCTCTTTCTTCTGCACCTACCCGGACAACAGTGCAAACACTCTACACGCTCTTTCATCAACGCTTCTCTTTAGTCAATCGTGTATCCAAAGAACAAAGAAACCCGGCTAGTCGACTAGACGCCGCACAGAAACGCACGGAAGGACGAGACAAGATGAATACAGCCTCGCCCACTAAGCGTCGCGTTCTCGGTGCGCTCGACCCCAACGCGTGCTCCCCTAACAAGATGAGAAGGCACGAGGGCAAGCTGCTATCGTCGTCCATGCAGCAGAGTCCTGTCAAGTCTAAGTTGTTTGCTACCCCGCGCCAGGGTACCGCGTCGCCTGCACGTGGTCGTGCGCTGTTATCTTCCACAGCAGCCAACTCTACATTGGTGTCGGGTATGGAGAACCAAGGGGTGTCGAAGGCGCAGGAGGAAGAGAGAGGAAGCCCGACTAAGAAACGCCGCTCTCCTTCGCTTGCTTCGACCGCGTCGGTGGGCTCGTCGCGGGGTGTGTCGGCGCGTGTTGATACCTTGGAGGAGGGGCTGGGTGGAGAGCCGGTGGCGAAGAGGCCGTGTTTGGAGAACAAGGACGAGGTCCAACCCCGACGGGCAGAGGTATGTTGCTCCCTAATAGTTACTCACTGTAACTTGCTGCGTAGATACTGACTTTTCTGTACCAGTCTCCGCCCTCTTCATTGTCAACAGCCGCGACCGCTCCGATCCGCGACCGCTCCGTTTCGCCCGATGCCACCTCAGTGTTTGACAACTCGATTGTGGATAACTCACAGGCTACGGTTATCACGGAGCCAGACATTGCCAGTCTTGTGCCTGCCACGGCGCCCGTCCCTGTTACACTCCCGGCCTCGCTTTCCCGGCCGCGGATGACGCGTGAACAAGCCAGACAAGTATGTCTTCCCGGGGTTTCTGTGATTATGTGCCAGTGCTAACACCGCTCACAGAAAGCTGAGATCCTCCGCCTGCGTCTCGGCCTCGCAAGTTACAAAGTGCGCACCAACCAGACCGAGGTGTCACTCGATGCACTAGAAGCTCGGGCTGCCGAAATTAAGAGACCGGCCAGAAACTCGTTCTCTGCCCACGGCCGAAGTGAGAGCCACGGCCAGCAGAATGCCTATCCTGCCCCGACATCCCTCTCAGCATCATTCCCTCCCCCTGGCACTGCATCTAGCTCCACAACCCGGGGTGGTAGACGACCTTTGCCCGCTGCGCCCGTCCGGAGACCCAGCATGGGCGTCGAGCGCGGGCCAAGGCTAGCAGCGCCCTCGAGAAGCCCCCGTTTCGCCCAATCCCGGCCAGCAACTATCATCCGTGACGAACAACGGTGGACACAAAAAACGCAAAATCGCTACACTCACCAGCAGCCGCGCGACTCCCACCACCGACCGGTCCACTGCCAACCCGTCCATCACCACCAGCGCCACCAATCCGAAGTTCTCCCCAAGTCCCACCACAACACCACAACGCGCGACATGTCCGCCGCAGATCCTAGAATCCCGCCCCGTCCGCGCAGGGCCACCGATTCAGCCGACTCTTTGCTATCAGCCTTGTCAAGGCCGTACCATCCCGACAACGGCAACAACACCAGCCAAAGGAGGGTCAGCTTCGTGGGGCACGACAGGTACCAAGGTCGTCATGACGGGGGAAGAGCCAGAGACGAAGGGGACCGGGAAGCAGACCGGGAGACAGACATGGAAGATAGGGGTGGTGCGGCGAGCGGTCTGCTTAGTTTGGCTCGGAGTTAGGAGCTTCGGACGATGGACTGGGTGATGAAGCTGAGGGAGTAAGGGGGTTGTTAAAGGGACCTGGGGATGGAGAAGGGGAGAAAGGAGACATGGATTGATGGGTGGGGGGCACTCAGAGTCAGGAGCTGCTCCGGTGTGGTGTGCAGGTTCTCCAGGGTTGGTATACCCTTAGGGTGGGAAGCTACGTGTGTACAACGCGCGCGTGTGTCTCTATTCGTCATGTACTACTGCTGAGCTACTCTCTGGGCGTTGGGTGGATTTTGTGTGGGAAAGGGAAGGGTTATCTGGCGGTGGTTTTGTTCCGTGTGTCGGATTAGAGTACAATACATACAGTCCGTGTAGGAAGGGTTCACCTGCCTTGCCTATGTAGAGAAGGAGGTAAATGAAACAAATACCTTATAACGCAGTTAGTCCCAGTCACGGTGCATGGATGAGTGAGATCCCGGCCACATCTCCCTGTTATTCTGTTCTTGTATACCTATACAAGACCTGCAACGGGCTCACCACCTATCCGGGTCTGATCAGATCTAATGTGGAGGGTGAGCTGTTTCGCTTTCTTTTGAATTTTCTCTTGGGTTCGAAAGGAATGGTCTGTTTAAAATCATGTACCAGCCTGCCTTATTATCTATCCCCTAACCTCCCTTAGTCGTAGTGTGAGTCCGACTTCCCAGAAACCCCTCCAAATCCCCATGCATCCGTATCCCCCTCTCCTCCATACCCTGCACCAAACCACGTAACTCGCCCGGTGAAAACAGCGGGGTGTCTCCAAGAGCAGTTCTTCCTCTCCCGCCTGCACTTTCACCCCGGCTACTGTGTTGTATGCCCCCCCGATCATCCAGAGATTCATCATGCTCGGGATAGAGTAAATGTTGAATATCAAACGCAGCCATATACACCTCCTTAGCCCAGGGACAAGCAGCCATGGCGCGGTAGATGACGGTTTTCAAGTCTGCTGCTGCTGCTGCTGCTGCTGCTGTTCCACTGTGTGCTTCTTTCTCCCTTTTCCCTCTGTTCCCGGTAGTACTCCTGTGTTGCGCGACAGCAGCTGACCACCGCGCACGACAGAATCGAATATATCGCAGCCACAGTTCCACATTATGCCTTCCTCCCCCTCCGCCGCCACTAGCATCATCGCAGGAAGAATCCAGCACAGCCTCAAACGCAGCGCAGATAGCATGTGACGAGCCACTTTCAACCCCAATCCCACCACTTCTGGCGTAGGCATGGGCTTGGTGGTGGATGGCAAAGCGGTGGGTTGATAGGGTGGGCCGATGACGTGTGTCCGGGTGTGTTGAGGATGATGGGGAGAGGGGGTTAGTGGGAGAGGAGAGAGAAGTCAGGAACGAGCGGACGGGATCGTCGATGCGTAGGCGTGGTTGAGCCCAGGCGAAGAGGGAGAGTGAAAGGGTATTGGTGGGGAAACGGTCGAGGAGGGAGGAGAGGTGGGTGCGGAGGGTGCGAGGGCGGTAGGGGCTGGTTTTTGGGTTGTTAGTTTGGATATGTCTATGTTCGTGAGGAAACCATGATATAAGGGGAAATAGAAAGAGACATACCCGTGCGTGGCGTGGTAGTACAGCAACCGCGCAGCAGACTGCAGAAGCCGCTCATGGTGTTGCGAGCGAGAAAGATGAAGGCCACGTCGCTCAAGATCCCGAGAAAAGGCATGGACGGTCTCGAGCGCGGCGTTGATGTGGCCCTGACGGTCCGACGACGGCTCGGTGTCTCCTGTGGCAGAGAGATAGTCGAGAAGCATCAGGCCCTCGGCGTACAGGGCTGCGGTCGCGAGGTCCTGGGAGGAGATCGCGTAGTCCCGGGTGCTGGAGAAGTGAGACCGGGTCTTGAGTAGCAGGGCCGGCGAGGGGTAGGTGTCGTGGAAGTCGGGGTCGACGGACGAGCAGAGCCGAGCGAGAGCCAGGTCTTTTTGCCCGCTCTCGACGTGGATCCATGCCCAGGTGTTGTAGAGCATTTGGTTGCTCGGCTGCGTTGGCTGTGTCATGTCAGTATGTACTCAGTAGCCGCTCAAAGGTCAAAATACATACTAGAAGAGTCAACCCCGTAGCCGACGACAGCACCTTGAGGGAAACCTCCGCATTCCCATTCGCCCACTCGGCCAGAGCATACGCATTATACAGTCCAATATTTGAACCATATTGCTTCAACAGCCCCCTGGCCACTTTCTTCGCCCTTGCCGGCTCGTTCACCCACTCCATCGCGAGATAATACTCAGCCAGCGACCCCACCCCCCAGCGCTTGACGCACTGTTCCAGCGTGCGCAGCAGCCAGGACAGGCTCACCTGTCTGTCATACCGCAGGTGAACATCCGACCACTTGGCCAGGTAGCGGAACCAGGGCTCACGCGAGAAGAGCGCGTCGGGGGATATGGCCATGCTGCCCGCGGCCTGGACAAACTCGGGTGCTTGTCGAGAGAGGTCCTGTGCCGATTCTGTGGAGATGCCGTGCTGGCCACGGCCAAGACCCAGACCTAGATCGATGCCCTGGCCGACGCCGACGACAAAGGGGTCGTTGAGAAGCATGCCGGCGAACTGGGCTCCTGACAAACCGGCGTCCGGCATCCCGCAAAAGATGAGCAGCGCATCGAGAAGCATGGGCTTGACCCGTGAGAGCGCGGCAGACGGGATCCAGACTAGAAGATCCTCGATATCCGAGAACATGACCACCCGAAACGCGTCATCCTCCGTTTCCGTGTCCAGCGTTCTAGCCGGCATGCGCGCCCGTTCGGCTAGTTGCTGCTCTGTCGCTGCCCACGCCTGGAAGCGGTCTGTCGTCTTGGGGGTCGGGATAGGGTCGTCCATCTTTGGTTCAGGGTCGGGGGCTATTTCGGCCGCTTCGGCATGGAGCCGCCATCCCTTGGCGTCGTCTTCCCCTATCCGCGCTACCTCGCTTTCCCAAAACTCGGAAAATGAGACGGCTGCGGTGTCGGGGGTGTAGTTTTCTCCTGGTCGGCAGAACGTCATCTCGAGCATCCCCTGCCACGCGGCCACGGCCAGCTCGGTGAACCCGGCGTCATGGAGAAAGCGCGTGAGTCGGAGGAAGACATAGACCAGTTGCTCGCACAATTCCTCTTCCCTTTCTAGATCCTCGGAGACACTCTTCTCAAGGTCTTTCCCTAGACTAGCCAATTTCTCTGCCATGATCCCCTTCAGCCGGTCTACCTCGAACCCGACCACCCGGCTCATCTCAAAGTCTAGCTTCCCCTTCCATAACGCAAACAAAGTTCCCGCTGGACTGCTCATAACCTCTTCCCATTTCCGTACCAGGATCTTCTCATCCCACACCTTTTCGCCTTCTCGCATCATCCCCAGCACCAACGGCAACCTCCCTTTTACCTCCTCCTGCACTTTCCCACCGGCTTTCTCCTGACTCTTGGAAGAAACACATCCATCCAGCGCCTCCTGATACAACCCCAACTTCAACTCAGCGAGCGCCCGCGTCTCCTCGGCCGTCTTCCTCTGGCCAAGCGAGCGAGTCGGTTGTTGCATGCGGAGCTGGTTAGCAAAAAGCACATCTTGGAGAGCAATCAGCTCCAGCCAGGCGGGTACATCGGCCGGGTCGGATTTGAGGTGTTTCGAGAGGTGTACGGCACGGGCTTGCGCGGCGGAGAGCTCCGAGGGGCCAGTTGAGGCCGGTTGGGAGGATTCCCGGTCTTCACCTGAGTCTACGTCCGAGTCGTCCTCTGAATCGTCCGGGTGAGCATTTGGCCGGGCTTTCCCGTAAATAGAGCGGTAGTCGGGGAGTACGGGGCCATCCTCATCATCCTCGTCACGTTTGCGTTTGCGCGATGTGGAGAGAGCGATGAAGTCGTCGTCGTAACTCAGGAGTGGCTGGCTGACAGAGGGTTTGATATGTTTCGAATGGACGCGAGCAGCAGCGGCTACGAGCGCCTTGTCACGGAAGGCAGAAGTACTGCCGCTACCTTCACCAGGGCGCCTGATACTGAACTCCTCCTGTGCACCCTCCCGGTGGATGACGAGGAAGCCAGGCGAGCCTATGATGCGGCCGGCACCGAAGCGGCGGTACACCGGGATTTGGGCGCGGTCATTCGTGCCGTACTGGACGATGAGGGGATCGCCGCGCCTGTCGACGACGAAAAGGTCGTTGCCGAGGGAGGGATGGGAGGTTGAGCTATCCTTTTTCCGAGTTGCTAGCGTCTCATGGCTGCTGTACAATGCCGATGGGTCGTCCCGCGCCTGGAGACTACTGCGATGCTCCCGTTCATCCCTTTCTCTTTTCCAGCCTTCATCCCCGTGATGATTTCCCCTATCTCGGGACCGCGGCCTGTTCCTCTCCCTTTCTCTTTCTCGATGCCGATCCCGTCGGCGGTCATCGTGGCGGTCACGGTCACGATCACGGTCACGACCTTCATCACGGCCATGACGTCGACGGTCCCTTTCTTTTCCCTTTTCACTCTCCTTCTCCCTCCCCCTTTCCTCCTCTTTCTCCCGATCCCTACGCCGTTCGCTACTATCCTTCTCAGACCCACCGAGACGACCATCACCACGGTCGCTCCGTTGGCCCCGGGCTTCGTCCAACGTAGGCCGGGCCTCGGCCTTCTCTAGCGGCACGGCAGCGGAGTCGGAAGTAGTGGGATCGGGTTGGAAGGATCCGAACTTGGGCACAGCCCGTCGCTTTTTCTCCCGCCCTTCATCCATGCTCACCCAATGATGATCCCTGAGACTGTCGCGTGAGAGGGAAGGTGAAACGATGAAACAATGCGATCGCTCACACCCGGTTTCCCGATCTCATCCTCATCCTTGTCGAGACGTTACCGGGTAGTTACTGGATAACCAATTCTCGTGTATTGAGTAGTTAGTTGAGTACTGTCGTCATTGCCGATCGTTTCGCCGTTTTCAAGCTCGAGTCATGCAGCATGAATTGCGTTGACTCCTGTCTTTGTGATTTGTTTCACCTTGATTCCTTTTTGGGATGTCTTTTTGTCGCGTGTTGGTTTTCCTTGGCTTCTTGGCGAAGTTGGCCTAAGTTGGCTTAAGTTGATGGTTGCCAAGAGCTCTGCGGGCCGTCGGGTGCCCGGGCGCTGCTGAAGGCCGGTGGATTTTCAGGCGCCGCGTGGTTGGCTCCAGGTCAGTTGGGAGGCGAGCCTCGCCAGTGTTACAGTGGCATTTCTGGGCGTGCTGGGCGAATCCATCAGGGTCCCCGAGCAGCAGACAGAACCCCCAAAATAAGGCCTAATTGGGCACCCTCAAGCCCGCGATGACATAACTGTGCAGGGAGATCTGCTCCGCATCCCGCGCATGCGGCCGGTACTGAGACCGCCTCTGGCCGAGCCTCTCGCTTCGTCTTCAAGGCTGGTGATGAAGCGTGTTGAAGAGGAGAGAAAGTTCAAAGTCGAGATCATGGAGGTTGTACGACGCATGGTGAGAATGAATACCCGGAGTTTTTCCTGGCCCAAATGCCTTATCTATGGCGGCCAGTCCTGCCTTCCTAACATAGAAATATCTCCCTCAACGCCCAGTAATCTAATCATAAAATTGACGCTTCAGTCTCGCGAAGCAGGTGCGACCTTCTTCCCCCTCACCACAATGCCCGAATCAGCCCGCCTTCCTTGCACTCCCTCTAACCGAGGTGGAGGTATTTTCTCCCACATTGGATGTACCAACGGCTCTCTGTGTAGTGTAGAAGCCTAGATTCGCCAAATCCGCCGGAGCGCCTGACACCTCCACAGCCCACCTTGAGCCCACCTCTGCTCCCCTTTAAGGCCTGTGGCACAGCGCTCCATGACGCCAGGTGAGACACCAAATTGAGCACGTGGGGGGTTGGCCCCAACTTGACCACCCGCATTTTCTCCCGCGACAGCCCCACGAAGCCACCAGTGCCACCCTTTTTTCTCCGCTCCGAAACTCACCTCACTCGCAGCGAAACCTCCCGTAGCGACCGAGGCCGGGTCCCCATCCCTCACACTCCAAGGCTAACCTATCCATCCATCCACCCATCCCTCATTGCACGGTGACACTCCGCATGTGAGCCTGTCTTTTCTCGGTTTCCCGTCCCGCATCCGGTTTTCCTTGCAGCGGCATTTCATTTTCGACCTTTCTTCCTTAATTCCCTAATTATTTATCCCAGTGTGCAGCGGGAGAATACAAGACGACTTGTGCGCGAGGCTGGTGTTGAGACTCGAGCGTTGCCAGGATTCTTCTTTATTTCTTATTTTTGGTGTTGTTGGGGGCCGATCTCCCCTCGAACCAAGCTGAGGCTCCGTTTTTCTGTCTCACCTTACCGGCGGATGTCCGAAACAACCTGAAGAAGTCTTGTTTCCTGTTTTCGAAGCGTGATTCCAGCCAGAGGTGGGAAACGTCCTCAGATAAGCATTCTGTCTTTCAGGAGCTTCTCACACACAACTTTGCTCTCCCATCCCATTCCGTGAGCGCCGAGTAGCTTAACCTTTGCACGTCGGACAGTGACGACGACCTCGTCAACTCTTGCGCGCGACTCACTCCGAAACCGTCTACCCCGTTCCACGAGCCGAACCCGCGAACCCCCCTTTTTGCTTTTCGGTTTCGCCCTTCCTTTCCCATATGACCGGCCGACGCCTCGGGGCTCGGTTCCCCGAGCTCCCTATCACGGGCAGCAGCAATACCGACAACAATGACGAAGCCGAAGGCTCCGAACCCCCGAGCCAGAGCCAAAGCCAGAGTCAGAGCCAGTATCTCTCGCTCCCGGGTTCTCCCACCCAGGCGCGCCGACATCGTCCTACACTGAGCCGACGGCCCTCCAACGCAGACGCCCCCGACGAACGGTCGCCGCTGCTGGGTGCGCCCCGGACATCTCGCATCCGCATACACAGTGCCCACGGGTCGCCGAGAGTGCCGACGTTGTCGAGAAACCAGAGTTACGCGGGTATGCAACAACCTCACTCTAAGGCATTGCACAGGATGGAACTAAACTAACACCTCTACGATTCTTACAGATAGCGTCCGGTCCACGCGCCACCACAGCCGTGCCAACTCATGGGGCACGCGTCTGATGCACGCCATATCCGACCGCCAGGAGTCGTCGATGTCCGACTCCAAAGCCTCGCTCTATCCCGACGACCGCGTCTGGTACGACCAGTTCACGTCCACGGACTGGGTGCACGATAGCATCGCCGACGCCTACCGGGTCAAGGCCCTTCGCAGCCGCAAGGACTTTTGGGGCCGCGTCTACGTGCTGTTCGACGGCGCCCAGGGCTGGATACTGAGTGCCCTCGTCGGCTTCATCGTGGCCGTGCTGGCGTACGTCGTGAATGTGAGCGAGGCCACCGTGTTCGACTTCAAGGACGGGTACTGCGAGAGGGGGTGGTTGATCAGCGAGAAGAAGTGCTGCCCCCATGGGCCCTGTACCGACTGGCGGGACTGGGGCGAGGTTCTCCAGGGGTACCCGTTCGGCGAGCGATGGACCGAATTTGCTGTCTATATCATCGCCGTCATCACCCTCTCCGTGCTGTCCTGTCTGCTCAGTCTTACCACCAAAACGGTTGTGCCCTCTGCCTATCGCCTGACGACGCTCGACGAGAACCTCGCGGCCGAAGCGCCCGCACCTCCACTGGACGATGTTGCGAATGGGGAGGTCAGTCCCCGGCGAGTCCCGGGCAAGGGCGTGACCGAGCAGGCGCCCATGATCTACTACTCAGCCGCCGGGAGTGGTGTTGCCGAAGTCCGCGTCATCCTTAGTGGTTTCGTGCTTCACGGTTTTCTGGGTCTCAAGACACTCCTCATCAAGACGCTTGGGTTGATTCTGAGCGTGGCGTCGGGTCTGAGCCTCGGCAAGGAGGGTCCCTACGTGCACATTGCCAGCTGCGTCGGCAACATCGCCTGTCGCTTGTTTAGCAAGTACGACCGCAACGACGCCAAGCGCCGTGAGGTCCTCTCAGCGGCTGCGGCTGCTGGTGTCGCGGTGGCCTTTGGTGCGCCCCTCGGCGGTGTGTTGTTCGGTCTCGAAGAAGTGGCTTACTTCTTCCCGGCCAAGACCCTCTTCCGCACCTTCTTCTGCTGCATCACCGCGGCGCTGACCCTCAAGTTCCTCAACCCCTACGGCACCCACAAGATCGTCATGTTCCAAGTGCGGTACACGGTCGACTGGGAGTACTTTGAGATTTTCAGCTTCATCCTCGTCGGCGTCATCGGCGGTGCCGCGGGGGCCCTGTTCATCAAGGCCTCGCGCCACTGGGCCAAGACCTTCCGCCGCATCCCCGTGATCAAGGCGTACCCCTTGCTCGAGGTGGTTCTTGTCGCGCTGGTGACTGGCCTGATTGGGTACTGGAACACCCTGACCAAGCTCCCTGTGGCCAAACTGCTCTACAACCTGGCCGCGCCGTGTGATGACCGGGACAACAATCTCGAGAATTTGGGGTTGTGTCCGGAAGAGATCGGTGATATTCCGCCTATTCTCCTGAACCTGTTTGCCGCGTTCTTGATTAAGGGGCTATTGACTATTATCACCTTTGGCATTGTAAGTTTTTTTCCCCCATGTCTGCTGCTATCACACCGCACATAACTAACTCGCGCAGAAACTACCCGCCGGCATTTACGTCCCGTCCATGGTGGTCGGCGGTCTGATGGGCCGCCTCGTCGGACATGTTGTCCAGTGGATCGTCATGGCCACGCCCGACTTGAGCGTGTGGGGGACTTGTGGGAGGATGCCGAACGCTACTTGCATCCAGCCGGGTGTGTACGGCCTCATTGCCGCCGGCTCGACCATGTGCGGTGTCACCCGGCTTTCGGTCACGTTGGCGGTCATCTTGTTTGAGCTCACCGGCAGCCTAGACTATGTCCTGCCCTTTTCGCTGGCTATCCTCGTGGCTAAGTGGACTGCTGATGCTATTGAGCCGTTGAGCATTTACGTAAGTCTTTCTTTTTTACGACCTCCTTTTTCAAGGTGGAGAAATACTAACAACACCAGGACCTCCTAACCGAAATGAACTCCTACCCCTACCTCAACAACAAACACAAACCCATCTTCACCTCCGACCTCGCCGACATCGTCCCCCGCGTGCGCAAAGAGCGCATGATCGACATCACCAACTCCCCCGTGGTCCCCGCCACCAGTCTGCGCATGAAACTCGAGCTCCTCCATCGCGCAGGCGAACTCGACGGCGGCCTGCCCATCATCCGCGACGGCGTGCTTGTCGGCCTGATCCCGGCCCCCGACCTCGAGTACGCGCTTGACAACCTGCGCGATGAGGCGTCTAGTTTGTGTCTGATGGCGAGTGTGCCCAGTATTGATGACTCGGATGATGGCGGGCAGAGGGATCCGACGGATTTTACCCCGTATATTGACCCGGCACCGGTGGCGTTGGATATTAGGTCGCCGATGGATTTGGTGTATGAGTGTTTTGTGAAGTTGGGGTTGAGGTATATTTGTGTGTTGCGTGATGGGCGGTATGCGGGAATGGTAAGTCTTGTCCCCTGTTTACCCAGCCAACTGAAATATATATGTAGGGGACTAGATACTAACTGTGGAAACAGACACATAAAAAGACCTTTGTCAAGTACATGCAGGAACTGGAGGAGCAGGAGGCGCAGGGGCATATGTGAGCGTTCTGTCTTGTCTCTCACGCGGACGGGGATCTTTTAAAAGATAAGCTAGGCCTGGGTAGGGCAGGGTAGGGAACAGGATGATACCACGGGGATGGCTATTCTGTTTTTTGAGTTGGTCCTAATTCCTTTTTTTTGGTCTTGTTCTGGGGTTGTCATCGTTTGGCATGCATGCATTGTTTGGCGACTGGGCAGTCCTTGCTATTTGTCTTTTTTTTCTCTCTAGTTTCTGGTTTCTGGTTTTGTTTATTATTACCAGCATTTTCTTTTCTATTTCTCATTGTCTCGGGATATATTCATTCATGCCCTTTAGTGGGCGGCGAGGCGTTTAGCTTGTCTCTATTTTTGCTTGAAGTGTCTCTTCTATTTTCGAGGTTTTAGCCAGATCACACGAAGGGAAGAGCAGAGGGGGGGGGGAGGAGTATTGTTTTCAGAGTAATATTTCTTCCTTCTCTTGCATTCATAAGCGAGCGGGTGGTTACCAGCTGATGGCGGTCGTGGTGTGGTATATGACTGATAGTTTGGGATGTTGGTTGCGCTAAGACTGGATGGGGGAGTGAATGTGTGGGTTGGTGAGATTGCTGTGAAGGGGATGGATAGATAGATTGTGCTGCGAGAGCAGTTGGGTCAGATTGGGAAGAGATGGATGGGGGGTAGATATGAAGTAATTGATGATCTCCATGGTTGTTGATTTAATATTGTTTATCCCGGTCATGTTATGTACTTTGGTTATGTGATGGACGGTGTGTTTAGCTTGAACATCATCACAGTAGTTTCTCGGATTCCTCGGTCCGCGGTTTCCAGGCCGAGAAATGGTGGTCTAGACGTTAAATCTCACCAAGAAAACTAGTTGTTGTACTATGTACGGAGAGACTTGAGAGGTATGTCCTGGGCCCGTGCCGAATGGTATATAAGAAGTCCGTTTTATCTTGAATGCGGTGTTTTTCTCGAGCCCCCAAGTGAGATGAGGGTGATAATCCCAACCGGGCCATCGCCACAGTCTCTGTTTTGTTTACATACAGATGAGATGGGATATTTGTGTCCCATCCATGTTCTTTTCTTACACATGCTCTATTTTTTACAAATCCTTCCGTCCTTTCCCATTGCTCTTCCCATTCCCATGCCCATTCCCATTCTCCTCCTCCTCTTCCGGCTCCGGACTACTCCTGGGACTCACATCCCCCCTAATAAACTCATCAAACGCCGGGTCCGCCAGTACCTCCCTCGCCCTTGCGGCATCATCCTCCTCCAACAAGCCCCTCTGCACCTCCTCATCCGCAGACTCAAACCCAGACCCAGAGTCTGGGTTCGGCACAAATCGAATCCGCACCCGCCGCACACCCCGCACCTTGGCGCCGACCCTGGTGCGCACAGCCGCCTCGACAACACGGACTTGCTCGACGGTCCACTGGGCGGGGACGCCGAGTTCGAGATCGACGAGGTAGTTTTGGCCGGATTTGACGCCCGTTATGTCGCGGAGGTGGACTTGGGTTGTTGCTTGGGCGTTTGTTACCAGTGGCCGTTCAGATCCGGTTCCCGTATTAGAAGTGGCGGCAGTGTCCGTCCCGATCTCAGCAAGACCCCTCCGAACATATTTCGCCACGGACGCCCGCACATCCTCATCGATCGACCGGTCAGCAAGCTCGTACAAGGCGGAAAGGGTGTTCGAGAACCCGGCGCGGATGACGAGGAGGGAGATGAAGAGGCCGCCGACGGGGTCGAGCCAGGTGGCGTCGTGCAGGAGGTTGGCGCCGAGGATGGCGGCTAGGGCGACGATGCCGGTGAGCGAGTCGACGCGGTGGTGCACGGCGTTGGAGGCGAGCACGGAGGATTTGCGGTCGCGGGCTACTTTCATTGCTGCGGGGTGTTAGAATCGGTAAGAGAGAGAGAGAGGGAGGGAGAGAAGGGGGGAAAGGACGTACTGGCGTGGTATAACCACTCCTTAACAGCGACGGTCCCCGCTGCCAACCAGGCGGCATGCAGACTCGGCGCGCCGCCTCCATGCCCATGTCCATGTCCATGCCCATGTCCGTGAGAATGCCCATGACTATGCCCATGCTCCAACAACTGCCTCGCAGCCTCCGCATCCAAAAAGAAATGCGCATACAGACTCTCACAGCTGCTGACACACATAAACAGCCCGCCCACCAGCAACATACTCGACACACCCAACGACCCCAGACTCTCCACTTTACCAAACCCCTGGGGGAATGCGGGCGTGGGGGAGCGCAGACTCCATGAGACGGTAGCGAGGGTCAGGACGTCAGAGGCTAGGTCGGTTAGGGAGTGCCAGGCGTCGGCGATCATGGACTGCGAGTTGAAGGCGTAGCCGCCGGCACCCTTGGCGATGGCCATGCCGAGGTTGGAGTACAGGCCGATGCGGGTGATGCGCACGCCGGCGTCGTTTTTGTTGGTGGAGGTTAGGTAGGTGTTGTCGTGGTGGTGGTGGTGGCCGTGATGGTGGTGGCCGTGGCCATGGCCGGCATGGCTGCGGGTTTGTTGGGCGGTGCCCATGATGGGTATTGTTTTGGTGGGATTTGTGGTGGTTATGTTTGTTAGGGTGGAGGTCGATATGGAATGTGAGGTCGAGTTCGAGGTTGGGGTCGTCGAGGTTGGGGTCGTCGAGGTCGAGGTCAATGGGGCCAATGGCGACAATGGTGACGGGGATACAGACAAACTCGCGTGTGGTGAAGGTTGCTGCTGCAGCGCACGGCGCATGCGATTCGTAAAGGCGCGTGACGGGGAGAAAGTCTGGAAGACGCGCACCGACGAAGACGCCAAATAAGAGGACAACGAGACAGACGACGACGGTATTAACGTTGGGGAAGGCCGTCCCAAAATCCTCGGCAATCGTGGTAACGTTAACGTTAACGCGCGCGAGGAGGTTCGTTGTGGGTGATGTGTCCCCGACGGGATCTTGGTTTTGGTCTGGGTCTGGGTCCCGGTCCTTATTGGAATCCCGGCTTGGTGGCTAATATGGGCGGCGCTGGCGCATGGAGGTTGATGGTTCCGTGCCCGTCTGGGACGCGCACTGCTATGGATAGCGGTCGTCACACCCGCCTGGAACCGCCCCGGCAGTACGCGGCGCATCACCCCAGCACCGCCGAGGTTAGCCCCGCGCCCGCACGTTACCGTTAGTGCGGGCATAAAAAAAAGGGGAAAAGCGCCGGGGAGGGGGAATGAGTCGTGCGCGTCAAAACCCAAAAGAAGAAAGATGGGAGGAGACAAGTGTCAAATAAGGGAAATTAAAAACATGAATTCGGGAATTTGGGATGAATTGGTGAATTGACCCTCCCACGCGACAGGTCCAAGGCGGCAGGGGAGTTCGGCAATTGCTGTGCAAACGGTTTTCTTTTGTTTGATTGATAAGATGCCGGACCGAGATCTGAAAGAGTGAATCGGAGAGTCGAGGCCGCAGTCCAGTCGGGTCCCGTGCCGTGTTGTGTGCAGAGGTGTCTCACAGTTGCCCGAGGCGTGAATTTGGACGTCGGGCTTCTTTCATATCAGGCCACTTCCGGCGACTGGACGCTATAATTAACAGCAGGAAGAGTGGTTTTGCCGTGGGCAAGTGCCCGACATCGCAACTCACAGTGGGTTCAATGGCGTGGCTCTTGGGCTCCACCTGGAATGGATTCTCGGAGTCTAGATCCAGGGTTAGGGTGGAAGACCGCGTGGCCGAGATCCACTGAGCTCTGGATGCGCACTGACCAGTTGAATTGGACATCGCTCATGACGATTCCAACGTTCACCAAGACCGAGACGAGCTGAGTGTACACCAACCCGAATCCACATGTATATCCGGCGGCCATCAGCAGAATTGGAAAATAGACTGAATAAGGGCATATTCATAAATAACTGATTTTTACACTTAATTCCAACCCCAATTCCTCGTCCTCGGTATTTATCATCACGATCTCAAATCCCGAATCCTCCGTCTCAGATTCGGACTCAGTCAGACAGACACAATGAAGAAACCGCTCATGCGCATCCCCTACACCGAACTCTTCCCCCCGCCATCCATCATCCCGCCGACCGCCCGCTCCCTCCCCGGCGCCGTCGCCGCTCTACAAGAGTTCCTCCACGCTCCACCACTACCCTTACAACCACCATCTTCACAAACCCTCAACTCAGGACCCGGCTCATCACAACCCCCCGGCTCACCCCTCCCCCGCAGCACAGTCGTCCTAACAGGCGCCGGCCTCTCCGTAGCCAGCGGCCTCCCCGACTACCGCGGCCTCAACGGCACCTACCGCGTGAACAAAACCTACCGCCCCATCTACTACCCCGAATTCGTCTCCAACCACCCCGCCCGCCAACGCTACTGGGCCCGCAGTTTCCTCGGCTGGTCCACGCTCCAAAACGCCCACCCCAACGCGGCACACTACGCGCTCCGCGACCTGGCGGGGATGGGGTTCCTGTCCGGGGTGATAACGCAGAATGTAGATTCCTTCCACCCGCGCGCGCACCCGGGTCTACCGACGTTGGAGTTGCACGGGTATCTGCGGGCTGCGGTGTGTGTGACGTGTGGAGGGGAGGTGGAGAGGGAAGGGTTTCAGAAGGAGTTGGCTCGGTTGAATCCGAGGTGGGAAGGGTTTTTGAGGGGGGTGTTGGTGGAGGCGCCGGGGGCGTTGGAGACGGAGGATCCGAGGGAGAGGGAACGGAGGGGGGTGAGGATGAATCCGGATGGGGATGTGGAGGTGCCGGGGGCGCCGTATACTACGTTTCGGTATCCGGCGTGTCCGGCTTGTTTGGCGCGGTCGTCGTCGGCGGGGAAGGGGACGGGGACGGGGCCGTTGGTGCTGGCGGATGGGGTTACGCCGGGGAGGGTGGAGGTGGATGATGACGGGGCGTGGCATCCGGCGGGGAATGCGGGGGTTTTGAAGCCGGCGGTGGTTATGTTTGGGGAGAGTATTGCGGACCGGGTGAAGACGGCAGCCGAGGAGGCGATTGATGGGGCCGGGAAGCTGTTGGTGCTCGCGACGTCGATGGCCACGTACTCGGCTTGGCGGCTGGTTAAGCGGGCCAAGGACCGGGGCATGCCGATCGGGGTGGTTAATATCGGGGGCGTCCGAGGCGAGGATATGTTTTTCTCGGGGCTGGATCCGGGACAGGCGGGCGGCCAGGGCGTGAGGCTGGAGATGGCCACGGATGAGCTGTTGCCGGCGTTGGTCCGGGAGATGCAGCAGTCGGGACAGGGGTGGAGTCCGTCGGCCGAGTCGTCTCGGGGGGAGAACGTGTTTAAGGATATGTTGTCCTAGACCGGTAATCGTAGTCCGGTAATCGTAGTCCCGGCAACTAGACTTCCAAGACCTTCAACACTGCCCGCTCAAAAGAAGCCCTTGCTCGCGAGGGTGCTCTGCATCTGTCTCCGGGGTTCTTCCGTATGCGCTTCTGCTTTTACAGGCGTCGTCGGTGCAGGCTCGGCCGGCTTCTTGCGCTGGCTCTTGGCCGCGTCCTCGCGCTCAATCTCTTTCAGGACTGCATCTCGTCAGCACTCCACACAAACTCTACGCCTAACCATAGAAAAGAGACAGAGATAAGAGACAGAAAATCACCCACCCTGCTCCCACAAAACCTCCTTCTCCGCATCCCCCGTGCCCAACGCCTTCTCCACATCCACCTCCTCCCCGCGCTGCAATTTCTCAACCACCTCCCGCAGCAGACCAATACGCACATCAGACTGGCGCATAAAAGTGGCAAAGTCCTTGCGCAGCGAGATCATCTGGATGGACATGGAGCCGATGAACAGGAAGATAAAAATAAAAAAGGTCGCGGGGTTCCAGCCTTGGGGTTTAGCGGCGGATTTTGATTTAGACTTGGATTTGCCAAACCAGGGGATCGTCCAGGTGCGGAGGGGTTTGGGGACGAGGGATTTCCAGAAGGAGACTTCGGCGACTGTGCTGAGGGGGCGGGTGTTGGGTCGTGTGAGCGCGAGTCGGGCGAAGGTGAGAGGGAGGGTGTTGGAGCGGAGGGGTTGGAGGGTTGGCGCTCGGAGCGCACGGGGGGCGAGTCGGTTCATGGCTGTTTGGAAGCTGTAAACCAACTGGGAGCTCGATCGTCAGTGTCGTTCTTGTAGTTGTCGTCCAGTTTGGCCGTCGATTTGGCCGTCGATTTGGCCGTCGAGGTGTCGTTTGCGCTGCGGCCCCACTAAAACTTTGCAACGGAAAAGCGATCGGACATTTGTCGCAAGATCTTCGGCAGGCAAGTGGGTCCCTGTTCACTGTTGCCGTGCCAACAGAAACGTGCCATTTTGCGGTGGGGTCAACACCGCATTGGGACAGCCTGCTAGCCCTGTCAGGCCCTGCAGTGGTTGAGTGGTTCCTGCCTGGCGCGGCCCGAACCACGCGAATCGGGAATTGAACTCCATTCGGCATAATTTGAGATCAGTTCAACTGTACAGTAATTCGACGGTGGATTTTGACCTGAGGTGCTTGGTTGCGTGGCTATTTGCTTGTTTCTTTGGATACCTCGGCGCGGACGGAAACAAACAAAATATTGCAACGAAAAAAACAGACTCAATCAGCGATGATACGGGTCACGAAAGCATAGCATCCACGACACTACGACGACACGACACGAACATACGACGACACGAACATACGACGACACGATACCACGGCCACATATCACAATGGACCTCCAAGCGCAGGCCGACGCAATCCGCAGCGCAGTCGGATCCGTCGCGACCTGCACGCCAGCAACCTCAGCTCTCCTCAAAGGCCTACTCCTCCCCCCAAAAGACGACTCCGCAACAACCGACGACAACACGTCCGCACCCAACTCCCGGCCCGGAAGCAAGGCCACCACCCGACGACCGAGGACCAACACCACGGTCTCCAGGGCCCCCTCACGACGCGCCCGGGCCGCTCCCACGCCGACACCAACAGCGACCGAATCCGGGCTATCCACACGCGAAAAGGCGTCTCTGGCCACCCACGTCGTCAATGCCACGCTTAAAGCCCTCGGCGAGGCAGCCAAGGCGGTCCCTCCGCCCGCTGCGTCGCGGCCAACAACAGAAGACGACGAGGGGACCGGCAAATCAGCCGGCGCGAGAGCTGCACTCCGGCGGTCGAGTTCGGCGCCCATGTCCCCGCTACAGCCGCGGTCTCTCAACACGCGATCGCCCTCTCGGACGGCATCCGGTGCGGCGATGTCAAATACTACGACAACACCACCACCAAGCACAAATTTGTTATCGGCAGTTGAGTGCGCACGCGTGGCATTAGCAGCCCTGCGCCAGCTCCCGGCCTCGGGCAAAGTTACGCTTCCCGAGTTACAGCTAGAATCGGGCATGTCAGCGCTTGTTGGGAGGTTGATCAGTTTGAACCTGCAAGACACTGCCATCAAGGAACTGCGGATTTTGAAGAGGCGGCTGGACGGGCTGACTTGTTCGTCCGATGCCGGGAAGAAGGGACCTAAACCAGAGGAGCCGAAGAACGCGGCCCAACTGTTCTCCGAGCTCCTCGACTTCAGCAGCGTGCAGACATCAGCGTGTCAACCACCGCTGCTGCAGCTGGTAGTTAGCACGCAGCTCCAAATCCTACGTGTGCTCGCCCTAGCCAAAAAACCCTCCGCCACCGAAGCCGCGCTGCCGCATCTCCGCCTCAACCAGCCATCCTCACCAGTCAGCCTCCTCCTCGCCGCGGCCACCCAAGATGCCAACGCAGACAAAAGCAAACTCGCCCGCCAAATGGAAACCATAGCGCAGTGCTTCCTGGCACTCACCCCGAGCGTGGCCCGCAAGGATGATTCCCTGGGACAAGAGACCCGGCTCAGCGTTTCCCCAGCGTCAGCGCTGGAACTGCAGCTGCTAGCCCTCGAAACACGGCTGCACTGCTGGGCCCTATCCGGTAAACACAAGGGCGACGCCGAGAAAGACATCCTCTTACCCCTCTCGCGCTGTCTAGCGGCATATCTCCGCCGGACCTCAGAGAGCCCCCGGTCGAGTTATGCCCCGTGCGCGGAGGGGTTTGCACGGGTTGAAAAGATGCTGCTCTCACAAAAACAAGGGTTTCAACCGGCCAAGGGATCGAAACAGCCGCTGGCGGGTATCTATCAGACGCTTCTCGCTCTGGCGCGGGATGCGGGGCAGATTGCAGACGCCCTGGGCTGGGCGGAAAAGTTGCAGGATGCGCTGGACCACGGACCGACGGGTGAGTCGGTGGCGAAGATGTGTGCTGTGGCTGCGCAGCGGTTGGTGTTGTTTCTCAAGCAGGCGGGGTCTGCGTCGGAGTCTGGGGCTGACAGTCTCTCGGATACGGCGTTGGGACTGCTGAAGCAGGTGGTTGACGGCATTCAGGGCCCGTTGCGGGGTGACTCGGGGGAACTGGACGAGCTGCTGACGCAGGTGTGTGCGGTGCGCAAGGCGGGGATGCAGTTATTGTTGGCGATGGCCAAAGAAGGCGGCGAAGTCAGAGGGGACACGCAAAACCAGCTGGAGACGTTCATCCTACAGTGTCCACGGTTCTGTCTACGCTGGCTCGGCAAACCGCCAGACCCCAAGTCACAATCCAAAGACGGTAAAGACACAACAACAACAACAACAACAACAACAACAACAAAAGAGATCCTCCGCTATGACCAACGCCGCCAGCTAGTCCGGCCGTATCTCCCACACTTACTCGACTCGGCGTTTTTGACGATCAAAACGGGGCTTGACCAGGGTCGGTTGCAGTGGGAATTGATGGATGCCGTGCTGGGGGATTGTCTCACGCTGCTGCAGTACACCTCTTCCGCATCGGAGTCTGCGACTTCTGCCCCGGCATCGTCATATCACGTCAAAATCTCACATTTTTACTACCTCCAATACACGTCTCTACGCCAACAACCATCAACTACGGACGGTGATGCCAAAAACAGTAAAAGAGACGCCCTCCGCGCCCTGCGGCACTCAATCGATGCAGTCCGCCACCGGCCCCGCGCCGAACGGTCCAAAGCCCAGCTTACTCTCAAACTGGAGCGTATGGCGGAAATGTGCCGATCCCTGGGGCGTGCAGACGAGGCGTTGGCCGCACTGCAGGGGATTCGGCGGACGCTAGTCGAGGATGGGGTATTGGTTTCTGTGGCTAGGCGGTTGAGGTCGGTTTCGCCTGCTGTGATCTGGGCTGGGGGAACTACCGACACCGAGGTGGAAGTTGAAGCGTTGGGGAGGGCGCTGGGGGGCATTGCGAAAGGGCAGATGGCTATGCCAGGCGGCTGGGTAGATTGGACAGGGGAGTTAGACGATGAAGGGGAGATATCGAGCGAAGAACAGCGAGCAGCGGTGTGGGAGCATTGGGTGCGGTTTGTTTTGTCTCTTGCCGGGGACGGGGAAGAGAAAGGAGCAGGACTGGAACAAGACATCGGACTGGACCACCCCGTCGTGGCTGCGCTATTGGCCGTGTACACCCCCGCGCGGTATCCCATCCGTCGGATGAGGGTGCTGCTGATGCTGTTGAATGCCGCGCTGGGGGATATCACCCGCGCGAGGGAGGTTCTCGGTTTATTAGGCGACGATGCTCTCGACATATCAACCCCAGGAAAAAAGCCAGCAAAACCCCTCGGCCAAGACACCTCCCTAGCTCCCTACCTCCCGCACTTCCAAGCGCTCTCCACCGCTCTCACCTCCGCCGTAGACGCCTACCACAACAGCGCCGCTCTCGACCAGGCCGTATCCATCTGGAAGGGCCTAGTCGCTTCAGCAAACCACAACAAAACAGCCCTTGAACGACTCATCGACGATATCCCGGGTTTACTAGCCTACCTCGAGTCAGCAGCGGATTTCTTGCGCGTGCAGGGCCGACATGCGGCAAGGGCCGGGGTGCTGGAGCTGGTGGGGGATCTTACGGGGATGATGGGGGTTGTTGTGCAGGGGAGAGGGGAACAGGAGGTGCAGGCTGATTTGGCGCTGCAGTATACACTTTTGGGTCAGGCGGAGAGGGCGGAGGGGGTGTTTCGGCGGGTGGAGGAGGGCTTGTTGGTGCTTGGGAATGGAGCCGACAAAAATGCAATGTCAGGGGAAGTACGCGCCGGGTTCCATCTGGCGTTTGCTGAGCACTGTATCCTACTCGGCCAGGCGAGACAGGCGGAGGAGCATCTCCAGCGGGCGCAGCAGGCGTTTGTAGATGACGTTGGGAAGTCTGATGCGGCTGAGCGAGTGCCGAAACATGTTCGGGCTGAACGACGCCGGATGGTGTCCCATGCAGGGTATCTGTACTCGCTGCTGGCGCTTGAGCGCGGGGATTCGCATCATGCGCTGGCGTATGCGCGGGATAGTGTAAGGGGGCTGTTTCAGGCTTGGACGAAGCTTGAGTCTGGTTTCACGTCCAAACCCAAGATCATCGAGGAACACAGTCGTCCAGCAGACGACAACCAAACCATCGATTTTTCCTCCCTCCAACCCGCCACAAATAACGAACCAGACTCCACCCCCCTCCTCTGGCGCCTCTTCCCCCCCCTCTACCGCGCCGTCCTCCGTCTCTCCGCCCTGTACGCGCACCTAGGCATGTTCCAGGAGACCATGTACTATGCCGAACAGGCCCGCAAGATGGCCGACGCCGTGCGGTCGGATGTGTATCGCGCCGAGTGTGCGGTGTGGATGGCGGGGTTGTTGTGGCGGGCTGGCGAGGGGGAGAGGGATCGTGCTGGGGGGTTGGTTAGGGAGGCTGTGGGGTTGTTGGGGCTTTCTGGGGGTGAATCTGGGGATGGGGGTGGCTTGGGTGAGGATGGGGGGAAAGGGAAAGGGGGGTATGTGACGGCTGCGTTGGCGTGTCGCGTGGGGGAGATGTATTTGCGGCAAGGGGATGTTGAAGGCGCGAGGGCGGTGTTGGAGCGGGCTGAGGGGATGGTTGAGGGATTGGCTGGCACGCAGGACGAGGACGAGGTCCAGACTAAGATGGCAAAGCTTGCTATTTCGGAACAACAGCAGCAGCAGACGAAGAAGCCGGTCAAACGAAAGACGGTCAAGACTCCGGCTAGAGCGGGAAAGACTGCGGTTAGGAAAACGGCCAAGGCAACAGCCAAGACAGCAACCACAACAGCAACAGCTCAAGCTCCAGCTCCCGTTGCGACACCGACACAAGAGACGACCACACAAGCAAACACGCAACTCGCCCAACTCCGCGCGTCGATCCTCGTGCAAAAAGCCGTGTCCATGCTCCGCCAGCACGACTGGGCCGCCGCCCAAGACGCTCTGACTGCTGCTGCTGCTGTTTCTATAGGGACTACGGCAACAGCCACCGTCTCGACGTCGGATGTCCTCCCTGCGGTCGCCATGGCGTCGTGTCTGCTGGGCATGAGCATGGAACAGATGGCCGAGGACCCGGTGTTTTCTGTTATCCAGGATTCGACTATTTCCTTTCCGGCCGTGGGTGATGTCGGCGAATCAGGGTTGATAGGATCCCCAGGGACGCCAGGGACAGTGGTCAGGGGAAGGGGTGGACCAGGGTTAGGGTCTGCAGCAGGGACACGACTAGTCTCGGGGGCCAAGAAACCAGGGTTAGGGTCGCAGTACGTCGACCACCTGCGCGAAGCCCACGAGTACCTCCTCGACGCCCACGCCGTGGCCGCCCTGCGCGGGGACGCCAGTCTGGTGCACCGCATCTCGGGCATGCTGCAGAATGTCGGGTTGTTCCTTGCCGCCACGTCGGGCAAGACCAGGCCGGGCAAGACGATTACCGAAGCGGAATCCCATCCCAGCAGCGCGCAGACCTCGTACTCTGTCGAGCTGGCGCGCAACTTAACCTGGCGTCGGGAACGCCGGGCCTTAGCACAGGAGAAGAACACCAATAGCAGTTCATCTTCCAGCGATACCTGGCCATCAACCCTCCTCCCCTCTACAACAGGAGCAGGTGGCCCCCGCCGTTCCAGTCTCGGCTTTACCCTAGACCTCCACCGCATCCAGCGGGATTACATCGACCTAGTCCCCTCCAGCTGGAACGTCCTGTCCCTCTCCCTCTCCCTCGGCGAAAACGACACCCACGACCTGTGCATCACCAAGTTCCAAGCCGGGCAAACCCCTTTTGTTCTACGTCTGCCGCTGGAACGTGCTTCCTCCCGCGACGCGGACAGCGATGTCTTTGATTTTGTGCAGGGCAGGGCGGAGCTGCTGGAGATTATCGGGGGGATTAATCGGACTTGTCATGAGGCTAAGGGGCCTGTCTCCTTTAGTTCCTCTGCCCCTACCAGCCAAGGGGGAGAGAAAAACGGAGCAGACGCCCGCGCAGCATGGTGGGCCGAACGCGAAGCCCTCGATACACGTCTGGGCGCCCTGCTAGAAAATATCGAGCAGATCTGGCTGGGGGGGTTCCGCGGGATCTTTTCGCAGCACGCACGGCGGGCAAGGCACTTGGCAAGGTTCCAGCGGGATTTTGTGGCTGTTTTGGATCAGTATCTCCCTTCGCGTCGGCAGGTGGGGAGGGGGAAGAAGGCTGCTTCTGCTTCTTCCTCTTCTGCTTCCGGAGGGTCAGGGTCAAGGGGGGGAGAGACGAAGAAAGCGACGCTAGATCCCAACGTACTGGAGCTGTTCATCGGATTAGGCGATGCGTCGCGGCCGGGGTGTGACTTTGACGAGGAGTTGACCGATTTGTTGTATTTTGTGGTGGATATCCTGCAGTTTCACGGGGAAAGGAATGCGTATGATGAGATTGCGTTTGATGGGATGGCTGTTGCGACGATGGATGCGTTGAGGGCGTATTGGGCGGGGGTGGGTGATGATGAACGTCACGAGGGGAGTGATGAGGATGAGAAAGAGGGGGGAGATGAGGGGGGGAAAGGAGGAGATGGGAAGACGACGCATACGATACTTTTGCTGGACAAGGCGCTGCACGTGTTTCCGTGGGAATCACTGCCGTGTATGCGGGGCTTGGCTGTCTCGCGTTTGCCTTCGCTTGCGTGTTTGCGGAGGTTGCTGCTTGATCGGCGGGAGGCTGGTGGTCTCAACAACTCTAATAACAACAAGAACGGCAGCACGAAGAAGCCTAGGGAGAAACAAAGACCCGGCCATTACATCTCCCCCAGCGAAGGCGGCACCTACATCCTCAATCCCTCCGGCGACCTGACCTCCACCCAAGCCACCTTTGCCCAGCCCCTCGCCAGTCTCTCCTCTTCCTCCCAATCTACCACCACCTCTTCCCCAACAGACCCCCCCCCAGCACCCTGGACCTCCATCCTCACCCGCCCCCCCACAGAACCCGAATTCGCCCTCGCCCTCACGTCCTCCCCCCTCCTCCTCTACTTCGGCCACGGCTCCGGGGCTCAATACATCCGCGGCCGCACCATCCGGCGTCTCGACCCGCGCTGTCGCGCCACAGTGTTGCTCATGGGTTGTTCGTCTGCCGCGTTATCAGACAACGGCGAGTTTGAGCCTGCGGGACCGGTGTGGAATTATTTGATGGCGGGGTGTCCTGCTGTTGTGGGGACGCTGTGGGATGTGACGGATCGGGATGTGGATCGGTGGGGGGGGGGGGTCGTGGGGGATTTAGCCGAGGGGGACTTTTGGGAAGGGGGATGATGGGAAGAGAGGGGGGAAGAAGGGAGATAAGGGGAAGGGGAAGGAGACAAAAGAAGAGTATGGACGGGCGAGTTTGGTGGAGGCGGTGGCTACGGCTAGGGGGAGGTGTCGGTTTCGGTTTGTGACGGCTGCGGCGGCCGTGGTGTATGGGATTCCGGTGTATGTTGAGCGGGGGTAATTGTTTATTCGGTGTTGGTTGATTTACTCGGCTGTGTTGAGTTGGTTGATGAGTGATGGGTGATGGTGTTTATGGTTGATGGTGCTTGGGGGTGTTCAGTTTGGGGTTTGTTTGTCTGGGAATGACCTGACTAGCCTTGTACTTCTGTTCTCAATTTTTACTCCCTTTTTACTTGATTTTCTGTCTAGCTGTCCGCGTTTGGTGTTGGTTAGACTCCATGGTCTATTTTGTTGCATGGCCGTCTGGTACGATACGTACTGCCCGCATTGAGGATGTAGAAGGGGCTTGTTTCCGCGTTGGATAGAGTAACGAGCATGATAGAGACTAGTCAACTGTCAACTGTCAACTGAGGCATACATACACAGCTGATTCAACCGATGCATACATCCACAGGTTGATATCAACCTGAACTGATACAGACTCGATTACAGAGGGCCTTGTATTGATGTGGCTGTGCTGAGACATACATACGGTACAGTACGGCGGGTAGTACAAGATGGTAATCTATTACACTCTCTATCCTTAGACTAAATCCCTAGACTAAATCCTTACTAAATCCTCGACACAACCCACCCCCCCTCGACCACCGCCGAAATCAACCGATTCGCAATCGCCGTCTGCGGCGGCAACCTCAACGCCCCCTCCCTGTGTCCCTCCGGCGCGCCCTCGCCCAAATTACTCGTCCCCTTGGCCAACGCCTCGCGTACCTCCTCCAGCGCAAACCACTTCGCACTCTCCAGTTCCGCATCATGCCCCAGATAAATCTCCTCCGCCTTCGGATCCTCCCCCGCCGCAACCGCCTGCCCAATCGCCCCAATCATCAAACTCGCCGGAAACGGCCACGGCTGCGAACTATGCAGCACCACGCGCCCGACACGCACCCCGCTCTCCTCCCACACCTCGCGCCGCACGGCTTCCTCGATCGATTCCCCGGGCTCTTGGAACCCGGCTAAGGTGCTGTACCAGTCGGCGGGCCAGCGGCGTTGGCGGCCGAGGAGGACACGCGTGCCGTCCGCGCTGAGGATGGCCATGATCACGGTGGGGTCGGTGCGCGGGAAGCTGTGGTTGGAGACGACGCCGCGGGTGGCGCAGGGGAGGCGGGGGCCGGCGGACGGGTTGGTGTCGGTCGGCGGACAGATGCGCTTGGTGCCGGCGTGGACGGAGAGGGTGCGTTGGCCGCATTGGGCGCAGAAGGGGGTGCGCGTGTTCCAGTCGATTAGCGCGCGGGCTTGGCCGTAGAGGGCGGCTTTCGTTCGTTAGCTTAAACATCCTTGTGAATGGATATCAAGGAGAGAAAGAAACAGAAAGAGAGAAACTCACCATGACCAGCAACCAACCCCATATGCCTCGGCGAGTTATCATGAAACACATGTCCCCTCCCCTTAACCTTATCAATCAACTCCTCCGCAGCACCCGCCTTCCCCCCGCGCGGCGTAACATCCACCGCAAAATACGGCGCCCCCCTAAAATCTCTATACCCAAACCCCTCTTCCTCCTTCCCATCCTTCCCATCCTTCCCATCCCGTTCCTCCACCAACCCCCCCTCATCAACCCCCAAAAACACCACCCCCACCTCCTCCCTCCCGGAATCAAACCCCTTCACCATCTCCTCCTCACTCTTTCCAAACCTCTCCTCCGCCGTGCCCACGAGGGGTACTACATCCGCGACGCGCGCAAACGCCAGCGTGGCCCGGTCATCGTCGGCACGTACCAGCGGGGCGAGGTTGTTGAGGAGGAGGAAACGGGTGGAGGGGTGGGCGAAGGCGGAGCGCAAAAAGACGGGGTCGGCGCGCAGGAAGGAGAGTCGGTTGAGGGGACTACCGGAGAAGTAGTTGGCGGTTTCGCGGCCGTATTTTTGGGTGAGGTGGGAGGTGTCGGGGGGGAGGAGGGGGAGCGAGGGGATGGGCATTTTCTTGAGTTTATGGATGAGGAAATTAAAATAAGAGTATGAAAATATAGTTCAGGAGGTTTAGGTTGTGGTGATATGAGAGTTGTGGTGAAGGTGAAAAAGATGAGATGAGATGACAGAGTGTTTTAGGATATCCCGAGTGGGTCCGTTATATGGACCCGAAATGGACCCGAATCCGGGTGATTTGAAAGCAGGTCTAACCCGGAGAATACTATGGACAGTACAGGACAATCAAGACCACCTGCACGCCATTCCGGCATGGGATTATGGTGGGGGCGGGGCAATCGCGCCTTCCGAAGTTGTCGGCCTCCACCGGACTTGATGAGTAATTGACGCTTATCCCCGGTTCATGAGATCAAGCAGTACCCGAGTTGAGAAGTGGTTCCAATTCAACGGAAAGCTACAGGGAACATAATCAATCCGCCGGCTCTCGAGAGCTATCTCGAAAGACTCAAAGACCAGTAGGTGGGTATGTATCCATAGTAAAAACTCAGCACTCTGCTAGAACGTTAGTTATTCCGTCGTTGAGAAGGAATTTAGCAAGTCATAAATGGGAAGTTGCGACTTGATAGTGGGGCAGGAATATTCAAGAACCAGGGTTAGGGTCGCAATTTGATGAATTCCAGCCAGCTCACAGCTTGACCTCAGCTTAACAACAACCAGCAATCAACAATCATCGACAATTGTACCACCACCACGACAGAGCCCACGGCCCGACAAACCACGATCGCTTCGAACTCCAATGACTACAGCAGCCGATAGTTAAGCGCGGCATTCGCTGGGGGGTTAATACATTACGAAATCGGGAAATAATAAGGAAAAAGGGAATAAGCCCCCGAAAAACAACACAACAGAAACAACAACCATGTCCCAACTCCCCCCAAACCTCGACCTCCTCTCCCTCCCCTCCTCCGCCGCCCTCTTCTCCTCCGACCCAACCCTGCACCACTCCCCGCATCCCACGCCCAATCCCAATTCCACTCCCAAATCCACCCCCAATCCCTCCGACCACCCTCCCAAAAGCACCAGTAAATCCCCCATCCCCAACTACACCCTCCCCCAAATCCGGCTCATCCACACCGCCCTCCTCTCCCACTCCGCCTCCGCCGATTCCCGTCTCCGCACCCGCGTCGGCGGGGCCTATCGCGAATTGCTGGGTACAGCAGACACCATCGTCTCCATGCGACGCGAAGCAGAAGGACTAGTGGTTGCGCTGGGCGGGATGGGGGCACGCTGTGGGAGTGGGGTTGTGAGGGGGAAGGTGGGGAGTTTGAGGGGGTTTGTTAAGGGGGATGGTGGGGGGGGAGAGTTATGATGCTGGGAGGGGGAATTATCATGAGCGTGGGGGTTATAAACGGGGCAGTGGGGGAAGAGGGAAGGAGATGGGACAGGTGGCGAGGGAGAGGTTGTTGGAGGGGGTTTTGTTGGGGCTGGGGGTTGTTTTGAGGAGGAGCGGGGGTGGGAATGAGACCGAAGGGAAGAGGAGTAGAGGCGATAGACTGGTGCTGGCGGCGAGGTTGTATGTTTTGGGGAGGTTGTTGGTTAAGAGTTTGGCTGATACCAGCGGCACAAACACAAGCGAGAAGGACAGCAACAACAGCAGCAGCAGGGTGGACACGGCGAGGAAAGCCCTCGAGGGCGTGCACCGCGCACGACTGGCCCGGAGTATCGACGCCGTGCTGCGCAGCGGCAGCGACAAGGCCATGAAGCGCGGGGATGTGCTCCGTGCGCTGGAGGCGTACAGTCTAGCGACAAGCTCGGGCGCGAGAGACGTGTTGGCGCATTTGCTAAGGGTGCGGGCTAAGGCGATTTCGGATGCGCTTGAGTTGGAACAGGAGGAGGAGTCTGATGATGAAGACACCAAAACACCGACAAAAACAGCAACACACCCCCGCAACCCAGACGACGTCCTCCGCGCCCTGGGCCTATACACCAAGACCCTCCTCGACGTGCAAACCCTCGTCCCCTCCCGGCTCGCCGACGCCCTACTCGCGCTCAAACAGACCCGGCTGCTGGACGACGCAGCACTGCGGCAAATGGAAGGTCTGCGACTGGACATCTACCAGCGATGGTGCGGCGACGCAATCCAGTTCTTCACGCCCTTCCTGCGACACGACGACCTCTCGGGCGAGCAGGCACGCGCCATGTTGTTCGGCTGGGCCAAGGGCAGCGAAGTGGTGCTGCAGGGGCTGGAAAAGACGCTGGCGAGCGGTGGTGCGATGGCTGAGTTTGCGGGGCTGGTTGACTTGCGCACGCGTGTGTTAAGGTTGTGGATTGCTGAGGGGGGCCGTGTGCACGGGGTTGATTCGTCTGAGATGTTGGACCGGCTGCGGGATGCGTTTAATAAACATATGCGCCGGGTGCTGGAGGCCAAGGTGGCTAAGTTGCGTCTTGTCGGCTCTGAAGTGGCTGCTGCGCTGGACGCGGGGGTTACCGATCGCCATCGTGCCCTGTGGGATGTCTCTTCTCTTGACACGGATTTATCTCAGACCGTAAACACAACTGGAACCGGTTCCAGCTCCGGCTCAGGTTCAGCGGCAGCGCTATTCACACAAGACGTCATTGCCCGTCTCCACGGCCGCAGCGACGCCGCATCCAAAGCCATCGCCCGGTACCGCGCCTGGTTCCACGTCATCGACGACGTCAGCCGCGTAGTCGAGCAGCTGCGCCGACAACGCTGGGACGATGCCGATGCCGACGGCGACGAGATCGAAGACGAGACGACCATCGAGGCACGCCAGCGCTTACTCTCGCGCGACGATCCCCAGGCGCTGAGCGCGTATTTGGATCGGCTATTGCGGGATGCGTTTAAGCGATTGGACGAGCAGTTGACCGCGTTGTGGCGGGCGCATGCTGCTACTGGGGACGACGACAATAGCAAAACCAGGAAGAACGGCCCCATCGCCATGTACCTCCTCCGCATCCTGCGCGACATCCGCGCTCGCCTGCCCGACTTCGATTCCAACTCCTCCTCCACCTCCCCCTCTTCCTCCTCCCCTCCCACCTTCGGCCTAACCGCCGTGCCCTCCCTCCACGCCGCCCTCGCCGACACCGTCCTCGACAAACCCCTCACCGAATTCATCCATGTCGCCCTAGCACGAACAACAGTCGTCGGGCGCGCGCTCTGGGAGGCGCCACACACGAAAACGGGAACGGGAACGGGAAGTGAAGGAGAGAAAGGGGAGAACCAAAAGACAAGGGAACTGCCGACGTCGCCTTCGCCGGGGGTGTTTCGGTTTTTGAGGGACTTGGTGAGGGAGATGGGGGATGCGGGGGGGGATTTGTGGAGTCCGAGTGCGGTGGGGGTGTTGAGGGGACGGTTGGGGGGGAGGGTGGCGGGGGGGTGGATGGGGGTTTTGGGGGAACTCAATGAGAAGGAGAAAGAGAGGAATGTGGGAGAGAAGGAGGATGAGGATGAGAAGGAGGAAGAGAGTGAGGCGGAAAGTGAGAAGAAGGGTGAAAAGGACACCAAAGACGACGACGACGACGACGAGACCAACCCCGAAAAACCAGGCCAAGAGAACACCCCTTCCACAGAAAAGACAGAAAAGGAGACCAAAGACGCGGAACCGGAGACCAAAACCCAAACCCAAAAACAAAACCAAGACCTGCTGGTACAATGGCTGCTAGACATCCACTACCTCCGCCTCTTCCTCGGCCCCGAAGAGACCACCCAGAACCTCGAGCAGGCTGTCTTCCAAGCGTCTCAGCTCGATGCCGCGTCTCGAACAAGGCTGGCCAAGGCTGCGCGGGACTATTTCAAGCGGACTAGTTTGTTGTTTGCGTTGCTTGTTTAAGGGAATGGTATTTACGTATTGTACAGCACAGGCCCAGGTATCAATGTAAATAACAGCCATTGATACAAACACAACCCCCCGTAAAAGATTGCCTACAACTTGTGCCTCTTCTTCCCCGACGCAATAGCCGCAAACTGCTCCTGCGGCACCCCCGTAACAAACCGATCCAACCCCGCAAACACCTCGGCCACATTCTGCGCCTCCATCACGTCCAACTCCGGCCGCCGAATCAACTTCTTGATCCCCAACAAACTCTCACCCACCAAATGCTCCCCCAACCGCTCATCAATCTCCTTTAACACCGCCGTCCGGAACTTGTCTTCCTGGGGCCCAGCACTGGTACTAGAACTACCAACATCAAAAACCTTATTAACAAACCCCGCCTGCACCAACTCCCCACACGTAATCCGCCTACTCATAATCAACGCCTCATTCGCTCTAGCCACACCCAACCTCTGCACCAGCGCGCGGGACGCCGCGCCCTCGGCTACCAGGCCTAGCGAACTGAAGGGGGTGAGCAAAAAAGTGTGGGGAGCGGCGTAGATGAAATCGGACATGGCGATTAGGGCGGCGGTGAGGCCGACTACGGGGCCGTTGAGGGCGGAGATGAGGATTTTCGGGTGGGTGTAGAAGGCCCGGGCGGTGTTGAGGTTGAGGGCGGCGAAGTTTTGGAGCCAGAAGTGGTGGGAATCTGGGGAGGAGTCTGTGGTGGTGGTGGGGCGTTGGGCGGTTACGTCGGCGCCGCTGGGAGAGTTATCAGTTTAGATTTCGTGATGTGGATTGGGGGATGGGCGACGGGACAGATGGGATGAGGAGTGGGATGAGATGAACAGCTCATCGGATGAATTAAAAGAGATGAGTGGTCATGGCCAAGAGACAAAAAACCTACGCAGAAAAATACCGCCCCTTGCCAATCAACAACGTGATAAACACCTCGTCGTGCGTCGCAATCTCCTGCAGCGACCGCGCAATGGCATAGTAGCCGCTCTGGTCCAGCGCGCCCAGCTTCTTTTCGTTGTCAATTGTGATGATGGCCAGTCGGCCCTGGTATTCGAGTTTGATGGGGGCCGCCATGATAATTCCCGGTTATGTCTAAATGGTTGGATCTTTGAGAAACCGGATGTTGTACGGTGTAGACCGCCGGGAGATGTTCAACACAAAAATTGGTGTGAGATGTCAATGAGATTCGGCTGACGCGAGGTTATGGAATGAATGTCGGCCGGCCAATCCGACGGTTTCAGAGCATGGATGACAGGCTTCAGAACCTCGGCTCCCCGCAAACCACTGACAGGGATTCCCCGCAGTGGCTTGGCGTGTCCCCAACTTGTTTCTCGAAGGGATATGAATCGTTGTGGAATGAAACAGCAGGTACGAAGTACAATGTAAGGCTGAACATTTTCTACGGGATACAATTTGTTCAGTCGGCCTGGCTCAAATGAGGATTATAACGGCGTGGATGCAGCTATGGATGGTCGCATAAGAGGGCTTGTCAATGGGTGACCTAGTAAAAACTCAACGTTAATTCCGTCTCTGCACAAGCCCATTGAATTCTACTCGAGCCATCAAACAAGGAGTAACGGTTCGGTCGTGCCTGCCTTCAGTATCAAAGATAGATTACTGATCGAGCTGATAAGGCCTGAGCATACAATCTACCGGTCGTTGTTTCCAAGTATGCAACGCGCTTCTCTCTCACACCGCCTCTCATTGGCCAATAGACGTCGCTCAATGTTGCGACAAGGGCGTGATGGAGCCGTTCCTTTCGTCTCAATGGCTAAGTTTGTTATCTCCGAAGTATCCCCAAGCAAGCCAAGATGGACGTTGGATGAGAGTGGGGTTTGACCAAGTTTAAAGGACTTGACTTTTTCTTTACTTCCAAAGCTTCAACCACTTCGTTACTATCCATTCAATTAGATAGTACTCGGCCACAAACACCACCATGGGCCCCGACGTGTCGACCACCACGGCCATGGAGCTGCACGCCTTTGAGGGCAGCCCACGCAGTATTGGCAGTGAACATCAACCCGAAGAAGGCCGTGAGCCCGAACACCAGATGGCCAGTCTGCCCCAGGTGGACCGCGGCAAGGACGCCTACCTCTTTCTCTTTGCCTGCTTCATGGTCGAGGCTCTTGTCTGGGGTATTTCTCCCTCTCTTTTTTCCGTGTACAATTCCATTGACCAAGACTTTAGGCTTCACCTACTGCTTCGGCGTCTTCCAAGACTACTACTCCACCCATGAGCCCTTCACCAACGCCGCCAACCTGCCCACCATCGGCACCTGCGCCATGGGCATAATGTACCTGTCCGCGCCCCTGGTCATGTACGCCCACCGGCTCTTCCCGCGCGCCGCCCGCCACAGCACCCTCCTCGGCCTCCTCATCATGTGCCTATCCCTAGCCCTCTCCTCCTTCGCCACCACCGTGCCCCAACTCATCGCGACCCAAGGCGTCCTCTACGCCGTCGGCGGCGGCATCGCCTACGCCTCCTGCATCGTCTACCTCGAGCAATGGTTCGTCGCCCGCCGCGGCCTCGCCTTCGGCATCATGTGGTCTGCCACCGGCCTCTCCGGCGTCATCCTCCCCCTCATCCTCCAACGCATGCTCACCGCCTGGGGTCACCCCACCACCCTCCGCGTCTTCGCCTGCGTCGTCTTCGCCCTAACCGCCCCGCTCAGCTTCTTCCTCCGTCCCCGCCTGCCCATCACCCCGGCCAACGCCACCACCCGCGCCCGCCCGTACTCCCTCCGCTTCGTCATGGAACGCCGCTTCGCCCTCTACCAGCTCTTCAACGTCGCCGAGGCCGTCGGGTTCTTCCTCCCGGGTATCTATCTCCCTTCCTACGCCCGCGTCGTCCTCGGCGCCAGCCCCGTCCCCTCCGTCATCGCCATGATGCTCGTCAACGTTGCCAGCTGGGCTGGATGTGTGGCCATGGGCTGGCTGATCGACCGGTTGGACGTCACGCGGTGCTTCATGGTATCTGCTCTGGGCGCCGGTGCCGGTACGCTCCTGCTGTGGGGTCTATCAGTCAACCTACCCGTGCTCTACCTCTTCTGTATTGTGTACGGGTTCTTCGCCGGGTCATACACCTCCGCCTGGCCGGGAGTCATGAACGATATCACCCAGCAAGGGCGGCGCGGTGAAACGGTGGAATTATCAGAAGACAACAACGAGGACAGCCCGAGGGACGATCACGGCAAACTGGCCGACCCAAGCATGGTCTTCGCCTTTTTGGCCATGGGCCGCGGCGTCGGCAATGTCATCTCGGGCCCGCTCAGCGAAGTGTTGGTCAAGGGCATGCCGTGGCAGGGCGAAGCGTTTGGGGGGTATGGGAGTGGGTATGGCGGGTTGATTGCGTTTACGGGGGCTACGGCGTTGTGCGGTGGGGGGAGTTATATATGGAAGCGGTTGGGGTGGTTGTAGATGCTTTATATAAGGTCTTTGAGTAAGTAGGTATGGCTATCACGGACTGTTGGAAAAGCGAGATGATACGTCTCAGGATCGTAGACTGTTATTATTACTAGAGTTGAGAAAAAAGACCGCTGCGAGCTAGAGTACATAACTACATAAACTTCTTATTTGCCTCTCCAGTCCCCAACGCCATTCCCAGACCGTTTTGTTTTGTCCGCCAACCCCAAAGTGTCCAACAAAATATGCAGAATACAATCCAAACATTGTTCATCATCCCTGAGTATCCCCCAGGATTAATACCCACCTTTAATACCCCGTGTGATTCCGCTGTAACAACGGCCGCGGGTCCCACCTCTCCTCTGCCCCATGTTCTTCGTCTTCCCCCTCTTCCAATCCCCGGGTTACAACCCCATTCAACCCTTCTTCTTCATCACTGCTGCTGCTACTAGCACTCTCTTCATCCTCTTCTTCTTCCTCCCCTTTGCTGTACACAAAAAACTGCACAAAAATGCTCATATCCAACAGCAGCGTGCCCGCGCTGCCCGCCAACCACGACAGATTAACCAGGAGGTACTGCCAGAATATCTGGCCCGCCTCGCCGGGCTGGCATCCGTCTTTGCCGTGCCCGCTGTGCCCACCGTGCCCCCCATGTCCGCCCTTCCCGCCTCGCCCGCAGTCCGGCTCATACGCCAGGATGGAGAGGACATACGTCAAATTACCGAGGCAGGCAAACAAAAAGAACAGCACCGACACGCCCTCAGTCGACTTGCGCCGCCAATTGAGCAGCAGCTGCGGCAGCCGCGAGCCGAGGTAGAACACGGCGCAGAGCCAGCCGAAGACCTGGCCGAGCGTGTTGAACTCGAGCGGGTCTTGTTGTTGGCCGTGCTTCTTCTTATGGTCGTTATCGCCGTTGTACCGTCGGCTCAACCACCAGCCTGCGACGCCCGCGGCGCAGACCATGAGGATGGCGAAGCTGTTGAATGCGGCTGCTTGGGCGAACGTTGTCCTGGGCGTGAGGCGGCGCGATGAAGTTGTGTCTGTTTCGTCTTCTGCACTGCTGCCGCTCACGAATGGGACCGCGGGCGAGAGGTGGGTCCAGGAGCCCCGGCGTTCGTCGTGTTCGTTGATGCTGTGGTAGTATGGGGACCGCTCTGCATGCTCATGCGTGCCGTTGGCGCTGTGGCTGGCGCCGTTGCTGTTGCCATTGGTGTCACCGTTACCGTTACCGTTGAGAAGCGCGGTCCGTTCGTCGGCCCCGTTCACGCCGTTCCCGTTCCCATTCCCGCTCCGCTTCGTTTTCGAAGTTGTTGGCGCTGGCGGGGTCGGCACATCGTCTCGGAGGGTGAATCCGCGGTAGTAGAAACACTGGGCCATCAGCACAATGTCGGCGATGGTGTAGTAGATAGCCAGGATGAGCATGGTCGGCAGCACGCCCTGCAGCACGGCGCCCAGGATGTTGAAGACATCGCCTAGCAACCAGACAACGACGAACTGGATGGACAGGCCTTCGGCGCTGCGGCGGCGAAAGTTTTCGATGATTTGGGGGGAGAAAACAACGACCCAGCAGGCGATGGATATGGAGCTGTGGGGGCAGGAATTAGCAATTCATCTCGAGAAAACTGTGCGGGTGTTGGAGGTAAAAGAGGTTAGTGGACTTAAGTAAGTCGCGTGCATACCCGCAGATTCCCGAGATGGCCTCGACATCGAGGTTCAAAGGCCCGGTCGGCGGCGCCATTGAGGATATGTGATGATCGGACGATGCCAAGTATCAATCCCAAGGAGAAAGGAAACGAAGAGGAGAATAGCAACGAGGGGAGACAAAAAGGGATCTGCAGGGACAAGGAAAAACTGAAAAGGGGTAAGCTTAAACCCAGCAATGGGGTATAATTATGGGTTGGTCTCTCCTTGACGTTGCATAACCCAAGCAACAGAAGTCCCCTGGATCCAATTGGCAATTTTCAGCTGGTGGGAGAGAGGTTGGAGGAGGAAAACTCGTAAGGTAGCCTAGGATGAGACGATGAACGCGCTTTCCCCAGCATGCACCGAAGGTTCTTTTTGTGGGGTGACCCCAGACGACTGGTGGGGACCTGTCGAATGACGTAATTAACATCCATGGGATGAAATTTTTGAAACGGAAATCTCATGCGGGTGCAGTCTATGGTGCCCGTGAGAATGAGTTCCGATAATCTTAGCCGGAATAGAGGCCTGGATCACATAAAACTCCAGAATCTGTACCTGCAGTCTGCGGTTTCCGATCAACTCTCCTCACAAACATGTTAGCTGTCGGTCCTCGGCAGGACTGGCCAGCCCTGCGGTCCAACGACAGAGCCAATTGGAGCTGGAAACAACAGAAACGGTTGACAGATTCGACGCACTCGAGCACCAAAAGTTCTCAAGAATACAATCCTATTTTGTTTCGTCTATTTACTATGTAGTCTGCTCAGGTCGCTCACAGCACTTGCAATCAACAACAGCTGTGTACTATGTAGGGATTTCGTAATTACACGTACTTTCCCGAGACCATGTCTGTGATCAGTTTCCCGATCCCCGCCTTTGCCCCACTCTAACCGAGCTCCTTATCGATAGCAAGCAGCAGTTCGTTCGGGTGCCCGCACCTTAACTCCGCTGTCAACTGCTGGTTTCCATCAGCTCCGGGCATTCTTTTTTCTTCCTACAAAACCTCAAACTCGACATTTTAGCGATTTAATCTAGAATCTCCCCGGCCCCTTCATACCACCTCCCTCCGGCAGAATTCGACGGCACAATCCCGATTTTCGACCCCATCGTAATCCCCTGCAGCTTCCGGCCTCGGCACAGCATTTAGGGAACGGCACCCGAAGCGAGCCCAGCGCAGCAGCTCCAATCACCAATCGCAACCCTTCCACCACACACACAAGAGGCGCCGTCGCCCTGCGGACCTCCCGGTCCAGTCCATGCCTCCGCCGACCTACGAACCATTCGCTCCCGCCCCATCCGCCCAGTCGTCGTCGTCCACCCCGAAACGGAGACCACGCGTCGACTCCGACATCGACTCGACGACCTCCCGCCCCGTCCTCGACCCCCATCCGAAACGTCCCCGCTCCGAACACTACAGCCCATCTTCCCTCTCCGCCGCCTCCGCCGTCACGATGTCCGCTAAGGTCCAAGGCAAGCGCCCCGAGGTCATCGACCTAACAGGGAACAGCGCGGCCGGCCTGGTCGGCTCGGCATCATCCCAGCCGCGCGTGGGTCTCCAGCCACAACTTGGCTCTCGCAAGCTAGTCGTCAAAAACCTCCGTCCCGCATCCCAGACGTCAGCGGGGACGGGCGCCGGTGCGGGTTCGCCCTCCGCTTTGCCGAAGGGCGCTGGGGGGCCCGCCGGGACAAGCGCTTCCCCTGTCGAGACGTACTACACCCGCGTGCATGCTGAGCTGGATGCGGGTCTTGCATCTATCTTTGCTGGGCGCACCACGAACCAGCCTATGGAACGGTTGTACCGCGGCGTTGAGGACATTTGCCGCAAGGGTGATGCTGCTGAGCTGACGGCGCGTCTGCGTTCACAATGTGAAGCGTGGTTGACCGGCCCAGAGATGCTTGGTGGGCTGGGTGGGTTGGGGGAAGCGGCCATTCCTACCATAAGTTCTAGCCCTGCTGGGGGGGAAGGCGACGGGGATGGGTACGCGGTGGGGGATCACTTGTTGAGACAGGTGGTGGCACGATGGAGACGGTGGAACGACGTTATTTTCGTGCTCCGCGGCGTGTTCAGCTACCTAGACCGTGGATATCTGCTTATGCAGTTGGTCGATGGCGGCAGAGGGAGACAGGGGATCAACGAGATCGCCATCATGATATTTCGGAGAGTCCTTTTCGGGCCAGGCAAAGCAACGAGCATCCCGGCACTCGGGAAAACGGTGCTGCAAGCGGTATGTCGGTTGGTGGATTACGCCCGGCATAAGGATGAGCGCGCGGACGGGGTATTGTTGCGGGATGCCATGTCCATGATGAGACTGTCTGGTGTCTACAGCAAGGCCTTCGAGCCCATGTTCTTGGTCCAATCGCACCGGTACTACGAGCAGTTCGCCAGCGAGATGAGCAACGCGTCCGGGCTCAAGGAATACATTGTTGCCGTCACCTCGCTGCTAGAACGAGAGACCGCTAGATGCGACGGTTTCAACTTTGAGAGCACCACCAAGCGGCAACTCCTGGGCGACGCCAACCACGTTCTGATCGAATCGTACTCGGAGAAGCTTCTGGATAGCGGTAGTGTCGCCAGACTGCTCGAGGCCCACGATGTCGAATCGATGAAAGCTCTCTACGAGCTGTTGAAGCTCACCAACCTCCAAAAACGGCTTAAGGGCCCGTGGGAGTCCTACATTCGGGAGACTGGCTCGAAAATTGTGAGCGATACGGAGCGGGGAGACGACATGGTGGTCCGGTTGTTGGAACTGCGCCGCGCTTTAGACGTAATGATCCGGGACGCTTTCGACAAAGACGACGTCTTTTACTACAGCCTGAGGGAGTCGTTTGGCCACTTCATCAACAAGCGACAGAACACCTCGGCTTGGAACACGGGGACCTCCAAGGTTGGCGAGATGATTGCCAAGTACATCGATCTTTTGTTACGCGGCGGGCTCAAGACGCTCCCCAAGTCGCTGCTCTCCGACAGCAAAGACAAAGCGGACGCCGAGATGAGCGGCGTGGCAAGCACCGGAGACGAGGATGCCGAACTCGATCGCCAGCTCGACCACGGCCTCGAGCTCTTCCGCTTTATCGAAGGCAAGGATGTCTTCGAAGCCTTCTACAAGAGGGACCTCGCGCGGCGCCTGCTTATGGGACGTAGCGCAAGCCAAGACGCAGAACGCAGCATGCTAGCCAAGCTCAAGGTCGAGTGCGGTTCTAGTTTCACCCACAACCTAGAGCAGATGTTCAAGGACCAAGAGCTAGCCAGGGAGGAGATGGCGTCTTACAAGGAATGGATGAACGATACCGGGCGCACGGCCGACGGCGTGGACCTCACCGTCAACATCCTCTCCGCCGCAGCGTGGCCGACCTTCCCCGACGTCAAGGTCCTCCTGCCCAAGGAGGTCCTCACGCAAATCAACGTGTTCGATGCGTACTACAAGAACAAGCACACCGGCCGGCGGCTGACCTGGAAACACAACATGGCGCACTGCGCTCTTCGCGCCCAGTTCAACCGCGGCGTCAAAGAGCTTCTGGTCAGCGCACCACAGGCAGCTGTCCTAATGCTCTTCAACGACGTGGAAGAGAAGCCCACCGAAGCGGGCTCGTCTTCCTCCTCCTCCAGTAAAACAGCAGGCATCCTCTCCTACGACCAAATCTCCCAATCCACCGGCCTCACAGGCGGCGAGCTCGACCGCACCCTCCAATCCCTCGCCTGCGGCCGCGCCCGCGTCCTCTCCAAACACCCCAAGGGCCGGGACGTCGCGCCCACCGACACCTTCAGCGTCAACAAGGCGTTTACCGACCCCAAATTCCGCGTCAAGATCAACCAGATACAGATGCGCGAGACGCGCGAGGAGAACCGCGAGACGCACGAGCGCGTGGCGGCGGACCGGCAGTTTGAGACGCAGGCGGCTATTGTGCGGGTTATGAAGAGCCGGAAGACGATGACGCATGTGCAGTTGGTGGATGAGGTGATTAATCAGACCAAGAGTCGGGGGGCGGTGGATGTGGGGGATATTAAGGCGAATATTGAGAAGTGAGTTTTCTTTCTCCTTACGAGTATTTGGCTTTGGGACCCGTTGCTAACATGGACGTGATGCAGGCTTATTGAGAAAGATTACATCGAACGCGAGGGCGGCTCGTATGTATACCTAGCTTGAACCCAACAACAACACAACCTGCAATTCGCGAAGAGATGGACTCTTGTTTTGGTTTGGTTTCTCTGCTTCAGCCCTGTTGTTCGCCCCCGCCTGTCTGAATTGCTGGATTCCACGGGCCTTGCCTACTCAGCGGCTGCTGCAAGGCACGTTATACGGAGGAAGCGTCATTGGTGTCAATGTCTTATTTTTAATGGCAGAGATGTTTGGTAACGTTAGATGAGCCATGCACTGTTACGGATCTAGAGAATGGAACCAGTCTGTGTGTCTGTCTATCCCGTTGAGATCAAATTTCACGCAAACCCAATATCACTCACGCATCTTCAATAATTCTGGACCACCCGTCCGGAGCTCATTCGGGCCAAGCAACATTGTGGCTGACGCAGCCCCTCTCCCTCGTCTCGGGAACAGCCACCGGCCACTGGCCACTGCAGGTGTGGACGAGGTAGTTACTATTCCTGGCCCTGCGAGATACCGTTATTGGTACCTTGCAGAAACGGGCTGGGGTGGTGGGCCGGCCATGCGGGAGCGTGGGTTCTAGCCGCATACGAATAGTCACTGCGCCCCGGTGCTTGTGTCGTACAGGTCGCTCGCTCATGGAAAATGGGAAACGGGAAAAAGCCGGTTGTGTCTGTTGGTGGGCTGGTGTGGAAGGTTGTTGTGGGTGGGTCTATTGCATTAGTTTTGCTCCCTTGTCTTGATTGTGTGGGAGATCCGCCTGTTAGAGAGGAGAGGGCCGGTTTGAGGTCTTGGTGCTCACCAGGCTGAGGGCATATTGTGTTGGCGGGCGGCTTTCATCGGTCCTGTTGATGATGCCCAGGCGTTGGGAGCTCAGCTTCGTCCCAAACGGGTCCCGGTACTCCGTACGTGTCCCAAAATCAACTCATCTTTCGTCAGCCCGTAAATTACCTCTGTAAGAACTTAAGAAGCGACGATACTTCAAGCTGATGAAGCCTATTTTGAAATCAACCCGAGAGCGAAGAACGTCGAACTCGGTAAGAAAGCCCGGTCTAGACCAGCCCCACCAGCTACGGTGGCCGCCAGGGTCGTATTCTGTGATTCCACAAGGGAAAATAATCCGCAGTAGGGCTGCCAATAGCGTTGGAGCAGGTGATGAATTTGGGTAATAAGTGGGGTTATTGAACAAACAGAGAAGAAAAAAAACAGCGAAGAACCATGGAAGTCTGCGAACGCTATTAACGGAAGCCGACAGTGGACTGCATCGGCGCATCCTCGTCGATCCGGCTGCTTCCTGAGAACTCCACGTGGGAAGCGCTGATCAGGTTGCGAAGTTGTTCTTTTCGTCGACAAACGAAGGTTGAAATGCAGAAGGCATGATTCACAACAGGCCGCTACTTAGCCGTGGAAAAGAGAGAAGAGAAGAAGGAAGGGAGCTGGAGGAGACGAACAGAGATATCACCCACCCACTCCCTAGCTCTTTCCATTCATAGCACCCACCGCTCAACCTTTTTTCCCGACTAGTGGTTTGCGGAAACCACGACCGAATGAAATTTCCGATCCAATTTCTCTACACTTCCATCTACCCCTCCATTAGCATTAACGTTAACATTTTTTCCCATCCCACTCTTGGCTTCAATCACCGGCCGCCGAAGATCATCTGTACCTGCGTCATCTACACTCCAGCGGTCCGCCAGGCCATCAATCCCCCAGGCCCGCCGTCCGATGATTAATTACGTTTCATCTCAACGTTATTTATTTTTCTACCTCAGATTTTATTGCCTGACCGGCCGTCTGTCTTCCAACTCGTGTTGGCTGACGAACCGGCGTTCAGCCCATTCGGCACAGCACCCCGCAGGGCCGCAGACGCCGCGGGCCATCACATCACTCACTCTAGACGTGTCTCAGAAATGGTGCTGCAGATGATGAAGCCGTTCCTTGTCGGAGTCAGTCCGTCGTCAATCATCACAGCTCGGCGTGCGTCGTCGTCGAGGGACAAATATGGAATTGAGATCTGGACACCCAGACCCCGGCTCCAGCCCATCGGCTCATCTGGATCAATAACGTTACTTCGTCATGGACAAATATCCGCACGCGACCAATAATCAGCAATGGCCCCCGCCGGCGGGCGGTGGATCGGGCACGCAACACTCCCGAAGTCCTGCGTGTGGTGGGCAATGTGCAGCGTCTGCGACTCTGTGCCGTGACCTGAGCAGGCTCTTGTTGGAGGCGTGTTTGGCGTTTGGCAACATGGAACGATTGGAAAAGAGCAAAGCCTTCCCCAGCCAAGGATTAGCTGCCCCCAACTGCCCGATCCAGTTCAGCCTGCGCCCGAGTTCTCGTCCCCGCGAGTCCAGGGATTGTCCACCCTTGGCCGCATTCAGGTGATCCCATTGGTCGCTTAGCCCACGAACCCCCAGCAGATGGCTGCAGCCGAGCTACCCCCGGCGGCGGGAAGTGCGTCGGGTTGTGCGTCGAGCAGCGACACCCCTGGAGCAGATCGTGGTGTTTGGAACGGTCTCGCCCTTGCTCTGTGCCGCCGATGTTTCTATTTTATCGTTGCGTGTTGCTGTTGCTGCTGCTCTGAGCCCCCGGACGCTCTTTTGCGATCTCTTGTCTTGCGGACGGCCCTGGAATTCGGATCCTCCTTACCTCAGCCCTGAAGCCTCGAACTCGACTCGAAGTTTGGTTCCCAAATCTCACCTGTTCGACGACGACAACAGCCACCAGTTGTTTTGTGGTTGACATCTGCACGGAGTTCTCGGGCACGCACCAACACACGATCCAGACGCACACTATTGGAATCCCACAGCACCACCACCCACACAAGTTATTGCTGCACGCGCCCAGTCAGCCAAAGCCCGCCCAACTTCCCCAACTCGGCCACGGCATTACCACCGAAATTTCTTATTGCCTCGCCCGCACCATCCCATTGGCGTTTGGCCGTTACTGGCCTGTCCGCTCGGCACTGCGTATATTTACCCGGAGCGTCCCATATTGGCGCATTCCGCAGGGCCACCTTCGCTGCCGTCTCACGATATATTTGTTCTGTCGTCACGGGTCCGCCAAGCAAGCGTACCTTTTTGCACTCGTATCGTCGGCCGTGTTGTGTGGGAGACGGAATCCCCCGCACGTTTTGCCGACGACTGCCTGAACATCGCGGCCGGGTCTTATACTTATAATAGGGTTCTTCTTTTTCGTGTGCAACGTCATTTTTTCTTTCTCGAATTTCCACAGCTTGTCAGGTTTTCAAATCACCTTTGACATCCGAGCGAGCACCCTTGGGACCCGACCCACCCGTTGCACTGAGTGATGTCGTGCCGGATCACTCCTCCGACTGCAACATTATGACTTGCCGCTCCACAACCTCGGCGCCAGCGTACGACGTTCCTCGGCGGCCGCACCGCAGTTCCTTACCAACGACACACAGACGACTCACAACACCATGGGCTGTGGTTCTCCTTGTGCTCGCATGTTTAGTGTCACACGCAGTAGCAGCCGCTCCGGACCATGCCAGGCTACGAATTGAAACCCCGATTCTCCACCGTGGATCAGCGCAGGGAAACGACCGGGTATGGGCAAAGGGGGTAGAGGATGCCGTCGCAGCAAACAGGAGGACGGTGCCACGGCAGGTCGCGGTGCAGGAGGAAGAATCGACCACCACCACGGACTCATCGTCGGAAGAGCCGTCTGAGACAGCACCAAGCCGCTCGGTAACGACAACCTTCACCATCGGCGTCGGCACGGCCTCTCCCTCCAAGACTACGTCTGTTGCTTCGTCCACGATCGTGTCCGCCAGCCCGCTCCCCAGGATCCTCGATAGCATAGCGGCCAACTTCCAGAAAGGCCCCAACGGCGAGGCCCCGACTTGCCCCATCTTCATCAACTCGTTCCTTGCCGATCCGAACTTTAAGCAATGCTACCCGCTATCCATGCTCTTTGAGGTAACCCCCCCCCCTCCTTCCCCGTCTCTTCCCATCTCCAACTCCCCGCTAAACCCATCTCCTTTCATCATCAGCAATCCACCTCCTTCTTCGACGCCCAACACTCCCTCGTCGGCATAACCCGCACCCTCGACGCAACCTGCGCCGCCGACGTCACCTTCTGCACCTCCTACCTCCGTCAGCTCGCCTCCAACCTCACCCTCCCCGAAAACTGCGGCGCCGACTACGCCCTCGGCAACCCCGTCGTCACCGACACGCATCTCGCCATGCTCGCCTATGCCCCCGTCTACGGCGCGGGGTGTCTCCGTGACCCGGCAACGGGCGCCTACTGCTACGCCAACGCCATCACTAACCAGACCAACGTGAGCGCGCCGTATTTTTATTTTTTGCCACTCAACAAGACGCTTCCGGGTACCACCGTGCCGCAGTGTGGGGCGTGTTTGCAGAGGACGATGGCGCTGTATAAGGCCGCGACCGCGGACCGGTCGCAGCCGATTGCGGCCACGTATCAGACAGCGGCCGAGCAGGTCAATGTGATTTGTGGCCCGGGGTTTGTGAATGAGTCGCTGGCTGCGGAAGTTGTGCCGTCGTCTGGGGCCGCCGGGGCGGTTGGGGGGGTGGCAGTCGTCGCGAGGATGTGGGGGACGGTGTTGCTTGCATTGGGGGTTGCTGAGGTGGTCTGGTTAGGGTGAGGGAAAAGTTCATGGGTCACCCGTTATGATGATGATGTGTTGACGGGGTTTCGGGGGGTATTATGATTGGGCGGGATTTTATGGTTTGGGTTTTGGGTTTGGATTGGCGGTGGTTTGGGAAAAGATCAAGAACGGCTTATTTGAGTGGGAAAGGACGGCATTTTGGTTTTACTGCTTTTGATATCATAAGCGAGCGTGGTGTTGGGGTATCTGTTTTATCATGAGCGAGGGTGGTGGGATGTTTTCATTGGGAAGGACAACAGGCCTGCGTCTGTACATATGAAGGATACCCGAGGGATGTAGCGATAGATGATTGAAGTTCCAGAACTAAAAACAATCTAATGTCTAGAATATATCACTTATCGATCATTTGTTGCACTTTCCCTTCCTTTAATGGTCTAGTACGCATTTGATATTTGTAAAGAATACTATGGTGTTCTCTCCTTTATTGTAGCATTTCGAAGACCCGTCCTCTTTACCATGATTTCCTATGATTAGCTTGGGCCCGGGCCAGAAAAAGGGAGGAGGAACCTTGATAAATCTACAACAATCATTAAACTCACAGTAGAGTTTAATCGAGTGCTTTCTTTTTTCTTCCTTTCCCTGTTCCTCTCTTTCCGCTTCGCTTCCTGTCTTCTGTTTTTTGTTGTATTCTTTTTTTTTTTTCAACGCTTGTTAAATACCGATTGTGTCAGGTAGGAACTATCAGTGGGTTGATATGGATTGATTGTGCTGTTGCTGTAGTGAAGTCTTGGCATTAGATTCAGGGGGTTTGTTTACTTTGGAGACCCCGTCGTAAGTCCACGTCCTACGTCAGGAGTATCACATGTAGAGCCTTTTCACACCACCATGGATTTTTTGGTGTAGCGTGTCTCGATTTTGTGGTGGTTTTGCAAGGCAGAGGTGTGTGTTTTGCTTTGCTGTGATGAACGGCATTGAATGCTCTTCCACGTTGCCAGTCGGTGTTTAGGAAGGCCTAGTTGCAGGACAGAATAATTGAATAATTTAAAAGAACATCACTGTAACCCACATTGATCGGTCTTATAATTGATGATCGGGCAGCAACTGCAACTGTCAAATCAACACCACGTCAATCCAGTACTTCGAGAGCTAAGATCTTCCCTCACGCCCTACGTTTCGTCTTTCTTTTCTACCCCTACCACTTTAGCTGCCGCGGCCCGAGCAGAATAACGGACTCAAAAACCGACGTTGTCGTGAAAGCAGCCCACGGCCCTCGTGCTGGGCTCAGCACCCTTCCCCCTCTAGAACCGATTCTAGAGCGCTCAATTTCAGCACGATAGCTTCACGTAAACGGGATGGAGGCTGTGGTCAAGATTAGGAAAGGATTGGAATCGGTCTGCTGCGACTTTCTTGGAAATACATTGTTTCTCTTTGTAAATGGGGATGTCCGTTCAATTATACTGGGCGAAGCACTGGTTACAATCGTGCTAGACACCATTCCCTTTCTTTTTGTGTTCTCCATTCCTTTCTCCTTGGGCGCAGTATATTACAGTTTCGCCCGCTCGTGGCCTAGTGACTCAAGGCGACTTAGACCAAACAGAAAAGTGACATCGAACCCTAAACTGACGTTTCCGGCAATCACGACAGCTTGAATCAGAGATACGACTAAAATTCAAGACCATCGAAATTTCAAACCCCTAAAACGTCAAAATGCCGGCCTAAAGATTCAAGGAAAGAAAAGCTAGGGTAGGACATACATATACATGGAAACATATGATACCACACAATGAAATACCCAGATCTCGAGTCCTAAACCTACACGCCATCTACCCACCACCTACATACACACACACCACGAGAAAATCACCACATATCCTTTCATAACCACCCACCCACGCTCCGTTTCCCCTCCGCCCCCTCTCCCAAAGCTTCAACGACAACACCAACACCCGTATCTAACACAAATAACACAAATAACACAATATCCTATTCATCTTGAACCAACACCACCAAACCTTCATGCTCTTCCATGAATCCATCTGGAACATTTCCCCGGCCCATATAGTACCCCATCCGGGCCGCGGTCAACAATATCGGCACCTGCAATATCTCGCCCACAGTAATCTATCGTAACCATGGTATTTCACTTTCTTATATCTTTCTGTTTGACCTAGTATTAGGTCTTGAATGGCAAGTCAGTTGATCGGTTAGTCAACCTGAGACCGGCAACGTCTGCGGGTCCATCACACAAACCACACGAACCACACAACCCAAAAACCGCCAGAGGGAGCCTTGGGTCGGAACAACGGCAAATACCGAGATCCAGAGAGCGAGGGCATCAGTTAGAGTTGATGTCATCAAGGGACTATCACCAAGCTGACCAATGTGTCCGTCAGACACGCCGCATAACGCGGATGTAATCACAACATATTAAACGGTTCCAGATAACCGACAACAGCGTGTTGTTTCATCCATATATCCATCCATCCTTTTGCCTACCCGCCTCATCAAAACAACTATATGATATAAGATAACTAGCTATATCTCTATCCATAGCAGACAACCAAATACCTTACGTATCCGGGCCACCTTACCTAACAAGAAGCCCATATTACTCCTACACAGCTTCACCTCATCCGTTATAGATCCCAAAAGAGGCACACCAACCCAAGTTACAAAACACGGTCCGGCTGCGTTTCCGACTCGGTCGAAAAAGAGGTAGCTTAAAGGGCCTTATAGCATGAACGGATATGTTAGACCTCTCGACCTAGCCGGGGAATCCGTTATTCACCCGCCCCGGCGGACTTCACAACTTCCTTTAAGCGGGGTTTGTTCGGTAGTGCAGGAATGAATAGCAATAGTGTGTGTAGCAAAACATTAGTTTACCATAGGTGGTCCGCTGACAGACCTTGGAATGGGAAAGGAAAGGTGAGGAAACTCGATCGCGTGGCAGGACGAGAGGGTATCTGTCCACTTCAGGTACCGTACGGTGCAGTCGTGACTTGCCAGCCAGCCGGATACTTGGCTGGTAGTTGCGGGTGGCTCCCTGGGTCTCTCACCATCCAACCTCGGGTGCTCACGCTTAGTGTGTAACGAGCATTAGTTAACCTTAACTGGCCCAACAGTCGGTCGACGGCCTGGTATTGACGTGTCATTCGGCCTGGCCGAACTTGATCACAGACTCGGCCCAATAAACCACAAGTGCCTGCAGCTGATGTTACCAGTCTGCTCAAGACAGCGGCAAAAGCCGTCCTGACTGGCCCACACTCGGGTATGATCTCGGCGCCACGAATAGGGGCATATTATAGCTGATCAAACCCCATCCTCCATAGCCGCCCGCTAGCCTGAAGATGGGGAAGAGAAAGAAGAGGAGTCGGGCGTCACTGGATCTGGGAAAATCAATCACGCCCAAGTTTAGATGGTCGCTCGGCAGGTCCTCGCGCAAAACACCAACGCCCCAGTCAGGATAGCTCAACACTTCACGGTGCCCTTCCCCGTCCTTCGCACCGTCAACAATCCCGAGTTAAGTCTGGTTTTCGGTCCGCAAAAAGGCTGAAGCTCATGAGACATCAATGACACCGGGAGACGGGCCAAAATGTCTTCTTTCCCTTCCTTCATTGCCTCAAAATGGGGTTGACCCTTTTTCCCGGCCCGCCGCCTAACCAAGGCCAAGACAGTTCGCCTCCGGGTGCCATCATGTAGTGGATGTGTTTGTTTCCGGGAAATATCCGCCCTTTTCCCCTCCCGTTTTGTTCTCCTGGAATACAAGTCCTGCGATCCTGGGGTAAGCAAGCGAGTGAGGGGTGTCCCTTTCACGGGAGAGTTGTTGTCGTGTCTTTTCTGCCTCCGGTTGACTGTTTCATTTGCGAAATTCCTGACTCTTTTTCCTGGCCGGCCGGCCGTTCATCAGTGGGTGCTGCGGGAATTGGGACTCGCCCAATCGTGAATACGGATCTCGAATGCAAAGTGAGCGCTATAAAGGCTCATAAATGTTCAATTAGACGTTCCAGGAAAGGATCGTACATGTTTCTGTATGGATATCAATTACCGATTTTGAAATGGACAATTGCCTGTGATCTGTGATCTGCCTTCCGGGCCGCGGTCAGCTGCGGAGCGGTGGTCGGGGTTTCTCCGGTCCGGTTACGAGATCGATGTTGGCCCTTGGGGTAAGGAGCGTCGTCGGGGGATCGCGAGGCATTTGTTCTCCCGGCCCTTCTAAGACGCGTGAACCGGGAACGTTGCAGATCACACCCCCAAGACCGGCACGAGTGCTTTGCGAATTAAGACCCCAAGCAGCCGGGAGTGTTATTCAATATGCTCCCGGCTGCGAGGCCGGAGAGGTTGTTTGAGTGTGGGAATTGGCCTGCGTCAACCTCCGCAGCCGGCCCGTGGCTCGGGGTTGCTGAGCTTGGTAGGGAGCGACCTCACCTAGAACAGAAACCGGGCGAGGAAAGAGGGGGGCGCGCATTCGGCAGCAGGTTTGACGATCCGGCCATTTGTTTCGACCCGGAATCCCCGATACGAGGCCGAAGGCGATTCCGTCACCAGCCGGGAAAGGTAAGAATTGATGAGGTGGTGGACGAATCTGGAGAACGGGGGGATTTTACCCGGGTTTTGCTCTCGTTAATCGGAGCCCCCCTGTGCTTTTCAATCTGTCAACCCTGGCGCCCGGAGCTTGGAATGGTAACCGAAACGGTGCAGTGGACAGACACATACGTCAGAGCGTGGTTATCGTAGTAAGCCGACTCATCAACTTGTCAGCAATAACCCCTTTTCTCCTCTCCTGTTGAAGACTTGCAATGCTCGTTCTCAACTCCGCAAGATATCAACTCCATGTTCTGTGTTAGTAAGCATCCGAAGTCCCCAGATTGATCAGCGCAGCCGTCCCACGTGATCGCGTGATCGCCACGAGATGCGACCCAAAGAGGACGTTCAGGCATGGGACAAAATGTTCCGTGCTTAAACCGGACGAACACTTGTCGATTGTCAAACAACGGTTTGGGGAAGTTGTGCGGCGTGCCTGATGGTAAGTGTACATA